ACAGAGGACAGATGATGCAAATTGGCTAATCCCTCTCTGTGGTCATGATAGATATAGGAATGGCATTGGACAAGAGTCAAGACTCGACATCAGACGAAGAGAACTCAGAAGAGTCGAAGACAGAAGCGTCGAGGTCTGGTCTGAGTGGTGGGGCGCCCACGACGACGGCACATTAGATTGCACGCGCACATGAAGCACTATTTGGGGCGAGCTAGGCCTTGCTGGGGACCTGCGGGGGGATCTGACTGGGTGCAGGGCGCAAAGCTCTGCCCTTTGCGCGATAGGGAGAGACGATGGATCATGGCTGGGACTCTGGGAGTGGCAGGGTGGGCCGACGTTGATGAAGGTGGAAGGGGTGTGAAGGGGCAGAGGGCAGACGCAGAAGGGGTGGTTGCAAGGGTCCAGCTCTAGCCTCTTAGCCTCTGGGGGTGGTCGGGAGAAGCCGTTGTCTCTCTGTTCAAACTTTCAGTGTTCATCGGTGTCCACTGTCCTTATCCATGGACGTGGGCCATGGTGAACCTCGATCAGGAATGACGGCTGGAGGACAGGAAGACAGGAGGATTGGGGGCCAGCCTAGCGCAGGGCAGGGCATGGTAGGGCAGGACAGGGAGAGCGAGCGAGCAGCTTGATAGTGTGAGGAGTGAGATGGTCACGATCAAAAAAATAGTCGGGCTGGGGATTGGGGGGCATGGATGATGGGGGTGTGATGAGATGGGGGACTTCACCCAAAGGCATCAAATGAATACATTTACACATGATACCTACACAACGATTTGTTTTCAATACATGTTCCTTCCATAGCTCTCATACCTTGTGGTTGTATCTGGGCCTGGATGTCTTGGAGGTTTTTGAATAAGTAGCACCTACTATACCTACAGCTTCCCGCATGCCTTGCAGCCGTTCAGCTGATAGACAATGGCTTGGATCCATGGGGATTGGTGTGGGTCTCGACGGATGCACCGTCAACCCGTTGATTAAAAAAGTAAGAATGCACGACTTGATGGCATTGATAAGAACAACAAGAGACCGAGGTGGTAGTCTGCATTCATGGTGCATGCATACTCGCTCGGCTCGTTGCAACAAAGGGCGGGAAGCTGGGGGTGTTCGTTCCAGCTGTGGTGCCAAGTGGTCGCTGGTACGGCGCACCTGAGAGATGCCGGCAAACAGGGGGTGTACATATGAGTGATCACGTTATTGAGCCCATCTGTTCCCCATCCCTTCTCAACTTGTTAAGTGCCTCGAAGTGTCGAGATGCAGTTGCACGTGTTCCATACCGTACCAGTGTGTACCTACGCATCATGCCTTGCATGCCTTATGCCACGTCCGATACCCCATTCATGTCGAGTCGTTCAATGCTACGAATCGGCATTATAGGTCATTCTCCTGGAGAATGTGCCGCATACCTATTACCTACCTCCTACCTCCACGTTATTGTTGAGAAGAGAGGCTGCAAGTTATACAAGGTATTCGCTCGCCTCGTTATCGCATCCAACCTTGTTATCTCTTCCATCACCAGCTCATTAATAATTCAGGGTGAAGCACATATCAGCATATTAGACGCAGCTGCAGCAGAGATGAACTGACCTCCAAAAGCCAATGTCATGTCATGTACGACGACCGGACGGACGGGTGCTTCACTGCTCGAGTGCTGTCTGTCTGATACCAGTATCAGCGGCAGAGGGGCCGCCTCCCTCAGGCAGCAGGCTTCAGCCAGTCAGCCCGGGAATTGACTTCCGCTAACCGCCCTAGCATCAGCTTCTATAATGTATTAATGTATTATAGTGTTTCGGCTGACCCTTCATATTTCCAAGGCGCTCTAGACCCCTTCCAGGCTTCCACGTCCTCCCGTCGGCGTCTCTCCCGTTCCCCCATCTCGATCGTCTTGTGCTTCCCACCCACACCCGCCTGATACACGAAGTGACTCAAGCCTCAGCTGTGCGTCCGTGTGCTCGCATTACACTCACATTACACTCACCGGCGGCGACATGTAACCAGTCATCCCACCTAGCCTAAAAAGCACGACAGCGCGGCACGTATCAGGCCAACATGAAGGCCTCAAGCCAATGCGGCCGCTGATCCAGTTGCGTCTTGTCATGCGGGAGTGCTTCTCGCCAGCGCCGTCTCCTAGCATCGACGCTGACGGGCCCAGCGCCGATCCCTTCCCGACTCAGGAACGCTGTCTCTTAAGTGCCTCGATAAGTGCCGAAGTCGCCCGCCGGCTGCGCAGGCGAGACGAGTCTATTGGATCCCTGCAGCCTGCGGCCTCTCTGCCTCTCTGGGCCAGATGGGGCGAACTGGACACCATCGTTTCTCATCACCATCAGCTATCACTGATCAGCCATCAGCCAGCAGCCATGATCCATCAGCCATCAGCCCTTCCAGGCTAGCAGCACCTGTGTCTGTGTCAGCTGCTACCTCAGCTCTCATGCTTTTTGCACCGTCCAGAAATGAATGGCCCAAAACTTTATGTAAGGTAAATTCACTCCAGCTCGAAACGCTTAGCTCCATCTGGAAACCCGGCCGTGGTCTCACACTCTACCTCTGCAGCCTCTGTACCAGCCATCTTTTAAAGCAGCAAGCCCACAGCCGGTCGCCGCGCAGCAAATCAGAGCACGACGCCGGCGCGGTAGAATCTCACAAGGTGACAGCGAGGGCTTGATGCCCGGCACTCGTGAGCATTGTCGAGCGCGAATCGCCGAAACAATCACCAGAGCGGTCAAGGTCGGGTAGCATAGAGCTTACCCGTCAGCAGCAAGTGCTGTTACATACGGGCGAATTATGTAGGCTGTATTCTACTCCTGTCGTCCTCTTCGAATCATCGTGTGAGGATCCAGCCCGTCACACCTGGGATTGCGCGTCGCCAAGAAACGTTGCAGATGGCCGAATGGTACAGACCGACTTCATGGCGGAGAAAGTCGCTCGTGCATGCGAACCCCCTCACCTGCTCCCGTCCGTGTCCGTGCCCGTGCCCGTGCCCCCTTTGCGAGTCGACCGCACATTCGCCCACTTATCGCCTCGAGGCTCGCCGTTCTTATCTGGAGAGTGCCACGACGTCCGACAGTCGCTAGGCAAAGCCCGCCTGTCCATCGCCTCAGCTCCTTTAGCTGAGGCTGGAACGAGGCGATATTCCCATAACTTCCCTATCCGTCTAGTGTCGACTTGCCTTACCCTCAGCTGGCCCCCAAGGACTCACAAGACAATGACTTGCATGGCAATAACTTGCTGCGTACTGTTGGTCTTTGAGCGACGGGGAGAAGACATCATGAGGGACTAGTGACCGCCACGGTAATCACACACGATTACACCATCGTCACCATGGTCAGACTCTTGATGCAGGATAGTCCTTAAGCCACCTGATTACAGAGCATCTTCCATGAGATGGGAGATCGGAGACATCGACGCATAGTAGCATGCTCGATGTATTCAATAGCCACAAACCGGCGGTGGAGTGTTGTCTGGTCATCGAGCCAGGCCTGAAGGTTTACTCTTTTCTACCGTGCCCCTTTTTTACAACTTTGTTAAAGTCCCGGACCCTCCTCGCTGTTAAACCAATACAGTCTCGTAGGCCCGACCGATGCCTATCGAGTCTGTAGTAGCCAGTATGACTGTGATCGCACAGGGTGAATAGAATACGGGATCGAAAGGCAAGGAATATGCTCCAGCCGTCAGGGGCAGACCATAACATACCCTTGCAGGTCCTACAGGCCTCGTGCCAGGAAACTCCGAGATACTACCAGTGTCAAACGAGCAAAACCCATACATCCAAAGAGCGTCACCACGATGTGTATCAGGCTCGTGATGCACCCTCTAGGTACTAATCTCCTAGCGGCAGAAAACAGAGGCTGATTACGAGCCTCTTCCCACGCAACTTTGCTTAGTCTACGCAGCACAGGTCAGAAGGTGCAAGACAGCAGTCCCACCCAGAGCTCACTACGGCCTGGCAACTCGTCATGCCACAAGCTTCAGGAGCGACACGGGCTCTGGGGCGAGTTATCATATGATCCGGGCGTTCTGATAATGAATATCGGGACGTCCCTGCCACTCACCGTGCAGTCTCGCATGGGAGAGAAAGCTGGAGAGTGACGACGAGGTTTCAAGAGCAACTTTATCAACACGCAACAACATTACCAACACGCCAGTCCATATTGGTACTCTTGGACACCTCAAGCAGGAAATGCAGTGCTGACAACTCCTGTTGGCCGCAAGCACGCCCCAGGCATGTCATGCTATACATATAACACATAGCGTTTCATTACGCCCGGGAACCGGTATCCAAATTCTCACTTTTCGCGGAGTGAGCAACTAGCAGAGCTTAAAGCAGTCTGGCCTGAGAGAAAAAAAAACCTCATCAATGATAGTCGACAGCTAACAGGGAAATCCTGATGACAGGCACGTATATGCCGTCTCATCCGGCTGACCATAGGTTTCTCTGTCCCGGATGGACGAGAGTCTCACGTAGCTGAATATCCACAAGACATCATACACACCACTAAAGTCTCGCTTTCTCAAAGTCCATTCACCTTGATGCTACATGAGAGCCATACTTACCGCAAGCGGTCTTATCTATTAAAACCCACATACGTGATGAGCAGGTCTCCTATGAGAAGCAGGGCGTCGACCAATGAACAATTTTAAATTCTTCATTAACGGCAAGTAGTCTAATGCAACGCCTTGGCATTATGTTGAATGGCGTTTAGTGCCTGATGCTTGCTCTCTATATACACCGCATGGCGCCGTTTATTTGGCCCTTGCTTGAGCGCCGTTCGTAGAATCGTTACCTCTATCCGTGGCTCTCCTGGTCTTGCTCCTGATCATTTTGGTCACCCCCAGACCCCCCTCTCTCTCTCTTGTATGTCTACAATGGTATCCTTTGCACCACACGGGAAACATGGATGGTTGTTCCTCTTTTATGTTCGATGCTCGTATTCGATTCGATCCAACGGCGGCGGTAGGTTACCGATCACACAGAGCCGTCTACCGACGCCCTTTCCGTGGCAGATTCACTCCGCCTTCGCCCACCGCTTCTCCCGCAGCGGCATCTCCCTCCCCGCCAACGCACGCGTATCATTCACCTCGTCCCTCCAGGCCCAGTACTCGCCCAGGCGCACCTCAGCGTACTTCGCATAGTCGAATTCGATCTGCGAGATGGTCGCCTGGATCAGCGCCCATATGCCCCAGTAGAAGCCGGGCACGCCCCGGAACACGTCGACCTCGGCGTGCAGCCTTTGTACCTCCGCCTCCAAGTCCACTTTTGCGTCTGGTAGGAGGCCGTAGTAGGTGCGGATGTACGCTTCGATGAACTCGAGCCGCTGCGCCCGCGTCGGCAGCACGTTGTAGTCGCAGTCGAAGCCACCCCATTCTGCGAAGTGGTTCGCCAGGTCGAACGCTGCAGGCGAGGGGGTTGCGTACTCGTAGTCGATGAAGCTGACCGAGAGCTCCTCGTTGTCGCCATCCGTGACACCTCCGCCGCCACCGCCGTCGACGGCAGTGGTCCCGGGGCCCTTCGGCTCGATGATTACGTTCCCACTGAGAAGGTCACAGTGTGCGAAGACGAGCTGTAAAGGTTCGTAGTCAGTACACGATACTCCCGAGGTAGAATGGCCATAGGCCTGTGGTATATTCAGAGCGGGATAGCACTTACGCCGTTCTCGCCAAGCCCCGGCCGTTGGCTCAGCTCTCCGACCAGCCTCTCGAGCTCCTTTTGCAGGTCGGCCTGCCTCGTCCTCTCGGCGTCGGTCTTGGCCGGCAGGGCCAGGATCCACTTCTGCATGACGGTCCAGACGTTGGGCGGCGGCTTGCCCGGCGCAACGTGGTCGGTGGCGGCGGCATCGTGGGGACCGTTAGTGATGCCGTTGAGGCCGCTCTTCTCGGCGTACGTTTCGTGTATGCAGGGCACGCGCGCATGCCATTGGGCCAGCCGCCGCGCCACGGCCCGGTACACAGGGAGGGTGCGCAGGTCGGCGGGCTGGGTCACGCGACCGCGGATGTAGCGGTACATCATGCCATTGTTGAAGCGCGCCAGCAGTTCCGGCGCCAGGCCGTACTTGGTCAGGAGCTCGTGGTTCTGAGTCTCGCGGTGCCGGTCGATCAGGACGTCGGTGCCGTGGCCGTAGGCCCGCAGCAGGATGGCGTCGTTGTCGATCTCCTCCTTTGTCAGGCCCTCTTTCCGGTTGACCGCTTTCAGCAGCGTGTTCGTGATGCCTTCTGTGAACCGTACGAACTCGAGCTTGGAGTCGGGACTCGACCACTCGGGTCGTAGGGCGAGGATGAGTTCGCGGGCCGAGGGGTCGCAGTTCTTGTTCTCGTACGAAAGGGGGATGCACCGCACCTCGCCCACGAGGCCGTTGGCCTCTCCGTTCGTCGCGCTCTGGGAAGGCATCGGGCCAGTACGTACGGCTTCGAATTGGTCGTCGGCGGTTCGATGTCGCCTAATAAGGGGCAGCGGCACGAGGGCAGAATCACAGAGTCGGTGGGTGGGTGGTGGTTTCTACGATATTTGCAATCAGGGGTCTTCTCCCTACCTTATCTTTCCGCAATCGACGCCGAAGTGGGTACAATATTATCTAAGGTTGCGGGTAGTAGCAGAAGCAGTAGTAGTATAGCAAAGGCTCAATGATGGTCTAACGAAGAACAAGTTCGAATGGCTATTTGTGGGCAAAGTCGACTCAAGATGATATATTGTTGGTAGCGTATTGAGACGAGGTTATGATCAAAGATGGGTTGGTTTGGCTGCTGCGAGACTGAAAGCGGATGGACGTCATTGCACACGGGCTCGGCACTACGGGCAGGCACCACCAGGGGCCAGGCTGCCAGGGCGCATTTGGAGGGCAAAGAATCAAAGATCGGCCGACGGCAAGCGCGTTATGGCCGTGGCTGCCGTGGCTGCCGTGCTGGGGGATGCTTGGCTCATTCCAGGGGTAGCTGCAGATTGCCCTGGGGCCTGAATCTAGAACCTCCACAGGGCCAGGGCATACTGTAGTAGATCTATCAGACAAGTCAGATCAGACCAGACGGGCAAACTCTGCTCAGTTGAGGAGACAAACAACCCATCATCTCCTCTTCGCCCGGGTCGCCCAGGCTTGGAAACTGGAAGGTGTGATCCATTTGTCACGAGATCAGTTACCCAATCGGGTGTGCGTATATCATATGGTAAAGAAAGGACGCTGTGCTCCTTCAGCATGAGACTGAAGCAACAACGGTGTCGGCTTGACCCCGCCAAACCGATCTCACACAAATGGATTCATGGAAGGTTCATGCCGGCATAACGTCACTGCGGCTACCTGCTCCCGCTTGGGTTCCTCCAACGTTGTTCCCAGAGCGCTGCGGCGGGCTAGCTCACGATGGGACATTCGGCAGTCACGACGGTGATGGTCTTACGTAAATGAGTCTGATGGTTCGTTTCAGCAGTGTTCTTCTACACATGAGTCCCAAAACACGATATTATTATTACTGTTGCGACCTTTACTCGACTACCTATCTGGTGGTATGACAGGCCCAACCCAAAACTCCGGCAGCAAAGAGGATGGTACCCAACCGCCTTCCCAGACTCCAGTCTCATGCTTCCAAGGTTTCTCATGGATCGTCGTCGTCTTTGAGATCCAGTCCGCAATACTGACCAATCCTCCGAAACCAGCGCGCTATATGCGAAGCCCAGTCGTCCATCACGTCGCTGAAAAACATGAGCAGCCTGCTGAAGAAGAACAGACTGACAAACGACACGCTCGCTATCACCGCGAACGAATACCAATAGTCCTTGGCGTGCCAATAACTATAGAGGTCCTCGATCTGTATCGAAAAGTAACTCGTCAGGAAACTGATGGGTAGGAAGAACACGCTGAGCTTCGCCAGGAGCGTTGCACTTCGCGTGAGTCTCGCTGTCGCTTCCGAGTCTTTCTGCTGTGTCAGGTTGAAATACTGCGCAGCTGTTGTTTAGCCCAAGCATCACGACAGGAAGGACATCCTCTCTTACCGTGCTTGAAAGTGCACTGATCTCTTCCAGGTATCCTTCGATCGTGTTCAGCATGAGGAACTGCAACCGGTCGCCCAACCTGTCGAAGCGGCTCTGGGCCGAGTCTGTTAAGGCAACTCTGCGAATCTCGCCCGGTGGCCCGTTCGTGACCTGCGACTCGGCTTTCCCCGACGCCATGATCTTGCCCACCAAATTCTTATAGTTCTCGAACATATGCTTCAGTTCTCGAAGATCCTTGCTCAGATAGTGCAACGTGGGAATGATATCAGTGCTCTTGCTCCTTACTTTCGGGCGCTGTACGGGTTAGCTGGATTGTTTGGTGACCTCGCGAAAGGCGGAACCTACTGCACTCTCCAGCACCTTGTGAGTCTGCGGTGGATTAGTATCGTCATTCCTATATCCAGTATCGCAGCTTGCTTACTATATGCTCCAGTTTCCCCTCTGCCGTTTTCAAGGGGCCGGCGGCAACGTAGTCTTCGAACAAATAGTAGAAGAGGTTGCTCGTCCCCTCGTCTGCTAAGCTCACCGGCTCACCCTTGCTCGCAAAGGACATTCCCGTCTCCTGTCGGGTCAGGTCCGGCTTGCTGGAAAGCCATTTATACAGCGGTCGCCGAACCGAGTTTTGTGAAAGGGGCTTCCTCTTGTACAGGTCGAAACCCTTCTGCGATAGTTGCAGAAGAACGTCGAGCGTGTTCGCCCTGATGTTCTTCAATTCGTCACTCTGCCAGGTCTGTTCGTCCTCCTTTTCAGGAGTCGGTTCGAACGACGGCTTCTCGTGTATTGACAACAGAGTATCTAGCGAGCGGGTCAGCTCACATACCGCTCGACAGGCTCAGGAGCGTGAAGATTTGGCCTACGATCGTTACACAGGGCCAGCCATTGCCAGTGCTTTGGCGGCATCATACTTTTCCGCTGAGGCTCATGTTCTCGTGCTGGGCGTTTATGGAGCCAGTGAGCCCCGATGATCATGGCTTTTCGTCTCGTCAGCATCGATGAAGGATGGCGTACCTGGACTCACTTACCTTTACGCGTCTGGTCAGTCGAGAAGTAGTTGACTGTATTCTTGACCTGCAGAAAGAGCTCCATGCCATCGTCATCCATCAGTTCCAAGTTCATAGCCTCCTTTGACACCCGTAGGCTGGGAATGCTGTCCAGAGGTATATTTCCATTGAGACTGTTTCCTGTCTCTAGGTCCTTTTGCGGATGGCGATGTTTGGAAACGTGACCCGTCCTGTCTTTGCGCCGGCGCGCCTCAGCTGTGTGAGCCTTGGGAAGAGCCAGGGCCATCAGGCGAATCAGTCGCTCCGAGAAGTCATATTGGTTTCCAATGGCAGTGATTGCATCCTTTTGCACACTCGGATCCCATATGTTTCTATGCGGTGTCAGTGTGAAACACGGCTGAAGCTGTCAGGAGTCCAACGTACATCCAGCGAATGGGATAGCGAGCGATATGTCGTTCGTCTTGTAAAAGCGTATGAAAGTCGTCGGCGCCAAGATTGAAAGCTACACGCGCATGTTCGGGTCCAAACTCGACCACAAAGTTCTTGCTGTCTTGATCCGCGGCGTGCGGCGCGGCTTTCTGGAAGACTGTCTCATCATCGAAGTCCTCGAATAGGGTTGTCGACCTCCTGGGAGCCTCGGCTTGCGCGGTGGACGCCATTATGTTGGTGGGAGCAGGACTTTGAAGCTTAGGTCATGATGGACAGAACGAAGGCATAATCCAGATGCTGTAATAAGAATCAAGAAACGTCACTTACAGCAAATGAGTGACATGATTGAGAAAGCCAACCCTCCACACGACCTGCGAGGCTCTGGTGACATTCATCAGCTTCCGGCCATCTGCACCTGACGGGGTTCACGTGCAGGGATGTTCCGGGGAGCTGACACCGGCGCCTATCGCGAGCTTCCCTTGTTGGATTCTAGCGGTTGGGGGCGACGCCGAACGGGCGGGCAGGGCGGGTAGTCCCACAAACTCAGAGCTTAACCAGTTCGCCTCGATATCACCTCCCCAATCGCCAGCTTCAAGGCACATCTTCGAAGTCCGTTATTATTATCTACGGCCGTGTGGCAAGGTAGTACTACAGTTACGAATGAGGTAATGACTTAACCTTTCGTGAGTTACGGCTCGTAAACACGAACATATATAAGCTCCCAAAGACTCGATATATGTCTAACCAACAACTTTATACGGTAAACGTTGCTCTTCGCATAGTTTAAAGTTATATAACTATATCGTGTGTATATATGTAACTGATTTAGTTCTACAAGCCAGCTAGGCCCACACCCGAACTTCTTTTTTATAAAAACTTTAAAAGCATTTACAATACATAATTAGATTAAAAACTATGCCTTTAAGCTATTAATTTATTAAATGTTTCGATATTATTAACTTACATACTTTTTCATTATCATTAAAATAATATCCGTTAATTTTTTTATTTAAAGATTAATTAAAATAACTCGTAATTAATTAAAAAGTATAAAAAACTTTATAACTGCCTTACTTACAACCGACGCTTAATTAGCCGTTTATGAATAATTACAATATAAAGTTTATAACAAAAATAACACCAAATTTATTAAAAGTAAGAATATGTTACGAACCAACGAACAGTGCGGCCTGATAGCAGGCCAAGAGGAGACGATTGGAAACAGGTTGACCAGTAAGTGGGGTGCTGATCAGTGGAGAGATCGGAGCAACGGAGCAACGGTACACAGATCACGTGACCAGCAGAACCTGGGTCACGTGACTAAGAATTTGGATCACTGGATCACCTTGGATCACCGGTGATCTAGGGTGAGCCACCTAATCAGTGAGGGAGAGATTGGATATATAAGGACAAACATTTCCCAACCAGATAGATAGACAGTCTCTACCTCAGTGGTCAATCTTAGCATCTTAGCCAACCCTAAGGTGGGAGAAATCTCCTGACGACTCGACTACACAGTGAACCCAGTTCAGACCAAGCCCCAGCATCTGAGTGTCTTCTAGTTGACAGAAGCCTCTATCGTCCTTTGTGTTGACTTACTTCAGAACATAAACCCTATAGAACCCTTTAGCCTCATAGGTTAGACAGCTCGTCACACTTAAAACCGGTATTTTTTCTTAAAATTAAACATTAAAAATTCTTGCAACTCGGTTTACTAACCTCAATATCCCGGGCAGCACGTATTTAAGTTATAATTTTTTTTATACGGTATAATATATATATAATATAAATATAGATAAATTAAACATTAAACTATTCCGTAAATAATTATTAAATGTAATTTAATAATATTATAAAGTAATAAATACCTCTAAATTGTTTTCATATAAAAGTTCGTTATTAATACAATAAATTAAACTTAACGCGAAAGTTAAGCTTTTACGGTTTATATATATACTATCGTTTAATTTTTTTATATAAAGTTGATTTTTTAAATACACTTATAAATTAATTACAATATATAAACAGTACGGTTATAATTTAATACTTTTAAATCTTATCTATATATTTCATATATATAGAGTTTAATTAAAAGTAAATATATATTATTTATATTATAAATTTAAGCCGCATTTATAAACCATCATTAAACCGCTTATAATTTAAATAAACTAAAATAGTTTTTGTTTAATATTATTTTTATTACCCGTAATACTTTTTTGAACTTTTTAACCAGCCTTATAAAAAGTGGGTTTTAATTTTTAAACAAACTAAAAATAAGTTAAAAATAAGTCATAACTTATTATTAATTTTATAAAAAGCTTTTATATAATTAGGTTTTTTATTCCGTTAAATAATTATAGAAGCCGTGAATTATTTATCGTATTCAATTAAATATTGAGTTTATTAATATTAAGCTAAACAATGCTTTAATAAATGAAGAAAAAAGCCGGAAATACGGCTTATAAACGCATTAAAATATAGCTAACGTTACGCGCGTTTTTTTATCTTTCCGGTTAGATATATACTTTTTAAAGTTAAACATATATTTCATAATATAAAAGTTATTAAAGTTTTAACAAGCTATTAATAAGCCGTTTTTATAACTTATAAATAAGTTATTAACGTATTTATATTACGTATGTTAGAAATTTATTATAAATCATTTCTTACTTTTTAAAATACTTATGTTTTAAATTTTAATAAATTAACGTTGTGTTTATACTTTAATAATAAGTTATAAACGTATTAAAACCTTATAAGTTCAAAGTTTTAATTTTTATTGTAACAAATACAAATATATTATCTTAATAAACATTACCTTGTAAGAATATTAAGTTTTGTAACTTATCAATATACCGTTGATATATTATATTTATGACTTTAAAATAAAGTAAAACCCGGGTTATAAACAACCCATAAAAACATATTAAAATAACAATATACATAGTATAAAAAGTTAAAGTTTAGAAACATTAAAAGCTATAAATATTTAAATTAAAATAATCATTAATAATTAGAACTAATTGGAACTAATTAAATAACAACCAGCGGTTAAAAACACCGTACTGATAACTAGCCGTAAATAGCTATTTAAAGATCACTTAACTATATATATTAATTATAATAAGTTATAATGCATGTATTTTAATACGTTTATAATATATTTAAAATATAGAATTATTTAATAAGCTTGAACATAAAAGTCAAATAATAATAAATGAACTATCATAATTATTGCTTAAACCCGTATCAAAGGAGCTTAAATATACTTTAAATATACTTTAAAAACTGTTTAAAAACGTAACTAATCGGCTAACTTATTATAACTCACGCCTTATTAATATAAAATTTATTATAACCAATAAATGCTTTAAAATATTTCATGATTAACGTGGATGACAAGCGAGCGGCAATTACAAGCGAATGGCAACTTTTCACTAACCTTCCAACCAACATGTCAGATAACTCGACCACAACGCATTTAATTCAATCTGATCAATTAGATTCTTTTTTTTCAGACATTTTTATCTTTATTGTACAAGTTCGCGCATTATGGCCAGTGTTGCTGCAAACGCCACAACGTCGCTCACGCGCTGCCGCCCTCCTCGGACGGCAACTACCTTCACCTTTTCCTGTCTTGCCAGCTCATTACCATCCTTTACAGCCTGGAGACCTACTACATCTTTAACAGAAAGTACTCTTCTTTTTATTATATGTTTGTTTTTTGTCTTCTGGCGTTTACTTAGTAAGTGATTGGCCTCTTCTAGCTCACGGATCCAGGAATCAACCAAAGCGACCTTGTGCATAAGACCGTATGTAGCCTTTGAAAATGAGCTCAACGCATCAATTATTGATATAAGTGAGCTTTCCTAGTAGTTTTTGGCTCGATTTTGGATATAAACCGACTGGTTTACTGCTTCGTTGATGGTGATAGGAGTCTTTAAAGTCCAAGTAGTGGGTGGAAGATTGGGGTCTGGCGACGGTGTTTGTACGACAGCAACAGCATCCAGTTTTAAAATGACACTTTCTGGGTCGAAAAGAACAAGTCCAGTGGCACTAAAACCTGCTCGAATGTTTCCTGGCATCATAGCAGCGTTGTGTGCTTCACAAAATGCTGTAAGGAAGTCCTCTTTCGAAACGTGGGTTATATGACGCCGGATGAGATCCTCAATCATGCGACCGTACGCTTGTTTAAGCGGTCTAAAACAACTGACATCTAAAGACTGGCGCCTGTGTGACAAATGGACAGGCATATAAAGGGTAATAATGCTATTATTCTGGCAATAATCCTTAAAGATCTGGGAATGGTGGCTTTTGTGACCATCTAGGATGAGGAGGCGTTTACTGGCAGTCATACGCGGTCTGGTATACTTGTCGAAATGCCGAATCCATTCCAACCCAATCTCGTTCGTAGTCCAACCGTTATTGGACACAGTCACCTTCCAATCGTGTGGTAATGTTGTATCGCGATACCATGACGCAAGGTGGGTTTTGCCCTGTAGAATGATGAGTGGCGGGACCACCCAACCATCAGCATTGACAGCAAAAATTGTTATAGACCATTCCCTGTTGCCTTATTGAGCTTGTCTAGGCCTATCACATCTTTTGGCACTTATAACGACTATGCTGGACCCAATAATGCCCATCATAAACCCAGTCTTATCGAATTTATAAATACCCGCGTCTTAGATACCATGTTTGCAATTGCTGCCGCAACTTGGCAAAACCACACACAATACGCGTCTGGATCTTTGTTTAAGACCCTCTGGTAGTCCATCCTCTGATAAAAATGCGTCCGGAGGCCTGGTGTGCGTTTAATGAAATTCTGCGTCCAGTTCTTTCTAACGCATCCATCCCCACGCGCTGCCAACAATTGATTCGCCATATCTTCAACATAACTGTGCCGGGGTGGAAATGCTCGTGCATCTAAGTCAAGAATGAAGGAAAGAATGGCATTCTTTTCAGAAACCATAAGTTTCAAAGTATTGGGTATGCTATTGCGTTGTGATGGTCGGCCGGCAATTCTAGCCTTCAAGGTATTATATAGGACATAGAAAGTCTTAGAAAGCTTGCCAATGGTAATATGAGGGTTGCGTTGCTTAGCTTGGACAGCAAGCTGTAAGTCTGATTCGCTATAACGCAATGCCATTATTATTGGTTGATCAATTAAGAGCCTTGATTGAAAGGTTAGGTGGCTGGTGAAAAGTTGCCGTTCGCTTGTAATTGCCGCTCGCTTATCATCCACTTTAATTAATTTTATAAGTTATTTAAACTTATATTTAAACTTTTCTCTTATAATAATAATTTTAAAGCATTTATGATATGTAATTTAATTAAACACTACTCGCTTATTTCTTTAACTTATATTCAAAAAAGTTATAAAACAAGTAATAATTTCTTACTTTTTAATTTTTAATTTTTATAATATGCAATTGTAAATTAACTATTGTAATTACAGTCTAAGCCCTCATTCAAAGCAGCCCAAATAAGCACCTAAATACGCCTTTAAAGCTACCTAAAAGCGCAGCCAATCAGCTGACCTATTACGGCTCACGCCCCGCCAATACAATACCTATCACAACCGACGAGTGCCTTAAAGTGCTCTGTAAACCGACAAGTTGTCTGGGATTGTGACCACCCAATCATTCAGTCGTCCATCCATCAGCACGCGACCAAGAGGCATCCACCACACCAAAGCAAGGGCGTCTGTAGCCGACATGGTGGCCGACTCCAGTGACACAGCTGAATGGAGGATCGAGACTGTCTCAGCAGACGAGGAAGGATGTCTCTTCTACCTCGATCACTACAAGCCCTTCAGGCTGATGGCGTTGCAGCAAGACCCTGATGGTTGGTACCACAGTCTGCCTGTCTAAAAGTAGCATTGCAACCATCTGACATCATGCCCCCCTCGTGCCAAACAGTATTTGGATCTACCTACGCACGCGAGGTCGACTTCAGCGACGAGACCTGACTCAGCCGCATCCGCAGCCCTCTAGCAAAGACGTTCGCCGCCGGGCAGTCGCGTGACAAGACCGTATTGTCCGCTACGTCATTGTTAGGACCGCTACCAGACTCGCAGCCGGCAAGCAATCCATCTCAAGTGATTGCCGAAATGAGCGAAGGTGACGATCGACACGATTGTCAAGATGCCGCGCCGATGTGCTTCCAGATGGCCAGCGTCTACACGAGGTCCGAGGCTCGCGGACGAGGCCTCGCGAAGCGTCTCGTCAAGGTCGCGATGGATGACGCCGTCAAACAAGCGCAAGAACGAGGCAGAGCTCTTTCGCTGAGTTTCGTTGTCTACGCGACAAACACAGCCGCGATAGCATTTTACGAGAGCTGCGGCTTCGTCGCGAGTGCAGAGGGACCGACGGACTCTTTCAATCCTCTGAAGAACTCTACTAGCGGTGAGCTGAACATGTTTTTCCGGGCTGCCTCCTAAACAGAATATCGCCTGCTGAAATGAGGATGGGCCTCGGTGTTTGCTGCGACGACCCCGTTCGTGGCTGGGTTTGCTGTTCATCTCATCCCGAAGGAGACGGTGCCCGGTCGCTTGGCTCGCCGCTGCATGGTTGCAATCAAATCAGGACCTCCTGATGGCAGCCTGTCACTGCCTGTGAGTCTGTGACGTGATGTAGCCTGGCATTTGGCTGGCGCCCCACGGCCCAAGAATTAGGGATCAGCTTGAGGATCACCGCCTGAGCTGAAATTAGCCACCATTTGATCGGTCCAAACCCCCGGATCACGATGTTTCAGGCGCTGAATTGCTCCATCTCGAAGATGACCCCGGCAAACTTCGGTTACCAGCCGCAGTCTGGCAGGTCCCTGAGTATTCAAATATGTATATTATTATCGAGGCATCCCCGGAGGATTGGACCCTGATACCTTCGTAACCAGCTTCACGACCTTACATTCTTTACTCTGATATCACCATCAACTACTTCTGATAATCCAGAAGGCCAGCTTGCAGTCGACCTTCTATTCCATTCTTTACATATATACACCCATACACCCACAGTGTCCTTGACTATAATAACCATAACCATAGCGTCTTCCAAATCAAACCACTCATTATTTCACAATGTTCTCCCGACAGCAATACCCGGCTCTCCTGGCTACCGCCACCCTCCTCAGCTCAGCGTTCCAGCACGCCCATGCACTGAGCAGTCGCGGCGACGTCGAGTACCCAGAATGCATCCAGTCCTGTCTCCGAAACTCGGGCTGCTTCAGCGGCAGCGACTGCGTCTGCAAGAAAGCCGCCGAAAGCGGTTTCATGTCCGACGTCGTTACGTGCATGAACCAATGGTGTGAAGCGTCCATCAACGCCAGCGACCTCATCGACCCCATGCAGTCGACCTGCCACTTCTCAGACTCGGTCGTGGAGGAGGCTCTGAACGCGGACGCGGACAACAGCCTGCACGGTTCCGGCTCCAGCTCGGACTCATCTTCAACAACGAAGGCCAGCCAGACTACGCAGGCCAAGGACGAGGACGAAGACGAGGTGGTAAAGGAGACGTACGCCGTCGGTGCGCCAGCCTCGGCCGAACAGATCGAGACAACCGCCTCCCCTGCTTCCCCCACGGCCGCCGCAACCAAGACCGAGGGTACCATGACCATCGTCACCGCGTCCTCTTCGGCCGCAGCCCTGGCCACCGGCTCGAGCACCAAGCTGCTCACCGTCAGCGCCTCGTCGGCGGGCTCCCTCGTGGTTGCCACCGCGACGCCCTCCGCCGGCGCCGGTGCCACCACCGGCGGAGCCTCAGGAAGCGACTCCAACGACGGCACTTCAGTCAGCAGCAGCAGCGATCAGGGCTCTTCGGACGCTGCGCCTGAAGAAGGTGTCGCCGCAAAGGGCCAGGCGTCGATGCTCGGTGCCGTGCTTGCAGTAGCGGCCGCACTTGCCTTCGGCTTCTAATCTAGCGATCTCCCTGAAGAAGATCGAAAATAGTGCGGATGAGATAGACATACGAACGTCAGCATAATCATAATCTTCTATATACATAATATCCCGGCCCTGGCTTCATTATATCGCCCAGGCAGGCATGCGGCATGGTTGGGTCCCTGGTGGCGGATGCACTACCATATATCGGTGATCACGGAGGATATACCCATAGGTCGGAAAGACCAAAGATAACATGATGCTTGAAGCATATGGCAGGATCCATTACCATGGGAAGGGGAGAGTGGGGAGAGTATTGGTTGCAAGGCGCGTTGCAGGCGACAGTCTAGCTAGCATATTTCCCTTTCTTCACCCTTAGATAGATTTGCAGCTGAATTGAACTGCTCGCATCTATACGCATTTGTAACGAGACCAATCCGAATCAGAGCGACGTTATCGGAGCTGAAAATGATAAATGGATTCGTAGGACCATCTCCTGGTAGACCCCCCTGAAATGGTGGTTCTCTTCCGTCTCCTGGAACAGCGAAGCAGGGGGAACCACTACGTCAAGTGAACGAGTTCGCGTCTAGATAATTTGTCTGCCGCCAGTGATACGCTCTACGAAATGTACGGACTAATCGTATGCTATAGACAACCTACTGCCTTAAGACAGCCCCCAGCCTGTCAGGGCATCTCGTGGTCGATTGCTAGGGTGAACGCCAGAAGGGGTTACCCCTTCACCTGAATGCTATTCATGTGTAGGTGGCCCACAAACGATTGACGCGTCGCAGCAACAAAGACGGTGGTGTACCCTCTAAAAGACGAGAGACTCGAACATCCGAAGATATTTAGACGTGTGCGGACTATAGGTGCCCGAGACCAAACCCTTGTCGCAGCGGGAGTCTGGCTTGGACGATATTCACCGGGTCGCCTGATGTGAAACTGTATCCCCCATTGGATTGGCGAAGACACCAGAAGATTATATGGCACGGTAGGGATCCATGCATCCAATCTATGTTTCAAGTTATCTAATCACTCTTAGTCGTCTGCTTCACCGGCTTTCCAAGAGTTTAGGGAGCTTGCTTCAATCTTGCTAACCTTTGATCTTGCTGCGTCGAGTGACAACTTGACAAGGTCGTCAAAGCGACAGGTATTGCTAAGCAGGGCACCTATCTATTTACCGTTATTTTCCGGGTACAAGCTGCCCAGTCCTTCAAGCTAATATTGCGGCCTTCGTATCCGTCCGGCCCAGCTTAGATTAGGCAAAGTTCACAGTAGCTTCCACAGTGTACAGGCAAAGTATAACCTCTTGTACAGACCAATCTACCCACAGCTGTTGAGAAGTCAAGACATCACACCGTATCCTACCGTAAGCTCGTTCCCGGCAGCCTCAACTTCAAGTCGTGCTCGACGTAGCATCAGGCATGCGATCGCCCGCGGATAACACTGCCTGAAGTTTGGTTTGATACCATTCGTCGGTCGCTTTCTTCCCAGTGATGCCCGGCGGTGGACCGAAATCTTCTTCGAGGAAAGCTCGAGCAACTGCCTCTGCTGCTGCAAGCTTTTGTGATTCGGCTTCTGACAGCTGGGAGCAAACTACTTCGAGGTCTTCATTTCGTACCATGTGGAGCATGATGGTCTCGGCTCTGTCCACTACGGCCTGGTCGATACCATTCATCGCTGCGCAACGACTACCAAAGCTGGAGATACTCCGACCTGGTACCAGTTGAAAGAGGTAGATCACCTGGTCCTCCGGTGTTCCAGCGTCATAGTCTAGGCGGATATCCATATGGGCGAATGCCAGCTCTGCACTCTCCTCCACAAATTGCCCTTCGAAGATCTCGTGGAAATGCGTGGCTGCCAGTACCTTGGGTCGCTCACTACCAAGGCTGGCAAAGTGATGAAGTGTTGCTGTCAACAAGCCGGCACCGTCTTGACTATTTGTGCCCTTGCCGAATTCATCTATGAGGACTAGGCTTCTGCATGTTGCGAAATTCATCGCAAATGCGACCTGGCGGAGATCGATGGCAAACGCGCTCTCGTTTCTTGAAACGCTCTCTCGCGTAGCGATGCGTGTGAGGATTCGGTCAGTTATCCCTATGCGAGCTCGCTCAGCCGGCACAAAGCAACCGATATGAGCAAGATAGACGATGATTGCGACGTGTTTGAGATAAACACTCTTTCCGGAATGATTCGGCCCCGTGAGAAGAAGCGTACTGGGGCAGTCAACAGAGTCGTGCAGACCATCTGAAGCAGCTGAAGAAGAAACACCTGGCGTCTCCCGATCGTAGTCGCCCAGTCCGCCAGCCATTGCGCAATCATTGGCAATGAATGACGGTACCACGAGCTCTTGTAAAGGGTGCCGACCGCCTTCGATGTGTATGACATTTTCGTGGGTCATCTTCGGTGCTGTCCATTTGTACTGGCCGCACCCTATCGATATGGCAACGAAACTGTCAAGTTCACCTAGGACCTCGGATGCCGCAATTATAGCGTCTTCCTGCTCTAAGATCCTGACCGTAAGCCCGTGAATCATCTCAACCTCTCGATCTACTGAATATTAGCACTCAACTTTGCGTTAAACAGAGAGTTCGTACCAATAATCATGCAATACGCATCACCAAATTCTGCATCCATATCTTTCATTTTGCCGTTCTTATAGTAGACACAGCCTTCAGCGGCGAACATACGCTCCCAGACGTCGTTCAATCCCTCGCCATCGTAGTTGCCCTTCCCAGTTTCGGTGTTGAGAGAAACAACAGTCAGGAAGCCCAGTTGCGGAAGGAAGATGCAATTCTTGACGTACTTCCTGGCCCATTCCGGGACCTCATCTCGCAATCTGGTGACGACTCTTGTAAGGAAGTCCTCCATGCCGTCATAGCTTTGCTTGAGCCCGTCCAACTCAGCGTCGACGCCATACTTCACAGCGGTTCTCGCTCGCTCGATAGATTGCTCAAAATCGACCGTCTGGGTAATAAGTTCCCCAACTTGGCCAATTGGGAATGGGTCAATGATTTCACAGACCTAAGGTTATCGATGATAAGTACAAAGCTGTCTTCACGGGTTTAGGAGCACGTACCTTTCGGATAATGACGATTTTCTCTGCACCTTGTAGCTCTCGCAGCATTTCTCTGAGTTGTAGGCTATAAGCGGCGAACCTCTGCAGAGTTGCCCACGCGTGGTTGTTCACGGAGATCTTTCTGCCAGGACTGTCGACACCTTTTCGCAGGAGAGCCATGACGGGTTTCATGTTTTTGACCTTTCTGAGGTATTTGCCAAGGTTCATGAGCGATTCAGCATTGCCAGGGCGTAGAAAGAAAGAGAACGTCTGTTGCCTCTCATTGATCAAGTCGATGTCCATACTCGGCCGTAAGAATATCTGCCGAAGCTTCAACTTTCCCTGCGGCGTAGAGGCCAGATGGTGGAAGAGTCCATAAACGGACAGGTTCTCCTTGGCCCCGCCCTGTTGATGACTGTTTGGGTGGTGCTCAGATTGCAAGATTTGCAAGGATGCGAAAGTATCTGCATTGACAAACATGAAGTCAAACAGAGAGAACATCTCCACCGATCTGATCTTGTATGCTACCAGTGCATCAGGATCATTTGGCAGGTATTGCGCCGTCTTCCTGCGATGGAGATCATTGAGGACCGCACCGGCGCAGCCAACCTGCTGGCCGTTAGTGATGTAACCTGGAAAATGTAAAGGGTTTGGTTCTGACGGTAAGTTGGCTATCAAGGTTGACCGAAGTCCCCAAACGCATGAGCCGACCTTGTCGTGAGCCTTCTTGGCCGCCGTGGTCATCTTCGACAATGCCTTCGTCGACGACAGTGGTATACAACATGCTCTGACGGCCGGCCATCTCAAGGTCGAGGCCCAGCAACTTGTCCTTGCCCGTGTCGTAACGAAAATCCGCAGAGTTCAGATTTCTCAGTATATAAGCACCTGGAAGGTCGCCTAACAAAGGCGATTGGCATCATATTAGCATCCTGTCAATCCAAGGCTGTTTGACGAAGCGGGAAGCTTACCTCGGTTTCCGTCGATCCCTTGCGCGGCCCTCGCCAGACAGTCGGCGAGGCTCTCAGAGGCTCGCGATGAGATGAGAACAGTGGTTGGCTTGGCATAAAGGAGGAGAGTCTCCACGAGATCAACGCCAGCCATTGCTACATCTTCGAGGAGGTACAGAGCTTCGTCTAGAGCAATATAATAGGCGCAGCCAAGAGTGCACCCACGGGCACCGTTCTCTTTCATATCGATCGCCATGATGATCTCATTGAGGGCGTCTGCGTCCTCTTGTGACAGCAGTTCGTCGGCTTCTCCATGATTATCCTCTGGATGAGGGCTCGAGATGGCAGACGATGCGCGTTGGGAGGATGGACGCAGGGACAGACGCTGTCTCTGGGGGTGCATAGGAAGTTGAGGAGATGACTGGTACGAGCTGGTGACCATTCGAGAGCTGGCACGACTTGAGCCAGCACGACTTGAGCCAGCACGACTTGGGCCAGCACGACTTGGGCCAGCACGACTTGAGCCAGCACGACTTGAGCCAGCACGACTTGGGCCAGCACGACTTGAGCCAGCGCGACTCGAGCCCCTGGACTGTGTTCCATATGAGGATGAAGAACTTGGCTGTGCCCGAGCACCCTGCCTGGCGGTGGGCGTAGAGAAGTTGGGACGTTCTGTTGGCGTGGGGGGCATTGCTGGACTGGAAAAGTGAGCAACCCTTCCGGGGGCAGACTGCGCGGACGAGATCCTCAACGGAGCTCGTGATGGCTGCTGGTTAGACGCCATGTTGGCTCTCTGGCTCGTCTCCAACACTGAAACAATGACTAAACAGACTGGAATGAACGATGATCAACGATAGATCGATTGGACTGGTTTGAACGGGCTCTAGACGCACATCAGTCTCAAAAGGATAGCTTCAAGGTAAATTTGTTCGCGAGTGGAGGTGCTCCTGTGGAAGGAGCTGTCAGGCGGTTGAGGGGCCATCATGTAGATTAGCAATATTAAGCAATGGAAGGAACGATGGGCGATTTGGTAGGCACCTGCACCTGCCCCCTTTCCAATAAGACCCATGAGATTACATAGCGAAAAGAGGACCACTACAACAGCACACGCACACGCACACGCACACGTATATGCATCTGGTTCTCAAGGTTATAGTCTTTGCCAAGGACTGCATTTTTGGAGAGATGGACCAGTCCTCCGGTCGTGGTAACTCTCCCAGGTAAACTGACATGGTCAAGAACACGTATCTGCCATTGTCCAACCAGTCACTAACCAAACACTTGACTTGGGTGCCCTGGAGAGACTCGGCAAACATGACATGATGTGTGGTACTCGTACAGTCCATCGCCCTTGGTATCTCCTGTCTATTGTCCCTTGACCCATTCGGCGAACTCTTTTCGCTGCTTTCGAATATCGACGAATCCTGGCCGACTCTCCAGCAGTCGGAACGGGTTTCCCACGTAGTCCTTCTCAACCTCTCCGCTGCTGTTTGTGAAGCCGGCCTCTCCCTCGCGCTCAATCTGTCCAGCCCATACCCGCCATTGAATGGGTCGCAGCCTCGACGTCCCCGACACAAGCCCCAGACATATCATGAGCGTTGCGAGGACTGTCTCGATGGTGATGTCAATCGGTAGCGACGTAGTAGATCCGGATTGCGTTGTGGGCAAGGAGGACAATGACGCGGCTCGGTGCGATTGAAGAGCCGAGTGTTCGTGCGCGGAGTAGCACCTGCCAACAGAAGTTGTTGTCAGCATGTTCCAAGCTTTTGCAACGCTGTCAGACCCGGTAGCAGGAGTTCTTACGCGTGTGCTAAGAGTAGCAGGCCAAAGCCAGTCGTCGATTTCGAAATCCACGTCATCTCTGTCGGTCGTGTTGGACGTTGGACAGTCGTGAAGGCGAGGATGTACCTCCCGTCGCAGGAGCCGCAACTAGCTTGCTGTGTGAGCAATTCTGATTACTGAATAATCCCACCCCAGAGCAGAAGGGCCCGGTCATGGCAGTTAAACAGAGTTACTGACAACTCGGGGTGCTAAGCACCATGGCCGAAGGATGAGCTATTATTGGCCCAAAGGACGAGAATCCTATTGGATGATGGATCATGATCTGGGAAGCGGCGGAGCGCGAATTACATGTAACACCCCGCCAACAGAAGTGCCAGGCCACCTCAGCCAGCCCTGCTCGGGTGATGGATCCAATGCATGTGCTGAGGCAGTGAGGAGCCGGGCAGTAATAGCCGGCCCACAACAGCTGAGAGCTCTCCCCGCGAAATCTATACATAGAGGGGCATCTGCCTTCTTCGATCCCATCCTCCCAACACTACAAAAGACAACCATCTTCTCATCTGATTTCTAGACCGTTCTTCCAGCACCACTCCTTTCTCTTTGATCACCAGCAAGCAAGCGTTGACCTCTTCTCTGCCTTCCAATACCCATCCGAATCTCTCACAATGCCTCGTGTAAGTTACGATCTCACCCCCCGTTCCCGCGTCTGATCCCTCCTCTTGCCATGACTGCCTGAGCCTTCGCTCACCGACTTTACCACCACAGGTCAAGTACGTCCTCCTCGACTGCGACAACACCCTCGCCTTGTCGGAGCGTCTTGCCTTTGAGGCCTGCACCGACTTGACCAACGAGGTCTTGGAGAAATGGGGCAAGTCCGATCGCTACACCGTCGATCAGCTCCTTGAGGACTTTGTCGGCCACAACTTCCGTGGCATGCTCGTCGGTCTGCAGAAGAAGCACGGCTTCACCATGACCCCCGAGGAGGTCGATGCCTACGTTGACCGTGAGCTCGGTGCCGTCACCGCTAAGCTGAGCGAGAAGTGCACTCCCTGCCCCGGTGCCCCCGAGCAACTCGAGTGGCTCAAGCAGCAAGGCTACCCCATGTCCGTCGTCAGCACCTCTGCCAAGCCCCGTGTTGTTGCCAGCATCAAGAAGATCGGCGTCGACCACTACTTCCCCGACGAGCATGTCTACAGCGCTGCCACCAGCTTGAACCCCCCCTCCAGCAAGCCCGACCCCGCCATCTACAACTACGCCTGCCAACAGCTGGGCGTCAAGAACTCGGAGTGCGTCACTGTCGAGGACAGCAAGAGCGGTGCCACTGCCGCCATGCGTGCCGGCATCCCCCTCATCGGCTACGTTGGTGTCTACGGCATCGAGGAGGGCCAGGAGAAGATGGAGCAGATGGCCAAGATCCTCAAGGAACAGTGCAAGGCCGACGTCATCATGTACGACTGGAAGGAGTTCCCCGAGTGCCTCAAGAAGATTGAGGCCTTGTAAGTCGCCCTGGAAGCGTCGATTCCGTCTTCTGCAGCATAGTCTTTCTTTCACGCAAGGTCATCTCCATCACAGAGGGCAGGGATAATGAGTGATGATTATCAGGACTTACAAAACTTCCCCTTCGGCGAGACTTTAGTTTGGGACTGCTGGATTTGGGAGATATGGCATGGGAAAATAGATCGCATGGCGGAGACTTTCCATGAAGACTGGCAATAGATTCTACCCTAGAGTCAAGATGCATCTCAACCAAACGCGTTGGCTTCCCCACCACAGTTACTTAGCATATGAAATGGATGTCATCTTTCCCCACTCCACATGTGCACCTCTTCCCCTCCGCGGCGGCATGTGATCAGCAATTGCCGCTGTGCGTTATTTTCGTACGCGAGAATATGAAAATAACTCATTATGCCGTGGGGGAAGTTGGCGTTCGGTCCAAGAGGCATTTGGTATGGACTCGTCCATATGGTTGATGTTGCCTCAGTTGTGGATGCTGCCTGGGTCTGCATTCCGCTTTAGGTAGTGTCCACACACTTTTCCAGATCCAGGTCTCTGGGATTCCGATCTGGGTTGGTATCAAGCTTCTCAGTGTCTGGGATTCCACGTACACTTTAGACGGTCAGTTTTGGGATATTGCATACACCTAAGACTTCCTGAGTCAGAACTCTCGGTCCCTAGACTAGTGCTAAATGCAGCTGGTGATACACGCAGACACCATTACCGAAACGGGAATACCAAGTCTAGAGACCCTGCTTGATATGGGTTACATGTAGCTCTCGAGGCCGGTGACAAGGTTGAATTTGGCTGGGAACCCATGGCAACAGTGTAGCGGTGTATGCGAATTGCTGGACCCAGGTTGAAGTAGGCCTCATGTTCAATGTTGTCTTGCACTTCACTTAAGATACGGTAGACGTCCTTTTGCCAAGTGCATGCCCACAACTTCGCGCAATCGGTTCACGATACCGAAACCCCACAGCGGGAAGGAGGTGGGTGCGGCTAACAGTGGACTTTGCAGCTCGAGCGACGGCACGCTAGTACGTCAATAAAGGAGGGGAAGGAAAAGTGAGTCTATCGACCGACGACAAGGTCAACACCTACATTGTAGAATATCAATGACAACCTTCCGAATCGACCCTACGCTTGCTATTTCCGAACTGTATGTGCCGACTGGCTATTGACCACGATCAAGTTTGGGATGTCTGATGCAGTGCTGTGAAGGTCGATGGCTCAACAATGGCCTTTGAGTCCTGACATGGAGTTCCGGAGCTAGTATCAGGGGGCTGAACATGCAAAGAAAGGTAACGTTATGAGAGACACAACAATGGGCATTACCTCAACCAACTACTCATTGTCCGAGGTCGATATCAAAGGGCTGTCGGCGATGACAATGCTGCTGTTCCGCCGTTCAAAGCAGCAGGTGCTCTGTTCTCTCGAGAACAACAGTCGAGTTCTATAACCCAGGAGAGTATGTTCAGGTACGCCTGAGTATATAACCATCTGATCCGTCCGAGTAGGTACCTCAAATATTCTCATCATTCACACTCATCACTCATCACCCACTCATTCATCATCATCACCAACTCATTACAATCCAACAAACCAATACCTCAAATTCAAGCATGATAGCTAACAACAGTTCTTCGGGTCAGAAGGAGGCCTTCACGTCAACCGGCTCGGACCCTGTAGCCAACCTCAACGCTGGCACACCGGAGTTCATCAAGAACCACCGTAGCGATTCTACTCGGTACAGTATCGACGATAGACCTGGCAGCCATCGTCCATCCGGTATCGACGATAGACCTGGCAGCCATCGTCCATCCGGTATCGACCCCTACGACAACAAGAAGAACGAGCTTCCACGGGCCAAAGACGAGCCGAAGGGCCTCCCTGTGCCCGGCCGTCGTAATGCGGTCGCTCACATTCCTCAGCCCGTGAAGGAGCCAGGGAAGAAGTAGAATGTAGATGTAGGTTTGAGTATATACCCGGGCCTCGTAGATTGACCACTCGGGCTTTCGTAGATTGAGCCAGTAGATCTCGTAATGAATAGACTTACTTGAAGCCTGCTGCTTTGAAGCACTTTGTACCAGCTTGTAGATTGAATGTGGAACATACTGAAGACGATGGTCTTCCTCCCGGTGTCCATGAAGTGTGCCGGCCGGCGAAAACAACCAGAGATAGGGGCGCAGACCTACGAGGGCACTGGGTTCGTGGCGGGAGCACTGCATTGGTGGTAAGTGAATGTACTTCCAGTGGCTCATTTAATATTCTCTTTCCCGCTCAACGTTAATGGCGTCCTCGACGTTTTGAACTTATCAAAGATCGCACGAAGAAGCTTTCGAGCGGCTGGGAGTGCTTAGCTTAAGCGATTTCCATCGAATCTTACCTAAGAGTGCAGACATGTGGTTCAGGGGCTGGTCTATTAACCCCTATTGTGTTGAACAAGTACATTGTGAGCTTGACATGGCTTAACCAGCTGCCAGTAGCCTATTGCGACTGACTGCCTCAGCTTCGGAACTCAACCCCTTCATTCATTCGCGTCGTCTTTGGCGAACACGAAGAGACGGTTGAGTTGGCGCGGCGCGCTAGAGGGAGGTGTGAGTTACGCCACCTCATGACAAACCCAATTTTGAGTTCCCGTCTGCTTCTGATACACAATAACCTGAAACGCGACGCGTACCTTATTGCCGTTGTAGCAACAACGAACAACCCGTACCTGTCTTTTCCAAGATCATCATCAAGGAGGGAATCGGGGGTCCGTTCCAATGTGATAGCTTGGAGCACTCGAGGGCCAGCATCTCATGTCATGCGGACACACCATGTTGGAACTATCCCCGTTGGACTGCAAGCTCCACGTCCCACTGGCGAACAAGAGATAGGTATGGTACCTACAGGCAAGTATGTCGGTTGTCCGGATGTTCAACGCTCCAAGAGTCACATAAACAGACGCAACTAGCGTGTATGACAAACAACGACCACTCGCGCGTAAACTGGTGATTCTAGGATATTCCTTCCCCCATACGCATATCCTGTGCAGCTCGACCGTACAGGCACGCCATGCAGGGAAATGGGCCCTTATATCGAGCTTACGCAGCCAGCTCGAGAATTTACAAGCTGGAGACAGACACTGGTCTGGCACTGAAGAGACCTCGACACGACTGGGATTCACGTGGCTCATCTCTGGACGGTGTCTCTGGTGTTGCTTCATGTTTCCTTCCCAACTCCTGCCAGGCGGACTCGGCATTGCTCCAACCTAGTTCTCGCACCTTGAACGGTAAACCGGCGGCTGACGGCCACCAGGAAGATCCTGACCTTGGCCACAATGTGCATCCGCGCCTCTCCAGCAACCGACAAAGCCAGGGTGGAAAGCACAACTGCAAGGCCAGGGTTGGCCTGTTCAGTGACCCCTCGGAAACAGCTCAGCCAACTAAGCCAGGTTGGCCCCCCTTTTCGTGAATGACGACGAACCAGACCTGGAGCGAGATGGGCAGCATGCTTTTCCCAGCCATAACCTACGACCTCGAAAGGTGGCCGCGTCTGCTTTGTCCATCCTTCGTTATAAGAGCCTGAACCCTCGTCACAACTTGGCTGTGGTCTGGTCTGCGCCCAAGCTGCTGTTTATAACGTGCTCCGTGTCTTATAGCCCTTGGTCTCGTTCATACAGGTCTCTTATAAAACCGCTCACGACAGCTTCCACCTCCTACACTCTTTCAGATACCCGACTTCCCTCTCACGAGTTCTCGAAGCCCACAGTCAAGATGCGCTTCACCTCCATCCTCGCCGCCGGCGTGTTCGCCATCGCTGCCAGCGCGCAGTCTGATTCCTCTGCTGCCATAGACTCCAGCACCGAGCCTGTTTCCTCCGCCGCCACAGACTCCAGTACCGAACTGGTGTCCTCCGCTGCCACAGACTCCAGTACCGAGCTGGCGTCCTCCACTGCCGTAGACTCCAGTACCGAGCTGGTGTCGTCCCCCGCCACCGTCGTGGTCTCCTCGACCACAACTTCCAGCGCGGCCGCCGCGACGACCGATGTCACCACGTTGTGCCTGAATGCCTGTAAGTGCTTCCCAACGGGGGTGAAAACCATGCCATACCATAGAACACAGATCGGAAATCTAACCCGGTCATCCCATAGGCAACCCCGTCGACACCACCTGCCGCGCGGCCTGCGTCGCGGCGTCGGACTCGGTTAATACGTGCGTCGCGAATTGCCCCAAGGGCAACGGCACCGCCATCGACAACCAGAACTACACCGACTGCTACAATGGCTGCATCTCACAGTATGGCTCCGCTTCGACGGGCACGCCCAACGGGGCCACCACCGCTAGCGCTGCTGCTCCCGGCAGCGGCGTCACCCACTCCGTGTCCGAGTCCGCGTCCGCGTCCGTCATACAGGTCGAGTCGACGGTCACGTCTGACGGCTCTACCTTTGTCACTCACATTCCCAGTACCGTGGCCGGCAGCAAGGAGACCAAATCGTCCTCCCAGTCTGCTGCCTCGTCGACCATGTCGGATGGCGCAGTTGGCGGTGCTATGATGCTCTCACCCTTCGATACCGGTGGTGGTCTTCTTGGTTTGTTGGCTGTTTTCCTTGCCTTGTAAATGTCTTCTCACTGATACCACATTATACCGCTTGGGATAGAGGGAGGATTTTGTTGTTGGTCCTAATTGGAATGGGAAGGCGTTATCAAGGGAAACTGTTTGGTCGCATGGGGTATTCTACACCGAGTCATAGAGTTCGCTGAATAGGAGTGAGATTGGAGCTGTCTATTAGATCATATCCTAGTTTGACCAGGCATGCCCTCCAAGTGTGAATACAGTGTGTCGGTAAAACATCAAGAGCTGTCAGTCTTTAGTTTTTGCTCGCCGGGGCTGCGGTCTTTGGGGCTGGCAGTGTCTCCGGGACGTCACTTATCCATGGTAAGCCAAGCTTCTTCATCTCGACTGCCAGCTGGAAGAGATAGTCGAGACTTTCCGAGTTTGAATCTCATCAGCACACCCGATTTCAAGGGCGGAACGGGGATAACTCACCTCTCACACATGGTCTTCGCCTTGTGCACATTGTCGCCCCAGACATACACACCATGTCTGCGAACCAGCACGGCATACGTATCCGGATACTTATCCATAGCCTCCTCCAGGAACTCGGTCAGGTCCTCCTCATGGGCCGTGTTCTCGATGACGGGTATACGCAGGGTGTCATGGTAGCCCAGGTTCCCCTGCATCTGGAAGCCCCGGCCGAAGCCCTTGATCTGCTCGATGTTGTTGATCTCGAACAGCCGGTCATTTTTGGGGGTTTGTGTCTCGAGCAGCAGCGTCACCAGCACGGCCCACTGCGAGTGCGTGTGGATGCAGCAGCCGGCGCCGCGGCGCGTGAAGGCCGCCAGGAACAGCGGCGTGCACTGCGAGGGCTTGAGGCTCGGCGGCGACCGCAGGTACGTCCGGTTTTTGAGGTCGGCCTGCGCGGCGAGCGAAAGCACGTAGATGTCCGAGTGCTGCATCAGCTCCTTCTGCACGCCTGAGGGCGCGATGTACACGAGGTCACTGGAAAATGGAAGTGTGAGATATTGGCTCTCATCTTCCATCCTGTCCCTTTTCACACATCCCGGTACAAACAGTAATGAGATCTCTTACCCGTCGCGGATCGAACATCCTCCCCCTGTTCCCGTGACCCAGCCCAGGGTCCAGAACTTGGCGCATAGCGAAGGAATCAGATTTGCTGGGTGGGCATGGCTGTCCGAGGTGACGAGGTGGTCGTTGTTGCCCCTTTCAGCCGCCTTCTCGGGCTCTTGTTGGCCGGCCATTGGCTGCAAGTCACTGACAATGCTGACAACTGACAGATACTTTGGTAGGATCAGGCCGAGAAACAGATAGCTGAGCTCTACCAAGTCTAGGCAGCTGGCCTCTTCCTGCTCGAGGCTCTGATCAATGTTTTCGTGATGGGGCTAAAGTCGAGTTGCTATCTGGCATGAACGCTGATTGATCATTTAGGAAAGCCTGCGAGAGTTTTTCCAGCTTCTCCACTCGTCCACTTTGGGCAGTTGACCACCACAACCACGTTGTTGTCCAATTCAAAGGAGCTCTTGCTACCCCCTCAGCTATGGCACCATCAGTGAATAGGTAGCATTCACCACCTCTCACACCTTATAAGCACGTGCTCATGGTACGTCCTTCGGTCTTGTATTGCAAGGCGGAAGGAAGCATTCATGTACCACCAAGCTGTGCAGTCTATGGGCGGTGCTCTATCAATGGCAAATAGGAACTCAGCGCAATGATAGTAGATGCATGTACCTCCAGCGTGATCATTTATGCTCCAAACCTTCATTCAGCTCCTCAATGGATGTTGACAGATCATCATGTACCACGTAACGGCCGCATTGTTCCTAAATAGAGCATCATGAAGCCAAGGCCGAGGCGCAGTTAGCATAAATCCTAAGGGTCCTCGGCCGCTTCACGCTGTCCTAACATCGCCCGAGACGGTTTCGGAGAGCACCAAGCCTGCACTGAACTTTGACCTTCCGACTGGACAACGTGTAAGTGAATTGGTGTTTGCTTGATTGCTACACAAGAGACATCCCGCTGATAAAAACATCAAGTGCACGGCATCAGACATCTAGGTTCGTAACTTGCTCGATTGGCGTTTAGTGGCGGTGTGACCTGACCCAGCCTCAAGCCTCCATCTCCCCTGACGAAGCGCCTAGAAGACAGGCAGAAGTCCACTGAAAGGTAGAGCTCCGAACATATCCCGCGCCGGTGATTGGCCACTGAGTGCTCCCGACGACCCACCTCCCTGCCCCCGCACCAAGGAACCAGCTCACGGACCACGGTGAACCCTTTATTCGAGCTTGCAGCCAATCAGCGCCCACAGAGACTCAGCCGGCAAGAAGCTCGAGCTAGATCTGGCTTCGGAGAGGACCTGGCAAGCCTGCGCGCCTCACTTCCCCCCCAAAAAAGAGGCCACGTTTGCTTGACATCGCTCTGCCGTCTCGCAGATAAATCTCGTCTCCATTTCATCCTCAACATCCCGACATTGTCTCTACACCCCAAGCCCTCCGGAATTTTCTTTCCTTCCTCGTCGCTCTGGGAGCAATCATTCTTTGCCATTATACTGACAGGCTGTCTCTATCTCGTAGCGATCTAACTACCCTTGTGACAAGCTGCACAGCTCGTCACTCCTCCAGCTCGACTACCGCCGTCACTTCTACCACCTTGTATCCTCGTCCTTGCGCAGCCTTTCACCATGAAGCTCAACTCGGCCATCGCTGCCGCCCTTCTGGCTGGTGGCGCCTACGCCGTCGAGGTTGTTGCCGACGATGCTACCAAAGCTTCGTCCGCTGTTGCCGCTGAACTGCCCACCTTCACTGTGAGTATCTGCAATCCCCAGCCCCTCCCTGTACCTCCGTGGCTGTCTTCCGTTGCACGAACAATTCGTATCGAGGACGGACAACATGCGGCCGTGTATACCTCGCTGACTGCCGTTGTCAACAGCCCACCACCCTGAAGGCTCCTTTCCTGGAGCAGTTCACCGATGACTGGGAGGCACGATGGAAGCCCTCTCATGCCAAGAAGGATATGAAGGGCGCCACTAACGAGGAAGAGGAGTGGGCATACGTTGGCGAGTGGTCCGTAGAGGAGCCGTACCAATTCAAGGGTATGGAGGGTGATAAGGGTCTTGTTGTCAAGAACCCCGCCGCCCACCACGCCATCTCGGCCAAGTTCCCCAAGAAGATTGATAACAAGGGCAAGACCCTTGTTGTCCAATACGAAGTCAAGCTCCAGAGTAAGTTCTGCAGGCCTTGCGCTGGGATATCAACATTGCTAACGGTCGCTTTCACAGAGGGTCTTGAGTGTGGTGGTGCCTACCTGAAGCTTCTCCGTGACACCAAGGCTCTTCACCAGGAGGAGTTTGCCAACTCGTCTCCCTATGTTATCATGTTCGGACCTGACAAGTGCGGCCACACCAACAAGGTCCACTTTATCTTCAACCACAAGAACCCCAAGACCGGCGAGTACGAGGAGAAGCACCTGTCTGCTCCTCCCTCGGCCAGCATTACGAAGACCACCGAGCTCTACACCTTGATCGTCCAGCCCAACAACACATTCACCATCCAGAAGGGTGGCGAGAACGTCCGTGAGGGCAGCCTCCTCGAGGAGTTCACCCCATCGGTCAACCCTGAGAAGGAGATTGACGACGCCAAGGACACCAAGCCTGAGGACTGGGTTGATGAGGCCCGTATTGCCGACCCTGAGGCCACGAAGCCCGAGGACTGGGATGAGGATGCGCCATACGAGATCGTTGACGAGGAGGCCACCATGCCCGAGGACTGGCTCGAGAGCGAGCCCCTCACTGTTCCGGACCCCGAGGCTCAGAAGCCCGAGGACTGGGATGACGAGGAGGACGGTGACTGGATCCCACCCACTGTTCCTAACCCCAAGTGTGCCGATGCCTCTGGATGTGGCCCCTGGACCAAGCCCATGACCAAGAACCCCGCGTACAAGGGCAAGTGGACTGCGCCGTACATTGACAACCCGGCCTACAAGGGCGTCTGGGCTCCTCGCAAGATCAAGAACCCCGACTACTTTGAGGACAAGACCCCCGCCAACTTTGAGCCCATGGGTGCCGTGAGTCTTCCCAATCCTTGCTAATATGATGTGCGTATCACTGACAATCACCTAGATTGGTTTCGAGCTTTGGACCATGCAAAATGATATCCTGTTCGACAACATCTACATTGGTCACTCTGTTGAGGACGCCAAGAAGCTTGCCGACGAGACTTTCTTCAAGAAGATCCCCGTCGAGAAGCAGGTCGAGGAGGCTGAGAAGCCTAAGAAGGAGGACAAGCCCAAGTCTCCCTCCGACTTGAAGTTCTTTGATGACCCTGTGTTCTACGTCAAGGAGAAGCTTGACCTGTTCATGACCATTGCCGCCAACGACCCCATCGAGGCTATGAAGTTCGTTCCCGAGGTCCCGACTGCCATTGGTGGTCTCCTGGTTACCATTGTGGCTCTTATCGGTCTCTTCACCATGGGAGGCAGCGCCCCAGAGTCTGTCAAGAAGGCTGCTGTCGATGCCAAGGAGAAGGCCAAGGATGGCAAGGACAAGGCTGCCGAGGCTGTCGCCACGGGAGCTGAGAACGTCAAGGCTGAGCTTAACAAGCGCACCACACGAAGCCAGTCGTAAGATGATAACCCCAAAAGCAGAAAGGGAGGAGTGGATGCACGAAAACGACAGTTGGTCAGGGCTTGGCAATGTACAGTTGATGCCCATAATGCCATGCGACTAATTATAAGGGTTCCTGTTGTCTTGGCTGCGACTTTCCGGTTACTTTTGCATGGCGCGTAGGTGTATTCTAGTTAGGCAAGGCAGACCAATAAACCAGTCAATTCCACATAAGGCCAACCCAAATCAATGCAGGTCATCCGTTGTGAACATGTTTTGAACAAGGATGTATCCGAGGTGGTGAGGCTCCTTGTGGCTTGTGCCTGATTCCCTACATAGCCTGCATGGTCGATGTCTATGGTCTTGTGGTCTGGCAATCACACATCTACATTGTTTGAGCTCATCTTTCCTCCTATGGCATTCCGTTCGCCCATGAAGCTATCACTGCTCATCTGTGTACTTGTTTTTGATGCAATGACCACACCGGAATACTGCAGTCGAAGCCTTCATGGCTCCAGAGGTAGTACATTCATGCTGCCTCTTCGACTAACTGTCTATATCATGGAAGTAACCTGATGGCTACCACGCATCGCAAATTAGCCCCTTTTTTCTTTCTGCCCGACTTGGCCGCCTCACCGCGCTTCGCTGCCTCCTTGGAGGTCATGCAGGGCTTTCTTGGCCTTGCGCCTCTCTTTACTCGTTTCCCTCTTAACTTTTTCAAAGTTTGATTCTTCATTGTGTACGCAGGTTAAACGACTCTCAAGGTTATCCCGTAATCGAGCCAACTCCTGACGCTCGGAAACCTGATCACCTAGAGCTCGATGCATGTGAGCTTCGGAACCCCGGCGACCTCGTTGGCTTTTACTGAGACGGCCTCTCAAGTACTCCACTTGCTCTTCTAAGGCCTGTTGCTGGATCATAAGTGCATCGATTTGAGGTTGTCCGGCCGTGTCGACTTGTTGGACCAAGCTATCGTTTTGTTGGCGGAGACGCTCGGTTCGGAGACGAAGCTCCCGAATCTCTTCGGCTCTTTCCCCATCAACGTGGTGGAACTCGCTGTTGTAAGAGGTGTCTTTCGCGTCGAAGTCCGTCTCCTTTCCAGTATTCGTTGTATACTGAATTGTGGCGAATCAAGAGCTGCAGTCGCCAGAACATGAAAAGTAGCAACAAGAGCCCGACGCAGGTAGTGGAACGTACTAAGGTTCGATCGAATACCCATGGCAGCGAAACTGGCAGCGAAACGGACAGCCATTGGTGTAGGGATCGTCGCGATACCAACTCTCAAGGCGACGCCTATGGAATGCGTGCGTGCAGTTGGCAGTCGGGTTCTCGGGACGGTCGAGGTCCCATCTTGAGGCAATTATCTCCGTCGAGATGATGAAGGAAGGGCTGTGGAGCTTCGTTGCGTCAGTGATGGCGATGAGACGAGGGCACGAGATGGACTTACTGGTATGTGACTGAGTGACGAGAAATAAGCGACTGGTTGAAGGTACAAGTCGATAATGTTGTGATGTTGGATGACAAACTGGATAGGTGGGAGATCGATTTGCAAAAACGAGCCAGAAAGGTGCCTAGCCAGGTGTTCCTGAGGCACTTACTTATAGGTACCTATTTCGAGAGGCTGGCCGCTACACTGAACCACCATAAGTCTCCGTACGCGCGTGTTAACAAGATTCTAGACTACTAGTAGGTACGAAACATTAAAATATTAGAATAAGCATACAGGAATAAGCAGCTTTAGTTTAATATTCTACTTTCAATGCTTATTCCAGTGTGCTTATTACAATTTTATAAATTTCCCGTTGTTTATTAAGAGGGGCGGTACGCAGACTTATGAGGGTTTAGTGTACCTATCTAGGTGGCCGTCTTGGGCCTCAGCGCCGACAGCCTGTTCTTGTCACAGTTCGACCGCTGGTGACTCCAGAATATGACTTTGTACGTGAAGAAGAAAGAAAACGATGAAGCTAGCTAGGAGACAAGATCTGGTATTTAACGTTATAGGGGTTGAACCCTGTAGGACTGTATAGTGCCGTGACAGTTCTCGGAAGGGGGGCGTCTCCCTGCCTACCGTGAAGAGCCTCGCACAACGACAGATTGGTTGGGAGAAACAGTGAGGAACGCGCATGGAAAGAACCTCAGATGGTTCCACCGGTCAAACAGTGCGTAAGATAGTCCATATGTATGATATTCGTGTCTTCGGTCATAGTACGTGATGTGTGTGTATCTGGAACGATCTGTTGTGGGCTAGGTGGCCCTATTGGCCTTGTTCAGTGCATTGCCCCCATCACCTATTGGAACTTGCTGTCGCAGAGGGTCTCTTTCGCGTCGAAGTTCGTCTCTTTTCTGTTGAAGTTGATCTTGTTCCCGTGCAACTTGTAGCCTAGATTTGATGAGTTTCACCACAACGTCCGATCTCCCGAAGAGCTCGGTGTTGGTGTGGTCGTGCTTGTCCATCGTACCCGTCCGACTCTCAAGCTCTCTCCTGAGACGAGCTGACTTGTTTCTTGCAACGACGAGCTCTCCGTTGGTGTGGAGGACCGCTCTGTTCAGGTTTGCTATCCGAAGCCTCGAATCCGTGTCCTCTTCCGGACTCAGTTCCTCTAGCTGCCACTTCTGCTCGGCTCCGTGCTTCTGGCAATCGTCAAGGCATCGCTCAAGGCCATCGATCTTCGCCTGCGCAGCACTCAATTCAGATCGTAAACGCTGCGGTTCTGCGTTGTCGCTTCCAAGATCATCGTTATTCCCGCTCTGCTCTTAGTTGATCACGCTCTGTTTCCAATCGAGTCTGTCTTTTTCGCAGTGGGTGAGTATCTTCTCGTAGTTGGTCCAGCTCTTCTCGTAGTTGGTCCAGCTCTTCTCGTAGTTGGTCCCGCTCTCTTTGCAGTTGGTCCCGCTCTCTTTGCAGTTGGTCCCGTTCTCCTTGCGGTTGAGACTGGGTGTTTTGCGATTGCTGGACTTCGGCTTTGTGCCTTTCACAATCTTGAATGCGTGTCTCTAGACCAGAGATTTTTTTTTTTTTTTGGCGACTTGGAGCTCGCCTCGTCGAGATTCCTCTTCGGAGTCATCACTGATCACGATCGTGTCTCGACCTTGCTGGTTGGTGCCTGCCCGGCTTGTTGGTTATGCAACGAGGGAGACTAGCTCGCCACCGGTGGCATGACTGGGGGATGTTCACACTGAAGATCGCCCAAACACGATCAGGAGGTCTATCTGCTTGATTGCGACATCTTTCTAGTCCACTCGTGACGGAAATCTTCACGCGCGCTCTGGGGTTGTGTACTCCAGTTGGGGCTTGCTCGAAGGAAATCTAAAATTTGTTAGTTTGTGCTGTTCCTCCTGACTGTTGGTGTACACTATGGCTTACCTGTGATTGACTGGCTGGGGGCACTGCAAATTTGACTCGGTCGGTGACGAAGTCAAGCTCAGAAGAAGCTGACATGGTCCAGAATCGTCGCTGATGAAATGTGAGCTCGCCATGGCTGCGGTACCTGCGGGCCGAATGGATGTCGACATACACTCGTGACAATCGTCAGGCCTGGGAAAAAGAAAGCCGCATCGGACTGACAGCACGGTTGAAAACTCAGGCCGCAACACAAGCTACGAGAAAAGTATGGTCAGGCACATAATTGGGCCGAGGGAGGGTAGAGGTACTGACATTGGTGGGAGAGGGCTGAACTCTTTGATCCCTCCATGGGTGTTATCTTCTCGGCGGCATGGTGCTGTAACATGCGTTAGCTACAAAAATGAGACAAGTGTAGAATGGGTTCGCAGACGAAGTGATGTAGTGGTAGCAACAATGGTGGTTCAACCATAACAAGGCTGGCAATAAAGGCTGGACGATGATATGCCTGGGGATGTGTAAGTATCCATGCCGCAGCATGCATTCTGTGCCCTACTCTCCTTACAATCGCGAGACTAGCCAGAGGGACGAACAACCATCACGTGGAAAGGAGTAGTACAAGGAACGGAGAGATGATTCAGTTGTTCTTATATCTCAAAGTATGTGTGACGGTTCTCATCAACCACCATGTGGCAGCAACAACATCAACAACATCAACAACATACAGGTACAACGCAACCGATGCGCCGAGCCTCACTTTGACCCAACACCACTTCAACGCCGCCAGCCAGCCCCTAACACCTGCCTCTCTGCTTCCAGAATGTGTTACACCCCATCTCGCACTGGGTATCATCGTCATCACCAATCGGCCGTCGCTCATATACACACGTAGAAACATACATACAGCCCCAAACCAGACGTGCAACCACCGCGGTTCACGCGGGGAGACGTGGTCATCTGACACATCTCTCGAGCACACACACACAACGCAAACCTCACGAACTCTTCGGCTTCCTCGCAAACCCATTAAGCACCCTCCAGCCCGCACCACATCGGCGGCCCTCCTCGACGACATCGTGCACGCCCTCGAGGCACTTGCCCGCCTCGCGCATGTCCGCGGGCTCGAACATGTTCAGCGAGCGGTCTTCGCACGCCACCTTCTCCATCTCGCAGCGCAGCAGCCAGCGCTCCCAGCTCCAGCCACCCGCGAGCCCGGTCACGCTGGCTGCGGCCGCAGTACTGCCCTGGACCATAGCCTCGAGCTCCAGGGATCGCTCGACGCCAGCGCTGTCGCGCGAGACGTTTCGCTTCTCCTCATTGCCGCCCATGGGCAGGCACATCCAGGCGCGGCGCACGCCTTCGAAGCCCGCCCTACCGAGGCGACCCAGGAACAACCGCGTGGGGTTGGGGTCGTAGCCGAGTGTCTTCAGGGCGAAGCCGAACTCGACCGACTTGGCCAGGCCCAGGGGCCCGGCATTGACGACATCAGAGTCGAGCAGCGAGAACTCGAGGTACCCACCGGGTTTGAGCACGCGCATCACCTCGCTTAAGCAACCCTCCCACTCATCTTCGCCATTCTCACCGATGAACTTGAGCACCGAGTGCAGCTCACGCGCCGACACAAGGTCGAAGTGCGCGTCCGGAAACGGCAGTCGCGTGAGCCAATCCACGGCCACCTGGCGGTGGTTGGGAGGGCCGCGCACGTTCGAGTTGGATAGCTGCCGGATCGCCTTGGTCGTCACCGTGTAGACCTTGGTATTGGGGTACATGATGGCGCAGTGCCAAGCCCAGTCGCAGGCGGCCTGTCCCCCGAGGTCGAGGATACGTGCCCGGTCATTGGCGCCACCGATGCGTGAAAGACGAGCGAGGCGCTTGGCGATGGGAGCCGAGAACAGTCGGCCACCATTCAGCGCTTTGGTTGCGCTCACATGCCAGTTGGCCATTGACATCTGGTTCAGGGCCTCATGCTCTTTCTCACGCTTCAGCTTCTCTGGGTCGTCCACTAGAACGTCGTCGCCGCGCACGACATTGGCGCTCATGCGCTTCCTGGCTGACTGCGGCACCACGGAGAGCTGGTGCTTGCCGAGGAGCTGGTTGCGGTGGGCCTCTCGCAGAGAGATGCGCTGAGCCTGGAGGGCTTCGAAGCGCGGAAGGCGGTGGACGAACGTGTCTTGAGTGCGGGAGCGAATGATGTAATCCTGAAAGGCGCGATAGTAGGCCGACTCTTGACGCATGAGCTTGGATGGCAAGCTTCGCGGAATGTCTTTCCTGATGGCAATTTCAGAGAAGCGCACGGTTTTCTTCTTCTGCGGTGTAGACAAGTCTTCAGGCTCCTTTGCCTTTGGATCTTCCTCAATATGGATCTCCACAGTCTCTGCTTCGGACTCTGGCTCGGACTGAACATCGTCCTGAAGCTCGATAGGCGCAAGGTAAGCCTTCTGAGCCATTAGCCACAACTCTGTCCGGTCGAGGTTGGACAGGGCTGCTTCTTGTTGCTTCTTGGTGTATCCCGGGTCGTGGTCAGTCACGATTTCGGTCGCAACAATACCCTCGGTTGGAGATGTGGGCTCGCCCTGGATAGCAGGGGAGGTTGGAGCATCATTCCGTTCAATGCGTATTGCTGTTGGGGGGCCTTCTGGCAGACCGGGTCTAGCTTCAACAACCTGCTCGAGGATGACTGGTCTGGCGGTTGGGATACCATCTGACATTGTGCCTCTTATCTCAACCACCTGTTCGACTGGAGCTTGCGGGCTCGAGATGTTGAGAAAATGCGTGGGACGAGGTGGTGGAGGAGGCAAGTTGGGCAAAGAGGGCACAGGAGGAGCAGCCTCGTTCCACGGGCAGCGGTAGAATTGCTCAGCAGTAGTCGAGGTAGGCGGCGCAACATCTTCAGGGGTCATCGAAGGCAAGTGCCAAGTGTGCCGTGTACGAGGGGTTAATCCAGAGAAGAAACCCCCTGGCGAGGGAATATCGAGTCTTGTCAGCCCATGAAGAGACTGCTGGTGTGGTTCGGTCGCGAGTCTTAATGCTGGTCGTGAAGTAGACGAGAACAAACGTGGTGTCTGTTGGGACATCTCCGGCAGTCTTCCGCCTTGGTACTCAATCACCTGCTCGGGCTGGTAGTCCTCCTCGATGTCCTCACCTCTTGATAGAGCTTGCAAAGTTGCTAGCGCTGCAGGCTGCAGTTGCACGCCAGACCAGCCAGTGCCGTGAGCATGGTCATCTGCTCCGATGACTGGTGTCGGCGGTGCAGACATGGCAGCCAACTGCTCAGAACTCAGACTTCCATCAAGAGAAGGTGGTGCCGACATGGTCGGGACTTCATGGTACTGTTGCGACTGCAAGAAAGAGATCACCGCTGGCGACATCTCGACTTTGGCGGGAGGTGTGGGTGGCACTGGCGACATGAGTTTCTTGAAATCGGGTCTCCCTGACCAGGCCTCAGCGTTCTGATCTCGCTGGCCTGGGATGACCAGAGGCGGGAGAGCACGGTGGGAGGCCGGCGATTCAACTGCCAGTCGCTTTGGCATGGTAACACCAGAACTGCTCCGACGCCTCAACGACGATGTCCTTGTCGGCTTGCGTCGAGTATCCTCTTCGCCGGAGACGTCATATATATCGTCGAACTCTGTGACATCAGTACTAACACTGGTCCGGTTCCACGGGTTGGAAGTAGCAGTGGACGGCGAGTTACTCTCATCGATAGAGGCGGTCGAGGGAGACTCTGGTAGTATAGGGGCCGATAAGAAATGGAACCCTCGCGGAGTGGGAAAGTGATCACTGCGTGGTGAAAGCCACTGTGCTATTTTCTCGTTGGGTGGACAAGCTTGGATTCTGCGATTGCCTGGCGCAGTCCGGTTGCGTTGCGAGTCCTCCGGCTCTTCTTCCATTATTGTATTAAGTGACCTCCCCGGCCTTCGACCCAGCGAAGGGGACGGGGGTTGGTACGTGCTGGAGGGTAAAAGGACTAGTTCGGGCATCTTCCATATATCGATATGCAGTAAGAATTCCAAGAATAATAGACGATGATCAGATGATACAACGTCAGCAACGAAAAGAAGGACGTCCAGCGTCGTTGGAAGCAAGGAATAAGGGAAGAACGCTCAAATTGACTGGAATGCCTCGATCAACGATGCGAAATATTGAATGAAACGACCTCAAGGAAGCTTGAAGAGGAGAGGACCAGAGGAATGCAGCCTACCAAGTGGTCGGGAAGGAGTAGTTTTAGTCTTCGCGCTCTGGCGACGTCAAGCGCCTAAGACGTGGGGAAGACATCTCACGACGAGGAAGGCAAGCGCTTCTGTCAAGTCTTCGTCCGGGTGGCAGCACTTAACGTGCATTGCCTTGCATTTCGACTGCAGGTCTGGCCAGAGGCACACTTGCACAAGCCAGTTTGGGCACGAAGGCGTGATGGCGGTGCCGGATGAAGGATGGTCGACTCGTCAGGCTCACATCCAGAGGTGGTATCGGTCGGACGACTGAACCAAACGCCCAATCAGGGCCGACAGGAAGCCAGCTCAGGGTGGTTTAATTTTAGAAATGCCGGTCGACATAGCCAATCGTCATACTGGCGCCGCAGCATGGAGGAGGGCAAAATGTGGTGATTGGAGGAAGCGTGCAGATTTCCAGGCCAATGGATGAGGGCCGCGCCGAGATGGGCGCTTAGCCGCCCAACGTCGACTGTGATGGCGCTTGATTGGACCAGCAACGCTCACGATGAGATGAGCCAGGCGAGATGCCCACAATGCACGACACAGAACGCTTCCATGAAAGTGCTTGCAGAGAGTAACAACGTCATTGTCGTGAGCCCGCCTAGTGGTAGGGACACAATCGACAGCGGCTCGCCGTGCCGTTCGCGTTTCCTGGTTTAGATAATTCCCCGAACTATCGATTGCATCGAATGCATTGGTCCAACATTGAAAGAGCGCCACCTCACGATTGTGCAACCTATGGCCCATGGTGGCCTAGAGAGGCGATCCCTCGAGTTGGTGTTCTAGCATGTCCTCGAGGTGAGATGCTAAAGATACTCTCTCGTCTTGTCAGCCAAGGCATCGAGAATGGGATCGAGACGTACACTCAGCCCTCCTAAGTCTCCGTACGCGCATGTTGGCAAGATCCCAGCAAACCAGTAGCATAGTTGGAAATATTGGAATAAGCACCCTGGAAAAAGCGTTAAGGATGGCTAATAAAGATCGAACTGCTTATTTCGGTATGCTTTTGCCGATTTAATAAATTTACCGTAGTTTGCTAGAAGGGTCGTGTACGGAGACTTATGAAGGTTCAGTGTAGCGAGTCACCAATAGCTGTTAGTTCCGACACTGGTCAGTAGAGGATGTTGTCGGCTACGCGCACCCGTTCAGAATTCCAGAAGTCCACGACAAATGCATGTTCGATGCAACGGCAAGCGAGAAGACTGATGAGCTGCAGTTGGCGATGTTCGTTGGTTGCTGCGAGTTGTGGCGGCAGATCAATGTGGCTGAACGCAAATGTGGCTGCGAGCATGGAGCTTCTTCAATTGGACGGTCCCACCTTCCCTTGGAGGGGCTGGGTGAGCGCATGAACGAACTGCTCATTGCTTTGCTACCCCACCATCTCGAACACCCCGCCATCCTCGACGCCAGTTACATGTATCCAGCCCGCACAGCAACAGCAGTATAAACGAGCCTATCGATCGTCAAGCGACCCTCTGCGCGTATCAACGAAACATCACGCCTTTTCTCGTCTGCAATAGTACGAGCGATGGCCGATACCGAACAGCCAGAAGTTCCCAGCGAGCCCCAGGGCCGGCATGTGCTCTATTGCGGCGGTAAGTCGCCCCTTGTGCAGAACAGGCCGCTGAGACTTTATCACCGACAATATGATAGTTCTAACGTTGTTGTATAGTCTGTACGCTACCCCCGGAGGTATGTGTCCATCTGCTCAATCGAGGATGAAACACGGATCCATCGCAACATGGGAATCTGAAGACTGACGGCTCGTGCGGATAGTACTGCGAGTATGGTGGTACCGTTAAGAAGTGCCAGGACTGGCTGCAAAAGGAGCATCCAGTTGTTTACGGGAAGATATGGTCTCCCGGTACGGACGTTCTTTCCGGACCCAGTGGGGTTGTCGAGTCGACAGACCACTGACAATCTGTCACAGAAGCATTAGAAGCTGCTACGGCGTCGTTATCCGTGGACGCCCAGAAGCGGGCTGCGAAAGACGCGCAGAAGAAAGCTGCCCAGGCGGAGAAGGCAGAGCAGAAACAGGCCGACAAGATCGCCAACAGTGTTATCACAATCAAGCGCGTCGAGCGGAATAAGAGGAAATACGTCACGGCCGTGTCTGGACTGGAGGCCTTTGGGTTGGAGCTGAAGAAGGTCGCCAAGGAGTTCGGCAAGAAGTTCGCCACTGGTTCTTCGGTGACCAAGGTACCCAGTGGAGGGGAGGAGATCGTGGTCCAGGGTGATGTGAGCGACGAGATCGAGGAGTATCTGTTGGAGAAATACAAGGACATCATTCCGGAGGACAACATCGAGCTGGTAGAGGACAAGAAGAAGAAAGCAAGTGCCGGTTGAGCAAGCAGAATCTCGTCAGAGAACGAGGATGTATAAACAAGGACGGTCCTTAAGGATATAAGACAACTGTTCTGACCAAAAGCCAACACCGCCCAATGCTGGCCTGATCTGACCTAACCTGGCACCCTGGGACCAACCCAAAACGCCATACAAAACTCCCCAACCTCATTTCCAGATACAGGGAGTGCATCTATGCTCTCTTTGAACGCAGTGTTCTTCCCGTGGTCGCCGGTGCGGCAGCCTGTTTCGCAACAGGAGCCTTTTTTGTAGTGGCTGACTTGATGGTGCTCATCATCGTTCGTTTCGTCGCGGGAGCCGTCTTTGCTGCTCTCGAGGCAGTCGTCTTCTTCACCACGGTGGCCGTACTGACCTCGCTGGATTCGCTCGTCGCGCTGAGCTTTCGTCTTCCTCGAGTAGCAGCTGCCGATGGTGGGCGCATTGCAGCTTTACGTGTTCGCGTGCTAGCAGTGGGTGCTGGTGCAGCGCTGGAACTCGTTGTCGAAGTAGTCGTGTTCCTCGTAACCGCCGGTGGTCGCGTTGCCCTTGCTCTTTCGACCATGCTTGAGAGAAGGTTCGATGAAGCTTTCTTCGGCAATCCCTTGACCGGTGATGCAGGTCGGCCAATCATAGACTTCGTAGGGGATGCCGGGCGCTCCCTAGGCAGTACTCGGGTATTCGAGGAAGTCGGTGACAAGATTTGTGATGGAGCTATCGGCACGGTCTCTTTGGCCGGCGCGCCACGAAGTCGCTTCTTGGGAATGTCGACGTGCTCGCCCTGGTTCTCCTTGTCGTCGCTGGCCATCTCGTTGCTACGGATTGTCAGTTCAGTCGCGCACATGCATAATTCTCACGGCGTACCTCAACCGCTTGTGTCCGCGTGTGGTACTGCTGGTCGGCACTGGCTTCCGTGCGGTCGGCTTGGGTGACGTGCCGTCCTTTGCTGGTACTGGGGGAGGTCTGGCTACATACGGAGACTTGGGTTTGGCTGCTCGAGATTGTTGAGGTTTGAGAGTTTTGGCGAGGAGGTCGCCCATTTTCGCTTTTCGCAAGGCAGTTGGGATTCTGTTAACACGCATCTCCACTCGCGATCGAAGCTGTTGTGCTTGGATATGGTACTGAGCTCTGAGCCGTCGCGCGCGTTCGGTAACTGCAATATTGTTAGCCGTCGCGACCTTGGACAGTCCTGTTCAGGCTTTGCCACGTACTCTCGAGCTGCAGGTTGTCAATCAGAGCTTGCTTCTGCGTAATCGAGATGCCCATGTTGCGCTTCTTGATGGGGCTTCTCTGGGGAGAAGTAGTTGGCGACTGGTCGGACTTTCGCTTTCGAGGTCGTACAGGAGCCATGTTGAAGGACAGTGGTATATAGTGCAGTTGTATGTTCCAGGTTGCAGATATGACGCGTCGTTGGATGAATTACTCGCAGTGTGCAGGTTGTGCTAGACAATAGTCGCGATGCGTGATGCGTGATGTCTTTGAGGTCTGTGTTTACTTAAAGCTTTCTACTTCTGGCGTCAATCCAAACATGGGTGCTTCAGGTGCTGCGCGGGTGGTGAGGCACATGGTCCGAGCTCCCCACTAGCGTCGTAGCTACCTGGCACACGTATCTGGGGAGCTCTGACCTCAAGGCTGCACTTGCCTTACGTTTCCAAGCTTGACCAGTTACACATCGATCTAACCTCGCTTCATTCATTTCACCTGAGCATCCACTGGACGCCGTCGCACCTATCAATGCAGCATAGGACCCTCTATCAAGCTTGTATCGAGACGCCTCCTCTAACCAGTTCTCAACTTCCATTGCAAGCTGACGGACCGAAACGCACTCTTCCCCAAGATACCGCCTCGACCTCTCCTCATCTCACCGTTCGCCCCGAATCTCCGTTGACAAACCCGCATCCAATCCGCCAAGATGCCGCTGCAGGCTGTTATGCTGGTCGTCGACAACTCGGAGAGCAGTCGAAATGGAGACTACACACCCTCTCGCTTCGACGCCCAGGCCGATGCCATAAATATCCTATTCGACAGTGTCACGCAAGGGAACCCGGAATCATCAGTTGGCCTGATGAGCATGGGTGGCAAGGGACCTGAGGTCCTTTCGACACTGACCACAGAACGAGGCAAGCTGCTCGAGGGCATGCACCGGACGAAGAAGAAGATATCTGGCTCGTCCAACCTGGCAACGGGCATCCAGATCGCCAGTGTATGTCGCTGCTCTCCTCACGCTTGGAAGCGGGAAGGTACAAAGGCTAACCATATGATCCCCTACAGCTCGCCCTCAAGCACCGACAGAACAAGTCGCAACGACAGCGCATCGTCGTCTTCGTTTGCTCACCCGTGGCCGACGATGAGAAGAAGCTCGTAACTCTCGCCAAGAAGATGAAGAAGGGCAACATCGATATCGACTTCATTCTGTTCGGCGACCTAGACGATGACGATGTGCAAAAGAAGCTGGAGGCATTCAACAACGTGGTCAAGGGTAACGAGAGCTCCCACCTCGTTGTCGTGCCCCCGAGCGGCAAGCTGCTGAGTGATCAGCTCCTTTCTACGCCCATCCTAGGCGGGGAGGGCGCTGCCGGCGGTGCTGGTGGTAGTGGCGGCGCCGAGGGCGGTGGTGACTTCGGTGGTTTCGACTTCGACCCCAGTGCCGATCCCGAGCTGGCGCTTGCTCTGCGTATGAGTATGGAAGAGGAGAATGCGAGACAGGCCAAGCAGACCAAGTCGGACGGCGCAGGCGAGGGCAAAACGGAACTGGAGGACATCAAGGAGGAGGGTGAGAACCAGCCATTGTTGAACGAGCAGGGTGAGGCGAGCGGAAGTGGATCTGGGGGCAGCAAGGATAAGAAAGACGACAGCGACAAGATGGACACATCATAGACTCGCTCCGTCTGACCCTCTGGCTGTGTGTATTCCGGAAACTGGAGTTGGGCTTGTACACTATTAGACCAAAGAACTACTGGCGGTGGACGTTAGGGTAGTAATCATGCTTGCGTCAAGCAAGATAGTGTTCTCTATTCAGTATAGAGCACCGGGAATTCCAAACGAAAGCCTTGAAACTCCCAAACTCCATGCAATGCAGCGGATCTGCGACCATTCGTCTGATTCCATCTCCAAGCCCTTGACATCATCTAGCCCTTAGCATCATCTCTCACCGAGAGTTGTTAATCTCCCGTATGTACGAGTTGAGCTTCCGGTCAAATGTCTCGCAGCGTACCGGCATCTCCAGCTGGTAGAAAGGGTTCTTCATGACGTAGTCGGAATACAGATCATAAACCTTGCGCATGGCCACGTCGACGTTCGCCTGCATCGTGTCGGTGAAGAGCAGGAACTTGATCCCCGTCAGAGTGTTGAAGCACTGCAGGCGGAAGTTCTCCGACTCCATGACCTCGAGGCCCGAGGGCGGCTCGGGCCGGCTCAGTATCGTCTCTCCTGTGCTTGACAGCGTGTGCTGCTGGTATTGTTGACCCTTGAATGGGTTCAGCCGGGCTGTGATGGCGTGGACTCTGGAATGATATCAGCCATATATTCTTTTCTGGGTTATCCGATAGGACACCGGAGCTTACCCGTGAAATGTGCCAGCAAGGACGAGGTAGTCATTGGTGTTCAGCTGATTCAGGCCTTCTCCAAAGGTCCGGTTGTAGATGAGACCACCAGCCTTGTTGATCACGATGAGAGCCAAGACGCCCCTATCAAATGATTAGCTGGGGCTCATGTGCGTTGTGATGTAAGGAGGAATAGTTACATCTTCAATTACCGGAAGACCGCCAAAGAATATAAGGCAACAAAGAAGGTGCCTCTCAAGTCTGATGAAGATTCATTGCTTGGTCTCTATTTCGTTGATGTTCCGTTGCTGTCACTGCTTCTCATACACCCACTAATGATGAAGGAGGTAGGTATTCAACTCACGGGGCAGTACCTATTGCACACAATAGCCGGACAGCCGGAGTTTCTCCATCTCAGATCGTTATATCGGGACTGCTCCAAAATAGACCGGGGTGTGGCGCTAACAGTGAATCCTTTAACGTTCAAGGTACCTAGGTACCTCCCTGCCTGCCAGACGCGCTGCGCTGCCTTAACGCAGCCGCATTAAGGGTGCAGTCGACCTTTGATTTTTCCATCTCAACAAAGCATCGCCTGCCAGCGACTGCACAACCACGACCACAACGACCGTCTTGCAATCCTCAACCTAGCTATACCTCTCGGCAAGCAGTCTGCGCAGTCAATGCACTGCCAATAGCTACATTGTCGTCGCCGCGTACTTTGCGCCTTCCGCCTACGGCTCGATCGATCGATCGATCCGAGATTAGAAACTCCAACTCTCCGTCTCCAGTCTCTCTCACCCTGCTTACCGATTGCTCGCCCTCCGATTACAACTACGCCCTCCGTCTTGCGCATCGCGCCAGCCTGCCAGCACGATGTCGCACTTCCCGCAGACCTCGCGGTCAAAAGCGCCGCCCGCGGGCAACGAAGAAGCCTCCTCCACCATCAGCCTCGGCGAGTTCCAGGACGTCGACACGCTGACGCTGTCCGAGGCTGCGCTCGTTATCAACGCGCTGGTGGCGAAGAGGCGGATCGATCACAAGAACATCAACGAGACTGAGTACGCCGCGTCCACGCCCTCATAGTGCAGGATCATGGGGGACTTTTCGTCGCATCCCTGCCTGCAGTTTCTTGCCCAAGTTTCTCCCTCTCTCTCTGTTCACGGGATGAAACACTCTTCATAGTTACTGTGGTGAAGTCTGGCTGATCTTTGTGTGCGCGTTTCCCGCGAGCAGGATGTTGACGAAGACCGTCGATTACTTGGACGCATTCTCTCGCTTCAAGAAGAAGGAGAACGTCGAGGCTGTCGAGCGGCTGCTAAGCGCACACAAGGAGTTCCACAAGTTTGAGCGGGCGCAGCTGGGTATGTGCTCCATTCTCCTATCCCTGACCTCCGTTCTTGACCAACCACTGCTCCTTCCTATCCTACCTGTTCTTTAGTAGGAAGTGAGAGGAAAAGAGTTGCGCTGACCCCCTACAGGATCCCTCTGTTGCGAGACTGCCGAGGAGGCCAAGACGCTCATCCCGTCCCTCACCGACAAAATCAGCGATGAGGATCTGCAGGAGCTGCTCGACGAGATGTACAAGCTCATGCCTCGCTAGCAACCGCCGCATGACGCGGGGAAAACGCGCCAGGAACGGGGTGGAGTGGAAATAGTCCTGGTTGGGGCATACGCCAAGCAGGTATGAGCGCTCAGGCCTCTCAGAGCGATATGCGCAGACACGAGCTTCGCCTGATAGCGATACAACAGGAGGAGCCCACCCAAAACTCGCTTGAGTAGCGATACGCGAAAGAGTCACCAGCGGGAAGGGCTGCGGAAGCAGTTTTCGCTTTTGCAGAACCAGCGATGATGATGAAAAGTGGATTTTCAGGCGTTGGAATTGCATAAACCAAGGGTCCAGAATGGTACTTATTGCATGGATGGCGCAGGTTTGGCTCAGGGCAGGGCAGGCAGGCTGGAAGAAGACAGAAAAGGCCTTTCAGTTTTCCGGTATAATTTCGTCTTCTTCCTGCTTTCTTCTCTTCTCGTTATACACTTTTTGCCTGGTGTTTGAATACCCCCTATAAACTGATGGAAAGCAAGAATGGCAAAAAGCAGATACGAAACAGTTGCAATTGAGTTCCTACGACGCGAGAGATGTATTCACCCCCCTCACCCCCTATCTGCCCTAGAGGTCAAGTATCTCGCCCCTTGACTCCTGTCATGGGAAAGGTGCGCTGCTACTGCATGCGCATCTACAAAGGTGTATCAGAAACTCAAGAACTCCAGCCATTTCCGTACGTGCAATGCCTTGCTTCTGCGGTCGTGACAACCTCGGGGTATATGCCCGCTCGTCGCTGAGCTCTTCGCCCCTGTGCGCTCCCCGCATTTGACCACCACAGCATAATAACACACCGAACACCATGAAAGCCCTGTGCCGAATACGAACACCACAAATATCCTTGTGCTGAACACCACAAAGTCCCCGATCCCGTGTCCTTCCCGTGCTTCCGGACCATGTCTCTTAATAATCCACTCAGCGGTTGTTGTCGTTGTCGAACTGTAACCAGTGCATGGCGTGCTGGTTGCCGCGCTCGGAAGTGGTCGCACTGAGGTTCGAGCTACCGGAGATGTCTCGCTGGTACTGGGCGCGGCCGAGCTCATGCTGCAGAGACAGCTGAGCGTCGTGGTGGTGACCGGGTCGCAGCACGCGAGGGTGGTTCATGGGCCTGAGAGGAGACGGAGGCTTGTACTGGCCTGCGGGGAACAGAGAGGTCGACTGGCTCGGGGGAGTCAGGGGAGTCACGGGTGTCGGCTGGACACTGTCTCTGGTCTTGGAACCCGGCTTCTTTGTGCTGCTGCCACGGCTGGCGCTGCGCTGGGTGTCTTTGGAATCGAGCTCCGCGTATAACTGCTTCTCGGGACTGGTCTTGCGAGGGCTTGCGGCTCGACCTGGAAGAGTGGTCAGACAAGTGGCGGGCAGAAGACGAGATGGTTTCCAGCGGCATAAGCAGTGATGGGTATGGGTATGGTTTTCAGCAAACTTCGCTCTGGGATAATCACTGGACTTGGTGATTACGCAGACTATCATGGCAACCACATGCATGGACGGGCGCAAGTGAGTTTCGAGGGAAACGTGAAACTTGGGAGACTTACCTCCAAATGGGCCAAAGACGTCGTTCTCGCCGTTGTCAGTTCCTCTGCTGGACTGGGTCTGATCCATCAACGACTTCTCATCGAAGGGGGTAGAACCGCGGATCGACGCCTGGCGCATCTTGATACGCTGGCGTCGGATCAGGAGGAAGAGGACGACGAGCACGAAAATCCCCGCGATGGTGGCACCAATGCTCAGACCTGCAACTTTGGTTTTGTTGTAGGAGGATGGGCCGTCATCCTCGGCGTTCTGGGCTTCGCTGGTTGGAGCTGGTCCCAGAACGGTGTGGGTGGTAGCAGTCGGGAGGCCTGCCGCGTCAGTGGTGCTCATGATGCTGGTGATCAGGGTAGTGGTCTCGGCACTGGTGGTTGAGGTATCCGTGGTTGAGGCATCCGTGCTCATCGGGGATGCCACAGCCGTAGAGGTCTTGATAGAGGTCGGGGGCTCGGTTGTGGTGGTTCCCATCGTGGTCGAATCTGAGTCGTCTGCTGTAACGCTCGAGGAAGAGGTCGGAGCAACGATATCGTCGACACAAGGAACGGGTCCCAGCTCGTCACACGGATCCTGTGTACAGCAGCCGTCAAAGCCGTTGGTCTGGCATTTGTAGTAGACCTTGCCCGCTGGACATGTGCCTGGCACACCGGCCCTAGGCTGCTTGAGTGATCTAGCGCGGGACATGGTGGGCTTCGCGGGGCTTGCGTGCTCAGGTGTGAGGGTGCACTAGGTACGAAAGGGGATCAGAGGTGTGTGCGTTCGTTAGAGTGCAGACTTTTCCCCTTTGCAGAAAGTTGCAAGGGAGAGAGAAACTGAGCTGTCGAAGGTGGGTGTAGTGGTTGCCGGAGAGAGGCCAGGTCAGATAGGTGCGGAAATGGTGGCCGGGTTGCTGGCTACTGAGGTAGGGTGAAGAACGAGTGAATGAATGTGCAACTTGAAGGAAACGTGTAGGGTTCTAGGAATTCGAGGTTACCAACGTTCAAATTGATTCACAGTAGAGCACCTGGAATGGAAAATGTTGCCGCTCATTGAACCATTTTGCAGCAGAAGTGTAGCTGGCAGGAGGGAAGAAGAGTGCCGCAGAGGTGGATGATTGAAGAGGAAGTGACGCAGAGGTACCACCAGCTTGTGCACTGCAGGCGACCTCAGCAAATCTGAGGCACTTGGACCTCTCACACCAGAGTCACGGGAATTGGAGATGGAAGCAGGAATTCGAATTACCTACCTGGCAGCTGCTGTACAAGAAAGTTCAGATGAAGATATAACCTGGCATCAGGAAAGGGCGGTAGGTGCTCTCAGGTCCATTGTTTGCCCGCTGGAACATTGACACATAGGCCCATGCTTGTTGCAGTTCGCAAACAATGCTTTAGTAAGACCTATTCGTCATTAGACAATTACATGGAAATGCCCAGCACCGCTTGTTTTCGATTCTACAATGCCAAGGGCTGTGGTGTGGTACTGTTACCGTTCACATGATGCTGCTGAGCCCCTATTGTCAGGGCCTCCCGATCCACCACTATTCCACCCGCAACGCGGACCACGAACATGCAGTGTTCTGGCGCACAAACCCATCGCGGGCCTAGTCACGAGCTCTGTTTTGTATTTGTAATCACTGGTAGATCTGGGGGTTAACCCAGTCTGTGTCTTGCATGCCGGAGAGCCGCATATCTGCGCCACACCAGCCAGGGCTACACTGAATGCACCACTCGCAGCGGTGGCGTGGTCTTTGTACGGCAATACCGCTGTTCTGTTCTACAATATGGAGATGGCAGTTGTGTACCGCGGCTGAGCATATATGTAGGTGATACGGGACATAAAGCGACTGGCGGTAGACACGTCACCACCAAAAGCACTACTACTGCCGGCTACAATCAACAAGAAACCGAGACATAGGTTGCAAATATAACACAGATATCCTCAATTGATACGAGTCTATACACCTGAACACCGCTTAGATAGGTATCATCACTTCGTGAGCTTCCCCAATAACAGTTTCGAGCCCATATTTCCGACGGGCCTCTCCCTTTTTGGGCCCGCTTTCTTGGCCTTCTTCGCTGGTTTCTCCTCTTCCCCGTTCGTCTCAATAACCTCTCGCGCAGCCTTCTGCTCAGGCGGTTCCTCTGTCGCAGCCTTTTCCAGCATTTTCTTGTTCTTCTTCAGCGTTTTCCTCAGTTCGTCTCCGTGCGAGAAGTCATCTGCCTCGAGGAGATTGACCACCACAAAAGAACTGGGACCCGTTGCCCATGTCATGATGTGTTCCTTGATGACGGGATATAGTATATCTGCAAAGTGGAGTGGAGGGTCGACCGGTATGACCTTGCGCGTTGCCTTGTCAAATCGGCCCCCGGATATCAGCGTCTTGAACATGCGGCCACCATGGGTAGCCTTGGAGATGTGAATCGGTGGAGGGATACTCTCCGTGGCCTCGTTGGTCTCCATCGGCTCGCCTCCCTCGTCGGGATCACCTGCAGCAGTGGATGCAATAGCTTCTAACGCTGCGAATTTGTCCCCAACACCAGCCAACAGGGCCTCGGTGACCAATTGGGACCCGAACGAAGTTGAGATCAAGTCTAACGGTGATGAGGCGATAGCGGCTAGTAGAGACGGTGACAGTGCTGCAATAAGCTCTTTCCGGCGGATCTCAGGATCTTTCTTGCTCGTAGTCTTGCGTATTTCCCAGATTTCTTCGAGAAGTTTCAGGTCGTCGGCGTGGCTGGCATCAAACAGTGCTTTGGACGGACCCTCGAGGAGGTACCGTATCGTTAAGCGCGCGTTTGGGTCATTTGCAAGGGCGACAATATTGGAAAGCTCGGTTTGCTCAGACTTGCCGAGCAACTCAAGGATGATAGACTTTGAAGTCAAAACGGTGTCGTCGATGGTGTCATAAGCTGCGAGTATGACCTGATGACCATTCGGATCTGCCGACATGAGCTGGAACGTATCTTTGTACGTCTTCAGGATCTGTTTGCGGTCCTTGGCCGTGCCGTAGGCAAGCATCAAGCTCACGAGGCGAGCCCCTGACTTAGTGAAGGCCATGTTCTTCAACAGATCGCCGCTTTCGTCCTCCTTGATCATCTCGATGTACTCCTTCGCCTCCTCGGAGCCTGGCTTCGCATTGATGTAGTACTGGTACATGGCATCGTGCAGCATCGTAAAACCAGTCAACTTCTTCTGAATCAGCTGGTTGGTCGCGTCGAGCAAATACTTCATAATCGTGCCACGTTTGCTAGGTTGTTCCTCTATGATCGTTGAGAGGTCGCCCGAGAGAGTGGGATCCCCTGTCTGTCGGAAGATCGAGAACTCGGGCCCGTACCACTCCCTGAGCAGAATGGCCTTCTGCTCCTTGGTCGCAACGCCTCGGTAGACATCGTCGAGAATCCACGATGCCTCGGGATGGTTGATGAACTTCCGAACCTTTCCATAGAACTCTGGGACAATCAAGTCTCGGATTTCCTTGTCACCTTCGACGAGAAGCTTGCCGATCAGGAACTTGGCGTACTTGCTCTCGGCCAACACGGGGTAGGTTCCCTTCAGTTCGTTTGCGATCATCTTCCGGCGCTCGGTGTTGGAGTACTTGATGGCAGTCTGTACAATACGGACAGCATCGTGCTTAAGCGCAAACTCTCTCATACGCCCGGTAGCAATTTCGAAGAGCTCCTCGACGAGCTTCTGTCTTTCCTCCTTGGGAACATGAGACTTCCGGCGCAGCCTCTCCCATAGCTTCTTCGCTCTGTGTAGTTCGTCGGCCAAGGGTTTGTTCGCTTTTCGCTCTTGAGCAAGCTGCTTCTGTTTGAGGTGGGATTCTCGGGAGTTTTGGCCTATACATCGGTCAGCGAGGTTGGGGGAAGCATGGATGCCAGATGCGAACTGACCTCTCTCGAAGACTTTGCCTTGGTCGTCGGTTGGCTTGGAGCGAACAGGTACGCCGTCATTCTTCTGTGACTTCTTGCCGCTCAGTGATGCACCACCATCGTCTTGATCTGACAAGTCGGCGAAATCGCTGCCGTCGCTGGTCTCTTCTGAGCTCTGCGGTTTGACTGGAGGTCGCTTCTCGTATTTCGGCTTCTTGCTAGTGTGGTCTTTGCTGCCGTTGGCAAGCTTCCTCTTGCTTCCGACTTCGCTCTTGGGCGCCATGGTGGATTGCTGTGGTTTCAGTAAAGTCCAGCAAGAATTCGCAAATGTTGAATTGGCTGGCTGGTCTACAGTGTCAGCCCGTACTGAGATTTCCCCCAAGAGGCGGCAGAATTAAAAATTATAGCATGTAATTTTAGGCGGTGAGCGCAGTCTTAAGCCACTTTTGGCGACCCAATCCCACCATAGAAAGCTGGCGGCGGCATAACTTTATCGACTATCTTATCGAGCAATTGGTCGCGCAACCTTCAATTCGTCAATCTGCAGCGACATTCTCACTTACCTGTCGACTTCCAGCAAGATGGGCAAAGAGGAGCAGGTCGAGGAACGCGAAGTTCTCGATTCCATCTTCCCAGACGAAATCACAGGTAAGCTTTACATGTACCATTGGTACCCTATTCTCCACCAGCTCATCCGCTCTCTACCCCGCCATACCACTCACTGCCGCTTCGCGACTGACACACGTATGCCCCCCGAAGACATATCCGAGACCGAGTACCGCATCACGATAAAACTCAACCTGCCCGAAGTCGAAGATGTCGACGCCGACTCGCCCGAGAACGACGAGGTGGCCATGATCCTGCACGTGAAGTACCCAGAGGCGTACCCGGACGAGGCGCCCGCGCTCGACCTCTCGCCGGCGAACAGCGGGGCGTCGCACCCGCGCTTCTCGGTCGCGGCCGACAAGGAGTATCTGCTCCGGCACCTGGATGACACGATCCAGGAGAACCTGGGCATGGCGATGGTGTTCGCGCTCGTGACGGAGCTGACCGAGGCGGCGGAGCAGCTGGTGGCCGAGCGGCGCGCCGAGACGCAGCGCGCGCACGAGGAGGTCCTGCGCGCCGCCGAGCGTGAGGAGAACAAGAAGTTCCACGGCACGCCCGTCACGCCCGAGACGTTCCTGCAGTGGCGCGAGGGCTTCCTGAAGGAGATGGAGGAGCTGCGCGCCAGGGAGGAGGAGGAGCGCCTGGCCGAGCTGAAGAAGGCGAGGGTCAAGGAGCCCGTCAAGCTCACCGGCAGACAGCTCTGGGAGCGCGGGCTGGTGGGCAAGATTGATGAGGGCGAGGACGATGAGCCCTTGGCCGACCAGGTGGATAAGCTCAAGCTTGAGGCGTAGTCTGAACGCATAGAGACGTTTTGAGAGGACCATAAAGGAAACTAGCATTGCACGGAGTTATGGGAGCATTGGAAAAAGGTCATGCATGTCTGTTCCGACATAGGGGATGCTTCCAGACAGCTGTCTATCAATCATCAACGAAGAATTCATACCCCTGCCTTTTTGAGAACCCAAACGCCATGTCATGCCAAAACTGATGCTCCAGGTCTTCGTGGTATCTTCCGTCGCCCCCCACCCCCCCTTTATCATGAGGGCAGCCGATCACTCCTGCATCTCCTCATCGCTGTCGTCCTCCCATCCCTCGTCGTCGTCGTCGTCGTCATCATCAGCTCCAGCTGGTGCCTCGCCGAGCTCCTTGGCAATAGCAGCGAGCAGTTCCTTCGCATGCTCTCCTAACCGGTCGTCTTCGTACTCTTGTATTGCGTACAAATGGAGACATTGATTTAGCCACACGCGACTCGAGATCCACGACGCCTTCCACTCCTCCTCGTTCGCCTTCTTCGCTTTCTGCTTCTCGCCCATCACGTACAGACCCCAGCCGCCAAGATACCAGGTCTCGACGCTCTGGTCGTCCTCGCCGACGAGCCGCTCCAACACCTCGATGGCCTCCTGCTCCATGTCAACCTCCATCAGCAGACGGGCCAGGGCGACGCGACTGGGAAAGTCGGGCACAGACGGATCCTCGGGCGGCAGGTCTTTCCACAGGTCCAGACTCCTCGTGAGCGCCGCCTGCGCGTCCTCGGTCCGCGACTGCGAGATGCGCACGTTGGCCAGCGTCTGCCACGTCTCGGCAAAGTCGGGCGCCACCAGCGTCGCCTCGGTCGTGAGGGCCTCGCACCGCGCCTCGGCGTCCTCCTCCCACGACAGATCCGTCATGTACACCTCGGCGACGGAGCACAGCGTCATGGCGAGCTTCTTCTTGAGGTCCTCGAGCGCCGCCGTCGCCTCCCTCTCGTCGTTGCCGCCACTTATTTTCCGCCGCTTATTCGAGCTGCTGTCCTCGAGTGTCTGGATCTGCAGCTTCAGCGCCGCCGCGCCCTTCTCGAACCACGTCACGCTGTCGCGACCGCCCTCCTCGCTCAGCTGCGCCAGACACAGGAACTTCTCCGGCCCGCCGCCTATGCTCTCGTCCTTGGCGCCATCCTCGTCGAGCGCGGCCGCGCGCACGAAATACGCCCGCGCCGTCTCCAACGCGCCCATTTCGAGGCTGATCTGCCCCGCCAGGTTCAGCGCCGACAGCGCATCGTCGGATCCTGCTGCCGATTGTTCGAGGGCTTTCTCTGCCAGTGTCGCGGCATCCTGGATGTTGCCTTCTTGTAACTGGTACTCGGCCGCCTTGACGAGGATTTGGGGCGAGCTGGGTTTCGAGTCGCCGCCGCTGTCCTCAGATCGGGTGCCGGCGGCTTTCGCCCGCTTTTTCGACTTCTTGTCGGGTCGTCGCGGTGCCATGTTCGATGGTGAAAGCAGGCTGCCGTTTCTTCTGTGACTTGAGAAAAATCAAACAGAGGATACGAGGTCGAGTTTGTAATTGTCTTGTACCCAGACGGTGGCGGTGGTCGCAGAGCTGCAGTGATCGATCGCAGAAAAATTATTATCGATAACGACGTAGCCCGAGTTGGCGTCCCACCAGTCTTGGTGGGCTGTGTGAAGTGTGGGGCTTCCGCTCGGTGCTCATCGCGGGGCATTCAGTGTCCTGTGGGTGCCTCTCACTTCTTACAGTACGCGGCTTCATGTTATGAGAAGAGATCCCAAGTCGCAAACTCACGGTGTTACGTGAAGAGCCACACAAAGGTCAAAGTCCGTTATTTTCCAACTTCCAAAAGCGTGCCTTGGAAAACGAACATAATTGGCACATTGCCTTGGGTCTTTAGTACCTTCCCAGGTGGGAACAAAAGACCTGCATGGGCAGCTCCGACTACTGGAGGACTCGGCTGCACATGTGATTATGGTCTCAACCCATGCCTGAACCCATGTCTGAAGTCATGTTTGAACTATGGGATGCGTATGCCATGCTCATTCCTCTTGAGGTATCTCCTCCCCGAAACTAGGTATATCATCATTATCCCTTATATGTCAGCATTGCCATTATAGCCGTGCCGATGGGCCGCCCGAAACACCCCTGAGGTGTGCCTTTCTGGTCGCCTGAACCGTTCATCTATGAGCTCGTAGAGCACCGTAGTGAGCGACGTAATGAAAATGTCTAACCAGGGTCAAGCGATCGCTCTGACATCATGATGCCCCAACCTCCAAATGAACCATACGCCAAGAAACCATGCATTCATCAATGTTGCTCCCGAGAAGAATCATTGCATCTCCTCTCCCTCTAGTATTACGGCGGACTTTGGCCGCTCCATGGGGCTCAATTCGGCTCCTCCACCACTCTGCGCTCTCTTCCGGCCGGGAATGAAGCGTGACATTCCCTGAGCTGGGTTGCTGAGTTCCTGCGAGTCGGAGAATTTGGCGAAGAAACCCCTCTTCTTGGGCTGTTGCTGGTTTTGCTTTTGCTCGTCATTCAATCCGACATCTTCGAACCCTTCCTCTTCGGTTGGCGGTTCCCTGTCGAACGAGCGATCTCTAACGGATGTTCTTGGGATTCGGGGGAAACGCGCAGAGTCGAGACTTTGACGAGGGATGTCGTGGACCAGGACTGGGGATCTGGCTGAGATGTCCTGGAGAAAGGCTCAGTCAGCAGGGACGCAGCGGCAGTGCTGAAGGCCAATGCGACTTACGAATGATCGACGGTACGAGTCGAATGACTCTCGCGAGATGGAGAAGTGTTCAATGTCGCCAATACTGCTGCGCGTGTCCGTCGAAGTGCGGGACACGGCAGCAGGCTGTCTTGGCCACAGGCCTTTCTCTTCGATTGGCGAAGGCTGCAGTTTGACTGGTAAGTAGGAAGAACAGAACAGAACAGCACAGATCAGAGTGCATTGGATGTATACGGCATACCGGAAGATAGACTCCGCTGTCATTGACCACTTTGTGTTCAATAATGGTTAGCCCATGGGTTCTTGGTATTGCGTCGACTCGGCGCAAACCCACCACTCATCTTGTAGTCGCCGTTGTCCTGGCTCCTGCCGCTGCGGATGCTCCACGCCGACGACGCCCGTGACCCGACGGTGTCAACTCTCTCGAAGCCGGCAGAGGCATCCTTGGGGCTCAAGAGTCCGGGTCGGATGTTTTCGTCGTTGACCTCGAGGGCGCCGGGGCGCTTGGCAAAGGGATTGCGAATCGGCATGGTCGGATGCGTTGAAAGTGATGGAGCGGTCTAAGGATTGTTGATTTGCGGGTTGTCTATGTAAACGCAACAACAAGCAAAGTCAAAGTCACAGGTCGTATTGTTGGTATTGTTGATGTTGTTGTATAGGACAACTTGGAAGTTAGTCGGTCGCAGATAGAAGGTGAAGGTTGGAGGGACCATCCGTGGGGTTAAGTCTTGGTTAAGCGTCCAAGGATAGGGCGCCCCGGGGTGGCAGTGGTGTGGGCAGTGGTGGGCAGTGGTGGCATGGGATTGGGCTGGATGGGGATTTGGATTTCTCGAATGGGCAGGGAATAAGTGGGAACCGTCAGCACGAGTCCGAGTCCAGCGATCCACTGTGAGTTTAACTCCTTGCGCCGTCGCCATTGCTAAACCTCGGATGGTCCGGGCGACAACGCATCTGGCAGATCAAATGCCCACTTCGGCACCATTTTTTTCCCTTTCATCGAATGATCGACCTCGGACCTGCATTGTGACCGCTGAGTTGGATCTCCGATTGTGCAAAATGCCGAGGATCCGGCCCTCAGCACAATCACTTGGCACAATCACTTGTCACAATGTTCGAGGTGTCCCCCAGATTCGTTGAGGTCATTGACAGGTCACCACCTGCACCGGCAGACAGGTCACACACAGTCCCGGCGCCAACCTGCTGAACTACCGTAGCGTACTCGAACCGAGGTTTCAAAAAGTCTGACGTGCAAACACCCGCCGTTGCTCGTCGTCCCGGATAAAGCGTCGGGCAGTCCCTTGGTTCTACAGTACCTAGGGGGATATTCTCGGTCCGCCACCGCACTTCGAAATAGAACGCCTGTTGGTTTTTGGCTGGAAGGATTCACACCGTCAGTCATGGAGTCATGGTGACTCGGTGAGGTCAATTGTGAATGGCTGGAAAGAGCTCGTCAGGTACCAGCGATTGGCCCTTGCACCCTTAAATACCTAGTAAGCGAAAGCGAACCTGTAATACAACACGTGCTGACATGGTGACTTACCTGCGCTCCTTTTATGACTCCTGGCCCTCGAAAAGGCAAATGCTCTTGATCGATTTCGTCAAATGCCATCATTCCCAGATCAATACTCATCGGCTATTGCTACGTAGCCCCTTTAGCATACGACTTCATTTGGAGATGATCTGCGAGCTCCCGGTCATCTGAGTCGTGAGCGCATTTGTAGTTGGATCGACTCCCCGCAACCGGAGTGCCAAGATACAAACGGTTTCGAGGTAAGTACATCTCAATGGCGTTCCTGAGGGGCGCCTCGAGTTTGTGCATAGTGAACGCGGGTTTCCATTCGACAAACGACCCAACTCATATCACTCTTCGCGGTAAGGAATCTTGTGGTCAGAATTATGCTTGGCTGAATATTACCCGCCTTTTATCAAGAAACGCTGGTCCTTGTCCTTAGTTGAAGACAACGGTCTTGTGCTGGTTCAGGAACACCCTCTTCTCGCTCCACCACTTGACCGCCGCCGCCAACACCTGACTCTCAACGTTGCTGCCCTCCTCGACCAACTCCTTTGCGCTCATGGCGTGGTCGACACGCGCAACCCTCTGCTCAATAATAGGGCCCTCGTCCAGGTCCGCCGTCACAAAGTGCGCCGTCGCACCGATGATCTTGACGCCGCGGTCGAATGCCTGATGGTACGGCTTGGCCCCCTTGAACGACGGCAGGAAGCTGTGGTGGATGTTGATGATCTTTCCGCTCATCGCCTCGCACAGGCCGGGGCTCAGGACTTGCATGTAGCGTGCCAGCACCACGAGCTCGATGTTGTTATGCTTGATGAGGTCCAGTATCTGCCGCTCCTGCTCCAGCTTCGTGTCCTTTGTCACTGGCAGGTGGTGGAACTCGATGCCGTAGCTCTCGGCCAGGGTCTTGAATTCCGGATGGTTGGACACGATGATGGGGATCTCGATGCCGAGTTGATTCGTCTTGGTCCTGAACAGGAGGTCGTTCAGGCAGTGACCGATCTTTGACACCATGATCAAAACCCTTGGTTTTCGACTCGCCGGTCTTAATTCGTATTGATCCATCTCCAATTCTGCCGAAAGCTTCTTCAGGGGCTCATCGAGCTTTTCGACCGAATCTGCCTGGCCGAAGTGTACCCTCATGAAAAATTTCTGCGAATTCTTGTCCGAGAACTGTCGAAGGTCGAGGATGTTGAAGCCATGATCGGCTAGTAATCCAGTCACGGCGTGGACAATGCCAGGCTTGTCCGGGCATGAAAGCGTGAGGATATGGTCATCATTGGCAGGCATCTTGTCGGTTTCTCGTATGCAGACAGGTGATATCAACTCTACTTTTTGCAGCCTAGGTGTGACTACTGTTTCTTCATCATTGACACATCGACATCTGAAAGTTTTCTACTTCGGCTGTAAATCGGCTTCGGGATTAGCGCATACACATAGTGCACTTAGAGGGGCCAAGCATGCAAGCAAGACCCGGCTATTCTCATTAGCAATGTCTTTGTCTTGGGGAGCTGTCCTTCTCCGCATCACGAAACTATGGGAAGGTTCGTGAGATTATCGTCGATGGATACGCTGAAAACAGCACCAAGGCGGTGCTGCAACCTCGACTGAGCTCTCTTCGTCTCTTTGCTCTATTTTTTAGGATATTGCTGTCTCTTGGAGATGCACTGAGCGTCGGTTTGCGTTCATCCGAGAACATCTACAGCATCTCTTGCCCACCGGGCATCTTGTGAGCGGCCCACCGGCGTCGTCACCAACCGCGCGGGCGCGCCGTGGGAGAGCACGACTGTTGATCAGGTGAGATATTGCAGCTTGACGCTTATGTTATCGCCGTCAAGAAGGGGCTGAGGAGGTCACGTAGTAGGGAAGATCTCATGGCCGTGCTTGATCTTTGGAGCGGCGACGAGGACGAACAAAAGCTGGCGACGTATAAGCAGAAGACTGTTATGAGCCGCGGTACGAAGGGACTGGCTGCCGTCAACGTAGCCCATTCGGTTTTCAAAGACCCTCTCTCTGAGACAGGCAAGAGAAAGTTAAGCAAGAGAAAACCGGTAGAGAAGCTGAGCGGCCCCGGGAGAGTGAATAGGAGGAAAGTAGCTTCGAGGTGGACGATAAGGAGTATATCGAAGAAACTACGTCGAGAGAGTATTTATAAGCAGAGCTCTCAAGAGAACAGCGATGCTTCATAGACAAGCCCCTCCACCCACAGGCCCTCTCCCAAAGGCGCGCTCAAGAGGGCGCTCCGGCTTATTAATTGCGATACTCCTTGTGTTGTGCTTCTTCGCCTGTGTGACGGTGTACCGTAGGCTTAGGTATCGTTGAAGGAAGCGGACAGTCACGGCTACCTCTTGGGGCGGGATGTTGTCAAGGCGGTTTTTTGTGACTTCCCTTGTGATCATCGCTACCCTTCTCGCAGATTCGCAGCTTGTCACCTCCGCCACTTGTCACCTCCGCACCGCCGGTCGTCGGCTTGGCGCTCGTTCTCTCAACGGTAAGAGGGCGATGCCGCCAACATCTTTGAAAGCTGCTGACAAACTGCAAAAGTCGGATCCCTTTGTCCTGTGACCTTCGTCCTTACAACACCCATAAGCGCGGACACTTCATCAGCCTTGCAGCGTGGTTTGTCTACACGGCCGTGACCGTAAATATTGGCATGTATTCGCGGAAAACTGACGAGATGACCGTCAACGTCTGGAGTGAGTGCTGACTCGCGGAAGTTTATAACGGCATGCGAGAGCCGAGAGGGTGCGTCATGATGATGTTCCTGGTTAAGATAAAAGGTAACCCGCGAAAAGGGCGGAAGGGGGGTAGGCTTTATACTACCAAAGCTCCTACGGCCGTCTTCTTTTGAGTCAGATCCTCGATACTTACCTTGGTCCTCTCCAGCGATCGCTGTCTTTCAATATGGCGCAAGGGTACGTGGTCCCGCCCAAGCAACCACCTCAGCTCAACATACCAAAGTCGGACGTTACGGTAAAGGTCTCATGTGTCGACAGGTAAGCCATACGCCACCTCCACAACTGGACCAAAGCACGATGCCAACCTCAACCTAGCACATCCCGTCTGGATCTAGGGCCCCTTGGACCTTTCCTCCAACCCGACTACACCGGCCGAAACAAGCTCCTCGGCCCGGCACTTTCCTTTCTGATAGAGCACCCACAGCGCAAACCCGTCCTCTTCGACCTCGCCATCCGCAAAGACTTCCATGTCCTGCCTTCCTACCCCAAATTTGTAGAGATGAAATGGGGCATCCACGTCGACAAAGACGTCTCCACCATTCTCAAGGAGAACGGCGTCGATGTCGACGGTGGCGCCATCCAATCCATCATCTGGAGCCATCACCATTGGGACCATGTTGGCAACCCAACGCTCTTCCCGGGAAGCACTGAGTTGGTCGTAGGTCCAGGTTCCAAGGACATGTACTTGCCCGGATACCTTGAGAGACAAGATTCAATCCTTATGGCTACCGACTTCGAAGGCCGCAATGTCCGCGAACTCAGTTTCGACGACTCCTTCAAGATCGGCCGCTTCAGAGCCTTTGACTTCTTTGGCGACGGCAGCTTTTACCTCCTCGACACCCCCGGGCATAGTGTCGGCCATATGTGCGGCCTCGCCCGGACATCCACGCACCCGGATACGTTCATCTTCATGGGTGGAGATGCTTCGCATCACGGCGGAGAATTCAGACCTACAGACTACTCACCTCTACCCAAGGAGCTGAACCCGATGCCTCCCAGACGGAGGAACCAAGGTATCTGCCCAGGACACCTCTTGCAGGACATCAACCCTCAGAAGTCAGCAGCGAAGCCTTTCTACTACACTACGAAGAGCTTTGCGCATGATAAGCCGGCAGCGGACTGACGATTGATGGGCTAGGGGAGTTCGATGCGCACGAGAAAGTGCTATTGCTGATGGCGCATGATGATTCCGTAATCGATCCGCCGCAGTCCGATTTCTACCCCAAGACGATGAATTATTGGTATGAGAAGGGTGTCGGGAAGAGAGTGAAGTGGCTTTTCTTGGGTGACTTTGAGGGCGTTGTGAAGGCGAACCAGAGAGGCGAGGAGGTGTTTACTTGGGGTGAGCATTCTTCTTGGGACTATTACGGATAGCGCTGATGGACAATTCAGGGGACAGGAGTGCTCTTAACGAGGGCTGACGTGGATTTGATCATGTGGAAACCAGTCTGCAGTGCAATAGTGATGCAACAAGCATGAAGTCGGCTGTCTAGTGAAACTTCCAACCTTTGGAGCAGCCGCGGCCCGCGGGTCGACCTTGATCTTCTCCCCCAAGGTGAACACGCCTGCGCCGCTGAGCGGCAGCTCATTACTCTGCGAACGAGGGCTTTGCCGTGCCAAGCTAACGGTGTCCATAAGGCATAGAACTAAAAATAGTTCTTGACCCAGTTCTTTATATTAAGGTATTGTTCTCTGCGGTGTTTCTCAATCACCTACGTAAACAGAACTGATAGACTTGTACCATCGATACCTCCACGAAAGCCGTTCTCGCTATAATAAGCTCCGCGACCATGCAGTCTCACGCACCTCCAGAGTATGATGACACGCCTCCAAGATATGATGCCAGCCAAGCCTCACAAAACAATCCGTCCTGGCCGTATCGCCCTTTCCCTCCGGTGGTGAATGCTTACTACAAGATGAAAGCGACATTCACGTTCCATCTCGGCGACGAAAGCGACCGCGAGATGTTCGCCGTCAGAGCACACACAGGTCTGGCAGGCGGCGGACCGGGCAGACCGGGAATCACAATACACAACGGACCTACCGACAAACACCCGTTGCTCGCTGCGGCCGGGCAGGAAGGCGGACTCAGCCCCTACAGCGTCATCTCGCTGCCGCCGTTCCCGGGGTCTTCCGACAACCTCAGCACCGAGACTATGCGCGCCGCCATGAGGAGGGCCTGTCTCACGTACCGGTTCACCATTGAAGTGGGCGAGAGCCCGGCGTGGCAGCGACAGGAGTTTGAGTGGCGGAAGTGCGAGGGCGGCGAGGGGAACGAACTCTTCGACTCCCCATTCACGTGCTGGTTCAAGCTCGTGAAACGGTCTGAGCAGGGTGGTGCTGCTGCTGAGAGTAAAGCTCTGGACGAGGGTGGTCATATTGGCCCGAATAGTCAGGGCGACGTGGTGGTCGCAGCGCTGGGGTGGCATGGGACCTGGACGATGACGCCGTTTAGACTACAGTTCATGGGCACTGGGCTGACGGGTGTGTTCGGGCGGCGGTGGGCGCTGATGGTGATTGCCACGGCTCTGAGACTCTGGACACTCAAGTACCAAAAGACGAGGTTCGGTACTGAGTTTGTCTCTTGAGCGTGAGGAAAAGCCCGGCACTGCAGACTGCAGATCAGAGTCGCGATTGCGATGGCGATGGAAAGTTGGCGTGTTCGGGAGCGCAACAACGACCACTATATCCTTCGATAGTATAGTCAGTGACCTACACCAGCGGGACTCAACATCTTGCGGGCGGGAAGCTGGTGAAGGCATCAACCTGGCAATTGACCTTGGTTTGGAAAGTCATGCATCGCGTTGCCTGGGGCTGGTTGACGATGGACGCGACCTCGTTGCACTCTCCTAGGCTGATAGATACATGTACTTGGTAGAACCGTCAAGTCGAGCCATAGCTTCTCGTACCCTACCAGGGTCAGGGAAAGAAATACCTCTCATGAGACCCGTTCCTCACAAAACGCCCGTCCCCTTCGAAAACGCATCACTGTGACATCAGGCGGTTGGGCGTCGGCGCTAGGTCAGGGGACGCTTCGGTACGAGATGTAACGAGACGCATTTCTTTTTCGCTGGCAGACTATCGAAAGCTGTGCGCCACGAGGAAAAAGGGAAATTTGGAAGGTCGTATGTCGTATGCTGGCCGACAGCTCCCGACTTCTTCCGCTATGCAGTCCACAGGAACGGCATTCGAGTTCCTTACAGTACGATGTTCTAGAATAGGCATCCGAACGGACTACTTTTTGATACTCCCTCAGCCCATACAAGCCATGACTAACCTGCGGGATATGGACCGTGCCACGCGGCACTTCAGGTTGGAGGTAGTCTGGTTGTTTTGCCGGGAACGGGAGTTGGTGTGGAGAGACGGGAGCCGTCGACTTTCTCCCGAATCCCCACCGTCTTTTGGTCTTCTTGTTTTGCCAACGTCGATCCATACATCTACAACACCGGCCTCCGGGCCAAGCGGCCGCAAACGAGATCCGGGTTGGATTTCTGCCATCTTGGTCTAGAAGGACGCTCCATCGCCACAGGTAACTTGAGCCCTGGTCCAGTTCACACCAAGTGCTGCCGTAGCTTTGCCATTTTCTTGTATCCTTGCAACAGACTAACGGTACGGCAAGAATAGCCTCAGTATCGCAAACATGCCAAGGATCTCGTGTTCTCAGGAACGCCTCAGAAATCCCCCAGTCAGGGGGGAATATCTCGAGTGTGGTGCAATGAGCTCGTGGCTCTAGAGTCTGCGGGGACCTCGCACTGGCTTGTCCCGATCTTCGCCGCCGGGTAAAGTGTCTATTTCTGGCACTTCTGGCTGGCATCCACCGGCAAACTGCAGTGTTTGTGCAACACTGGCACCGTGGCACTTGTGGTGTGGGCACACCGTGCTATACGGTCGGTCAGGGACGCGTCCTCGCCGACTTCAACCGGTTGCTCCAACTGACCATCCAACCGTGACACGGAACAACATCGATAGTCCCTGACGTTACCGTAGCCATGTGCCCAGACTCCCGTCCCGATGCAAGGCCAACCTGGGTAGGTACTCAGGTCTCGAGCCTCCTCGTCTGCATGCACAGGCCCGGGCTGTTTCGCTTGCCCACGCGTTCAAATTCGTTAGGACATCCCCTGAGACCTTGGACTGACCAAAACTTGCGTTGGAGTCCCGACCGGCTTTGTCATGTACCTACAAGCTTCCCCATACCGGCGGGCTGCTGATACCCGAGACAAATGTCGTAGATACACTCATATAGACGTAGAACAGCCCGTCTGTTTGACCGCCTGGGAGGAAGGTAGGCAAGCACGATTTCCTGATAAGTTGTTTCTGTTTTCGTCGCATCTTCGTTGCTCGCCCCGAGCTCTTGGAGTTGGAGCACATGGTCCAGTCCAGTCCCCCCGTTCAGGAACGAGGCGTAACTTTCCCCGGCTATATTGTCTCGCTGCAACCTATTGACCTTCCAGAGCTGGACCTCCACGCGGCTGGCCAATTAATATATGGCCCTGCATTTGGAGGACCTCGCACAATCCGGGACGCGTATTTCGCAACCCCACAGGCTCCTGGCATCGAGGACAAAGAGAAAAGCCGGCTGGTTTCACAGGTCGGCCTGCAAGATATATCAGGTCGTCCTCGCATCGGCCAAGGTCTACTGGGCCGTAACTTCTGGTATGCAGACCACTTGCGGTTGATCGATGTACGGGTGATTGCCGTCCTGCATTCTCCATTCTCCATTCAGCTTTCAGCCTCGCCTTGGGGTGCAGTTGTGGCTGTCTACCATTGTCAAGGTACATCAGCAGTGACCGCAACACCAGTGCATCCTCGTATTCACCAGGGGAACACACAGCTGCGCCAAGTTGATATTCGGACCACATTGCGTCGATCTGCAATCGAAAGGATCTCGTACGGAACCCCAAAAGGGTAATCACTGCGCCTGCCACCAAGACTGCGAGTTATTAGTTATTCGCACTCGTCGATGGTGACTGCCTTTCCCGAGAGCTACTACCACCTGTCGTCAACCGATATCAAAACCCCCCCTCTTCCCGAGGTCGCTTTTTCACCATTCGCACTTCAGCTTGCCCCCGACTTCGCTGTCCACTGCAGGCGCTGCCATCCATTTTGCATCACCTAGCGGAACATCTGACCCCTACGCCGTTTATCTCTTTGATATCAACTATTCCCAACTCCCAACATGGCGATCAGCTTTTTTGTCGCCTGGGAGCTATGGGAGCAATTGACCTTTGTAAGTGTTTCTCGCTTCGTTCGTCGCTGCCGATCGAGCTCGACTAACGGGCGCCAAGGTGCTGGCTGGGGCCATTGTGCTGGTATTCCTCGCTGGACTCGTCAAGCTTTGGTGGATGCAGAGGTTCCTCAAGAAACACACAAAACTCGACGAGGAAAAGCAGGTTCGGCAACAGGAGATGCGCAAGAGTGGGCTTCCTGTCGGCCGACGGGTCGACATCCCCTTCGGTGTGCGCGCAATCCAGAGCGGTGTTGAGGTCGACGGCATTTGGATTTCTCGTCCTGGAACGCCTGTCGAGTTAGACAGTCCCGGGGCGTCTCCTACGACTCTAGGGCCCGACAGTGGATTTAAAGGAAAAGAAAAGGTTAGGGTCAGATCAACATTGGCCGCTGCCGATGTCCAAACGACGCCGAAGCAGAGCCCACAGCCTAGTCCTGTTCGCAGCTTGTTTGAACGAAGCAGCACCGAACCGGAGCCGGACTCCCGTAGGGCACCGCCACTGGGACCACCATCTACTTACCGGCCGAAGCACTCGTCGCGGCGCACGTCGAATCTCTCATCCAGCGATGTCCTCACCACCGACGCACCAGGACAGCAGGAACGCACGGGGAGACCCCTAGTTGAGACCTACGTACCCACGACGTCTTTCTCGAGCGTCTACTCCTCGGCCTCCTCTCACAATAGGACCACGGTCGAGCGCAGTTCGAGTTCATCCGATGAAGGTTTCGGCCATGCGACGCCGCGCTACACACCCAATACCCGCACCCGGCCAGTCGTACCACCACCTGGGCAGCGGAGTCCCTTAGAAGACCCGGAGCGTTCACCCCAAGGCGAGTGCTTCTCGGGCACCCATGCCGAGTCGAGGAGGAACCCGCATGAAGCACACCAGACCAACAGAGCCTCCGGGCAATACCCGCAAGCATCTTCACGACAACCCCTCGCGACCAACAGACCGACCCCGGTCCGCACGTACACTGGCGACTCGCACGCCAACACATCATCGAGGAGGGTGAACCCAGGCTTCGAAGTGCTGCCAGCGGGGACTTTTAGTAGAAGCAATAGCGACGCCGACATGGAAAGCGGCCAGCCAAGCACGAACAACACCAATAGGTTCTCTGTAGGTGCGAACAACAGGCTCCAGAGAAAGGGCCGTGATCGGTCATCTAGCCGAGATCCAGCTCAGTGAAGGGATCATGTATGAGGTTCCACATATACAGGAAAATGGCGCATGGTGTGGAGGATCTAGAGATCGCGGAGGGGCCAATGTCATCGCTGCCATATAACCCATCTATCTCGAAAGGGGTGTAGGTAGTATCCTGGCTTGGCGAGAGGGCGGCCGCATAGTGAGAGAGAAATAAGGGCTCGGTCGCATCGCATACATATGGCGTTCTTATAGGGAATGGGAAAAGCAAAGAGCAACTGTAAATCTTCTGTATAACAGGCGTTTGATACTCTTGAAAGACATTTCGTTCGTGTAATGAAGCGCATAAAGATGAGAACTTCCAGACCCTGAGCTTGCATAGCCAGTGGTAGGCGACGATGACGCTGACTTTTTGAGGCATTGGGGAAGATTTTGCCCCTTCGCCGTGGTGGGTGGAGCTGGTGCACTCCGCTGCGAATCCCGCAGATCTGAAAATCAAGTTTCGAAGAGGCGGAGGCACTCCGTACCGAGGGCGCTCATCAAGAGAATAAGGGTTGTCAGCACTGGACAAATGGTCAGGTGTAGGAAGATAGAAAGCAGACGTGTTCTTCTATGGTGTCTATCTAGCTGGTGGATTGGCATGTTGTGGCTGGATGTCGTCAGCACTAGCGAGCGACAACCTTCCCTGGCTCTTCTTCCGTCACGCCAGCTGACTCTGATGCGGATGGCCTTATTGCTGAGGTGCTTTCGAGCCATCGAACATGTCAGAAGGACTGCTCGTTCCTGAAGTCAAAGGTTACTGATAAGAACGAGTCGCTAGATGCATCACCTTGTCTATGGCTAACCAAGGTTCATCCTGACATGGTATTCCACTACCAATCCAGTCGTTGGTCATGGAGAAGGGGCTTTGATCACTGCCGACTCGATATACTTTCTCATTGTAAATACAGTTCGTATCAATATAGGGACAGCAGAGGCCACCTATGTTTGTGAAACGTGGTGGAAGTATGCAAAGTATGATAAAGGTCTCGAAAGAAAAGCCAACCACCTAATCTAGCAAGTCTAGAGCCTTCAAAACGCCGAGGCCATGCAAGTCGCTCATACATATAAATGTCCCGATCGTATCCTCGTCTCATTAGTAACTCCACAAGAGCAGACCATTAATGACCCCTCTGTTCCAGGTTTCAGAGCCAGGTCGCTGTCAGCCAGGCGCGAAATGAATCAATCCTTCTCCACGTCCTTGGGAGCAGGGTCTCCGATACCATCCTCCATGATGGCAAAGAGGCAGTCGCTCTCGGGCAAGCATGGGCTGTCGTAGATCTTGGCGATACGTGTCTCAGCTCGACCCTTCTTCAGGCTGATTCTTGTCGTGCTGGCATGGGCGATAATGTTGCCACCAATGGGCTTCTTCGGGTCGGGATTATACATGGTGCTGGGGCCGCCATCGACTTGAGCGACGACCTGGTTGGTAATGACCACAGCAATACCGAATTCGTCTGCTAGTCTCTGCAGACAGCGCATGAACTTGGCCAGATGTGTCTGTCTCGACGACAACTCTCCTCTGCCCAAGAAGTCGGTTCTGTAGAGAGACGTCGCGCTGTCGACAATGAGGAGTGAGAACCGGGTTTCACACATCATTGCTGATGCTTGTTGGAGTAGTTGGAGCTGGTGATCGGAGTTGTAGGCGCGGGCGTAGGCGACGTTGTCAAGTACTTCTTCGCCCGATAGACCGTAGCGGTTGGCGACAGCCAGTAGTCGTACGGGTCGGAAAGTGCCTTCAGTGTCGATATAGAGGCATTTGCCTTCGCCACCGCCCATGTCGAAAGGTAATTGGCAGGTGACTGCAAGCGTATGGCAGATTTGACTCTTTCCAGTGCGAAACTCGCCGAAGAGTTCTGTCACAGAGCCAGTCTCGATACCACCGGCAAGCATAGTGTCCAGGTTCTTCGATCCAGTCGTGATCGATATCAGCTCACTCCTCCGCTGGTGCATCTCAGTCGCAGTGGTGAAGCCCAAGGGGACAATCTTGGAAGCTGCAGTGGATTAGATAATGCAAGACAATTAACGTGAGGTAATTGGGGTCGTTACCTTCTGCGAGCACCTTTGCGGCCTTTTGCTCGGATATGCCCTTGACTTGCTCCAGCTGTCGTCGGGGAGCATATGCAACGGACTCCACTGTCTGAAAGCCGCCCTCCATAAGGAGCTGGCAATCGCGCTTTGTGAGACCCGCGAGACCCTAGACCGCATCGATATCAGCTCGCATGATCGTCGGCCTTGTGAAATACCGTAGCCTTACCTCCAGAGCGCTGACGGGAGTTGGGGCACCAGGGCCGGTCATGCCACTCTCGTCGGCAGCGACTTCTTCCTCGTATTCTTCAGCCATGTTTGCGATTACACACTGATCGACCTTGCAACTTTTGGAAAGACGAGAATGAAGTGGAAAACGGAAAGGTGGCGAAATGTCTGTCAATTTCCTCGAGTTTAGGCAACCTATTGGCGACTGACTGGCGACTGACTGGCTACATTTATTGATTTAAACGCGTCGACGCGACTCGGGTGGCAAGAGTGTTGGTGGGGAGAACACAAGCACTCCTTCCTGCCAGTCACGGCTGCACGTGACAGCTCAAGGAAATTGATTACGCGATCAGCTGCTGCCGGCTGTGGGAGACAACCCCACCTGCTAGGCACCACCTGCAAGCTTGGAGCTTGAGGTCGCGCGTGAGTTGAAGGTGCCTTAGCTTCGTACTTTGGAGGTTTACGAACATTCCAACCGCGCGCGACAGGAAGCTCAACCTTCGCATCAAGACCACACTGATCCTCTGCAGCCCTGGAGCGGGTGTTGATGGACTCAGCATGGCTTCTCGCGAGCCCTACTACTTCTACAAGGAGACTCGATTGAACTTCGAGCCTTCTTCCTCTGCCTTCACTGTCGACGTGGAGCTCCCTTCAGCGACTGCGCAAACGAAAGGTCGACGACATGCGAACGGATCTGCCACAGTACCTGCCGACACGGATGCTTTTCGAGCCCGACATTGCGCCACTGCATCTGGAACTTACCGCCGAAAACATCATCAATTCCCTGCGAGTTTCCTATGGAGAGTGCTGGAAGACGACACCGTCCTAAGCTTGCGAGCCATCGATGTCTGCAGACCTAAGAAGGCTTCCGACACGAACCTCGTTCTGAACTTCCACTTCGCGAATCCGATTATACCTACATGCGTCGCCCTCACCGACCCGTCAGATCATGATGCCCTTACCGTCTTTGTCCTTGATACGGCCAATCAACTTCACACTCTTTTCTTGAGACCAGACTCATTTCGCAAGCGGTCGTCCGCTGCAGGGTTGGATGAAATCTGCAAGATCTACACTTCCAAAGCTTTCCAGTTCAAGAAACCGTACAGGCTTGTTGCAGTCAACAGCGACCAGCTAATCATAAACCTTGCTGATGGAGGACTGATTCGGTTCGACAGGCAGTCTCATAATCGTGCGTCATTCTTCAATCCGGTGCACTGCGCTGCGACTAACTAGTTGCTAGCATCACTTACCCCTTGGAAGGAAACATTTTACAATGCGAAAGGATGGGTGCAGGGGATTCGAAGCATGATAGGCAACAGGTCAAGCCTGGACATCACTGCTGCCGCTGCCGCGGTCCAGACCGGCTTGGGCTTGAACAACGCGTCATATCTCTTCACAGTCTGCCTCGACCATCGCTTACGAATTTGGAATCTTAACAGCGGTCAGATTTTGGGCGCCATGGACTTACTCAACGCCCCTAGAGATCCTCAAGAAACCGGAAAGTGGCAACTCGACTCGACGCAGACCAATTTGATTCGTATAGTCGGCGAGACTGAGGGCAAGCGGCTATGCGTGACCTACTCCCCTGTCGGATCCGGACAGTTCAAGTTCTGGAGACTCCAGTCTGACGATGAGAACTCGGTGGACGTCCATGATCTATATCCCGAAGCTCAATTCACACCGACGCCCCCACTGGGTTCTGATGTCTGGACACTTGCTGATTTCAGCGTGGCTGAACGCGAGACGGCCCACGGCTTCAAACTGTGGATCTTGTGGAAGAACAACATGGCCTACAGAGTCCAGGAACTAAGCTTCCTAATGGACGAGCTGCCCGATGTCTGGCATGGCCGTTGGCGATCAGTCTTCTTGGATACTGTGGTTCCTACAGCGCCAGCAACTGGCCCTTCTGATCCTACCGAATCCACAGAAAGATGGCTTCAGCTAATCCTCTCTCCAGGCAGGTTCCCCAAGGCCACACTCGAGGCTGGCTTGAACGCATACGAGCGGGCTTTGGGGAAGTCAGGAGAGAGACCAACCCGCTCGAGCCAAGGTTTAGCCGATGCCATCTGCTCTGCAATTTCTTCGACCGCGTCACTGACCAAGAACTCGACGGGAGAGATGGACCACGAGCGATTTCGCGCTTCGAGTGAAATGCAATGGAGGAAGTTCTATCGAATCCTGGTCGAGCTTGATAAACCCAGAGGCGAGGCACTTGCGCTGGCATACGAGTCCGAGTCTGGAATGCCATGGGTTGTATGTGCGGACAGCATTGCGGCCATCAGAGAATGCAGTGCGCTGGAGCAGATCTACCACAATCCACAAGCGCAACACGAAGATCCGGAGGGCCTCCCTGCCCTCATTACAACTGGTTGCAATTTTGTTGATGGATTTTCCGACGGCATGCGTCAGATCTGTCAATCTGTTCTGCGGTCAGAACTCTTTGAGGATACTTCCAAAACGGATCAGGAACGCATCCAATCTTTCTCAGACAAGGCAGGGTTCTGGCGCCAGATTACTGACGAGGATTGCCAGCAAGTAACCGACATGCTTGGGCCAAACTTCGATTCAGTCAGCACGAAAGTCTACCAGCGCGTGCTGGCAACTTGTGACGAGACCTGGGATTCTCACCATCCTACCGAGCATCCCCTCACCGAGTTTGGACGGCAGATTATTGTCAGAGCAGCCCAGGATATGGCCGAGCTGCTCTGGAAGGTGTGCTTCGGTCAGCTCATTCTTCTGGTTCATATGGAATTTGAGTTCGATCGTCCAGATGACGCTCTTCATAATCGCATCAACATTGGGGTGGTTTACCGGATGCTCCTTCGGTCACTTGGCAGGCTTGAGCTAATCCGTTGGCTCGCGAATACTCAAATATCGACACCACTCTCTAAAACAGACAGATCAGAATCAGTGCCAGGTGGCTCTCCGGTAGTCGCTAAACGACCAGTCGAGGAATTCAAGACCATTACGGCCCTGGAGGGCAACGTGGGGCACCTTCTTGGGCTCCCCGAGGCTGAATTGATACCCGCTGCTGGAATGCCCTCGATCATCACCAAGCTTGTCGCGGATCTTTGCGCGCCGGATAGTGAAGTTGAGTTACAGCCTCAATACATCCAATGTGGCTTGATCGTTCGCGACAGAGCAGATCTCGCCGTGGAGCTTGCCCCCTTTTGCGACCAGGACCCATTCTCGACTTATGTTCAAGGACGCGTCTATCTTGCCCTCAAGGACTATACTACCGCAGAAACGTATTTCAGGAAAGCAGCCTATGGCATGAGTGAGTTTACCCCAGCCAAGGTCATCGATCACCGGGTAGTACTGACATGTTCATCAGGCTTGTCGCAAGCAGAGCCCAGCCGACACAGTAGCGGCCTGCTTGATGAAATAGAATGGAAGCGTCTGTACGCAGGAATGCCACAATACTACGCTCACATAGTAGCGCTATATGAGAGGCAAAAAGCTTACTCATACGTTGTCGAGTTCGCGCGACTTGCTTTACAATTCGTCGGCAGCAAGACCAATCACGCCGACGATGTCCGGTCAGATATTCAAAACCGCCTGTTCAGCGCAGCTACAGCTGTCTCACAATTCGAGCTAGCACATTCGACGCTTGTGGCTATGAAGAATCCGGCTCTCCAGCATGGATGCCTGCGGATGCTCATCCAAAGGATGTGCGACAACCTCCACAATGCGGAACTCGTAGAGCTGCCGTTCCCAGGCCTCCAAAACGACGTCGATGATATTCTTGCGCAGAGGTGTCACGGCACGGTCGATGTCATAACCGGCGTTCCATATCATCAGATATTGTATTCCTGGCGTATCAAGCGAAACGACTATCGCGGGGCGGCGGCCATTCTCCTTGACCGCATCCAGAAGCTGAGACAACTTGGTGAGGGCGACCAACTGACGGGTGACGACGTGCTGGATACGGCAATAACGCGACAGTATCTCATGCTCATCAACGTGCTCAGCTGCGTGGAGCAGAAGCAGGCGTGGATCACCACCGAGCATACACCGCACCAAATAAATGGCGCGGAAGTAGTCTCCGGTGGCAGCGAACGCAAGGTCGTCACGTTGGCGGACATCCGGAAAGATTACCAGGAAGAGCTCGATCGCATCGCGGCGATTCAGAACAACCAGTTTGGTTTTGCGGCTGGCGATGAGATGGAGATATTGTGAGGTTACGGTAGTTGGGTAAAATGACGGATCAAGGCCTGCAATGTGCAACACTGAAAGAGTCTAATGGGTGGATGATACCTTCTGAGCTGGAGCATCAAGGCAGTGATTCGGGAATACCACGCTCGGATCTTTGACATAAGTTTTCTGCAGACCTTGTGTTCAGTGACTTCTCTCAGGTGGAACCCGATTGATCATCGGTCGGATGTTTCATCTACTATTGGTTGTTGTGTCCCTCGACAATTATCATTTTGATTACATGCCTCAAACCCCATGGAACGCCGTGCCGTCCATGCCCGAAACACATAGCTCGATGGTATTGTTATGTACAATGGGTCGATCAAGTGACCATGCCCAACCAAAGCAGAAAAACACTGGCGCTCCCTTTATGCAGCAGCTGACAAGGGCATCTGGCGCGTCGACTCCGGGACGGTCACCACGGTCTGTGACGGCTCGTTGGCCGCTGCCTCGGGCGCCTGCCGATACAGGATGATCTCCGACTGCTTGAAGTACCGTCTAGCATCTTCGTCTATTAGCACCAGACTCAAGTAGTACCGTGTCGAAAACTTCTTGTTGACATCACGGAAGGTTGGAGTCAGGTCGAAACCACCGAGGAAGAGACGGATAGGGATGGTCTCGCCGCGTGATGGTGAGCCGTCCATAATCTGCATTCTGTTAGTTATTGCGCAAAGGGGCAAGGCGGATCTTGCGGTATAGTCGCATACCTCGAAGCGCACGAGCGTCTCGCTCTCGTTATACTGGTTCGGCGCGGCGCCGGTGGTCTCGCGGCGGATGATGCTCAGCTCCATGTGCTTGATCTTGAGGCGCACGAGCAGGAAGTAGATGCGGCCGACGATGACGTCCTTGAGGTGGTACTTGCTCTTGCTGTACTCGAACTCGATGTGCAGGCAATCCTCGATGCCGACGTCCATCTTGATGCTGCTGTTCATCTCGGGCGGGATGCGGTAGCTGTACACCCACATGTCCTTCTCGCGGATGACGTCGGCCATGCGCCGCGCGACGGTGACGCGCACAAAGTACCGCAGCTTCACGTTGATCCCGTTGTACGACTCGTACTGCTTCTCCACGTTCTTGAAGTTGAAGTCGAACGTCTGCGGGTGCTGCAGCTCGCCCGGCGCCGCCAGCTCCTGGTTCAGGCACAGGAACTCGTAATGGTTGCCCCGGTCGAAGAACATCTCTATAGGGAGGGAGGCCGTATTAGCTTCGGGTCGGGGGTGTCGAGCTTCGCGCTGTGAAGCTGTGTAACTGACCTATCGTTCCGATGAACTGCACTTTGATGCCTGTATGCTCCAATCTCTTTCCATCTTTAGGTCGAACGGTGGCTTGGCCTTGTGATCCCGCAATGTCAGTGATCGTCCTTCCTACTACCAGACGGGAAACATGCTGGAGCATCGCAGTTGTATGCGGGCATAGAGTCGGGGCAGGCGAAGATGCCGGGCTCTTGAACCGTAAGGGGCACCTTCGGGGACTGACCTCGAACGCTCTCGCCGTCCATGTACAAGGGTGCTTTTTCGCGACGCTGCTTATCCGTCTTTATGTCGACCATCTGCCGAGAATCATTGTCCTCTAACACGATATCTATGTCGACCGGCGTCGACCAAAAGAGAGACATGGTTGGTGATGTGATGCAGAGTGTTGCGCTGGGCACAGAGGAGCACCTAGTCGAGGCGGGCGGTCGTTTTCGAGGTGCCGCAAGGATCAATAAGTAGGATAACGGTATGACCTGTTGCTACCAATGTTGTAGTCACTTCAAGCAAAGTAACAACTGTCTCTCAAGGACTTGTGCCGGGTTCGTCGTGTGCTCGAAGCAACAAGTTCAGGTGCGTATTACTGCATCGCCGCCAGAGTACGGAGGAGGATCCTATGTAGCTACAGCTCATGGCTGGGATGATTAGAAGTGAGCCCCTCAGCGCCACACCGAGTTGAAAGCCCCCACAGAAATTGAGGCTGGTGATCGTGGCTGAAGCTGGCCCACCCCTCTCTTGAGGCGGGGCCACTTGGCAGCATCTTCCAGCCCCACTAGCCAGCTGCCTGAGACTGGACCTGAGCCCTAAACACCTGCAGAGGCTCGATGTACGTACTGGCTGCCCCCAATTTTAGCGACTGCACACGAATTTCCTAGACGAAATTCTTCGACATTGGCTCTAAGGTAGGTGAACCCGACAAAAGTTCAACCGCACATCACCGCATCGCCAATCCTCCAGGTACGTCCAACCCACGCACCGATGCTGCTGTATTCCTGCTGCAAACCATCGTCTCTACAAGGATCTCAATTTTCCGACTTGGGCCCCGAAACCTCCCACTGACAACCTCAATCGCCAGGTCAATTTCTACAGCGATTCCCCCCACCTGAAGAACCGCCGTCAAGATGCGCTACATTCACAGCGAGGAGACTCTGGAGATTCCTGAGGGAGGTACGTCGGTTTTACGGTTTTAGCAAGAGTTGGAACTATCCAGGCTGGGAGAGCGGGCGCATCGAGGAGACCAGAACGCAGTTGGAGTCCGAAACGCACCACGATACCGAACGATCACTGACACCACGGTTTGCTGCAGTCAAGGTCCACATCAAGTCCCGGAATGTCACCGTCGAGGGTCCCCGAGGTACGATACTCCCCGGAGTGCCGTGAGCATGGTGGATGCTGGGATTTGCAGGAAATCTAATGGACCAAACAGGCAAGCTGTCCAAGGACTTGAGCCATCTGGCCGTCAACTTCTCCCACCCGAGCAAGAACGTTATCGGCATCGAGATCCACCACGGATCGAGAAAAAATGTCGCCACCCTCCGAACCGTCAAATCTATCATCAACAACCTGATCATCGGTGTCACCAAGGGCTTCAAGTACAAGATGCGCTACGTATACGCCCATTTCCCCATCAACGTCAACCTGGAGAAGAACAACGAGACTGGCAACTTCGAGGTCGAGATTCGGTATGCTCTGTGTTGCTCCCACGATTACGCCTCTCAGCAGGAAACTGTGGCGACATCTGCAAATTGTATGGGGTGAGACGGCGTTGCTAACACATTGGCTACAGAAACTTCATTGGAGAGAAGCTCGTCCGTAGAGTCGTGATGCAACCTGGTGTCGACGTCGAGGCCTCAAAGAACCAGAAGGATGAGCTGCTCATCCTGGGCAATTCCCTAGAGGCCGTCTCGCAAAGCGCGGCCGACATCCAACAGATCTGCCGAGTCCGAAACAAGGATATCCGAAAGGTAACCTCCCCAACCGCCTGTCCGAAGCCACGGACCTCGTACTAACACAATTAGTTCTTGGACGGTATCTACGTATCGGAGAAGGGAAACATCGAGGTTGACGCGTAAATGGGCATTCGGGGTTTCTTTGCTGCTTTCTGGGTCCCAACAAGGAGTCGCCGGGGTTCACCTGCATCTTAAGTAGCGAAACAGCTACAAAATGGACCAAATACTGAGTAAACTTCTTGTCTTATGCGTGCTCATTATTGACTTGGTGCGTGTACCGCAGAAGGGTCACCATCCTGCCACACGTTAAGGGGCGCAAAATAACATCAACAGGTCGATAAGTACCTAGTCGCGTCGCGCAGGCGACAGGTTGCACCATAAGCCTTCATGTGCACATACCTGCATCTGGTGTTGGGTGGTGTGAGCTCAACTGCGATGGTCCAAGGTTCTTCGTCATTGCAATAATCTCGGGTTGTGTGCGAGGCGTTGATCTAGCAACACCAGTTCCATATTGCGGTCTCAAGAGGCCCAAGGAATTGCCTACCCTTGGGGTCTCTCGTCTACCCGGCTCGACAGCTGGACGATTACCACAGTTACCAACTCCACCAAACATCTCTAGGAAGTACCGGACTCCCACATCTCAGAAGACCTCCAAGCACCCAGGTCCTGCAGACCACACCACTACACGTACCTGGCCTACGTCCATCTGCCCCTAGGAAAGGTGAGTTTCTCAAGGCCCCATGTCTCCTCTGCTTCTACGCATCTACTTGGTAGTAGCTATCATTGAGCGTCACCTCTGATTTCTTCTTTGCAGCAGTCGATTTTTACGGGTTCGTCTTGGGTGTACTGGCGCCAGTTCCACCATCCTCCATTTCCTGCACACACGGACTTCAACTTCAAACATCGTGGTAGGTTTGCTTTTCACCTTCTGCCTCAGGTTGCCCGCGCGACCCTCAATTCATTTTGCACTTCGACCTCAGATTTTTTCGTTGCAGCAGTCGATTCTTACCGGTTCGTCCTGGAGGTACTGGCCCCAGCTCCACCTTCATTTCACCGCACACAATCCCTTCGACTTTTCACACCGTGGTAAGTCTGCTTTCCCCTTCTACCTTGCCCAGGGGACCTCCATGTTATTCTTGCACCTCAACGACGCTCCCCATTTCCCTCGGTTCAGGCAGCTACAACTCCCCCGCCCACTCCTTCTACAACGCTCTCCAGTCACCCAACCAAAGGGTACCAAAACAACCACAGCATAGCCAGCACACATCTGCATATTGCTAATTCCCAAGCCAGGGCCTTGTTTCGATCCTCCCTCCTGCCCGTTGCCCATTCGTCGTCATGGCCTCCGTCGCAGCTTCCGACCCAGGCGCATCGCCCATCGAGCAGCTCGCAACCGAACTGCAGCAAGCAATCATGCAGTCCCTGCTCGACATGGCGTCATTGTTCCGCTTCACGGCAACTTCCCGCGCTATTCGCAGTGCTTTCGACGCCAATCCCGGAGTCATTTTCCGCGCCGTCAGCAGAAATGAGAGTTCGGGATATCTCTGGCCCCTGGCGGTAGCACGTGCCATCGCTGACGAACGAGGCCGTGAACCCCCCAAAGACGCCGCGGAATACCTCTGCTACGAGGAACGAGTGAAGCAATTCTTCCATGACAATCTACGGGGTCCCGGATGCAACGCTTCCCCCTCTACCGCCTTCTTCACACCTCAGCTAATTAAAGAGCTCAAATCATTCCACAGCATCGCCCTCGAAATGGCCGACGAAATTGGCGACGAAATGTCCGAAATTTTCAGGTTGGGGCAACAGCCCATGGATGACACTGGGAAGAGACATCTGGTCAAGGCCATCTATCTTTTGGACCTGATGTATGGCATCGTCCCCTGGGACCATGAGGATTTCGGGCAAACAGAAGATGACCTTCTAAAGGAATTCTGGACATATTTTGCGCCGTGGGAATGCAGTCAAACAGTATGGTTCCATTCGTGGCTTTCAAACGAGTTCGATGTCAACTATGGCCGCATCTACCTCCTATGCAGCCAACTCCAGCGCAGCGGCATTCGTTATTTGTACAGACTCGACTTCAATAAACTTCTCGACCCCCAATCTCCCAAGGACGCTGTCGACGAGCTGGCAGCGCAACCGGACATGCGGAAATGGCGGGTGAACGCAAATCCCTACGATATTACATCCTGCCAACTGATGCAATGGCTGGTTCCCACTACAAATCCGAACGGTCGCACCGTGTACAGCCTCGATATCCGTCCCCTGATCGAGCGATTCCCCGAGACGGACACAGGTCCCCGTGACTTCTGGTGGTTCAGAGCGCTGGCCTATGTCGATGGCTATCCGACAGCCCGCCAAGATTTCCTGGCATGGGACTGGCAGATTGATCCGTGAAACGGGAACTTTGTGTTCTGGTCACGGGAGTGCTTGGATGAAGAATATGACCTCCATACCAGCCTCTTCAACGGTCGAGTACCGACCATGAGCGAAATGCTCGACCGTACCAAGGGTCTATTCATCGACGAGGATGGCAAGCTCTGTGATCCGATGGCTTGAGTGCGAGGATGAGAAGCTGGGGAACGAGGTCGATGAGCTGAACTAGGGAGAGTCTAGCTCAAGGATGTGTGCAGGCAGAGGACTACAAAAACTTGCAGCGGGATCAGGCGGCTGTTCGGTGGTCATACCACTCAGTGCTCCGTGGATTGGGAGCTTCACACTGAGGATCATGTAAATTACTGTACTAATTCAACCAACGAATTTGATTCACACCCCATTCCCAGTTTCCCGCCCCCCCTTTCCCTCGGTTCATATTTGTCCAACGTCAGCTTCTACGAAATGGACTTGAACATCCGCGAATTGATACAATGCAAAAGTCGCTGATATATGAGTGAAATTACAAGCTAATTCATGCATGCAAATATGACAGTACGCAGACCCCATCGGTCCTCGGCAAAACCCCCTTTTCTACATCTAGGTATGGAACCATTGCTTACATCTTCGAACCTTGGGCGCCCAAAGCACCTTGACCGGTGTCTTTGCGCAGTTGACGCCATCACAACGCACCGCTGGATCACTCCCAGGCCTCTATACAGCCAGTTAGGTGCAATGTGGACATTTCTGGGTAGGATTATGCACCACTGTAGATGAACGTCGAACTGCTACCTGGGCATCAGTCACGATCTGCGCAGACATCCAGGGGAGTATACAAAGCCCGTGGGCGCATGGCCGTCGGCATCATCGCCTTATGTATGCTTGAAACTGAACTCTCGCGATTGTATGTGCTGGCCACGTCAACATTGAGATAAAATACAGGACAACCTCCAATAGTGTGCGCATACCCTGAGTCGACTAGGGGATGGTGCTCGATCAGGGTTAGGACTTGTACTTGGTGACAGGAGGCAAGTGTATGATCGAGAACAAGGCGCCTGTGAGACCAGGGCTGCGCACGCATTTCTACATACTCGGTAACCCAGAGGATGGGGACCAAGGGGGTGGGACCAGGGGGATGGGAGATGGGGGATGAGGGACATATATATCCTAATGTGATCAAAAACCAGCATCAGACGTCCCCCCCCCCCCCCCCCCCCCCCCCCCCCCCTCCCCCCCAAAGGTGTGGTAAATTAGTCGCCAGGACAAACCGAGCGGAGTGACTAGGCTAGATGACCTAGCCGTCAGGTTTACCGGCAGTATATGCTGATCTTGGCGGATTGCTGTTCTTTTTTGCTTTTTGGCACAATCTCCGGAGGTCACCGGTTCAGATGGCATCTATGCAATGATGATTCTTTTTTGGGATATAATATATATGCCCCCGAGGGATGTTTGTTTTTGTAGCACAATATCTAGAGGTCCTCAGTTCAGCTGGCATCTGTGCAGGGAGGATTTTTTTTTCTTTTTGGAACATGATCTTTATGCCCTTAAGGATGTTTGCTCGTCGTATTCGACAGCTACCATCCTTGGAAACACATGGATCCTGCTAGTAAACCGTAAGGTTGATCGTGGAAATACATGATGTAGGCAGCAGAGAACCACTGGCATATGTTAGGGCTTTAGCTCAAGATATCCCAATGGAACACCAGATAGCCAACATGACTTCCTTTAATCAAACCCCTGTTCGGCTCGGATGCGAGGAGAGATATGATGGAGGACCCTGTGGTCCAAACAATACCATCGACGACTCAGTGCAACACATAACCAGCTACGGGGTAAGGCCTTCCTTGAACCACCTTGGGTATGATCAACCTACAGCGAGGGTTGTCAACGGAGCGAGGGGAAATGAGTGTGCGGGGAGCAAGCAGTATGCCTCTTCGCTCCTGGAAAATGCCACCGTGTTGGATTCTGGGCTACGTTAGCCCATCCATAGTCATCCTTCAGGATCACCATCCCCATTTGTGACTCTGTCACATACGTGGCCAATAAGGCCACGTATCCTTTCCTTTAGCATCTTGGATATATATAGGGCCATTCTGGCCGCTCCAGAGTAACTGGGATTACTCTCCTTAATAGAACACTTTGAAATCTCACACACCGTACCAAGGCGAGATCTCCCGCCGTTTGCCTAACTCTGAGTGTTAAGCTCCTCGACACTTCAGATCGTGAGCCTGCACTACTCATCCGCTAGGAGTAGTGAATTCCCACGTCAACCTGCTCGGTTGAAGTGGACAACGAAATCAAGTCCACTCACATATGCTGAACCCTCATAAGTCTCCGTACACCGCCTGCCCAGTAGACAACGGTATATTTATCGAATCGGAAGGAGCACCATGGAATAAGCATTAGGAATGGCGTATCAAACCAGAGCTGCTTATTCCTGTATGCTTATTCTACTATTTCGAAATTTCAACAGGTGATCTGGAAAATATTATCAACATGGCGCGCACGGAGACTTATGAGGGCTGAGTGTACTATATCACCAGGGGTGGGCCTGCAGTTCCCTCTCCGAGTGGCATGGACGGTTTATATTACACATTCAAAAGGTTATTGAAAAGGCAATGGTTGATGTATGTGCGAAGTTCGTAACTCCCACTCAGTATGTATTTGCATTCTCAACCAGGAGCTCTCTGGCCCGTTTGTGCGTAGCCGGCAATCCTCAAGGGTTGTATACACATTCCAGCATTATATCGTACTCTGACATATACGACGGTGAGAGACCCGTCGCAGTCCTCCAATTCGTGCTTATGTTTCCATCATGTCGTACGCCTGGGGCTCATCGTCGAGCCCATTATTTTCCGCGAGCTTCATCAGCTCATGATCCATCCTCCCAAAAGCAAGGGATCTTGTCCCCAAAACGCCGGTGTCGTGCAGCGATGCATGCTATGAGTGTCGGGAAATTATAAACAAAGTGCTATGTGAAAGGGGTTGGTGGTATATTTGCAATCTTCGGGGTGGTGTTTTGTGGTGTTGAAGACGAGGTCGGCTCTCAGATTCTCGAAGGCCGCGAGGCTCTTGTCCCCCTGGAATATCTCGAATTGGCCCGTGACTGCCTCGATCGTCGCGTGTCTCTCGTTCTCCTGTCCGAGCTTAAACTACCTGCAAAGAATAGTGGTCAGTAAAACCCCCCTCGGAGTTTATCGTTGGGGATACACTCACTAGGGCTGCTCGCAGTATAGGAGTCAGTGTAGTACGAACTACTCCAGTCACTTCGTGGAGGTCTATGGCTGCCGCTGGGCCTGGACGCCGTGTGCTTTTCGTGTCTCTTCAGGCCGAGAAGCAGAGCGGCGGCACCGGCACCAGCAGCCAACCAGCCCAAGCCACCACCAGATTTCTTCTCCTTGCGGGAGGCGGCTGTCGAGGGTCGGCCGCCGCCACCGCCACCGCCAAACCAGGTGCGATGCGAGGGTCGTGCTGCGGCGGCGGCGTGGGCACTGCCGTGTCGCGAGTAACGCTCTTCGGTGATCTCGACGCGCTCCGTCTTCCTCTTCCTGCCCCCGCCGAAGATGGCCGCGAAGGCGCCCCACAGGCCCCTGGCGATGCAGCAGAAGCACAGCAGGAGCAGCAGGATGATACCGGCTATGGTGCCCACGACGATGCCCGCAATGGCGCCGCCGCTCAGAGAGGCGCCGGTGCTGGCACCAGCGGTGCTGCCGACCGGGGTGGGTGTAGCGGTGCTCGTACCCGTAGAGGTTGCGGTTTCGGCTGTGCCGGTTGCAGTCCCGGTGTTGCTGACGGTGCCGGTGGGCCTGTTCGGGGCTGAGAACTGGACTGTGGTGAGAACGCCGGTGGTAACGACCTCGGTCCAGGTGCCAACGCCGGCGTTCGCAGCGCATTGGCCTTCAGCAGCGCAGTATTGCCAGTTGGCGCAACAGATGGAACCACACGCTATCTGGCCAGTGCCCGCCTCTGGTATACAATTTTCGCCACTCGCATTGGGCACTGCTGTGGTTGTCGGACCGGTCCAGGAGCTGATGGTGCTGGTGTACGTCACGGTCCACGTGCTGGTGTAGTCGCGGGCGGCGAGGATGGGGTCTACAGCGGTACAAGCTGCGATGCCGGAGGATGTGTGACACGACTCATCGGCAGCGCAACAATGTTCGTTGTCGGCACCGCAATACTGGGCGCATTGGCGCGGCTGGAGATAGCCGAAACCCAGATCCCGGAGATCATCGCGGGGATATGGGGATGCGCTGGCGAGGGTGGTGAGGAGAAGCGTGAGCAGTGCGGGCGGGGCTTGGAGGAGTCGCATTGTGCCGTTCAAGTCGACAAGTCAACTGGGAGACTTGTGGCTGTGGACTCGGCTCGGAATGCAAACCAGCGAATTGGTAAGACAAGCAAGTCAATGGCGCCCCTCGGCTCAGTCAATCCGGTGTTGTAGACGAGGAATGCGGGTTCAACGTTATTGGGGGTTGTCGTTGTGGTGTCCAAAGTTGCCTAACGCGACCCAACCCGCTCTTCAATGCGCCTGTCTTCGAAAGCCGCTGGGGTGGTTAGTATGTGGGAAGTAAGTCAACACAAGGTGTACCGAGGAGGGAGAAAAGAGGCGAGGAATGGAAGAAGGTTTGGAATGGCGTGGATTGCTTGATGCAGCGGCTTTTAGGTGGCTGCAGTAGTTTTCTGTGGTGGTGGGTGACAAATTCCCAACCTCTTCGTTGACAGGCCGCAACAACGCAAAAGTCGCGGGGCTGGTGTAGGGGACCGTCTCGCGATGCGTCACTTGGGGACCTGCAGCAACAAAATTGAAAACAGAGGGGGTTGGCCTGGCACACAGGAAACAGGGATTCGATTATGATGCAGCTGTCAGTCAGTACAATCAATTGTCTTGTCAGCTTCAGGACTTGGTCAATTCGGCTTCAGGGCAGACTTCTCTTGTTATTCTATCTTCTCGCCTCTCTCAGTTGCTTTTACTCTCGATGCAGGACGGTGGATTGGAATGTGTCTGTGTATGGGTGTGTGGACATTGAACAGTGGTGATGAGTTGGCAGCGCATTAGATAGAGGAGCACTTGAGGAGGTGCATATGATGTAGCTACCTTCTTGAACCAGTGTTTACTTGGCTCATGCGCCGTTGCAGTGAGCGACAATCGATTGTGGTTGCCAGATTGCGCCGGCGCACAGGGATCTGGGGATCTGGGCCCGGATCTTAACGCCTTACCTCATGATCTTCTCCCACCGGGGTTTAAAGTGCGTGCTTCGTTCCGACCTGGTAATACCAGACCCGTGGACCTCAACCATGCACGTGTATGTAAGACCTAAAGCTGTCAACCACGTGTATCCTCTGATAGTGTTTGTTTGTCTCATCAACTGAAGAAACACCGAGTTGACTATGTATGCCAGCTCAATCGATGCAGTGCTGGTACAGTCGTAACTAGGTGTGCTTCGTGGAGATCTCGTATCCTTCTCGGTAATGTATTGGGATGGTATGTACAAGTCTGCACAGACAAGCGTATCTTGAAGAGCGCACCATTGCTGTCAGACCCTGCAACTTTTACTACAGGCCAACTCGCTTCATGTTACGAGATCTATGTCTATATGCCGCTATTATACGGTGCCTCGTTGATGGATATGGGGTATCATGCGACCGCCCTACCCAATCCGTTGCCTTCTCCTGACCCAGACCTCCTGCCCGTCCCCGTCCTTGGCCTCGGAGCTCGAGACTGGACGCAACTGCACTTCCCATCTCTTCAACATGTAGTTGCTTCTGTCAGCTCTCCCCGAGAACAAGTCGAACGACCAGCCGTGTTTGGGACAGGTTATGCCTGCACTCAACACCACTCCAAAATCCTCAATGTCAAACGGTACACCCTTCGACAGCGGAAAGGCAGAGTGCGGACATCGCTAATCTGCTGGTTGGTCATCGCGGCCTTTCAACAGTTCGGGCAAATGTTCTTGAGTGCTTACGTTGTCAACGGCATGGAACTTGCCCCTGTACTGGAACACGAGCACCTGATCCTGCAACGCCGCCCCGTCGTGGGATATCATGTCGTCGCCTTCGATCTGCCGTGCCTGCGAGCTGTCGCTGGCAGAGACGTGGAACACTTTGCAACCGGGCGTAGCATCTACTTGGTCACATTCTTGAGGCTCGTAGAGGCTGCCGCTGCCGGACTCGGTGATATTCGGGAATGACGAGGTGAGGCCGGTGAAAAACCACGCATCGCCCTTTCGAGACGGCAATACAAAGGGCAATGCCATGACCTGGCATGTCCCTGCAATCAACTAGCAGAAGCGACTGTGAATTGAAGGAGGTGTCGCTACGCTGCGCAGAAAGTTAAGGTCACTGGTCCAACAGGTGCGGTCAGATCTAGACAAAATAAAGTATCAGTTCGATAAGATATTCTCTCACCACTGTTGAAGTTACCAGCTTCTGCCACTTCAAAAGAAACCTACATTCTCGAGTAGTTGAATCAACAGCTACACTCAACTACTTGCGACCGGATTTTGGCTTCTCAATTGGCACAAGGCTTCAAGCTGCAATGTCCACATGCGCACACAGTTCTTTCTGAAGGTGGTTGGTGATGCACAGTACATGAGACCCACATAAAGCAGCGCTGCGAGTGCGCCCAGCTGCCCACCCAGCTGCCCACCTGATTGGCGCGGCGTCCTTCGAGCTACCACTGGCTACATCACAGGAACCATCCAGGCCGCCAAGCTCCAACGTCCCGTCCCATCTCTGAGCTCACCTCCAGCACACGCGCCCACGAAACCTTTCCAGAACTTCGCATCCTTGACGTCCCAACAGGACAGGACAGGACAGGACAGGGCAGCCCATCATGTCGCTCGACCCTCCCCCGTATCTCGGTTCGCTCCGCAACAACATCCGCCAGCGACCGATACCCTGGGATGGCGCAGTTAGAGCAGGCACCATTACCGAAGCCCAGCTGGCCAAGATCAGGGCTGTTGACAAGGTCCGGCAAGAGCAGAGAAAGCAGACGGTCGAGCGCGACCTGGACGGATACCGTGTGCTGTTCGTCGGAGAGCCTGGCACTCCTGGCGTCCTAGAGTCGGCAAGCAGGCGCTCCGATGTCGTGCAGTACATTCTGGTCCTGCTGAGCGACTTGCTCGAAGGTGCGTGCCTTCCCCTACATGGTTCCCGGCAATCTCGAGCTTGGAATACGAGACCTGCAACTTCCATACCATGGCCGTCACCGGCATGCCTACCTACCAGGTACTGATCAGTGTGGTCATTTGTACTGACCCTCGTCCACAGGCGCTCCCGCTCTCGCAAAGGCACTCTTCAAGGATTCAGACCCGTACCGACATTTCCTACCACTACTTGCGCACACAAACAATCCCGAAGACCCTATCCCATTACTTACCTCCACCGTACTTGCTACGCTTATGGCGAGCTCACAGGACGAGTCCCAGTCGACTGAACATGCCCTCCCCCTAATCCTGAGTTACCTCTGTGGCATGACCAAGAATTCCAACGATGCTGGCCTGCAGGACATTGCCGTCATGGAGTACTCGTCTCTACTATACGGTCGATCTAACAGACAACTCTTCTGGCAGCAGAGAAGCGAGACAGTTGCACCTCTGATCGACATCCTGAGAAAGGCTGCTGGCATTGGTGGAGATTCATCCGCCAGTTTGTACAGTGGAAACAACACGGTAAAAAGTGCTGGCTTCGAAGGACTTGGTGGCGGCGTGGGGCTACAGCTCCTATACCATGTCCTGCTGGTATTGTGGCAGCTTAGCTTCGAAGCTGAGGACATTGGCGACGACATGAACGAGTACGGGACCAACCCCCAGTCAGATGAGTTTGGGTATTCTATAAGACCGGGCTAACGCGGGCACAGCGAGTACGATATCATCCTCCTATACACTCAGCTGTTACGGCTTTCGCCAAAGGAGAAGACCACGCGGCTGTTGTTGTCGACACTGTACAACCTGCTCGAGGCAAACCCGTCCACATTGCTACCGGCAGCGGTCCTGGCCCGGCTTCCATCGCTTCTCCAGAATGTCAGTGGCCGCCACTTGACAGATCCCGACTTGCTGGAAGACTTGGACAGGCTGAAGGAGATGCTGGAAGAGTACACCAAGACCAAGACGACATTCGACGAATATGTTGCCGAGGTCCAATCGGGACACCTGAGATGGTCCCCGCCGCATCGGCATCAGACGTTCTGGGCCGAGAACGCGCGCAAGATCTTCGAGTTTGAGAACGGAGAAATCCCGCGAAAGATGGCGGATATCATGAAGAAGCCCTGGGAGAACGACAAGGCGGTCCTGGCAATCGCCTGCAACGATGTTGGCTGTCTCGTCAAAGAGGTGCCGGAGAAGAGATACCAGCTGGAGAAGCTTGGTCTGAAGACGCGCATCATGGAACTCATGCAAGATGCGGATGAGAGCGTGCGATGGGAAAGCTTGAAAGCTCTTGGTGGATGGCTGAAGTACAGCTTCGAGAACAACTAATGGTAGCTGTGTTCCTGGGACTTTGCATGGCTTCACTGTATTCTTTCATGAGTGTTTCGCGCCTTGGGGGGTCTACGGGTGTAGTAAGTACTGCATTTCATCCGGGTAGGATAGAGACGTGGCAGGCTGACATGAAGCCGTCGATTCGGTTTCGAGCCTTTCGAATAGAGAAATGGAGAGCCAGCGCCGCACCTTTTCCCAAATACCATGGCTGCTACATGTACCTCATGTTTGCTATAGCAGAGCTCTAGAATGTGTAGTCAGTCCGCTGTGGGTTCAGTTTCCAACAAATCTGGCCAGTTCTGTCACGATACATACCGTGTTACCATGACCAGAAGGGATGGCATCTCCGGCGCTGATGTTCGCTGAGCACCCCCTATTCCTAATTGGATAACTTATGCGGCATTCGGGATGTCGGCTTGTCGCGGCAGCGGCTACCCCCGCATCCCCGCCACTCCATATTAAGGCTCAACGGCGGCCACCGATGACACTGCCGGTGTCGCTGCTGCTTTCGGATCTATTATCGTGGAGGCAGGTTGACCCCAAGTATCACTGGCACAGGACACTGTTTCAACACTGAATTGTCCTTGACCGCCGTTTCACTTCTTGTTGTCCTGCTGTTACCATGCATCGACTCGCAAGAACAAGAGGCATCACTGCCAGCGCCGGCCGCACCTCGACCCGTCTCTCGTCCTCCCTTTCTCCCTCGTCCACATCCGCCACGCCCAGAATGGCCTCCAAGGCGACCGCTGCGAGGCGGTTAGCTGCCACGGCACAACACATCCGCCCCATGAGCGACCTCGCATCGACGGCCACGAACTATCCCTCCACCCACGAGAGGATCTCTCAGCCCCAAGATACGCCGTACTTCGTCGACAATGCCTTTGTCGAGAGCAAGGCTGACAAGTTCATGGAGCTGCATGATCCCGCCACCAACAATCTCGTCACGCGCGTGCCCCAGATGACCGACTCCGAGCTCCAGTCCGCCGTCGACAGCGCCAAGAAGGCGTTTCCCGCCTGGCGGAATACCAGCGTCCTGGCCCGGCAGCAGATCATGTTCAAGTTCGTCGGCCTGATCCGCGAGAACTGGGACCGTCTGGCTGCCAGCATCACCCTCGAGCAGGGCAAGACCTTTGCGGATGCCAAGGGTGATGTGCTGAGAGGACTGCAGGTTGCGGAAGCAGCGTGCGGTGCACCGGAGCTCCTGAAGGGTGAGGTTCTGGAGGTGGCGAAGGACATGGAGACGAGGAGTTACAAGGAACCTCTGGGCGTCGTTGCTGCTATTTGCCCATTCAGTAGGTACCAGGATGCTTACCATGCATTAGTTAAGACGGCAAGTTGGCTGACTGGGTCTCCACTCGATAGACTTCCCTGCCATGATTCCCCTCTGGTGTATCCCCATCGCGACGGTGACCGGTAACACGATGATTCTGAAGCCCTCCGAGAGGGATCCGGGTGCTGCCATGATCCTCGTCGAATTGGCGAAGAAGGCTGGTTTTCCAGATGGTGTTATCAATGTCGTACATGGCGCCCACCGAACCGTCGACTTCATCCTCGATGACCCGGACATCAAGGCTATCAGCTTTGTTGGTGGGAATAAGGCCGGCGAGTACATCTACAGCAGAGGCTCTGCGAATGGAAAGAGAGTACAAGCCAACCTGGGTGCCAAGAACCATGCTGCCGTGCTGCCCGACTGCAACAAAAACCACTTCATCAACTCGGTAGTGGGTGCGGCTTTCGGTGCTGCTGGACAACGATGTATGGCGCTGAGCACGCTGGTCATGGTCGGCGAGACCAAGGAGTGGCTTTCGGAGCTGGCCGAGAGCGCAAAGAAACTTCAGGTCAACGGTGGCTTTGAAGAGGGTGCTGATCTTGGTCCGGTCATTTCGCCACAGAGCAAGGAGAGGATCGAGAGCTTGATTGCCAGTGCCGAGGAGGAGGGCGCAACGATCCTGCTGGATGGTCGCGGCTTTACGCCTGAGAAGTACCCGGGTGGCAACTGGATTGCCCCGACCATTATCACCAACGTCACACCGGAAATGAAGTGTTACAAGGAGGAGGTGTTTGGCCCAGTCTTGGTCTGCCTGAACGTCGACACGCTTGGTGAGGCGATTGAGTTGATAAACAACAACGACTATGGAAACGGCGTGGCCATCTTCACCAGGTCAGGACCCACGGCGGAGTCGTTCAGGAGAAACATCGAGGCCGGTCAGGTCGGAATCAACGTGCCCATCCCGGTGCCCCTGCCCATGTTCTCGTTCACGGGTAACAAGAAGAGTATCGCGGGCGGAGGTGCAAGCACCTTTTACGGGCGACCGGGCATCAGCTTCTTCACACAACAGAAGACTGTCACGGCCATGTGGGCGAGTGCGGATGCCATCTCGACCAAGGCGGATGTCGCTATGCCTACGCATAACTAGGAGGCAGCAGGGCATGGGGAAGTATTCGAATTAAATATGTAATAAATGCATGAGCCACCTAAATTGATCCTGCTGGAGTTGGGTTTACATGAATGACCCCAATCGTATGTTCTGTATGGTGTGTGCATGTTGCCCCTGCTAAGTAAACAAACTGCGCTGAGGGAGGCACATGCAGCGGCAGGTAGCGAATAGGCACGGTTGAGGACTAAATAAAGCCAGTATGAAGGAGGTCGATGGGGATTGCCAGATGAACTTGCTTTGTCTTTGAGAAAGGAGCGCTGTTGGCGAGTTGGTCCTGCGTTGAACTTTCCCAACAGTTACGGCACAGTTACGGTCTTAAACCGTCGAATGTTCCCGCCGCTCGGCTTCGCCACTCGGGAAACTCAACTTCTCATACCTAAACCACCGACCTCATCATGGCCGCAAACCAAAACGCCCAGGTCGATACATCTGCTATCGAGGCAAATGATGGAGAGTCTGCCGGCCCCACGGCAGATCTCACAGAGCTACCAAATGATCTGTTCCTGCTCATCATATCCTACCTCTCCCCTCAGGAAGGCGTACTATGCCGCAGGGTCAGTCGGGGCTGGCATGCGGCCTTCACAAGCGATGATGTGTCGCGAAATCTTATGAGATGGCACTTTCCGCGCGCCCGAGAGATGCGGCTTTCACAACTGGCCCCAAAGCAGCCAGAGTGGGCTCGCATATTTCCAAAGGTCGCGCGCCGGTATTTCCATCTGCGGTCAGCCAAACCCCGACTGATCGAGAAGATCGATGTCGTCCAGGAGGCACGGCAGAAGGGCTTGTTCAGGGCGGTCGAGCCGTGGAATCGATGGCTACGGTGGAACGACAATACCGCCACCTTCCAATACCGCAATCCGAGCTGGTGCCTGGATGACGGGCTCTTGGTCTATCAGGAGAATGTCTCGAGTCACTACGTCGTGTACGATCTGGGGACCAGACATCGCTTTCGAGTCCCATTTGACAAGGCAGATAAGACGGTCAGGCGCTTACGACTTGCGTGCGGCATTCTGGTCATTGAGTGGTGCGAGCGAGAGCCATACCACCAGTTGAACGATATGGAGACGGTGCACCGGCATTTTGCTACTGCGTTTACTGTGCATCGGGCATCTTCGTCTGGCACCTCGTCCGAAGCATCGGTCTCTCCTACTATTGCCTTCTACTCGGAGTGGAAGATACACTTCCTAGGCCTCCCACTTAACCGTCACGACCGCTTCTTCTCCGCCCACACCGCCAAACACTACGCGCTTTACGTCTGGCAGCCGAACCGCTCTCCGTGGGGCGAGGAGGACCCCCTCGAACAGCTCACCATCTGGAACATATCAACCCCGTCCCCGTACCGGCCCTCCACAGACCCGACGGGCGCCAGCAAGCCCGAGCCCGGGCAGGGACCGACGGCCATCTCGCGCTTCACCTGGCGCGACCTCGAATTCCTGGGTTTGCGGCAGCGCCACACACCCGCGCTCCGCGAGATCCTGCTCGACGATTCGAACGTCTACGTACATGAAGAAGAACACCGCTGGCTCTCGGGCCAGCACTCGTCCCTCTCACCCCCGCGACATCACCACGTCCGCTGCACGGGGATGCCGATTTTGGGCATGGGGCCCCGGTGGTTCGACGAGTGCTGCGCTGACGGCGACGTGCACATGAGCTTCTGCCCGCGTGGGCGCACCATCTTGGACGGAATGTCCCCTGAGCGGGCGCCCTGCTGGCGGCACGAGGAGTTCCCATATCTCACCGTCAGCGACGTGGTTGACGCGGCTGCAAGGGTCAGGATTGTCGCCCGCCAGTGCTTCATGATGGAGGCCCTCTCGGCGTTTGTGTTGCCCAAGATCAGCTACGAGGGGCGGCGACAGCAGCAGCAGCAGGAGGACGGCGAGGACGAGGACGAGGACGAGGACGACGATGGAGACGGAGAACCTGAGGAGGCGCGGTTTGCGGACGACATGTGGGCGCAGCTCCTGGCCAGGGGGGAGATCGCGGGGGATGAGCGCTGGGTTGTGGGGGAGGATACTGAGGGGAGGATTACCGTGGTGCGGTTCTGAGGAAGGCGGCGAACTTCATGTTGCACGTCGCTTTCCTCTGCCACGATAATCCACACTATCCCATAGACTGGCATTCGGCACCACCTCACCAAAATTTAAGTACAGTACTTCCAAAGTTTGCTGCGCCTCAAGAGATCTGTTCAGGCCACCGAGATTGACCAATCCAAGCCCGTGATGGAACGTCATACGCATCGTGATTGGTTTATCTCACTGGAGAAGACCCATATAGTGTGGCTAAGGTTCGTACTCTACCAGGTGGTGCCGAATGCCAGTCTATGGGATACCTAAGGGTGTTGTCGTTTCTAAACACAACATACATGAGGTGGTAGTCATGTTCCTTCCGGTGCCAACCTCGGTGATACTATGGTCTTCGGAGAGCTCCCCGCCTCCAATAATGCTACCCACCTGCCCCAACCCCCGCGGGCAACCCCGACCTACGTCTCCACCTCCACCAGTCCGCAGCGGAGATGCGAGAACTTCTCCTTCTTCTTCTTCTCTAGACTAGCAGCCAGTCGACCCCCCAGGAGTATACCCCTGGAGGCTATCGGACAAGACCAGTTGATTGGCTGATCAGAAGCATCCGATGCATGTGATTATTCATGGATTCACCCCAACTTCAGTCTTCTTCACGGTCTGGCCCCTGGGCTGTCTGGCCTATCCCCGGGTCCGCTATCGCTTCTCACTAGGTCGGCCGACTTGATCTTTCTGTATGACAAGTCCGAGATGGAAGCCACCTGCACCGACTTATTACTACACGCCCATTACACTGCGGGTCAGACTCGGCATCCTGATAGAACTCCAGCTGAACCTTGAACGCAGGCGGGGTCACGGAGCTTTTCCCTCGACGCTTTCCTCGCGATCTCCCTCATCCATATATAAGTTGGTTCCGCTCTGTTTATCTCGTGACTGGCTAACTGCAGGATCGAGCGCTGTTGCCATTGTCGTCGAAGTGTCCCATACCCATTGCAAGTATCGTCAGTTTGCGTTCCGGGTATCCTTACAATGGAGTTGACAGCACTTCTGTTCTCGCTGGCGGCTCTGCCGCTCGCCATGAGCGAGACGGTCCTTGGCGTATACATCTTCTCCCGCCACGGCGACAGGACCCCCAAGGCTCTCGCGCCGGCAAACTTGACCTCCCTTGGAGCTGACGAAGTCTACTCGTCAGGCAACTACTACCGCAGTCGCTATGTCGACTCCAATGCCACCTCCCCAATCTTTGGCCTGAGCAGTGACATTGCCGTCGCTGGCCAGATGACCGTGACCGCGCCGGCCGACGCGGTTCTCCAGAACTCGGCTCAGGCGTTCATGTCAGGCCTCTACCCGCCTGTCGGCGCTCTGTCTACGCAGGCTCTCGCCAATGACTCTTCTGTTGAGTCCCCACTGGGCGGCTACCAGTACATCCCCATCAACACCGTGTCGACTGCTTCTTCCAGTGCCGACTCGGAGAACAGCGCGTGGCTGCAGGGGAACAGCGGCTGCGGGAATGCCGTCGTCTCATCCAACAACTACTTCCTCTCTAGCGAGTACACATCGACTTTCGACGACACCAAGTCGTTCTACAGTGACTTGCTGCCCGTCATCAACAGCACCTTCGACGCTAAGCAGGCCACCTTCAAGAACGCCTACACCATCTTTGACTACGTCCATGTCGCCACCATCCACAACTCGACGATCCCCTCGTCGGATCTTCTGACCAATGAGACGCTCACACAGCTTCAGCTGCTCGCCAACGCCCACGAGTGGGGCCTGGCTTACAACAGCACCGACACCATCCGAGCCGTGGCTGGCTCGACCCTTGCTGCACAGATCGTGCAGCAGCTCAACAGCACCCTGAACAGCAAGAGTGCCCAGCCGTTTGGCATCCAGTTTGGTGCCTATGCCAGCTTCCTGTCGTTCTTCGGGCTGGCGCAGCTGCAGAACGTGTCGGCCGAATTCACGGGCATCGTCGACTACGCGGCCGCCATGACCTTCGAGCTCGTCACCAACGCCACCGTGTCCGGCTCGGAGTATCCCAGCCCCGACGATGTCTCGGTTCGGTTCCTGTTCGCCAACGGCACGGCCGCCCAGATCGAGCCCAGGGCCTATCCCCTGTTCGGCCAGAGCGAGACGCTGCTTCCCTGGAACACGTTCGCAAGTGAGATGGGCAAGTTTGCCATCGGAACCACCGCCGAGTGGTGCCAGGCCTGCGGTAACACGACGGGACAGTGTGCCAGTTCCACCTCGACGGATTCGGGAGGCGGCGACGCGGCTGCCTCTTCTACCTCTGGCAAGGGTAATGGCATCTCACTCCCCGTGGCGGGCGTCATCGGCGCCCTGGTGACTCTGGTTGTGATTCTGGGTGCTGAGGCCGCGATCTACGCCATCTCAGGCTTGAGGCTCGTCAAGAAGTCGACTCTGGCGCAAGCGGGTTCTGGGGCGGGAATCACCACAGCAGGCGCAAAGGCTTAGGAAGTCAAGCAGTCAGAGAATCTGACGTCCGAACTTAAGACTTACAACGCGCAGTTAAGAGAAGCCCTCAAAGACTTTCGTGAGCTACGAGTTGTGTCAACTGAGCGGGTGAATAGCGCGGGAGCCGAGCAGGGAGTTATGAGTAGTGCGAATCACCAGCTTTGAAGTGATATAGGAAATAATATTGAATTTGATTTACTCACGAGAGAGATGATCCTAACAATCCCACTAAGGCCACTTGACAAAAGACAAAGTCAACAACCGCAGTGCACAAGCAGCCATTCAACGATCACTTTCCGACAGTTGGCCATGAGGTAGTCGTTGAGTCCAGCTGGTTATGCCAGAGTATTATTCAACTACTTGCTACTATGTCTGATGACTCGGGCCTGTCTCGTTCGTACATGGATGACCCAGACGTATGTAACAGCATCATCGATAACTTCAATAGTAGTCCATATCGCCGGTAATGATGCACGAGCGTACCTACAGAACTAGAAAACCAGACGCGCCATCACGACACAGCTTGGCTCGTCCCTCTGAATTGCATCACTCCAGCCCAGTAAACGGAAGCAAGTCGTGGCGATGGAAGAAGCTACGATTCCGCTTTCTAAAGATGTTTACCTTGGCATTAAGCAGAAAATTTCATAGCAGCAGAGGTGTGGCACGTGATTGCTTACACATGGGAGTGGTCAACAGGCAGATGACCATTGACGATCTGCACCGACCCGAGCGCGTAGAACACCCTCTCGATGCCGGCTGCCACGGGCCAGCCGTACGCCTTGAAAGTCAGCGCAAAGGCGAACAGGTTCTTAAATATGATGAGGTACGTGAAATCTTCGATGGAGAGATCGCCCGTGTTTTGCGATAATCAGCTTCGAGTTAGTCCCCTCGTTCCAGAGGACTTCGGGAGTCAGGGGTTAGGGGTACTCACAAGATACCCATCCACGATCTACAGTGAGCTTGCCACGGCCCCGATAACCATGCCGCGGACTGTGAGCCCGAAGAACACCACAGGCACGACCCAGTGGCAGCGGCCCTCGAAGAGGGCGAGGGATTGGGCAAACGTCTTCTTTGGCCGGTGAGCTCCGCTTTCTCCTGCTGTGACGGTCGTCTGCGACAGGACTGCTTCTTCGGTGGTCATCTTCTCCGGCTCATGCTCCTACTCCCTGCCGTTCGGGGGAGTGGTGCCCTTGTGCTGTGTTGATGGGGAGCTCGCGATGTACGTGTTCAGCGCCGAGTCCCGGCAGAACGCAATTTCCGGACAGAAGAGGAAGACGGCTACCAGGGCCACCGCAGGATATGGCGACCAGGTAGAAGGTCCACCACCACCTGATCGTGCGCGTGATCTTGCCGACGAGGATGGGTGTGAAGAAGGCGCCGCCGAAAACTGCCAGGTTGGTCATCGCCATGCGCTTCCCTCGTTCCTTTTGTCTCACTTAGCGCAGTGTGAATCGCAGGGTAGAGGGAGATGGAGATACTCACGTGAACGAAGTATAAGTCACCCACGGCGGCATTGACCAGACTCTCGAATGACGCGGTGCCCACGCCCTGGATGATGCACGCCCACAACCAGACTCGTGTAGCTGTACCCAGCAGCGCCGGCCCATGCACTCGTCGCTACCAAGATGACGGTGCCGAGGACGAACAGTTGCTGGATACCTAGGTAAGGTCACACAGGTGGCTTGCATTCCTCTGGTCTGGAAGATATATAATTGACGGACACCGAGTGAGGTTGGGACTCCAGCTTTTACATTCTGAATTACCCTTAAAATTGCGCAATGGTCACCAGGTAGCAAACTCAGGTTGTAGTTCAAGCTGCAATCTCGGCTGTCTCTTCGCCGTGTCCAGATCTACTATGGTTTGATGCATGTATTCTCCCATATCTTCGGTAGTAACCCGAGACACTACGTAGATCTCGGCGCAACAGAACCTCCGAATCACAACAAAGTCTCGGGAGGGGCGCGGCACGGAACTGTTGTTCACAATTTCAGTATGAGCCGTGGCGCATCGTGAGCTCTGTGTTATGCAGCAGTTTACAGGCTTTCTATAGTCAGTGTATTACTCGTGGGCATTCCTACCTCAGTATCTTGAAGGTCAGAAGGTTGCTCTCGCAGGCAGTCATCGATCGCGAAGCTCGAGTCTAGAAGCTCGAAGACAGGCATGCCATTGGACGTCCAACGTCGCCGAGGTCTTTTACCACAAGGGCATTCATCCATGGGTAGAATGAGGAAAGCTAGTGAACTCCTCTCAGAACCCCATACTGGTCGGTATAGCTCTGCTGACTTTCACTCCTCATATTCCAGAGGTTATCGAACCGACCTCATATTCAGCGCCCCGCAATAGACTCTTGCCACACCTGTGAGTATGAGGCTCGCGGCGATAGCACTTATACTCGGCGGCACTGTCATGATGGCCCAGGATCTCGGTACGCTTCCGGACTGCGCTGCATGTTGATGTCCCTAGCGACTGCAAGCTCCACAGGTTGAAGATAGACAAACTAGGTGCGTTCTGACAAGTGGATTGGATGCCAAGTGCATTTGTGCCAGCGGCTCTTTCATCAGCGGCTCGTTCATCAGCGGCATGTCCTGCTGCCTGTCCTCGGCTTGCTCCCAGCGGACCAATAGAGCACCGTCGACTACGCAGCCAGTTTCTGTAGCACGCAGGGCGTCCAGGTGACTTCGGCAGTCAGCTGTACGAGTTCTTCGGGAACCAACACAATAACTCCCACCATCACAACAACTCCCACCGGCGCAGCGACTTCCACAGCAGCGTCTAAATGCGCTGCTCCCGGAAGTCCTGGAACTGGAACGGATGTGTGCGGGTTTACTCGCAGCCACGACCTTGTTCTTGTGAGGGATGGACCGATGTGGAAGATGCAATCGGATATGACGGGCACCCCTTCGCATCGGCTGGGGCCGTAATTATACGACTCATCATCTGAATCCAGGCGTGAGTCTGCTTTGCAATTTGTGTTGCTTCTTTTCTCTCCAGGTGATGGTCATGTTGAAATTTCCAGTGTCTGGTGTTTAGCCTGGGTCGAATGAAATAGAGCTCACGACATGTAATCACGCACCTACCCTATACTATTATAGATACCAGGCCTTCACATTTCAGAGTACCTAGGTACTCAGCGGACATATTGGTCCTTACGTCGTAAAGCTCAGTGCGAAAAAAGTCAATGTATTTCGAAACACCGCAGCTGTCACAGTGTTGACGCCCGCCCACGGCCGGAAGTACGGTTTTGACAGGGACAAGGTCTTCGAGAAGGTTTACCAAGAAAGATCAACTGGCACAAGCAAACAAGCTCTCAGACGTCCATGTAAACGCGCGGCCCAGGTGGAACCGTGAAAAGAGTTGACTGGAGTTGACTTGAGTTGCGCATGGCGGGAAGACACTTCGGAATTTCTCGTATAATGTCTTGGCACGGTATAGTTGCATCTTGCATGTCATGCAGCTAGACAGGTGGACATGGGTCTCCTGAAGCTGCACAAACATACCTTGTGCAGATCAGAATCGAGCCAAATCGCCCAGTCGGCTTCCACTACCGGGACTGTCAATGTATCATAGGTACCCTTGCATACGAGTCATGATGCTGGATCAGTCCGAATCCCAGGCCAGGCATGATGGGATCTCAGAGGCCAACGTGAGGACCCTCTCGAGCCTCGGCCCTCAAGCTCTTGATGGTTTGCGACTCTTGTGCGGCACCATCGTGGTTGGTTCTCTGGTCCGGTGGGTGCAGAGCTGAGCCGAGGCCGGACGACCGCTTTGACCTCTGCGAAACCCGTTGCGCTTTGACCGACGCCTTGCGACGAGTTTTTGCTGTCACCGTGCTGTAGCCTGTGTCTATCTCGGGGCCGTATATGTCCACGAGGTCCCGAGCAGTCTGTTTGATTGAAGGATCAACGAACTCTATTGTGACATTTTCTCTGGGCCCATGAGCCCCGCCAACACCCGCAGGGCCTCGTGTTTCTTCATTCGTCCGCCGGAGAAATGCGCAATGTTCGGTGAAATTCTTGGCTTATGGGTTGACCAACTTGACCTGGTCTAGTCGTCATCTCTTCTTCCCCACTACAGCCTCACCTCGGTCCTCGGAGCGGTCGGCAACGTCAACTAGTAGGTAGGTATCATCAGAAGTGGCTTCACGACTGCACTGGCAGCTGTGGATCCAACTTCCCGGGGACCGGTGACGACTGAGATGAATGTGCCCGTGGGACCTGACGATACGCACGATACGCACGTATGTGGTGGCGCCTTCAGAGCTTCGATGTGCTATTTCACCGCTCCTATTTCACCACTCACGAGAGTATCTGATCTCTGCGCTTCCGGTAGCACCAGGGCTCCCTGGCTTGGTATGTAGAGCACGGGTGACGGAATGCCTCCAGCTGTTGGAATGGTTCTGTGAGTGATTCCGGTATTAGAGACGGGGCTATACTGCCATTGATTGTGCCGTCTCGTGGTGCAACGCCGGCCTCGTAGTCTGCTCGGTTTCGGGTAGAAACCCCGGAAACTTCATTGTGCTTGAGCTCGGCTGCCCCCGGTGTTTGCAGCTCTGACAGATTGTTCCAGGCTCTGCTGTTTCAAGCGTTCAAGAATGTCCGATATCAAAGTGCCGCTGCGGGCTCCACGATCCTCACGTGCATGCATGTCCAATGTCAGGCCTGCTCGCAATCACGGAAAAATGTACCAGAGATTGGCACAATTGAACAAACAACTGCGTGCGCACGGCTGTGAAACGAGAAAGGTCCGAGAGTTGCGGAAACAGGAGGACGGCTCAAGCAAGACGTGGTCGGCGCTGGACGACTTGCAGCGCCGCTTAATGCTTCTGGAACAAGAATGGAATGGAGTGAGCTGAGTCTTGTAACGGGTACTGTACTATCTCTCTAGTCAAATAAGCCCGTTTGGTGACTTGGACCTGCTTACGTGAGGTGATTGTCGAGGGAACATGAAGGTTGTTCATGTTTCAACTTTCCATCCATTCAGGGGTAATAAAAGAGGGGCACTCCATGTCACATTCAGAAATCAGAAGTGAAGTCGAACATTTGAAGCTCGAGCGCTCGAGCCGAATTTCCCCAAGTCGCAAGCCGGCGTTTCTGTCAAGTCAAATGTTCCTTATTACCAACTACCTACCCACTGTTCCTTCGCGACCTGCACCTCGCTCAACCTCGCTTGTCTGTTTCATCCTCTAATACCTACGTTGTGGCTCATTCGTCTTCCGACGTTTACTATGAGCGAAGGGTGTCGAGCATGAACCTACCCTGCTTCACCTTGCCTCCTGCTTTGGCAGGCTCCTCCCCGCGGCCATAGTTGGCTGCCGGGTGCTCAAATGCTCAGTGCTTACAGCTCAATCGCAGAACGAAACTCTGATCTTGTTTCGCAACAAAGTGTCACTCTGCACCTACTCTCCCGGGCCCTGGGGGGCGAAGTGTCCGCCCAAGATCTGGTTCTGCAAAGTCCATGGCGCCATCGAGGTCTTGACTCTTCAGGACCAGGTTTGTCGAGGTTGCAACTTGCAGGCAAAAGGTCTGTCTGCCCAGGGTCAAGGGCCAAGGGCCAGGATGCTTCGATGATCGTCTTACATGTATCATTATGGGGCCCAGGTTCTTAGACCCCGGCTGTCACACCTTGGACTTGGACGACGCTTCACGCTTCACACTGACGGATTGACCGTCGTGGTGGACACGACCTTTCGACACGCACAAATGCACCCGTCACTGCTCTCAGACATGGACAGGCTCTTTATCGACCCTGGTCCCTTCGTGGGGTCCTCTGTTTTCTTGTTATTATTCCCGTCCATCACACTGCCCATTGAGCCGCTGTGATGAGTTCGCTTGCTTCTCCAGATGCCTAAATTGCGGCTCAACCCCACGCGCCGGGGCCAGCCTGACCATACCTCGTTCATTATTGACTTCGTGAAGGACAAAGAAGGCCTGTACGGCCGCATGCTTGTGGGAGACAATTCCTTACCCTGGCCGCACCTCCACTACTATATAAACCAAGGCATGCCGTCACCATCCATTGTTGGAGCTTCATCACCACATCTCCCCCCGACATTTCTCTGTCTACCTAGAACGCCTTCGTGGCTCGCGTCTGATTCACCATCAACCTGCTGGTACGTATGTTACGACGCTCGCTGCAGACAAATCAGCTTACCAGACCGCCAAGCTACCATCGCCATGTGCGACTTCACCAAGAACTATTACATATACGCATCATGCCTGGATCCTGGCGCACATTTCTTCCGGACATCAGTGGACGGCAGCCGAAAAGACTCGTGTTCCAAAGGTCCCCATGAGCGCTACATCGTCCAGCCCGGCCACTGCCCGCTATGCAGTTGAGATGGGACCTTTCATTTTCCTAGTTGCCAGCATACGCATCGACTCATACAACACCTCCGTACTGTCATTACCTCGGTCCTACAGAATCATACACTTGGGTTTCATACATCCTCACGCGGTACTGGCACTCCCAGGAACCCTAGCACCTCTGGCCATGTTTACCACGGTCCGGCGGTAGGCTTGGAGCCTTCTGTACTCGGCTCTTTGGTCTACGTGGCCAAGCATTAAAACGGGAAAAGAAGACACGGCAAGAGCAGCAGGGCTAGCCCGCACGACATCCCGCTTATGGCAGCCCGGTCTCTGGGAATCTGATGGATAGCTGCGGGGCATAATATTACTTGATGATAAGCCCCCGCGTGACGCGAGTGGGATGAGAGCCTGAGATGGCTCCAGCGGGAGAAGAAGAAGTCTTCAGCGTGGATGGATGGTTCCGGTCACAGAGACGGTAACAAGCGAGACCGGGAGGGGCCAATGACAGCGCCGTCGATTGGCTGGGGATGGACATATAAGCAATAAGTGGGAGTCATAAGGCACACACAGCATTGTTCGCAGGCTCGCATTGTGCGGACCAATCGCCACATATACCGGCAGGCGTATGATGATGAGTCTAGTCGGATCCAAAGGACGCCCCAGTGGCGATGGCCTTAGTATTACATGGCATGTGTGCTATTACACAAGTAATAACATCTATTTCTGACCTCGTGATCTCTTTTTCGTGGCGGCTGCTTGACAATGTAGCCCACACTACGTCTTGAATCGTAGTTCAGCAGCCTGGTCCGCCTCTATTCCTGTGTCGATGAGCTGTCCACGAAGACCGGTCATCTGACTGTAGTGTCTTCCTAATCCGGGATTGCCAATATGGCGTTGATACAGTAGAGCAGTGCGGACCATGAGATGCCCCCACGGCCACGATGTTGATCTGCTGTAGGTTACGATACCGTGACGATGTGGTGTATAGTAGAGTGCCACTACATCTTCCTTGCAACAACTGGCTAGCGTCGGTGAGCCCGTACGACGTGATGACCGCTTTCGACCACAGGTTGGATAGCCTTCGGTGAACCGTTAGGGTAGCCACGGCGAAACTTGCTCATGTGCCCCAGGTATATATGAGACTATAAGGGCCGTTGCTCGTATTATTCGTGTGTGTGCGACTAGCGAGGGCGTGTCAGCGTTGTTTCCTTGGCTGGAAAGACAAGGGATGGATAATGTGGCATCCACTCGACTCCATCGCAACCAACAAAGGATATAATTTGGGCCTAGATGTAAGGCATTCCACTCATCTGTAAAAGTCAAGCCATATAGCACGTCCCCCCCACCTCCACCCACAAGAGGGAAACCCGTGGCACAGACGACGGTGCCCCCATTTATCTGGCCAGCTGCGGGCTGGCTTGCGACCATGGACTTAGCTCTTGGAGGCCGGCGCTTGGTTACCCATATCCTGGCAGGCCGTTGAGGCGGTTTTGCCGCGCGCGGGATGAGGTGGAGCTTGCAGGAATGGCTCATCACAAACGACAACAAGACGGCAACCCGAGACGTACATCGCCTGGGGTCATTCCCATGCCCCATTTCCCTGCATTCCGGGTAGGGGACCGCCATCACATTGGCAGAGAGAGAACACGGGAAGGCCAATTCAACTCTGTGTGGATGAATTGCAGTGATGGCGGCATGCTTGGTGGAGGGTTGGTAATATCTCCCCGCAGAGTGTGGGAGCATGACGAGACGTCCCGCCACCAGTATGCCTTGCATGCGTCCGACTGATGATCCGCTACCAAGCGTTCCCGTCACGCGGCATGTGCGAGATAAGCAGCATGAGCCCAGATAGGTTGCTCGTACCGTTCCCCGTCCTGCACCAAGACAGACGGGATGGCCGCAGTCATCGACTCGTGATGCAAGTCACCGAGCGGATACAACCTCATCGGGCCTTCTAATAATCTCTCGGCTACAGGACCTTGATGTGATGGCGATGCGGGGAATGCTCGATCCAAGATAGCTCGCTGTACCTGGCTTCGATCATGGCCATAGCGTACCCTGATATTCCTTGTCCTATATAGCCCACGTCGATACAAGGGCACAGTGCCTCCATCACGATGTCAAGGGTCCGCACGCGCCCTGAACCTGGAGACCAAGACTGGAAGAGATTCGCTCCTCGCATGCCGACATGTTGAGCCTGACAGTTCTACGTCTCGACGTACACTAGACCGATACTGTCGACTCCTGTGGGGGCTGATTCGAGAGGCGCGTATCCAGCCGTCGAAAACCGTCGACAGGTTGATTCAGAATGGCCAGCCGATGGTGCAGCCCAGAGCTTGGAGCTCCTGCTTGGACGCAAAGAGCTGCCTGCTTCATCGATGCAACTCCTCCATGTCTGTCTGCGATCTTCGGATCGGAAACAAAACGCGGACCGGTTCAGAGTCGGGGTGGCTCGCATCTCGCAGCCGAGGGGAACGCGCATACGGTACCGAAGATGACGACTTCATGCAAAATGGTATGGTAGGGCTTTGGAAAGAGGTTCCGCTTCTCTGATGGATGTGAATCGACACATCTGAGAGGCTTGCGCTGGATCGCCGCGTTGTCGTGTCATGTTGCGTAGATCTGATTCAAGACCCTGCGCTCCCGAATCTACGATGGACCAAAAAGGGTGAGCCGGGCGGAAAAAGCCGCGTCCGAAACCCAACCGGGTTACAATACAATACGATGGACCGTGCCCTGTCTAATTATTGGCAACTTTTAATGATAATATGTCTTGATTATACAAATCTTGGGCCCATCCGGTCACTTCATACGGATTTTAGCACGGAAAGGGGTCTATTAATTTCTGGGAAAGGGGGAGATAATCACAGGCCTGCCTAGTTTCTACAAGGCAGGGGAGACATATGACAAAGGAAGCTACTTTATGATCTACTTTCGGTTCTTTGTTGTCTCCATTGGCTATCCATCCTTATGCCACGTAGAGCGGGCGCAGCGAGGCCATCGATTCAAGGTCGGCATTGCGACGAAGCACAAAGCGATCCAGCCACATGCTAACCTCAACATCGTCGCGATCTAGCCCTCCAACGCGTTCTGCTGCTCGCCACCGAGGCTGTATCCCAGAAACTGTCCGTGACGTCCGACATGGTCGACATAGAATCATTATCCGAGACTTCCCAGTCACCAAAATCTTCAGCAGAAGCTACGTCCGTGGTAGACCCGCCGCGACTAAACCCGTTGAATCCTTCAGAAAAGGGGTGTGCATCGGGAGCAATCGGACAAGAGGTCGTCTCTTCGTTCCCATGCCATGGGAAGCCGAGTTCGCGCGTAGGCCTGGGGATGCTGGGATATCGCCGTTGAAGGTCGCGAAGTGCCTCGATTGCATCACTACCTGAGGGAGCAGGCGCCTGAGCCGGTTCGACAGCTTTCTTTCCAAAAACCAAAGAAAACTTGTCACAATGGCAGGGTCCTGTAAGGGAGGGCAATCTGTCCACGGAGTCCCAGGCGTGTCGAAGGAAATCGCTCTCGATGCGCGGTACTGTCGACGGAACCGGGTCATCTCTGCACAACACTGTTCGTCAGTCCAGGTCTCCCACTCTGCCCGCCGCTCGTCTTCGAGCGTATTGGCCTGGACGCGCATTTCATCCACTTGGTATGTATGCTGCTGCATGCGTTCGGGACTTGCCCTCCTTGGTCTCGATATGGCTTGTCGATTAGGGGTGAGAGCAGAAGAAGGCCTGGATAAGACTTGTCTCTGAACAATCTTTGGCTCCCTGTCTCGGTTGGCCCTGCTGCCTCTCCCTCTCAACCGTTGCCAAAGGCACTTCATTCTGGATTTTCCTAGACGGTCTGTCTTCTCTTCCTAGGCTGCTTTCTTGCAAGAAACAAATCCAGTGGAGTGCTCCTACGAAGGATCTGGCGATCTGAGGTTTGCTCTTCTTCGGGAGGGGCCCGGTTGGATATTTAATCTACCCCCCGTGTCGGCCTTGCTTTATGACAGTATCATTGTCGACAGAGCCGCCAAACGAAGCGTTTCCGCTAGCGCAAGAAGCCACGATGCCGCCCCCGTCGCCGACACAACAACAAGGTGTTTGTCTCGCGACGCTTTGTCTTGATCGGCCATTGTCCGTGATCTATGAGCGACGATGACCCGTCAAAGAGACTGAGACAATGGATATGTGCTGCCTCAGGGGACTATTATACTTCAAGGAGTTCCTTCTCGAAGTGTCTTTGACAAAGATGGGTTGCTAATCCATACTTAAGGGGAAACGGTCCTCTTGTTGCCAGTGTATTGCATAGAGCACATCACCGTATTTCACATCTCCCCGGATGACCACCTCGGCGAAGCTCACCAGCAGCTGTTGACCAGCCTATACTCGCCAGAGTGGAAATACCTAATCAGGGTAGTGAATAGACTCGGGCAACGCCCACACCATCAGATCGCAAGCTCGCCTGTCGACACCAAGCACCACCCCCCTATTTCCAATATGTGCTTCAACATGAACAGTCATTACCTCCAGTGCGGGCACGTCGAGACCAAGCTCACCCCTTGCCCCTCGTATCGCAAGCAGAAGAGCTCCGCAAGGGGATTCTGGGGGTCTCTGTTCAAGGGCAACACCAAGAGCAAAAAGCACTGTGGAAAGCTCATCCCCCATCCCCTCGAGCAGGACGGATACTGCCAGGACTGCGCTATCAGGTGGAACGAGGGCCTGCAGACCCAGTACGTCGGTGAGGGGGCCTTCCGCGTCCACAAAACCGCCATGGAAGACAGCTTTCGTGACGAGCGCAAGCACGCCGCCAAGAAGTCGCTGAAGAAGTCGGAGCGACAACATCGCGACGGCCATAAAGGAAGACACCACCACGAGGTCATCAACGCCAAACCCAGCGTCTGGCTCCCGGAGCTCTATCACCATCCCGAAACGCTGGCGAGAAGGGAAGAATACGCCCGTGCCCCTGCCGCCGCGCCACCCGTGTCGTCTCGATCGCACAAATCGTCACGCCAACACCATTCGTCCCGGACTCACGAGCCACGAACGGTCTACCGGGAGTCCAAGCGGGAAAGGAATCTGAAGCGGAACTACGACTATGTCAGCCACGAGAGCGCTCCGGGAACGCTGTCCGTCTCGGCCGGTCGAACGCCGGCCTTTGGTGGCTCGCAGCCTCTGATGAGGCCCGCCGAGCCAGCACCGACGCACCTGTATGCCGGTCGATTCGGCGCAGCGAATGCAGCAGCATTACCGCCAGCGTACGGACTGCCACCGATGCCGTACAAGCCCGCCAGGCCTCCGAGACCTGACGAATACGAATCATCGTCATCGGACGAGTACACCGTCCCCGAACCAGCATATCAGGTGTATCTCAACGCCATGGCAGCCAGTACCCCCACACATGCTGAGAAGGTCGCCGCCATGATGAAGCGGCACGCTGCCGCTGAGAAAGCAGCTCCAACGGGCCCGCCCAGAGATGCCGACGGAAACATCGACACGCGACTCGACCCTCGCTGGCGGTACTACCAGGAACCCAAGAAGTCCAGATTCCATACCCTCGCCGGGATGGCCAGAGGCAACCCGTCCCCAGCCTCCACCGATGACGGATCCGACGTGTCCTTTTACTGCTCAGGTGATCTGGCCAGCCGTCAGACCGCAGCGTTGGCGAGACACGGTGGTCGTAGGTAGGAACTCATTCGCACCCCTCTCGTTCCCCTCGCTCCCTGTAGAGTTCTCCAGTAGAAAAACTGTCCCAGTACGGTAAGTTCAAAGACTGTAGGTTATTCTAAGCAGAGAAACCGATGCGTAGCCAGGTAAGTATGTGCAGTATTTCCCAGGTTAGTTAGCAACGAACAATCAGACCCATGTTTCCGACTTTATGTATGCGAAGCCATGTGACTGGTATAAATTGCTGTATATTATTGTATGTCGAGTCTGCAGTGATGAACCGAGGCGCTTCCTAAACTCCGTGTATATATGCGGAACAAGGGGTATCAGTAGGTACAATCAATTCGCACCCTTCCGTGCCTGGCAGAGCCACGTGAATCAGTAGCGACAGCTGGCTACCAGGTACGCAGGCACGATACTTCCTTCGTCCGCTAATCCCCACCGCGCATGCGGCATATTGGCTCGACGCTGTTTCGCCCGGACCAGTCCCCTGGCCCTTCTGGTGTACAGGCGGTGACGGGGAGACTGGAATGATTCCTCTCTCGCACAAGTTCTTCCCACCGGATCATGCGATTGTCTGAGCACCCAGGCCCGTTCTTCAATGGGCCTTTCCATTCTTTGCCGCGCGGTCTGCCTTCTGTTTCTTGAACTTGGCGATCTCGATCTGCACAGCCTTATTGACACGGCTCTGCAACTCGCGCCTGTAGCCAAACTTGAAAAGCACCTCGAGCCAGACGAATAGTGGCGCGAGGAAGATGGCTTGGACCAGGTTATCCAACAGAGCTGGGGCACGGCCCTCATAGACGCCGTGTCCGAGGAACTGGAGCAGCCAGCAGACGACGTGTACGATGACGGCGACCTGGTTCGTCAGGGTAGGATTTTGCGACAGGGCGGCATTCGAGAAGGCGGCAGCGCCCAGACAAACGAGAGCCAGAACGGTACCCGCGACTGGTTCTAACAAGACGTATAAACCTCCCCAAAGTATTGCTGATATGGTGCCGAAGTTGAGCTGGAGATTGGGTACGGTCAGGACATCGGGCAGCGGAATGAGTGTGCCTGTGTTCGCGGCCTGTCGATGGAGCAAGCGTCATTAGCAACAAATCACGTTCCAACTTGGGGGAGGACGATGCGCACCAGAGCGAAGCCAGTAAAAAGGATCAAAGGCACACAGGCCATATGAATAGCAATGTTAACCGAGTTGCCGTGGTAAGCACCGTACTAATCGTGACAAAGGACCAGGATCAGTAAGAGACCATCGGGCCAGGTGGTTGGCCACGACCTACAAAAGTAAGCTGTCTCTCGAGATTGAGGGCCATGATGGGCAACGAGGTGCGGGAAGCTTGAAGATCAATGTCTGGGTCGAGGCGCCAGTCGAAAGTCGAGGGCCGGATCGGGGTTGGTGTTGGTGTCCGGGCCGAGGTCGGTATCGAAATTGGTGTCAAGTGTCGAGATCGAGGTCAGGGTCGAGGTCAGAGTCCCAATGGTTGCGGCTAATATAATCAGGAGAAGGCGGTACAAAGTAAGGCGTACATACATGTATAGAAGAGCATTGCACAATGTGAAGATGGATGTGTTAAAGACGGACGGGATAAAGGGAATTGTCGGCGACAGCACGGAACGTGGGGTGGACCAAGAGGGGCGCCCAGTAACTTTAAGGTATTCTGTTAGATACTAGCACGAATGTGTTGAATGGGAGCCGGAGATAGACACCGGAAGATCTCCAGTGGGGCAGAGACGCACAGGGCATCTGACCCACCAAGAAGACAGATGATCAATCTCTGCACACTGAAGAAGCAGAGCAGAACAATGAACAGAATCCATCAACATCCGTGTATTCAACATATTCCGTTAGTCCACACGACCTGAGGGTATACAAGTTGCTGCTAGAGTACCTTAGCCAATATATCAAGTCTTTTTTAAAACAGTAATAATGCCACGATTTTGCCGACGAATTAGATAACAGATTTCGCCTTGTTTAAGCCGTGTTTTTTTTATAATACTTTGACTAATAGATTTATTTAAATAATGTCAGATCTAAGGGATCTCCAGGGGTGTATGCCCTGTGGAGTGCTGGCTAGTTAGGTGACTAGTCAAGGATGCTGCCATGACTAGCACCATGAATCGTAGATTGACTCGGGAAAAGGTGGGCCGGAGGATCGTCTCCGGCATCTCCAAAGCTGTACAAATAGGTATAGATACCACCCAATTGGTATAGCTGAGAAATGATAACGATTGCAGCTACCGCTCAAGACCACAGGCTTGTCAACTCTTTGAAATCTGACTGTCAGATGTTGGATCCCAGATATGGTGCCCTTAGGTGCAGTACCCACTAGGGGGCTGTCAAAGGAACAGTGGATCCACCCTGGCATGGTGCAGTATGGTATCTAGCTGTAGATTAGCCCTGCCGAGTATACTTGAGAACGACAACAATATTTGCAGGGACCGCTCACACCCCCAAGGCTTGTGACCCTTCTAGAATCTCACACTGACAAATAATATTTATATAGAAAAAACCATAATACGATAAAATATTTTGTTGTTTTAAAAAATAGGTTTTTTTATTTGCGTTACTATTACTAGATTTAATTTAAAGTAATAATTATAAGCCGTACGTAATAATGTAGCGTTATAATTACGTTATATACTTAAGAAAAAAACTTTATATCGCGGCTAATAAAGCCGTAAAAATCGCGTCGCTTGATGCTAACTAAACATAGTTAAATTAACAAGTTATAAATAAATTAAATAAACAAAAATACCTTTACTTAAGTATATATAAAGTATAATAACAGGTATTATCGTCCGGGTCTTTTTTTTAACCGCCAATTAGTACTAGAAGAGCTGCTTATAGAGTCGCCTAGTGTTGTGACGGCCTGCACAGACCTTCCCACATGACAAGCGGATAATTCCCAATAGAGGAAGGATCTTACTAGAGGATCCCCTTAAAAGGGCAACCTCTTACTGTACCTATCTCTTTCTCTCTCTCTTTCTCTCCTCTCTAGTCTTGATATTCTCGTCAATAGAGTAATAGCTGCTTGCTGCCGGCCATGTCTCAGCTCCTCAGTACGCTCGCCGTGACATAATATCAAGACTTCTCTATACCAGATTAGAAGCCTTGTCTTCAGATCACCATTGCAAGGAGTTTTGCCTTCAGCAGTGACAGGTGCAGTGTCTCCAAACACCCACCTATCCCAAGACTTTATTATCCCTTTACTATCCCACTTACTATTACCACTGATCCCGTCCAACATATTGTGACGATGAGTACCATTATCATTACAGAACATCAGGATAGTTTTGAAGGGACTGGAAGACCAGCCCAACCTATCCAAACATCCCTTAATACCAACAACCTTCCCCCAAAGAAATAGAGAACCAAGGCACGAGGGGGCTAGAGCAAGCCAAACACGTGATCAAAGGCCGCTTTGACCCACAGTAAATCTCCCTCAAACGCTTCATTGTCTCCATCTTCCTCCAGGATCACATCCCAAGACGCACAGACCCAGCCCATGGCACAAACCATGAGCGGTGTTCTGGGCCGATCAAACGACCTCTTGCTCTTCAACCTAGATATGCTTACACCAGAGCAGCTAGCCAGACTGCAAACCAAACTACACACCCGGATCCCGAGGTCTAAGCCACTAAGACACACAACAGAACGACAGTCTGTGCATTTCAGCGCATCACAAGAAGAACGAGCCTTTCCTTCCTTAGAAACAGGTTCTCCACACATGACGACCCCTAGGTGGGACTCCCCAGTTTCTATGGCATCAACCTCAAATGCCATACGACATTCCATCAAGCTGGCAGACCCTGTAAAGCTAAGTGACGGTCAAATCCAACCTTTGAACAATAGAAGAACAACACTCAATACAAGCTACGGACCAACTGGTGGCTCTTTATTATAAAAGAATCAAAATTTGATTGGCTTTACACGCTAATAAAAAGTGATACAATTATAGCATTAGAACCATTCATCTCTAAAGAGAACACCGAGTCACTTACTATCATTGAAGAGGTGTATAACCTTCTCCGGTCCTCTTACAGCAATCCCGACGCAGCTGCTCAAGCCAGAGATCAGCTTCATGATCTGTGGATGGAACCAGTGCAAGACTTCTACTCCTTTTGTTCCACATGGGTTCTTTTAGCCAGTAAGACAGGCCTGTCCCGGACAGAATGGAAGTATGAACTGAACCGAAAGCTGACACCACCCCTAAAGATACAAGTGATGGCTTCTTACCTTGACTCTAATATTTCTTTTAACCAATTTTGAAATATCTGTTTTAGCAATACTTAACAGCTTACAGAGATTAAATGAGTCAAGAAATAGTACCAAAGCTTCTTAAAAGTTTCCTCTCGCCATACCATCACTGTGGTACCTGGACCCCAGCAGTTCATCAGAAGCCTACCAACCCAAGCTTTGTTCAACCAAGCGATTGACACTACTTTCTAACCAGCAAGAGCATCACCTGATCAGAAGACTCCCCGTCTCTCTATAACCTCTGAAAGAAAGCACATTAACCGATCACACACATCCCAAAAGACAGAAAGCATTACATGCTACTTGTGTGGCAAAAAGGGCCATATCACTCCCAAGTATTCAGACAAAAGAACTCCTTATGTACATTTTCTAGAAGAAGACAATGAGGCCTCTTCTGGTCTGACCCAGGATGTTACTTCTGACAACGAGTCAGAAAACTCAAAGGCCTAGGGAAAGTCTCTCACCTAGGCCTCCAATGTATTATTAATTAATTAGCTCACCATTCCTTTGAAATTCCATTACTTTGATCAGACCTCTCTGGCTTGATTGGCGGCAGTACCTTTGTGATGACTGCAACCATCCGATAGAATGGAATTGCAGTGCGTATGAAAGTTTTGATTGATATCGGAGCAGAGGTTTATCTTCTAGGCAGCCGTTCAATCATGAGCCCCTTGGCTCAACGATAGGAACTCCCTCAAAGACATTTTGATGAACCCGCCACCCTGAATAGTTTTGGTAAAGAACACTCACAAATTGTCAACACAATGGTTGCAGCAAACTTCCAGATTCAGGGAAGAACCTTTCGGGAAGAACCTATCCTGGAAGCAGAGTTTGGGCCCAGTAAGAATTTTGACCTTATTGTTGGCAAGCGATTTTTGGCTATTCACAACCTCTTACCAGACTGCCGGCGGAACTGCCTATACTTCCCACCGGAACTACCTTTTCTTACCAACTGAAAGACTGACATCACCAACCCAGCTTACCAGTGTTTAAGGCAACGGGCTATCAATTTTCAAGCCCAGCAGGATATGCTCTATAGGGATTCACGGTGGGAAGATCAAGAGAAACGCCTGCAGAGGATACTACTTCGCCTCTAAGTGCTGGCTACATGGGCCGGAGACCATCATGAGTTCTTACAAACAATGAAAGACCAGTTAACAGGACGAGACTGCGCGGCATCCTTACAAAAGACTTCCCTATGCCAAACTGTTTATCCTAAGGTTAGCAAGGACACAATAGTGAACGCTCTAGGCACGGATATCCATCTAGTCTCAGGAAGTACCTTTTTTAGACAGGCTGGTCACCGTCAGAAGCGGCAATATCAATGGCACAGCTATGGAGATGTGTTCTTCTTTTTGGTATATGAGTTTGATCAAGCTATTGATTACTCAATTGATAAGGAAGACTCAGAGACTCAACACTTGCTACGCAGCAGACTTCCCTCAGAAGCGCAAGATTTTATAGATATCTTTTCCAAGATAGAAAGTAATGAGCTACCCCCTTTCCGCAAGGATATTGACCACAAGATTGAGCTCAAGTCAGAGGCAAAAACTCTTCGCCTGCCTCTCTTATATAGCATAAAGGCTGACCATCTTATTGCCCTTAAGCAATATCTGACGTAACACTTATACAAGGAGTGGATTGTTCTTAGTGCAGCAGAGTATGGATCCCCTGTTCTCTTTGCCAAAAAGCCAAATAGAGGCTTGCGTTTCTGTGTTGACTACCGCGAGCTCAATGCTCAGTCAAAAAAGGACCGCTACCCACTGCTACTAATCAGCAAAACTTTGGAACGTCTGTCTTGCGCTAAGCTATTCACCAAGCTGGATATCAGGGCAGCTTTCCACTGAATTCGTATGGATCCGGCCTCTGAGGATCTCACAACCTTCTGCACGCGCTTTGGCCAGTACAAGTACAAGGTGCTCTCCTTTGGATTTTGCAACGGCCCAAGTACCTTCTAGCAATATATCAACAAGGCCTTGTTCCCATATCTGGATGAGTTCTGTACAGCCTATGTGGATAATATCTTGATCTTTTCTGCAGACCCATTGGAGCACTGAGATCATGTCCGCAAGGTCCTCCAGAAGCTCCGTGAAGCTGGCCTCCAAGCTGACATCAAGAAGAGCGAGTTTGCTGTCATATCAACAAAATTCCTGGGATATATAATATCAATCAGTGGCATATCAGTTGATCAAGCCAAGATTGCTGCTGTGAGGGACTAGGAAGAGCCTAAGGCTGTTAAAGAATTACAGTCTTTCCTGGGATTCTGTAACTTCTACTGGCAGTTTATAGATAGTTTTAGCAGGATAGCTAAACCTCTTTATCGTCTCACTGTGGCAACCAAGTACCTATAGACCAAGGAACAGCAGAGAGCCTTTAACAACCTAAAGGCTGCCTTATGCTCAGCTCCCTTGCTCTCACATTTCAAGGAAGCAGCTTCTACCAAGCTGGAAACATACGCTTCAGATAGTATAATATCAGCAGCCCTCTCCCAACAGGATGAGCAAGACAACTGGCATCCAGTAGCCTATCTGTCGCAAACTATGAATACAACAGAGTGCAACTATCCCATCCATGACAAAGAACTACTGGCAATTGTCTATGCCATGCGAGAATGGAACCACATGCTCACTGCCCTTTAGCATCCTCTTCCTGTTTCACAGATCATTAGGCACTCCAGTACTTTGCCACTAAGCGACAGCTCAATGTCCGACAAGCAGCCTGGAGTGAGGATATCTCAGGCCTGGACTTCACCATCTCTTACCGTCCAGGTAGGGAGAACCTGATAGCTGATACTCTATCACGGAAAGCCGTAGATCTAGCTATACAGAAGGCCATCAAGGATAAAAGTCGCTGCCAGATCCTCCTACCTGTTGAAAGGTTCAATGGACCCGTTGACCTGCCTGTGACCGACCCGTCACCTAGTCAAGAGGACAACCTGGTATGTGCTATTGTGGCCACCTTGGAAGCCAACAACCAGGACCCTGACAGTTCTCTAGAGGGTATTCAGCTTATTGATGCCATCTTGACAGCCAACCGCTCTTCATAGACCTTGCTTTTTGAGCGTGAAAGAGCTAAATATAGTCAGTAAGGCTACAGTCTTATTGATGGCTTGTTACTGAAAGAGGTACGCCTTGTGGTGCCTGATGAGGGGCACCTACACACACAACTTTGTGATGAGATTCACAGACTACCTTCCCGTACACACCCTGGTCGGAACAAGATATGTGCCTTAATAACAGAGCGTTACTTCTGGCCAGGTATGGGTGGGTGCTTTTATAGACTGCTATTGCGCTCATTGCCTAGAATGTGGCAGAGGTCGCAACTCCCGTCTCAAGCCAGCCGGCTTGCTACAACCCCTGCCTATACCAGATCGTCCTTGGCAACATGTCTCTATGGACTTCAAGACCATGCCAAAAGACAAGCTAGGCTATGACACGATCTATGTGGTGGTAGACTGACTAGGCAAACGCCTGTGGTCTATTCCGACATATAAGACATATACAGCCAAGGACCTTACCACCCTATATTTCAATGGACCTTTGAGGGTCTATGGCACCCCTGAGACTATGACTTCAGACCGTGGTCCCCAATTCATTGCTGCCTTTTTAGATGAACTAGCCAAGCTCACAGAGATGGACCTACGCCGCTCTACTACAGAACACCCTCAGACGGATGGTCAGATAGAAATCATCAACCAGTTCCTTTAGACCAAGCTCTGACCCTTTATAAGCCACTTTTAAGATAACTGGTCTCAACTATTGCCCTGTCTAGATTTTGCTTATGCCACACAACCTTATGTAAGTACTGGCTTATCTCTAGCTGAGGTTGAAATAGGGTTTCTTCCAATTATGACATTTGACTGGGATAAATACAGTCCTTTCTCAAGAAAAATGCCTATTACAGAGCGGCTGAGTCGTTCAGACGCTTAAGAGTTTACTGAACGCCAGGCACAGGCCGTGGCATGGGCCAAAACCAACCTCTTTAAGGCACAAGCAAAGTACAAGAAGCAGGCTGACAAGTCCCGACAATCAATTGACTAGAAGCCAGAAGATATAGTATATATATGCAAAGAAGCGTGGTGTACTAACCGCCCACATGATGGGTTGGACAAACCCTATATGGGACCATATCGGGTTGTCAAACAGATCAATAAGAACGCCTTTGAGATTGACTTACCCCCTGGGATAAACACTTATCGGGTCATCAACGCAAGCCGCTTAGTACGGTCACCAAATGACCCTGTCCCAGGTCAGGTGATCCTTCCACCGCCTCCTGTCGACACGGATGGGGTTCCTGAATGAGAAGTTAAAAAAATTCTGTCCTCCCGCCTAACCCGGGACAAGCTGGAGTACCAGGCTGATTAGACAGGTCATGATCCTGACCCGATGTGGTACCCAGCAGCTAACTTTAGAAACTCGGCTGTATATGTCAAATGTCACGACCAGATCAAGGCATTGAGGCGAACTCAGTCCATTGGGTGCTATAGACGAAGATTCTAAGCTAAAGAGAAAAGGAAAGAAATGACCAACAACGCATTGCGAAAAGCGCGACCAAGTCCAGGAGCAGGTGGAGCTCTGCTTGTGCCTGATCCCCACAGCCAGCTTCCGATTGGCTACTACAGTCCTGGCAGTTGAGGGCTGCTTGGGAGAGGTCCTCACATCAAAGAGTTCCATGACACAAATCCCAAGGCGACAGGTCCCCCTCAAAGGTTACAGCAATAGATAGAGACTGCTACTGATGATCAGGACCTAACTGATCATGAGGAAGACAACCTGCCTGTAAGAGGCTCTGCACAAGGAGTAAAGAGAACTTGGAAGAAATCATCGTCATAAACCGACTTTAATAAGGGGGGAGGGTAGTGTGACGGCCTGCACAGACCTTCCCACATGACAAGCGGATACTTCCAAATAGGGGAAGGATCTGACCAGAGGATTCCCTTAAAGGGGCAACCTCCCACTGTACCTATCTCTCTCTCTCTCTTCCTTTCCTCTCTAGTCTTGATATTCTCGTCAATAGAGTAATAGCTGCTTGCTGCCGGCCATGTCCCAGCTCCTCAGTACGCTCGTCGTGACAAGTGTCAGATACTAGCGCACTATTTGGGCTATGCACTGACCATGTCACGTGGATGACAGTGCACTAGACTGCGACCAGCCACCAGAGCAAAACTAGTACTAAAAGCTCGTACACAGATAGACAGTGCTCATCACAATATCATAATACACTCATTAATTGACCCTTGTATTTGACACCTAGCGCCAGCTGAGTACAGCTAGTCCAACCAGTTATGCGTAAACCTATACGCAAAATGTGCAAAGCGTGTTAAAAAGCTACGAAATAGCTGGCTGTGTACGTACACAGGTATAAGAGCATATTAAAATTGTCTTCTATTGTTTTTATGTCGCCATAAAATATCCCTCAAGCTGTTACCTACATGTACCTACTTTAGAGGTCTTCACTTCTTGCTTGACACTGCTGCTGTTCATGATGGGAGACGTACATGTATTCGGTAAGTACCTAGGTACTTATGTATGTCGTCAAGGTTACCGTATTGACCTATGTAGGTACAGGGGGTGTGTCTACAGCTGGGCTACATGCACCTTTCCATCCAGGTGCTTGAAGTGTGGGGGCGCACGGCCCTTGTGCAACCTGTCGAGGCTCATGTGCGCCACGGGCATCTGTAGCGTCCCTTCAGCACGTCTGGCAGCACAGTGCAGTGCAGGTGGTGCATTGTTTTATCCGAAGTTTTGCCTTGCAAGGCTGCAACATCTGCGTCGTCGCATTCCATCTCAGCTTCAAAGGCCATTGTCTGCCTCTCAACATCCTCAAAGCCGTTGCCGCCCTCCTCCCCTCCTCCCATTCCCCCATTCCCCTACACAGTTGCAATAGACGGCATCCTTCTGCCAACGCGCCAGGGGCTACGGTACCTTTCTTTTCTGGCTCGGGTTCGCAGGCTTCATTCGTTGATTGTATTTCTGATCCACATTCTTATGATACCCATACCACCTCTGCGACGCGCCGCAAGTTCTCGTCCCACCTCCACTCCCACGTCCGCTCCCGCCCAGCGAGAAGCGCCTTGCCGCGATACCTACTAGAACCTCGCCGAATACCATCAGTATTGCAGCCCTGTTGATTCTTCAGCATCACTTGGCATGGGACCTACGCCTTGACGCGCACGAAGCACTCCTGAGAAGTCCCCTCGCGAAGGCGCACTGCGCCAGGCCTTTTGGTCCCCTTTGGCCAAGAGCTTGAGATCCCCCAACTCTTGTGCGCAGCAGCAAGCAAGCACGCCCAGGCAGGCCAGGCACGACATAGACCTCTCTAGTCCCACACAGGCGCCTTCAAGGCCATACGCAGTTCATCCTCGGCATCAGCCATTCGCAAGTCCACGATCCTCGGCCTCCTTCCCACGGATCGCTCAAGCTCCGCGAATAGCCCAACCAAGTTGCCACCCTACAAGCTTCTTTCGCTGTCAACATGTTCTTCCTCTACAATCTCGAGCGTCGGGTCACCCTGCACCCTTCGTACTTCGGCAAGAACATGCACGAGCTGGTTACTGGAAAGCTGTTGAAGGACGTAGAGGGCACATGCACTGGAAGCTACTATATCATCTCCATCATGGATACCTTCGACATCTCCGAGGGTCGCATTCTTCCTGGTAGCGGCCTTGCCGAGTTTACCGTGGGCTATCGCGCTGTTGTATGGAGACCTTTCAAGGGTGAAACGGTAAGGGACTCGTAGATTCTGCTTCAGCCTCGCATTCTGACCCGACGCAGACCGATGCTGTAGTCGTCTCTGTCAACCAGCACGGGTTCTTTGCCGAGGCTGGCCCCCTTCGCATCTTCGTCTCCACTCATGTAAGTATCGTGGGGAGGTCTGTACTGCTGGAGATCGTGAGTTGACAGATTCCGCATCAAGTTGATCCCCCAGGAGGTCAAGTGGGATCCAAACGCGACACCGCCACAGTTTACCAACAATGAAGACACCACCATCGAGGTTGGCACACATGTTCGCATCAAGATCCTTGGCACGCGAGCCGAGGTTGGCGAGCTGTGGGCTATCGGCAGCATCAAGGAAGACTACCTCGGGTATTCCACTACTTTCTTCCTGGGCTTGGAATATTCGTCGTGCTAACCTCATCTGCAGAACGTTGCAGTCCTAAACTGAAGCTTGCGCGCTCATCGGGTCGCGATTTGAGGCGGAGATCTCAAGCCAAGATGTAGTCCTCCTTGAAGGATTGCAGAAGCTGAATCTCATAGGGACAAATGTGACCAAGACACTTCCAGCGCTATGTGGTCATTTGTATGCAAGGTAAAGTCGAAGTGCTCGAACATGATGCGCCTTATATTTGCCACCCCAGCCCCCAACCCTCAGACTCGCCAAGCATGGCCTTGCGTTAACCTATGCGCACGAAAACCACACCTCCTCCCACGCTTCGCGTTGTTGCGTGCGAATTACGCCCGCTACATGAGGGGAGTCGCTCCCCCTGCGCGTTTCATCCTACGGCTATGCATATGGCCAGTCACCGTTGGATACATCCACGATGACGTGACAAGCAATAAAGACTGTAACCACCATGTTCCATCGAATATAGTGTACATTCCAATCAAGAGCTATGATGCCTTCACCTCCCGAGACTTAACAAATGCTCTCTACCAAACCATGTTCCACTTTGACCCCATTTCTGCGCTGCGTCTGGCGCGCGGTAAGATAGCATACTACCTTACAATGTCAAGACAACGCTTTACTGCCGCTGGTTACTCCTCTCCAAGGTGCCTTACGACCCTCGCGATATGGCTAGCGATTTGCTAACCTTTACAGATGGACGCAGAGCCGCACTCTTCTCGGCCATGACATATTAGAGGATGGGAGCTTTGATAGGCTTTCCTTTTGAGTTTGCTCCGTGGCTGGCTTGACGAAAGCCTCAACAGTGTAGGTTTTTGCACTTTGAGTCATTTGTTAGCTAAAGCCATTTCCTGCCTAAAGTATTCTCCAGCCTGTACCCAATGGCGTTCGCCTTGTGCGAACCTCTCGGTCCACTGGGCGTTATTGCTATCTCTCAAGGTTCTAATGTTTCTCGTCCTGAAAGTTTTCACTCATGTGTGGCGCGGAGCTGCTCCTTCTTCCAAGGTCATTACGATGTCACATGCATGTTCCTCACTGATCTTCGAAAGAAACCATACAACTTTCATATATGACAAAAACGCACATCAGATACCGCTTCCAGGATGCTGATTTTTTACACAACCGGCTATATCTATCACCGAACCACCCAGTATCGATCTTTTCATTGCATCTTAGCTCACACTCGCATCCCACCATGCAGCCCATCAAGAGTCAAAACGGTCACAAGGCATCCATGGCTTCCGAGGCCAGCAGCGACCGATCAAGCGAGAACGGAGGAACGAACGGAGCGAGCCGCCCCCAAACTCACGCGAGCAATCGCACGAGCATCGCAGCGGCCTGGACACTCCAGCGGTGGAGGATAAATCGAGACCGTTTTCAGAGCATTGACGAAGTGCTCCAGAGCGCGGACGACATGGACCCCGCTGACTTGCGCTCCTATCTCAACGAACTTTTCGAGACCATATTTGGGAGCCGAGAGACTGGCGACAGTCGGACAAACGGCGGCGCCTAAGGACCCCCTATCACTACTACTAGTGCGTGTAACATAAATGGCGCCGCTCACGTCGTTGCGCAAGTCCAGCTCAACGGCAACGTCAGCGGTAGCAACGATTCCGGTACCACGTTGTCTCCTACCACACCCAGTGTCACTGGTGGCCCCGACTCGGAGGATAGGCGCTTTTCTTCCCTCAAGGCTTCCGCCAAGCGGAGGAGAAGCAGCAGCAGCAGCAGCAGCAGCAGTACCGATCGTCGAGAAAGGCTCTTCCAGCTTACCAGCGTACTTGGCGTGCCAGATGCATTCGGGGGGGAGGATGTCGACGGTCTCCGGGCGGATCAATGCCGGTGGGATCTCCTGGCCCGGCCACAGAACAAGCCCGATGTCCCCACGGTCGCGGTAACGGACCCTGAGGGCAAGACGAAGTACCCGCACGACCATACGTACTACCCGGACGCCGACGGCGGTGCTGAGGATTCGGATGTGTGGGACTGAGAGGCACGTATGCCGTGAGTTTCACCTCCGCACGAAGAACAGCACGGGATAATGGTTACCTTACTGTTTGAGCAGCTGCGTCTCAAACAGACATAGTGTATGTACTTGGGTAGTGTAATCAAGGCATATACTAATGCTTAATACAGTGTTTCTGTATCCTGTTGTGCTGACCGATGGGGATCAAATCCCCAGGGGCTGGTCAGATGATCAGGTCCGACCACAAGGGTCGGTGTTCCTTGTGCGAAGGATGCAAAGGCTCCGCCACCTGCGTTTTTAGTATTATAAACGCGGCCTTCTCAATCCATAAATCGTCTCATACTCATTGGTAATCACATCCATCACACTTTGCGGGTGATTTTGCAAATCGTCGTCTCAACCGCTTGCCCGCCTCCTTGACACCTGGCCAACCTGGGTACCATGAAACCAAAGACCAATAGGGACATCTACTACAACCAACAATCATGGCTGGCCCAATGGTCATGATTGCGGTGCAAGCTGCGAACGAGGCACCTAGCCAGAGGTCTGCCACTCGTGTTGCCAGCCCGGCTGAGACTCTTGCCGCAGATCCAGACACAACTCTCGGGACCACATCTCAATCTACGGCCCAGCGAGATCGAACTCAGGCTGGGTATCAGAGAGTGACGTCTTCAGCCCCTCAGCCTGCCGAAGCCCAGCCACTACATATCACCAGGAGGGAAAAGCCGAATATATGCCGCAGGCTATTGGTTGGCCTTGGGGTCCTCAACGTCCTCTCGATGGCACTCTTCGTCGCTGTCAATATGGGAGGTACTATGGCAGCAGGCTGCGCTGTGCTGGCCGAGGAATCGTTCGTTTTGTCAGGAGAATCTCATGTGTCCGGCATTCTACGGGGCCATCCTACCCTTGACACAAGTCGGCCAGGCATATGCCTCTGCACTGATACTCAGTTCCCTCGACAATTACTCCATGTAACCGTTTTACAAGCCGAGTTTCGACCCATCGTCACCAAAGTACCCCGGTGAAACTAGGTACTCGTATCGGCAGTGTCGAGTTGAGAAAAGTAACTGCCGTATCGACCCGGTGCCCCTATGGACCAGCTCGCCATCGCCGTACCTCCTGTACTCGGCGGCCTCTAGCAACCTCGTCATGTATGCCATCCGGGTCCGTGACAGCCTGCAATTCGATGACTACTCATGTTACATCCGCTATCCGGAACTGTACGGAAGCCAGCTGCTTCTTTCAGGGTGCCTAGTCCACGAATGTAAACACACGACTGATATCCAAAAACTGAATGCGGCATGCCCGACGGAGACTTATGAAGAAGGGTGATTGTAGCAAATAGTAACGAAGAGGTTCTTTATCCGCCGCCAAGCACCAACGTCGACCATGTGCGCAGAGCCGATCACTGGCATGCAGATGGCAAGCTGCCCGCATACTCGAGGACTGATCCGATGGGCCGACCACCGAGTATCGGAAGCACCGATCGAGGCGGCGGTGACGGCACTTTTTTCAGCTGCAAGAACTGACCGCCCTCGTCGGACCAGCGGTCCGTTGTGGCTTGACTGTAGCCGTTTCTTGAACTGATCCCCGGATCCAGGCTCCAGGTCAAATCCCGAGGCCACCATGGGCCTGTTTTCGTTCACCAAGCTTCTGAAGTGGGACCGGTATGGCAACGAGGACATCGGCTCACGTATAGAGAGGGGGGAGACAGTGGAGCATCGAATTTTTTTTACATTGTATCAATACCGGGCTGGAGGGAGGATTCTCCCAGCCCAATCACGTCCGAACACATGTTAGTTTGACCATCCCAAGCCTTCCACCCAAACCGCCCCCCTTACCGAGAACTCGTTTCGATCTTACTGTGCTGTGCGGTGCCATATTTTGGTCTTTCAAGCCGAGGAGGACGATCCGCAGTCACGACGATGGCGACATGGCCAGTGTGTAGTGTTTGCTTTACCGCCTCTGGTCCGCGTTCTCTTCTTACAGGCGCAGCGATGTTCCACAGCCTGCTTTTGCCACCGACACTCGAACGAATATATGCATCCCAGCCGCCTGCATATAATCTGATTGTCCTGATTGTCCTGATTGCTGACATAGGGCACTAATGCAGTCCATATGCACGAAAGTGCCAGCTGCAGAACTGCACCCCGTCCCCAATGTCACACCACCAACAGATGCACACGTGATTGGCGCGTGCCACGCAGCGAAACGACCTGCTTCGGCGGGACATCGATGACCATCCGGCCTGGAACTGCCAACGACGTCCATCCCGGGGCGCACATGACTCGGAATAGCGACGATACCCAGACTGCCGGGACGAGTATGAGGCCAAAATGTGACAGCTCTGTTCTGACTGGAGGGACAGCTTGCAAGCGGCCCGCGCCGCCAGCAGCCTACCAACTCTTGAATTCTTTCGAGAGTTCCCTCCACCGGGTGCCCCAGACGAATGTGTCTAGAGGGCGACGATATTCGGGTCCTATCCTGTACCTTCCTACCCTTGAGCTATCCGGAAGGGAGACTGGGCGTCTCGGCTGCTTCGCACATGGGAGGGTACCATCATGGGCTTCTGAGAAGCCGGTGAGCTATACCCGAAACTGATCTCGATTGCAACGGGATATTACCGCTCCATGATGACAGACACACGGTCATGGTTGCTTCCCAGTGAATAACTCGGTAGGGACCGAAGCACTGCAACAGCTCGTCCAGGCCCAGGGCGGGCATCAACTACTGCACTGTGTAGTATTCAGTGACCCGACAGCTTGGGACGCAGCCAGGAGATACATCCAACGAGAGCAGGTTCCAGCCACGACCGCCGAATCATACACGTGCACATGGTTGCGCAAGATGCGGCAAGGGCTTGGTGACATATTCATACACAGTGCAAGCCCTACAAGGCTCGCTTCTGTCCCGACGTAGACGCCCGCGCGTCCACTAGCCTCCAACTCTGCCTGCATGGCAACCGTCCACGCGGTTTCTCCTTGCCCAGGGAACTATCTTCTCGGTACGTGTTGCAGGTCCTGGCGACTGGAAGTCTTCTGGCTGTTCCCCGTCCACGCCGGGAACCAGAGGCGGTGTTTGGGCAGTTTACTATCTGTTTTTATTCGGCTTCAGAACATGATACAGGCTTGGAGGAGCCCAGTCCAATTTTCATGATCATATCACTGGTTCGGCGGGTAGGGGAATCACGCGGCTCTGGTGAGGATGTTGACGAAGGCCACATCCGCTCTGCAGGGGCCATCAGGTCGTATGAATACACCTGACCGCCACCAGCCATGCAATACAAGCTGACATACAGCGAGGAAGTTACGGCACGGGGGAATGGCCTGATCTTCCCAGCATCGTGATCGGCAGCAGGTCGAACGCTCAAGGACAATCCAACTGTTTGGGATGCAGAGATATGCCGACTAATGCAGCGGTCGACTCGGGGGATGGGCCCTGAGGAACCGAGCAGCAGGCAGCGTATCCATATTGGTAAATGTCTGCATTCGCCCCGTACAGTATTCACTATTGGTCTAGTGAGAGTACACTACGAGAATTCCACCCACGGTTCCTGGAGAATAGTAGACCGTGATCCATTGATATGATACCGGCAGGCCTGTCGTCTATCAGCCCGGGTCGCACAGGCGGAAGACAGCAATATTAATGGGAATGGCAGAGAGCTGCGGGCTACTTCAAAACAATGCCTCGAAAATATTGACTGGACTCGGGTGACTAGGCGAACTTCAAGTCATGTCATTGGCATGACTAGGAACCGTCAGACCTTCAGTATTCGGGGAGGCCAGCCTGTCCCGAGAATGATATGCCTGACCCATGTACGTTGGTACAGACCGCCGCGGCTGGTCAGAGTAAGCGTTACCACCACAGCGGAACCCAATCAACAGTCGTCTCCATCATGACGACGTCGTGTTGCAGAAGTATGCAGGGGACTCACCCTGAGGACAATAGGCGGGAGACCCATACTGCCCGTCTCCTCATCTGCTGCAGTCTCGATCGGGAAATACCTCGTCGTCTATGCTGCGCTGGCAATGCACGATAGCACCAACATGACGAGGCGAGGAAGCAACATCCAAAGTAGCACACCGTAGGCCATACAGGAGAAGGTACCTCGACAGCCGATGTTAGGCTGAGCGGACCAAGGAACAGCTTCTGGCGGCTATGGGACCATTGATAGAGCACACCAACAGCTACCATGACGTGCATTGTTGCGTCGGTGCACCCGACTGGTCATACATTTTGCAACATTGTGCTGTAGATATTGTCCAGCCTTCTCGAAAGTAGAAGACAGCACTGAAGGGCGTATTCGACCCACAGACTCACGTAGCCGGCTGACATTATCGAGAGCACGGTTCGTTGCAGCCAGTGAGATCTCTGCAATTATGCCCGGAGCAGGAGGCGACGAGTCCTCTTAGAAGTACCTGATTACCCATGGATACCTCGGGTATCTCTCAACTCAGCATAAGCCTCTGTTACTACGAAGACCACAGGGGAGCTCCTTTTCATACGTATTAACACGCTAGATGGCCAAAAGTCGACTTGAATACCACAGATGCAGCCCAAAATGGTTGACTGCAGTGGCAATGACCGCGGAAGCTGGTGTAATGGGGTGTGGCAACGATATAGCGCTTTGCTTTCTCTCACCCCCTTCCAGCGTCATGGCACTCCTCAGACAGATCAACAGGAAGCAAGCCTCCGAGGTACCAACACAATGCATGCTGCAGAGAACAAGGGCTTCACACCCACTCATGGCTCGTCCGAGTCGACTGTGCAGGGACGGCAAAGAGCATTCTACCCGGACCGCTCTTCTGGGGATGGACATGATGACACGGGGTGGTGAGGGGCTATCGCCAAAACAATAAGCAACAAGTTTTAGCTGTGCCCCTAACAAACATGCAGAGGTGTATAGGTATACATCGATGCTCATGCAGTCAGCACCAGTCCACGTCAGTTGAACCCGACTTGATGGGATTAGACCAAGCCTCGACCATATGCCCCCCAGCGTTGCGCAGGGCTACGAGTTGCCCAGATACCAGACCTAACGAGATCGAGTCGACCATTCCTGGGAAAACACGGCTATAAGTATTGGGTTCCTACAATTACTATTTGTGGTGAACAACACTTCTCTAAACCTCGCACCAAGTTCCAGCTGCTGCAGATATCGAGACCAGCCCACCCTCGGGAGCCGCCTTGACATCTACCTCCTAATCGTCGTATCTGCCTCGACCTCTAGTCATCGTACCTTCCTTGACCACCAGTAGTCGTACCCTCGACCTCTACTTGTCGCAGCTTTGACCATTGCAAACACCATCCCAAGGTGAGCAACCCCCGGTCCCTCGCCCGCGCAGCACAAACCCTCCCGTCACTTACCAATCACCCCCAGTCCATCCCTTATCGGCCGTACAAGCACTCCTGTCGCTAACCACTTGACGACTCCCCTCCGTACAACCTTCATCACCCCGAAAACATGCTATCACTCGCTACCCGTGGTGGGCGTGCCGCTGTCAGGGCAGCGCCAGCCTACTCGAACGTCACCAAGTACGGACATAGTCGAATGCGTCACATTTCTGGCATGCCCGCGAACCAGGCCGCTGTTTCAGCTTCTGTTGATGTGTCAGCTATGCCGCCCTACAATAAGCCGGAAATCCCTGTGTACAACGAGCTCAACGAGTATTGGCGTATGCTGCCGCCCTTCAAGGACGTCGGCTCTGACGACTTCCTATCCTGGCGCTGGAGCACGAAAGTAAGCCTGGCACGAGTGGAATGGAGTCGAACGTCCCTAGCTAACCGGTGATGGTGTTCAGAACGTCATCGAGAAGAAAGAGAAACTGTACGAATTCCTCCGTAAGGTTCTCCCTCCCGAGGTGCCACGTAGGGGATATGCGAACGGCATGCAGAGCCGCGAGGAGTTCGAGGGTGATATAGCATCTGGGATCAGAGCTTCCACCATGTCGCTCCGCGTCATGTAAGTCCCTTCTACGAGACATGGGATGTTACGTTAAACCTGGGTGACGTGGTACTGATGTGGTACAGGCCATATGTGCTGAGCAGAATCAACTGGAACGACCCGGCCAACGATCCAATCTTCAGGCAATTCATCCCCTTGAAGTCGGTCATGATGCCAGACCACCCGATGGTCAACCATGACTCTTTGGGCGAGCGGGCCGATTCACCGGTTGACGGCATTGTACACCGCTACCCCGACAAGGCCCTGTTTCTTCGTAAGATCTACCCCCAAGTTCTAACCATCCACTTGCGCTCGCTCACTCGCAGGCTCTAGCTCTCTCGGTGTGTCCCACGTACTGCTCATTCTGCACGAGAGCGTATGGGGTTGGCGCAGACACAGAGCTGGTCACCAAGGACTCGTTCAAGCTTGCGCGGACACGGATCGAGAAATCTTTCGCCTATATCGAGAGCCAACCGCGGCTCCACGACATCGTCATCTCTGGAGGTGATGCTTACTACCTCCCACACCACGTCCTCGAGGAGATCGGCGAGCGGCTGATCAAGCTGAAGAACATCAAAAGGTTTCGCTTTGCTTCCAAGGGGCTGGCAGTCTCGCCGAGTCGGTTCCTCGAAAATGAAGACCCGTGGACGGCGGCGCTGATACGCGTGTCGAATAAGGCTAAGATGGCGGGCAAGCAAATGGCACTGCACACGCACTTCAACCACCCCAACGAGATATCCGAGGTGACGGAAAGAGCGGCGCACAAGCTGTTGTTGTCGGGCGTCACGGTTCGAAACCAGTCGGTCCTGCTTCGGGGCGTGAATGACAATGTCGGCACCATGGGCACTCTCATCAATAAGTTGGCCGACATGTCTATCCAACCCGTGAGTATCCCCCCCCCCCCCCCCCCCCCCCCCGTCACTTGGAAAGGCGGGCGATTCTGACAGGCAGGGCAGTACTACGTATACCAGTGCGACATGGTGGAAAAGATCGAGCACCTCCGGACCCCTCTGCAGACGATCCTCGACCTCGAGTCGCAGCTGCGGGGGTCGGTCGCCGGGTTCTACATGCCCAACTTTGTCGTCGACCTTCCGGGCGGCGGTGGCAAGCGGCTGGCTTGCAGTTACGAGTCGTATGACCGGGAATCGGGCGTATCGACCTTCACTGCCCCGGCCCTGACGGGTATTGGCAAGAAGGACAGGGTGTACACATACCATGACCCAGTGAGGTCCTGACGAGTATACGTTGAACCAAGACGACGACCTCATGCCGCGAATGGGAGAAGAACGGGCTCATACCCAACCCTGTATCCGGGGCACATAAGGGATACCTGCGACCGAGTCCAGTACATGTCGTTTCCGTCGGTTTTCTGGGCCGGAGTTGCATGTTTTCAGTTGTTGCCCTCTGTTTCGAGGCAATGCGGCTGGAATGCTAGTTGCTAAATCACAATATTATTAATACAACGGGTAGTTACCTGAAACGGTGGTTCGTGAGTGATGCGGAAGACAACTGGTCATGTGATGTGAATAGGAACATGCCGCGGTCGGGCTGCGGTGCATACTGCACGACCGTTGGGTCGCCGGAAAGCCGGAAGGAGCAGGGCACCCCCACCCCCTGAGCGGGGTCCTTGACAAGTTCTTATCATTAGTTACTACAGTATGGGATATACCGTAATCAGGCAGCTTGGAGTAGGTATCGACCGAAAGAACGCATCGAACTGCCATGGAAGAAGCTGTTGATTCCCAGTCGACTTCACACACGCATTGATGTGTGACGGACGGATGAGGGCTTCACGGAGATGGGCTATGGCTATGGCTAGTGCCAGCTCATCTCTCTATTTACAACAACATCAGTACGCACATTGTATACATGCCCGCAAGCGCCGTGTGTAAGCGCGAATCATTCATCCATTTGGCAAAGAAGTAAGCCTTCCTCTTGGATCGCACCGACATATGATATGTATGAACACGCATGCCTGTCGACCTATTACTTATAAAGAGGTAGTGGTCACTGACTCACTGCCTGTCCCGCCTGTCACCGCCGCCCCGAACTGCTGCTGGCTCCACGATGCCCATTGCCAGCTGTACCCCTGAAGCAATCCATCAACCACTCAGCCGCTGATCCACTTTGCTTCCCAATACGATGATCCTCTTGCACCCTCGCCAATAGCATCCATGCTGCCCTGCGCGCCCCTGTTGCCAACTTACCGCCAACAGTCTCTGGGCAGGGAACTTTGTCAACGGCGCGTGGAGACTTCCGCCCAAAAGCGAATCACCGTCAGCGTCACTGGTGATGAACCCACAGGGCCCTGTCCGTCAACTCAGATCAGCAAGCGTGACGGGCAGGCATGGCAGGTGACAGGCGAGACAGGCATGACAGGCCACGGACGAGTCGGCGTCGGCGACATGGATAGATCAGCACCCTTATCCCCCAGAGGCCCACCGACCCTTGGAAGTGTTGCAAGGCGCTTGAACAGATTATTATCACTGCTGAAGACATCATCGCCATGCCGGGCGCGTCTCTTGTACTAAACTCGCTCGATCTCCTGTCCGTGTCCTCGCCCGGCAGCCGTGCCCTCAGTCTCAACTCCAAGCCCGACAGCTACGATGCCAATGGCCCAAGTCTTCCGACCCAACTGAACTTCTACCTGTCTTCGTCGACCCTACCCTTGGGCGCCGACCCGGTCCTGTTCGACAACCTCGCGGCTTCTCAACCGTCAGATCTCGGCCTGGTCTGGGCGTCGTCAACAATGCCACACCTAGACACCAGCGACGGGAACTATATAGGCTTCAAACTTCCAGCGGGCCGCCCCAACGCCGTCGCTCTTAGCACGACGGCCGACTACCACACTTTCCTCGACCAGCAACGGCAGCACCAGTCCGGCCGCGAAAGCGGCCCGCAACACGAAGCTCCTCCAAGCCCTCGAAAATGGCTATCGCTGCCACATACGAGGAGGACAGTGAAGACAGGCACGCGTGGCAACGGGGACAGCGCCAGCGCCGCCAGGTGCCGGAGGAAGAAGGAGGATAGACGAGCGCGAAGCCGGGCCGTCAGAGAACTAGCCTCGTCACCACAACTACAACCACAACCACTGCCCACGCGCCAGGACGTGGAGGAATTCGAGGCTCTACCCTTGGCTGTCAGACGCAAGGTGAGTCGCGGCTTTACATTATTAGTACTTGGGGGTTGCTTTCTTGTTCTCCTTTTCGTCCTCCTCTTCTTCCTCATACTCCTCCTTGCCACGCCGGCCCACGGCCCACGGACGCACTCTTTCGGCCTTCTAGAAGACGCCCCGAAGTTATGTTATGCATTGGGCCATGCATCCGCGGTGGCAGGCATTCGTCTGTCTCTACAACTACACGCAGCATGTGCCCCCCACCTTTCTCCAAGCCATCAAGCTCTCAAGCTGTCATCAAGGCGAGCCATGTCCCAAAAGGCCGGCACTGGGCAGAAAGAAGCAATGTCGGGTCTCACACAGCTTCCACATAGTTCGCCCCTAGTGTGTGCCACCGGCTGGTCACCCACTGGTGGTTGATTTGACCCCTTGGCTCCATCTCTGCCCTCTGCCCTCTGCCTGCCACGATGCAGGCACCCCTTTCGCCTTTCGGCATGTGGTGTGTCTCGTTGCATCGGCACCACAAGCCCACAAGCCGTTCGAGCGAGGACCCTGGATTGGATGGCCGCTGCTGGCACTCACAATGATCAACAGAGCAACGGCCAATGAGCAAGCGCATCAACGCGATGACTAGGTGCTCTGGTGGCCCCAGGCCCTAGAAGGTGCATCGTCGCGCCGCTGGTTCAATGGTTCGTCCACTAGGCCGCGTTCCCGTCTACTACAGTATGCATACTCTTATTATGCACCACGGACGACCGTGACGCTTTGGGCCTCCCGCCGCGAGTGCGTGTCGGTCGGTCGGTGTCTGGTCTGGCTTGGCTTCACGCCCGTCCCCCCGTCCCCCCGTCCCCCCGTTCCCCCGTTCCTGCAGCAGCAGCGCAAGTCCACCCATGCTGTCACTGCTACCGTAGTGACAGCATCGAGGCCTTTGTGCCTGTGCCTGTACCTGTGCCTGTGCGTGTGTGCCTATGCTGTGCTTGTGCTTGTGCACGTGCCTCTGCTTCTTCTTCTCCCTGTATTATATACATATGTCGCCCCCAATCGAGGGTTTTCTTGCTGAATCTTCGTCCCCCCTTTCCGCAGTACTTTTCCACCCTCGAGCGTCTTCGTTTCGCGCAAACATCCGGCACCCTCGACCAGACGTCGCGTGACAAACCTTGTCGAGGCCCGCGAGATCGAGGAGCACACCACCCCGAACGGACTGCAGTGCGACGGCCCGCCACCACCTCGCCTACCTCGCCTACCTCACCAACCCACCGGGACCACGCCGCCTCGGTGGAACCCTTGTCCCTGGCGAAGCTCCCCGCCAAGATCCGGGAAAAGCATCTCACCAGGGAAGAGCAACTCGCCGTTGCCAAACAGCTGAGGGAGAGCGTCATCCTAGATGCTGCCGACGAAGCCATCTATAAGATCGGCCGTCGCGCAAGCCGCCACCTGAGCCCCCAGGTCTACACGCCCACCTTGTCATCGTCAGCTCGGCCCAGCATGGACTCGCTGCCAAGTGACAAACAGCTACCCGTGCCTGACCAGCCGCACGATGCCTTCTACGATAGCTTTCGATGGCTCGACCAGGACGACGACCTCGACCTGCGGCTGACCCTCGATGACTACCACGCCGACTACCAGGAACCGAAGGCCTTGCCAACCTCGGAACCGCTGTACTCGTTACGCCGGCGCCTCTCCATCTCCAAGAGGCCATTCGGTCGTTCCTCGCTCTCCTCTAGTCGACCGGCCACCAAAGATTCGCCCACGCCGCCTCAGGTCGCCTACCCACAACACGTGCGACGGAAGTCCCGAGCGTTATCCCTCGTTACCCCAAAGCATGGGCCCCAAGCCTCTCTGGCGTCAATTGACCCAGAAGCAGCTCACTATCAGGACCCCGAGGCCCGCTTGAAGCTGCGGGTCTACCTTGCCTCGCCGCAGAAGTTCGACGAGGCAATCGAGTTTGGATTCCCCTCCAACGATGTCCGCTTCGCAGGACTGAACAGAGACGCCGCGGGCACTGGCAAGAGCTACCACCGAATGATGTCACCGGACCCGGAGAACTTCAAGACGTTCCTGGCCGATGACAAGTCGTCCATCTACAGCGACGACATCTCGATACCAGATGAGTCGCCGAGGACACCCCACACGCCCGACCGACACGTGCAGACCATGACGCCACTGCAGCGACGACCGAGCGAGCATGATGGCAGCCCCCACCAGTACTCGGAGGGCTATGCGCAGGCGCCGGCGGCTTCGCGAGAGATGACACTCCGGATGACGCTGACAAGGCCCGACCTCCGGGCCCGCGAGGACCAGATGTACGGACGACAGGGAAAAGCGCCCCAGCAGGCGGCCGGGAGGGTTTCCCAGTCGTCGGCACCACGAGCTGCCACGCCGGCACCGACTACACAGACGCGGGACGCGAACAAGGAGAGCATGGACCGGATATTTGCCGATATCGACCAGGAGCTGGGTCCTCAGGCTGACGGCGTCGTGAAGCGATTTTGGAACCGCGTACGACGCAATTAGCCGGGAGTCGGCATTACGATCTACAGCGGAATAATGGCAGCAAGCCATCTCGACACATTCCTTCATCGTTCGTCCGGCGCTGTCCACGGCACACTCATTATACGCTGTTTCCAAGAGCCTTGTTGATTCTGTACTATATCCCCTGGGCGACATTTGTATATCTGCTTGACATAATCTCTCCCACGTCTGGCCGGGGCGAGGGCAAGATATAGCGGGGCCATTCTGCCCGGCGCTCATTGACTTACGGCGAGTCGATCATGGCATGGAGTTACGAGGGTTCGGGAGGTGTTCCGCTGATCTAAGACGGGTTGTCAAGTCTCGGTTGCAGGGATTTATTCTTAGTAGTGTTGGCCAGTTGTCGGTCCCTAGCTATGTGGAGCAGAGGTAGATCACATCTGCCATGAATATATTCTTACCATCCAAGTTCGTTACTCCAGGTCATCGTGAGGGCAGTCGCAAGAACTACGAGGAGCCAGTGGCTTCCTGTTGCATTGACACCAAGTGAATTAGTGGCTTCACCTTGGTTCATGCGATTCATGTAATAGTCTGGGCGGGTAACACATTTGCACAAGAGGAAGCGACATGTCGCTCTACGCCCTGTCATACCAATGGACCCAGCAGCAGCGAGCAGGACCAACGTGCAGTGAGCCTCGTGGGTCATCCTTCGCAGGGATCTGGCCGTCCAATCGGTGACGAGTGCCGGCGGTGAGCGTGCCACCAGGCGACGTGGTCGATCTCGTTTCAGACACCTGCTTCGACCGAGAGGATGAAGCGGCAGAACAACAAGACGATGGCGAAAGGGGTGGTGATGCTGTGCTGCTGCCCTGACCCCTGGCAGGGGTCGCCGCCCAAGTTCGAACACGTTGACAGCGCCTTCTCCGCTTTGAGTTTGGACGTGATCGCAAGAGGAGGGAATATAGGTTTCGGAGCTCCGGAAAGCTCTTCCGCTGAACTCTGCCTCTTGCTAACTAAAGTTTTATACACCTGGAACTAGGTCTACGCAGTTGGACAGACACTCTCATAAACTGACCTCTTTCGAGAAGTTTGAACGACTCCTTGGGTACCTAGTCGCTCGGCATCTCTACCTAAGGTCTCCTGTCCCATGTTTGGGAAACCATAGAAGACACCGAAAGGGAAAAAGGATCAACTGCAACCTTGTTGAATGGGACCCTCCTTGTTAGTCAAGCTTCTGCCTCGTCCTTGGGAGGTTCAATCCCTACTTGATAAACCCAATAGCGCATCAAGGTATTTAATAGAACTAATTGTGTATCGTCGTAATACGGTAGGCAGGAGACCAACCCTAGCAGTTCGTCTGAAGATGGAGAAGCATGGTCTGTCGGCCTCTCCTGCATCCAGTCTGCTAGTCCGGCTGTGCATTGCATGTGACGATGCCCACGTCAACCTTCATGAAAGCGCCAGAAGCATAATACTTCTTGTCTCTCACTTCCAATCACACTATAGAGATCAACAGTTTCGGGACATGCGCTCCGCCCCGCTTGGCATCTTCTGGGGTCCTTTGTATCGTGAGTTCGCGAGCAAGGGGTTTCGCGGCCGCAATGGGACTATATCGTAGTGATAGATAAGCTTGATATACCCAGGTGCGCGTGTAAGGGTCTTTTTGGGCGTCGCCGGCTGGGAACCCCATAGTTGTCAGAGTACTGCTCCTGTCATATATGTGCAATGTGATAGCTATTGCAGTAGGCGAGACGCCGCTGGCTGGGCACACGGAGGACCGACATGGTCGCTGGGAAAGGGAAAATGACGAGTCACCTGTCGCGGGCAGACCCCCGCAGACAGGGCTGCACCAGCACTGTCTCGACCATGTCAGCCAGGTGTCACAGCAGCAGCTTGCTCATCTTTGTGGGCTAGCCATCCTGGTGCGCGAAATTTGGTAAACGAGTTTATACAAACTACCTGAAATAGAACCTCCCCAATGAAACGCATGCTATGCTTGTTCGCTGTAAATATGCATGGCCGTGGTGGTGATATATCCTATCCCGAGTAGTAACCACCCACTTTACAAGTCGAGTTTCCTGTCCGTTTATACATTCCGCCCAACTTACACCTCCTCGTCACTGTCATCCCCGAGAAGCTCGCCCTCGTCTTCATCCGCGATAGCGTAGTCTCCTCTCCCACGGGCGAAGCTGTCTCTTGTCGTGAACCTCCGCTGGCTGCCCCCACGCAGCCAGCTGTAACTACTACCACCACTATCGCCACGCCCGAACAGAGAGCTGACACTCCGCCAGAGGCTGCCGGCCAGGAGGGGCAGCGCCCCAACGACGGCAACGACAGCCGACACAGCCACGATGGTGTACTTGACCAGGGGCGAGTCGTGGTCGAAGCTGCCCTGTTCGCCCAGCCGGATCTGCCCGAAGTTGCTGCTCCAGTTGCGATAAACCCACCAGCCCACGAGTGACGCGAGCGCCACGGGGATCACAACCGCGAAGAAGATGGCCACCCCGGATGCGCTGTGCTTCTTTTCGAACTCGTCCTCGTGCCCTGGACAAGGGTGTGGCGGGTTGATCTTGTCGGCTTCGACGCCACCCGCACACGTCGTCAGGGGAATTCGACGGAAGCCGCTCGGCTCGTAGTATTCCGTTGCATCGGGGTCCTCGCGGCAGATGCGCTCGGGATCCAGCGGCTCGAGACCATTGACGAGCTTACAGTACCCGTGGTTGTCCATTTCGTAGTTGTAATCACTGCATTCACATGATTAGCCCACATCGTGTCCCATCAAGGTGCCGCTTTCCGGGTATACTCTACTCACCATTCGTAATCCTGTTGGGTGCACTCGCAGTTCTCAACGCTGTACACATGCTGCAGCTTCTGGTCGTTGTAGCACGACCGGTCGCTCTTCTTCCGCAAGTATTTGTTCTTATGACCAAACAGACATTCATTGGGATGTGATGGATGCGCTGGCGTCCATGTCTCGTAATCCGACTTGCTGGCATCGGCCTCGTCGTGCTCGCAAGGCCTGTCCGCCAATCCCGAGAAGTCGAGATTGACCGTGAACAGTTCGTCTCCCTTGTGACCCCAGAGGATGAAGTTCCTCGACGAGCCAGACCGTAGGGTTGTGATGTCGGTGATGACAACGGCGTCCTCCGAGAAGACCTTGTCCTCCCACGTGTCGCCGTAGTCGAGAGAGTACGAGATCGACTTGGTTCCAACGTTTCTCTGCGCGAGGACCACAATGGAACCCTGGTCACCAAAAGACCACGCCCAGCTGCCCTTCTTCACCTCTTTCCAGTGCACGCCGGCGTCGGTTGTCATAAACGTGTCGGCGTCCTTGGCGTCACCGAGCACGGGACCAACATTTCCGATGCCGAACATCAGGCCCACGGCCGACTCGGAAGAGTATGTCTTCCTGTGGTCCACTCGCTCCGTGTATCCGTGAAGATGGAGGGCACACGCCTCGTCGCCCGCTTTGCTAGAGCACGAGTACCCCTTCTTGTTCGCATCTTGCGCAGGGGGCGGCAAGAATGCCCAGTTCGCACCGTCGTTGTGACTGATTCTGGTCTGGAGTTTCTTGGGCTCCGAGGCACTGTCAAGATTGGCGACCGTGTTCACGAGGACCACACCCTCCAAGCCAAGCATCTTCTCAAAGTCCACGTAGTAGGAACTGTCGCAGTTGACGCCCTGAACGCTCATGACGTACGAGGTACCGTTTGAATTACTCTTGAGAATGGCCCCGTGTTGCCGGTCCTGCTCTGTCCCTGTCGCGACGAACAGGTTGACCGCGTGGGTTGAGCTGTCCAGAACGGTGTAGGCATTCTTGTGCGGAACCTCGAAGTTGTAGGGGAAGTGGGCAGCCGCGTAATCTCTACCGTCGACACTGGCAAGCGCGTTCAGAGTTCCCTCGGTCTGGTTTTCCGTGGCTACTACGATGAACTCGGCCATTGTCGCAAACCGTAGGACGTTCTCCAAGGCCACTGCCCATGGGTATTTCGGGAATTCATCAGTGTACAACAGCTGGAGCGGGTTGTCGGCGTCGTCATTGTCTCCATGCTCCCTCGCTGAGCACACAATTTGTGTTGCGTTGCGGAACTTATAGGCCGACGAGCCCGTGAATTGGCAGCTGTCCACGTGCCGCCTCAGGGTCTGCCAGTTGTCACCGCGGTCAAATGAGATCTGCGCCTCCCGATAGCATTTGCCACTGTCTGGACAATGCTTTCCATGCCAGATGAGCCATTCTGGCCTGTCCGGATGGAACGCGAGTGGTAGACCAACTTGCGAAGTGTCCACCTGGATCTGTAGCTTGAACGAGTCGATGGTTCGGGCTCGATCCGTGGTATAGTATACCTTTTCTCCCATGGTTAGGAAGAAGGCCGTATCTTTGACATATGGATGGCTGATGATCTCGTAGATGCTTTCGCCTTTGAGCGCCTTGGGCGTCGTCCAGTTCTTGCCGTGGTTGTGTGTGACGAAGACATCACCGGCATACTGGCCGATGGCTTTGTACGGTCTAGCAATGATAGTCTCGTCGTCTTGTGAATTGAAGTCGCCACGCTCCAGATAGTGCTTCTCGAAAACGTCATAATCGCCCGGGAAGACCATCTTCTGGACCTCGATCTCACCATTGCCCTTGGTCGGGGGCATCTTGGCGTCCGAACACTTCCACTCCTTTTGCTTATCCTTCTGCTCGCCACTGGTGCGCTTACACTGGTTGCCAGGGATGAGTCGCCAGCCGCCTGATCCCTTGAATGTCTTTTCGGGATCTCCGTCCTTGCAAGTGTCATCGGGAACCAGAATAGGACCCACCGGCTTGCATTCGTCGCCATCTCGCACGAAATTGAAATCGCACTCAAAGTCGGCATCGGTACAGTCGCAAGGTGGGGATACCGGGACCGGATCTCTGAACTCCTCCTTGACAAAGCACTTTGCAGTCTTCTTACGCCTGTGATACTTCTGGGTATGGCCCATGACGCAAGTCGGCTTCCCATCGTCGTCCACTCGTGCCCACCAGTCCTCCATGTCGTCCTCGGTGCACTTGTCTTCGTGCATGCCTTCGAAGTCGATCGAGATGATATAATAACCACTGGACGATTCCTTGGGTCCCTTTCGGGCAGTAAGCAAGAACCTCAGACTGGTTGAATCTTGTGTCGTCGTCAACGCCCAAGGCGATATGGTGCCGATCTCCTTTGGTAGCGCCGTAGAGTTCCATGTCTGTCCATGATCCAGTGAGTATTTGATGTCGTAAACATCATCACCTTCCTCGACAGCCAGAAGAATGGATCCTTGGTCTCCAAACTCGTATTTGTGCGGACCGTTGGGACCTTGTTTCCATGTTCTTCCCGCGTCGTCTGAGACGTAGAGATTGGAGGCTCCGTAGGGTTCGAGATGACCACCGGGGTTGCCGTTGCCCATAACGAGACCAGGGGCAGGGCTGGAGAAGACAGGTCCAACATTGTCGAGTTCGGTAACAGAGTGGAGGTGGATCCGGTCGTCGCCCACGGTGACGGGTTCAAAGGTCCTGCCGTCGTCGAAGGTGATCAGTGTTTTGACCTTCTTCTCAGCCTCGTCCTCCTCGACGGCCTCCCAGTTGTCGACCTGGTTGACCAGAAAGATGCCCTGAATGCCCGACACCTTTTCGAAGTCGACATAGGCGGCGAAATTGCGGTTCGTATGTTCCATGTTCCTCGTGAAGTAGGTTCCGTTGGAGTTACTGGTGAGCAAGGTACCCATGGGTTGCGACATGCGCCGGCTCGTGCGGACGTCGATCTGAATACTGTAGTTGGTGCTTTCTAGGACGGTGTAGGCGGCTTCGAGAAGCGGGTGGTCGTGGGGGAATATGGCGCGGTGCCACGTCTCGGTGTCGTCAGTGACGAACAAGGCCATCTCGAGTGAGTTTTGGGAGGTGGTTGCTGCCAATAGGTATTTCTTGACCTCGACGAGGCTGACAATGCCGCGGACGGGGCCATTGCCGTTCAGGTTGGCCTCCTTCTCTTGGATCACACCGTCGGATACACCGCCAGAGCCGAGGGCTTCGAAGTAGTTGTCGGAGATGAAGAGACGATTGTCCTCCTGAGGGGCAAATAGGCTCTCTCTGATAATGCACAGGATCCTGTCGGCATTGAGATCATGCTGGCCTGTAGTGAAGATGTCGGACGACTTGGCCCACCAGCAGCCCTGTGTACGACCTCTGAGGAAGGCGGCCTCGGTACTGAAGCCGTCTTTGGTATACATGACGAGTTCCTCGCAGAAAAAGCCCTCACACTCCATGCCGTTGAAGAGGATCTTGTCTTTGTCGTCGGCGTGGAAGACCAGCCACCGGCCAACGGTTTCGGCGAAATCGCTCAAGTACGCATAGGTGAAGAATTCCTCCCAGGTCTTGCCGCTATCGTGGGTCCTCCAGTGGAGGTTGCCGAGGGTCAGGATGTAGGCGCGTTCCTTATCGAACTCGTGCATGACCAGAGCGACGGCCTTGTCGTGCTCGATGCCGTCGACTTTGGACCATGTGGCGCCGGCATCGGTGGAACGCCAGATGGTGCGGCCGTATGACTCTTGGAACAAGACGATATTGGAGTCTTTGAAATAATTCAGGTTGTTCGGGGGGTTCTCGAACTCGGTGAAGGCAATGGTCGGCTCGTCCTTGGCGAATACAGTGGTAGCCGTGCAGAGGAGGGTAGCCAGAAGGAGGAGGACGGACCAGGCGGAGGGCGTGGCGCCCCAAGCTCCCGAGGGCCTCATGGTCTCGTGTTTGTAGGTGGTGAGGCGGTGATCATAGCAAAAGTCGGTGGTTGCGGGAGCTGAAGGATAACCGGTGGTCTGGTGTATAGCAGCAGATGCCAATGGCCCAAGCAGTGGATGGTATATTCGAGAAGATGGAAAGCTAAGGTAAGGTATTATCGAGGAAACAAAGGCGAAGCTCTCTTGGGCGTCGAAGGTGAAGGAATAAGGTAGGTGTCTATGGATAAGGTAGGTAAAAAGCTCGTCTTAGGGCGTGGGATGGGTTGGTTGGTTGGTTGGTTGGTTGGTTATCAGCGTTAGGACGGACTGTCAGGCTGTCAGGCTGTCAGACGTCAGTCGCGGGAATGGTCGCGACAAGTGTCATCACCACCAGCCCTGGGTAAGATAGTCGTCAGCGCTGCGCCGCGCGGTCCTCCAGCACCCGCCACCCGGGCCCCGGCAGCTAGCAGAACCCCCAACGCCGCCCAAACCGGCGGGGCTGTATGGACACTGGACAGTGCGCACTGGATGGTCGACAGTGCAGGTGCACACTTGCATGGGTGAGATGGCTGCATGCAGGCACCAATCGTCATCGTTCGATTCGTTCCTACTACCTACCTAGGTAAGGTAGCTTTCCTTCCGATCCTTACTGCCTCACCTGAATCCTGATCCTCCCCGGGCCTCTTTTTCGGGGGCGGCTCTTTCCAGCCTGCCGCCAGCCTGCCTGCCAGCACAGAAACACAGTGCGGTGACCTCCGCTTTTGCACACCTGCACTCAACGCCTTTGGTTCATCGGTTCTTGGCCACCTGGCACCCGGTCTTCAGCCTCCATGTCTCTATTCTTAGCTACATACCTAGGTGTACCGCCTTTTCCAGGCAATACTTTATTAATGCACACAGACCACCTGCTCGCCAAGCCGGACTACTTACACCCAAAATCCTTATCGTGTTAACGATAGATCTACCTGACGTGCATACGACATGGTTCTCCGGATGCCTAAGGCCAATGATGCTGAGGGATTTGAGCATTGCCAGCAAGTGGTCCGTGTGCATTAATAAAGTATTGCCTGGAAAAGGCGGTATATTCCATGTCCAGCGGCATGTGCCGGCGGCCCTAGTCAAGACACTTTCGATAGTCCACTTGGATGCAGTATGGAGAGGGGAGGTAGGCATTCCTCAACGCTCATGACGCTTGCGAGATGCCAGGATAAACATACCTCTTAGGTAGCTAGAGGCCAGGTTGACGAGGGTTGACGAAGGAACAGCTTGACGGCCTTTACTCCTAGAGGTATGTACATCTCCATACGGGTGACGGATGTTGGTTTCTGCACAGGTACGGCAAAGGTGACCGACCACCTCTCTGCTTCTTTTCTTCGAAATAGACGACGGATCGATCAGGACTGACGATGGGATCCGTAGCTCTTCTGCTGTACAGTACAGGATATCAGAAATCGATCGACCTTGGTGGTACGTGTGACCGAACAGGCGACAGGGCAGAAGCCCAAGTTGCAGCCGTTTGCTACTGTCAAGAGACTTGAAGTTGGAGGTCAAGACTGTCCATGTATACTTATACTCGTCTGGGTCTGATCATTCTAATGTCGACTCTAGACTACCTATAATAAGCCATCTCACACCCATGGAGACGACCCACCTTCCACATTGGGCGTACAAAACGGCATACTTGGCTGCAGTCTGCAAGTTGAGCCGATTGGGTCGATTTGCAACGTGGCGATCCCTGCAACTCTGAAACAGTTCTCACATTGGAAGGATTTCGAAAGGGGCGTTCGCCATGCTTTCTGGTCCGCCGCCGACAGCTGGAACAGGTAGTCGTACACGTACCATGGTCATGTGCGTGCCCGTTCAGTGGTTCAGTGTTACGACAACGGCGATTAGGTACATGTTGCAGACCTCCCTGAAGTATAGATAGGTATATATGAAGCCGTCATGTGAGTACCTGTACTATGGACACGCTTAAATATGGCGTGCATTTCCCCAGGGGCTAAAGACAGCTTTCGTGGGGCAGGCCCCTTGTGTGCCATTGGATGTCTCCTATCATCGACTATAGGAAACGGTATAGTAGACTGTAAGGTAGGTAGTTAAGCTACAGTGGCGTCGATGGATAGCTCGTACCCCTTGAATCTTGATACCCGTGGGCAGCACAGGCAGCTGGAGATAGGCAGAGGCAGGCATTCAAGTTGTGGCATGTAAACAGACACCACCTGCAGGTACCTCCATCACCCTCACCTCAGCTGCACCTGCTCGCTGCTCACTCAGCTCCCTCCTTCCGCGTGCAGCTAGAGCCTACCTTAGAGGAGGTAGGGTTAGAGCAAGAATACCCGTCTCTAACCTTGACAACAACAACAACAACAACAACAACAACAACAACAATAACAACAACAATAACAACAACAACAACAACAACAACAACAACAACGACAACATTGAACGGTGCATAAGGTAGCCTATCCACGCTGCCCTTCCACCCCGTCCATTCCACCACCTCGTCACTACTGCTCAAGACCCTCCCCTTCTGCGCGACCCTCCCCTTCTCGACGCGATCCGCTCGCATCTCCGCCCAAGACACTCGCCGGTCGTTGGTTTTGTCGCGCCGTTCACCAGTAACCGACGAGACCCTCGCGCACCAGCCAGCCCAACCAGCCCAGCCAAGATGGCATTGGCCACTGCATACAAGCAGTTCCTCGCTGCGCCAGATGCCTCTCTCCTGGCCGAGAATTCCACACTCCACTACATCACTACCACTACCAGCTTCAAAGGCCCCGCCGACATAATCAACCATGTCAACGCCTCGCGCAAACACCTCAAGGTCAAGAAGGAGGATTTCCTCTCGGCAATCGAAGCCCAGCATACCATCGCCGTCGAGGTCGACACTACCCTGGAGTTTGTCGCCGGTGGCGGACCCTACCTTCCCGCCCTCGACGACAACTTTCTGGCAGATCGCACAGTCTATATTCCCATTGTATGTCCTGCGCTTCCGCCTTTGCCCGTCTACTAACCCTAAGATCCAGATGCACCTTGTCTACTTCGACGGCCACGGCAAGATTCTGCAGATCCGCCGCTCCTGGGACCAAGGCGCATTGCTGAAACAACTCGATATCATCGGCAAAACAGGCCGCAACTGGCCCATTCGCGACAGCACGGAGCAGATCAGGATGATTCAGAACTGCGTCAAGACCTCCGACGGCGCCCGCCCCGCCCAAGGCACCACTCATGCCACTGACATGGCTACCCGCCCCCGCGACAACTCGACCAACATCATGCGCGATCCTCACGCCTCCCTGTCCTTGTTTGCCCCTCGCGACGACGCTGACCAGAGCATTGCGGCCGTCATCTCCCCTAGAGGCGGGACTCGACCGCGACAACGCGATTTCGCCGAGATCCTGGGCGACGAGCCCGTAGAAGCCCCGGTCTCCTCCCCCAGTGCTGGCCGCCAACGATCCGAGTCCCCAAGCAAGACTATCGCTCCCAAGGCTGGTGGTTCCAAGAAGTTTCAACCAAGTCGTCTGTTCGACACCGATCAGGTCGATCAGGTCGATGAGTCTCCCTACTCGCCTGGAAATGTCAAGTCCCCTGAGAGCCATTACCGCACGAACCCCAAGAAGTACAAACACTTTGAATTCGCCGACGGCTCTGATGCTCAAGACGCCCCGCGCCCTGGCAATGCCACTCCGCAGAAGACGAAGCACTCCAGCCAGTGGGATTTCGAGGACTTCGTTACTCCAGCCAAGTTGAACCGCTCCAAGTCTGTCCACCACCGCAATGATCGTCACTGGGGAACCGAGGGTGACGAGGGCCAAGAGGAACCTGCACACAAACCTGCGCAAGCCAAGGCTCGCCGCGATGCTGAGACGCACTTCGATTTCCTCGATGATGGTACCCCGAAGGGCAACCCCCGCGCCGCCCGCCCTCGAGGCGCGACACACAACACTGGATTGGGCTTGTACCAGAATAACCTGTACGATGAGGACGAGCGCGACGAAGTACCTGCAGCAGAAGCACGAGCTCTAGGCGCCATCACGAACACCAACTTAAAGGACCGCGGTCGAGACTTCAATTCCCACTGGGGTATGACGGACGACCCGTCTGCGACCAAGCCACAACGAAAGGCTCCTGTTGGTAATGAGCATAAGAAGGCTGTCAAGATGATGGATGCCAACTGGTCTTCCTACGAACACTCTCCTGTACACAAAGAGAATAAGCCCACCGCCTCGAAGAACGGCTCCGGAATGGGCCCAGACCGAGGCATCTCCATCGCCGGCGACGGCATGGGTGGTGGTAAGGGTTCCAACCGGGACTGGCTTTTCGGCGCCGGCGACGACGACGACGACCACAGCAGCCAGTCTACCAAGGCCGTGCCGGGCAGGAAGCAGGGTGCTGCTGCCAAGTCAGGTGGCTTCAACTGGGATTTCTAGGCGACCCGGGATGCCGCCATGCGTTGACAGACGTCTTCACCAACGACGATTACACGATGCAACCAACGTTGCTTTTATTTGTTACGATGAACAACGCCTACATGTTGTCTATGAGTCATGAGCACCATAACCAGGAACACAAAACTCCATGCGTTGACAGACGTCTTCACCAACGACGATTACACGATGCAACCAACGTTGCTTTTATTTGTTACGATGAACAACGCCTACATGTTGTCTATGAGTCATGAGCACCATAACCAGGAACACAAAACTCCATGCGTTGACAGACGTCTTCACCAACGACGATTACACGATGCAACCAACGTTGCTTTTATTTTTTACGATGAACAACGCCTACATGTTGTCTATGAGTCATGAGCACCATAACCAGGAACACAAAACTCCATGCGTCGAGTTGACGGGTGAGGGTATTTTGGAATGCTGGCTTTGTGCCAGACTGACTTTCTCCGCCTGGTGTCAGTTTACACCAACCTTTGATGCGCACAGGCCTGCAAGTGCAAACAGGATATCAGAGGAGGACTTGTTCCGAATACATCCTCCCAGGGATGTAGGGACATGCATGTTGGCCTGTGCCTTTCCTCCTTTTCCAGTCTGGGCTGTACAATGAGTATTTCTTTTCAACTGTTACAGTATTCAAGATCCACCAGCAGGCTTTGTCTATTAGATACCTTTCCGACGTCTTAAAATTCGGGTGCAGCTTGATGCAACATCCCTCCAGGTTTTGGTTCGGGCCAGTCACTTTTGTGATTGTCTCGTAAAGAGGTAGATAATTGAAACTATCATGTGTCAACTAATGTTCTGATGGTTCCTCTTCGCCTGCGACTCTCTTGCATCGATAACACATTCATAGTGCCATAAGTACACTCAGCCCTTATAAGTCTCCGTTCGGCATGCGTCTATCAATCTTTAAATTCCAATACTACATTAATATCAATGGAATAAGCATACTAAAGTAAGCAGGTTTAATCCAATAAGCCACCTTTTATGCTTATTCCAAAACGATTATTCTGCTTTCGATAAATATACCCTTTGGTTGCCGAACCAGGGGTGTACGGAAACTACCAGAGGTTCAGTGTAGCTGCGCTTTGCTTGAAGAATACTATCGGTTCACCGTAACAAATGTTCTTTATAAACCCCTCGATATCACTGATGTATATCACGTCTTTCAGCATCCCCCCCTCACCATCTCAATGTGTGTTTATAGGTGCCCTCTTCTATTGGATAAGGACCGACAAACGTCGATGCCCAAGAAAGCAGGACCCGCTGAGAGCCCAAGACCAAAAGCAACAAATAGGTGGAAACGCCTTGCTTGCTTCCATAGCTCATCGAGATCATGCCCATTAAATAACCGGACATTATTCACACGCGCCTCCCCTGGTGGTATCCTCGTCTATCAGGCAAAGAAACGTCGCATAAAGAAAGAGCACGATATATTGGCGCCAATTGGGCTTGATACAAAAAAGAAATTGAACACAGATGTCCCATCATCAGCACATGAACTTGTAGAGCTTCTTCCACCGCGGCCATCCCTTCATTTCCTCGGACTCCTGGGCGACTAGGATGGGCAGGTTGAAGTCGCGACGGCCCGTGTCGATGTCCATGTCGGCGAGGCGCACGAAGCCGGTGCCGTTCCAGAGGCGGTGGGCGGCGTAGAAGAGGATGACGACGGGGGCGGCGAGGTAGACGAGGAAGAAGCTCTTGGCCAGCTGGGCCGACGTCATGGTCTGGAAGCCGACGGGCCAGGCGCCGACCCAGAACTGCGCAATCAGCACCAGGATGTTGAAGACGAAGCCCAGCCACGACCCGGCGACGCCCACCTGCGACTGGAAGGCCAGCTCGCTGACGCTGTGGCCGGCGCGCGCCCACGCCTGGCGGAACCGGATGTGCGCCAGGCAGATGGAGCCCCACGTGAAGACGGACGACAGGCCCGAGATGGCCACGAGCCAGTCGAGCACCTCGCCCTGCTCTTTGAGGTCGGCGAGGTAGGACAGCAGGCCTACCGAGGAGGCAAGGAGGATGGCGACGAGGGGGCGGCCGCGGCGGTCGACGTAGGACAGGATGCGGGGCGCCTGGTTCTGGTCGGCCAGGGCGGCGATGGTGCGCGAGGCCCCGAAGACGGACGAATTGCCGACCGAGAGCACGGCGATGAGGATGACGACGTTCATGATGGACGGCAGTACCTCAATACCGGCGTTCTCGATAGCGATGACAAAGGGCGAGGCGACGGCGGGGGCGCCCTCGGAGATGAGTAGTCGCGGGTCATTGTAGGGCACCAGCAGCCCGATGAGGGTCAGCGCCACGATGTAAAACAGCGTAATGCGCCAAAAGACCTGCTTGATGGCCGTAGGCAGCGACTTGCGGGGGTTTGCCGTCTCAGCCGCCGCGAGGCCGACCAGCTCGGTGCCCGCAAAGGCAAAGGCGGCAGTGACGAAGACACTGCAGAGGCCCTTGAAGCCGTTGTGGAAGGCGCCCGGGTCCCTCCAGTAGAGCCCACCGATGTAGCCGCCGTCGGGCACGCCGCCGATATTGAGCACGATTCCTAGTAGTCTTGAGAGCAGAGGGGAAAACAAGTCAGCAAGCCCGAGCCGGAAGGGTAAGTGCCGTCTTACATGAAGCCGATGACAGCGGTGACCTTGACGATGGCAAATATGAACTCTGCCTCGCCGTAACCCTTGACGCCGAACAGGTTGATGACGACCACGGCGAGCAGGAATATGGTGACGAAGATGGCCTTGTCGATATTGGGGTTCCAATACGTGATGGTGATGGAGGCGGCGATGATCTCGAGCGGCAGTGCGACAAGCCACTGCAAGGCATAGCTATCAAATAAATTAGTCACATGCCCAAGCCGGCGCCGTGTCCCCTAGGCGTAGGCGTAGGCGTAGGAGGGAGAAGAAGACGCACTTCCACCCCATGGCAAATCCCCACGAGGGATCCAGAAAGCGTGTCGAGTAGGCGGAGAAGGATCCGGCGACGGGAAACGACACGGCCAGCTCGCCGAGTGCCTGGACGGTGCAGTATAACATGCTGCCGATGAAGGAGTAGGCCAGTAGAATCGAGGCCGGGCCTCCGCTCTCGAGGGCGCGGCCCGAAGAGACGAACAGGCCGGTTCCTGTCGCACCACCCCAAGAGTCAGCAAGAGTCTGCCTCTTTTGATGCCATGCGCACCCATCCCGAACTCACCTATGGAGCCACCGATGGCAATCATCTGCAGGTGGCGGCCCTTGAGCTTGCGCGCCAGGTGCGACTGGGCGGTCTGCAGCGTGGCCTGGCGCATGTCGTAGTAGTGCGACTGCGCGCGGCGGCCGGCGAGCATGGACAGGTGCTGCGGGCGGGCAGGCCCGGCGGCGTGGAAATCGCTGAAGGGGTTCTTGGGGGTGATGCGCTGGTTGGGGTCGCGGCGAAAACCGTCGACAAGGCGGTCCAAGAAGCGCGGCGGCGTGGTCTCGTCGTACAGCGGCTCGCGCATGGTGTAGCTGCTCCCCGGTGCCAGCGAGCCTTCCTTGATGGGGAAGATGTTCATCTCGATGTCGTGGCTGTACGATGGCGGCGGCATGTTGGGCACGTCTCTGGGTCCGCCTTGCGGGCGGGGAGGGCGGGGAGGGCGCGGAGGCGCTCTTGGGCTCGCGGTGTGCGATGCGGCCGGTCGTGAGGCATTGAACGGCCTGCGGTCAGTCGTGTGCGCGCAATCCTGCCGCCCTTGCGGTGCGCCGTTGGACGCTCGCGATCGGTTGTCGTCGGACTGTGTCGTGGTTGTCGTCGCCAATGTCGTCGCCAATGTCGTCGTCGTCCGGTATGGTAGCGGCAATGTTGCTGCAACGGTTGTGCGACGGCGTGTCGTGTGCCGTGTGTCGTGTGTCGTGTGTGGTACGCAGGTTGTCAAGTACGTAGGTACCCGATAAGAATAGTAACCTGTGCTGTCGATCCGACGTTACCCTGTGCCACCCTGCCCTGCCTGCCACCTGCCACCTGCCATCATGATCCTGCCACCTAACCCGCCGTGTTCACCTTGGTCCTTGGCAATCCTGCCGGCCAGGCGGTCAGGCGGTCAGGACAGGTCCGTGACACAGCATCTTGATAGGTCGCTTTTGATGCCTGCTCAACTTGCTCACAGTTCTGTAGGTTAGAGGTTTAGACTGTCTTCATTCCAATAGAGGCCGTCGTCTATCAATTATAAGTGCTCCATGTGGGTATGCATTCGGCACCTACTTATTACATACCTACATGTAAGTACTTAACCCAGGTAGTCGAAACTCGGGTAGTCGAGTACAGTGCACAGCGATAATCCTCACACAGTTTGTATACATCTCGACATTTGAGCTGGGCCAGGAAGAAACAATCAATCCACAAATCAGTAGCTACGAGTCTTGGTATACGGTTTGAGTCCGGCCCATAGCTCTTAGCTTGCTTACTGTATTATCTTCCCGTCCGCGTCTCTCGCTCTGCGCGTCCACCCCGTCGAGAAGAGCTGCCCCAAGTCGAACCGTGGGAGAGGGTGGGCCTCCGTGTTGATCACGATCTTGTCCAGCGGAAGGAGGTCGTTCGGTGAAAACAGCAGGTACATGTACTTCAACGTCTCGGCCTGCAGCCCCGGTTAGCATCACTCTGATGAGGAAATACCGGCCATGTGAACTCACCAGCCAGAAGCTCTCCATATTGTCACGCATCACCGGAGGTAACTTGTTGGCATTCGAGAGACTGGAAAACCCGCCACCGTCCTCGACCGCCGTGTGGTTCATGAACGACTTGAACATGTCCCAACCCCATTCGCGGTACTTGATGTCGCCCGTGATCCTCCACATGTAGAACAGACTCTCCACCGTCTCTGGCCGCTGCAGGTTGTGCACGTCGTTCGAGTGAACGTCGTAGTCCTTGCGCCACTCCGCATGGGGGTCCTCATCAAAGCCAGCCGGTGCTTGATGCGGAGCAGATGCCCGAGGAGGTGGGTTGGCAACGTTGAAGTAGGTAATCTCGGCCGCCAGGCCCGTGGCCATCCACTTGTACATGCCCCAGCACGTCTGCATCAGCTCTCGTGCCAACTCCATGTCGGCCTCGTTCTTCTTGCTCCACGTCGGCAGCTTCTTGGCTTCCGCTTCCGTCAGCCCGCCCGTCGCACCCAGGGCTATGGTCCCGGGCATGAAGCAGACAAGGTGGTCCATCTTGGGTGAAAGCGCTCCCCACAGACCCTCGGGACGCTCTCCGATGATGGTGAAACCCGACGGGTCCGTGTACGTCACCAGGTGATCGCGGACGCCTTGCAGACTCTCGTCCCACATCTCGAGATAGACGGGCTCCTTCTCCTTCGTCTGCAGATACTGCTTGATCAGGTATTCGTAGTACGAGTCCCCACGGCTCCCTAGCCGGATGTTGTAGCCCCGGAAGGTGCCTTCCTTGGCATTGATGTAGATGGGAACCAGACCGCCCTCGGCCCCATTGTTGTCCACCACTTCCATAACCTTCTCGGCCTTGTCCCAGAAGTACTTCTCGCCAGTCAGCTTGGCCAGGTACTTGAACTCGAGCTGCAGTGTAGTCGTCTCAGCCGTGGAAGAAGCGCCACCCTCGTCGTGGGCCGGGATGCCTTCGAACTTGGCGAGGTTGACGCTCGCATAGGGAACACCCGACGGCGAATCGAAAGCAACGATCAACCGGTCAGCCAGGTCTTTGGCCTTTTCCAGGTAGAGGTCCTCGCCAGGCGTACCTGGGTCGTCGTCGGCCAGGGGCGCCAGGGTAGGAAACTCGGTGGAGAGGTAGTGAGCGGCGAGAAGGCCACCCAGCATGCGGATTGTGGTCTCGAAGGTGTTGACATCCTGGTCCTGGTCATAACTCAGCGAGTTGGAGATCCACTCCCTGGCGTGGGTGACGCGCGAGGTGAGATTCATGAGGATCATGGTGTCCAGGGCATCGACGATGATCCAGCCCATGCCCTGGGGCGCCATCTGATGGCCTTTCTTGGACACGGGATGGTACTCGTCGTAACCTGGAGTGGCCGAGGTCAGCTTGCCATGTGAAGTAGTGCAAACAGATGGCAGATGGACAATGAAACATACCCCAGGCATATCGCGAATAAGCATCGAAACTCAGGGTGAAGGCCTCCACGACACGCTCGCTTCGCTTGGGCCAGTCGGCGGGCTTGCCTGCCTCTACCTCGGATGAAGAGGTGAGCCAGCCGCCCCAGCGTGTGCCCGATGCGAGGGCGGTGTCGCGATGGCGCTCAAAGGCACCAAAGTAGTACAGCCCCGAAAGAAGCAGCAGCAGGAAGCCCAAGGTGCGCTTCCGGCGCCAGAGGGGCCTGGCCCGGTGGGAGGCCGGGTAGGCGTAGGGCTTGTCCTTGTACATGGGGAGGGTGTTGCGGGCGTCGCTGTCGAAGAGTCGGTCCTGCACGCCACCGAGTATCCCGCCGTTCTTATTGGGGCCCCTCGCGGTGACGGCAGCACCTGCACTGTTCCCCCAGACTCTGTCCTCGGCTAGGCGCTGGGGGTTGCTGAAGGAGGGGACATTCTTGGGGACGGAGAACGACATGTCCAGCTGGAGGTCTAGTTGGTCGACGGCCTGCTTGCCTCGTTCAATCGCATGGGCACCGGCGTCAACGACCCGTTCGGTCAGGTCGGCAGCTGCGCGCGGGACGGCGGTTCTGAGAATGGAAAGAGCGCTCGTTCGGTGGAGGTTGAAGGGATCGCGTACGTTCATCGGGCCTTACAGCAGCATTGATGATTAAGCTAACGTCGTTATGTACAGCGGGCAGTCGCGACCATAACCAAGCCCCTGACTATAACCACGAGATAACCACGAGCACAGGCACGGGCACAGGCACGGGCACAGGCACGGGCACAGGTACAGGCAGAACCACGATGACGGATCTCGTCCGGGGGTGAAGCTATCGCGGGTCGACGGGTAAAGGCAGGCAGCACTGAGTAAGTAGCTTGAGTATGTACCTATAGTCCAAAAAAGAACGAACGACTAGGTAACAACGAGTAAGAAAAGAAGAATATTTTTCTGTCTTGTCCCTTTTTACGCGTCTGGCTGTCTTCGGTTTTGTATCGTAGGTATCGTGTCTCGTCGTGTCGTGTCGTTTCGTCTCGTGCGCTCGGGAAACGGCGTCCCTTGATACTACCTCCCTACTAGCGCCAACGATCGACGACCCGAAAGGACAGCAACTTCCAACTAGCAACCTGCAAGCCAAGGTTCATTTACCCCACATGCAATGGAAGCTTCAATGTGGGTCATAATAGGTACGTACAGTTAAGTAGGGCTCCGACTTCTATTATACGTATAATGTATAATACGTATAATATAATATAATATCGGTATAATAAGCTGTTATACATATAACAAAACGAAACAACTTATTTTTACGGGTATATATAAAAGTGATATATATATTACATAATACGCGGGTTGTTCAAATCGGATTTTTATTATAAATTCGAGCTTTAAAAGGCTCCTCAAGCTCAAAAAAGAAACTCTATGGCTATTTTATTAGTTATATTAATAAATTTGAATAAATCAGTTACTTTAAAATACTTGACTATTTATTAATTATCTTATTAAAGTTATTGTTAAGTTCATTAATAGTTATTTACTTTAATAATTTAAATTAACGTAAATAAAAGCTAATTTATCGGGTTTTTACTGGTTTAAAGCGTTTTTTACGCGTTTTATATATAATTTTCAGCTTAAAATACGCGTTTAAAAGGTATTGAATTAAGTACTGTATGATATAACCGCTTTATAAGTTTTAAAAATAAGCTTTCAAAGGTTTTGATAACTTTTCCAAAGGTTTTCAAAGCATAAATGTAGTTATATAAGCTATAAATAACGTTAAAAATACCTTTATAAAAATAAAAGGGTAAACCTTTCTTATAGAATATTATTAAAGCTTAAACAGATTTTTAAAAAGATTCTTAATATAATTAACGATAATTTATTGATATATAGCTAGTATATAACTACTTATAATAACAAGATTTGACGCTTATATATTTTGATTATAACCGTTTAATTATTTTAATATTCAGGCGTTTAAAGCCTTAAAACATAGCTAACAATTGATCGCTTGAATATTAATATTAAGATTTTATTATAATAATTGCTATTATTATTAAATAACTTTTTATTAAATAATTAACTGCTTTGAATATACGCATTTTAAATCCGACATTTTTTAAGCTTCCATAATAAGTATAGTAATTTATATTTGTTGGAACAGGCTTGACCGATCAATCATAATACTCGAGTATGGGTCAAAGTCATGATGTTGCTGATGGGTTGGTTTGAGTGGTCTAGCTGGACTCCCAGGTCTGGCTAAGTGACCTCATGTGATGGATCTGACATCCATCCATCTATTCACGGTGGTACGTGCGCTCATCAGGTGATCTGGTGGGGTGGACGCGTTACCCCGCTGCACTCACTATGGATAATTGTGGAGCGGGATTGAAGATCTAATCCCCCACCAGAATTGGCTGGTGGTTCTGATCCTTCTTCCCTCCTCACCAGTAGATTCTTATTCATCTGGAGTAATAGATGGGCATCTTCGTCCTGAGCTGCCAGCTGTTCCGTGACACCTCACAATCCGGTATCTAATCTATTATCTAATCATACATGTGGGTTTGGTATGGATGGTTGGAATGTGGGATCGCATGGATCTAACAATATTAATGTTTTAAGTTATTTTCACTACTTATCGTTATTCATAATTTTATCAATCTTTTATAAAGTCTTCTTATCTTTATTCGTAATATTTAAAAGAGTTTAAAAATCAATAATAACATTTAATTGATTAATTTTTTTACAAAGAACCTCGTAATTTATTTAATAAGATATTACATAGCGTTATTATGATTTTTAATGTGTAATAGTTACTTAAAAAACCTTTAACTTCCTTAAATTTATACAGTTAAAAATATTATAATGATAATCTTTCAAAACCTTTTATGAATATGATAGCTAATTAATAAGTCTTTTTATACGGTATAAGCTTAAAAATCTTTTTAATTAACAATTATAAAGAATATAATCGTATAATACCTTACAAATTAAACTAAAATTATATTTAAACTTTTCAATAAACAAATTTTATTATATTGTACATACTTATGCTGAAAACGGTAATCTTTTTAAAATCATTATTAATATTTCGCGGAGCTTAAGTAATAAAATGTTAATATAATTATTTTTAGTTATTTATATAAATCTTATATTTAAAATCTTTTAATAAAATAACGGCTTAATTAATAAGTATTGCTATTTATACCTTACTAAAATTCCTTATATATACCTTCTCTTTTAACTATAATTATTAGTTAGTTAATAACTATTAACTAACCAGCCAGATAGCCTAGCTGTTAAAAGTACGATGATTAAAAATTATACAACGTTTATATATATATTTTAATTATAATAGCTACTCAAATTGGCTCCTGTAATTTAATTATAACGCATACAATGGTTTAAAATTATATAACGTTCTGTGACGAGCCGTCTAACCTATAAGGCTAAAGGGTTCTATAGGGTTTATGTTCTGAAGTAAGTCAACACAAAGGACAATAGAGGCTTCTGTCAACTAGAAGACACTCAGATGCTGGGACTTGGTCTGATCCGGGGAATCACTGAATAGTCGAGTCGTCAGGAGATTTCTCCCATCTTAGGGTTGGCTAAAATGCTTAGATTGATCACTGAGGCAGAGACTGTCTATCTATCTGGTTAGGAAATGTCTGTCCTTATATATCCAATCTCTCCCTCACTGATTAGGTGGCTCACCCTGGATCACCAGTGATCCAAGGTGATCCAGTGATCAAAATTCTTAGTCACGTGACCCAGGTTCTGCTGGTCACGTGATCTGTGTACCGTTGCTCCGTTGCTCCGATCTCTCCACTGATCAGCACCCCACTCACTGGTCAACCTGTTTCCAATCGTCCCCTCTGGACCTGCTATCAGGCCGCATTGTTCGTTGGTTCGTAACACGTTTATATGTAAATTTTAATTATAATAGCTATTTAAATCGGCTACTATAGTTTAATTATAACGAATATAATAATTTCAAATTATATAATGTTTATATATAAACTTTAATCATAATAGCTATCTATATCGGCTACCGTAACCTAGTTATAACGGATATAATAATTAAAAAATATATAGCGTTTATATATAAACTTCGATTAAACGCGACCGATAGCCAGCCGATTAATGTTACTTATTTTTCTATAAAAAATACAATAATTTAAAAGTATATAACATTTTTATATGAGACTTAGTCATAACGGCTATTTAATTCGTCTAATTCAAATATGTCGGATATAATAATTTAAAACTATATAGCATTTTTATACAAAAGTCGATCATAAAAATTATTAAGCGTATTCAACGTTATATATCGAAATAAGTGGCTTAGTTATAATTAGTAACATGTAGTTATAAGTATAATTAAAAAATAAATTATAAATACGGAATTTTAATAAAGTGTAAATAGCAATACTTTAATTAATAGCTATATCGAAATATTAAGCACTTATATATATATATAAGATCATTTAATTTTTTAAATATCAAGTTTATATATATAAAACTTATTATTAACTTTATAATATAAGCTTTATATTCGGTTTCTTTAAATTACTCGTCATTTAATTAAAGCTTTAAAATCGAAATATTTAAATGCAAAGTTAAGCTAGTAGAAAGCTTTTTGATTTAATAATCTTATATTCGATAAAAAGCTTATTATTATAATAAATAGCTCGAGCTGTTTAAAAGTAAAAAAGGTAATATTAAAGCGCGTTAAGCTTATATATAGCGGTATCTAAAAGCTTTTAGGTATTACTTTATTTATAATTGACTTACTTAAGATACTTTTTATATATAATACAAATCTTAAGGTATTTTTACAACTGCATTATGCCTGATTTAATAGTAATAATAGTTTTGTAATAAACATAACGAACGCGCTTTTAATAAAAAGTGCTATAATTCCTTAACGTAAATTAAAAGGGTATAATATCGGTTAAAAAAAGTATCTTACAGTAAGATAGCTTTCAAATCTTTATAATAGCCAAATAACAAATAGTTAAAAGTAAAAAAGCAGTTAATAGTTAAAAAATAATAGTTTAAAAGCTTTATAAGGTAACAAAAATGTCACGGCGAGCGTACTGAGGAGCTGGGACATGGCCGGCAGCAAGCAGCTATTACTCTATTGACGAGAATATCAAGACTAGAGAGGAAAGGAAGAGAGAGAGAAAGAGATAGGTACAGTGGGAGGTTGCCTCTTTAAGGAGATTCTTTGGTCAGATCCTTCCCCTATTGGGAAGTATCCGCTTGTCATGTGGGAAGGTCTGTGCAGGCCGTCACAAAAAAAGTTAATACCTTTAAATCTATTATACGGGTTATTATACTGCTTTATTATAGGTATAATGATATTATACCGGGTAGTAGTATAATACCCGTATAATAGGTTATTATACGTATATATCGGAGGCCTACCGTTGAGTCTTGACAGTGGGGGCGGGGCCTGATGCTGACCCCACCATGGTCCATGGATGGCAGTCGCGTTTTAGTTGAAGCTGTCACTTGAATCGCGTCTCCCAACCCAACTTGTACTACCTTAAGCCCCGACAGTGTGTAGCTGACTAGGCGAACAGAGACCGACAACTCCAGCTTGATACTCAGGAAGTCTCATCAACATGAACCAGCCCGCCCAGCATCGTTCCGCCTACGAACGCTACCCCTTCCTGACCCCTGAGGAATTCGCCGAAGCATGCCACTATCTCGATCGCAAGTACTGCCAGGCTACCCTAGGTGCTCTCCGGAAAGAATGGCGCCTCCACGTCCACAACGCCCTGGACAGTTCCTATGGACATCACGACGGCCTGATCACTTTCTTGCAGATCACTAGGTCGCTGGAGGATAGGGCAGTCGACCACGACCTGGCCGCCCAGCTGGGCAGTATCAACCTGGCCGGCCCAACTACGACAGCTGACCAGATGATGGTCGAACTGGAGGAGTCAGACAAGGTTCGTTGTTAAACGTAGTCATTGCCATCACAAACGAGAAACCCGGCTGAGACTCACCCAGGAGGTTCTTCCTATCTCATCCAGGACCAGGGCATCCAGAGCCAGTTTCCAAGCGCGCCATGTCGTTTATGAGATTCATCTTCATCCGACCTATCAAGCGCCGTGTCTCTGGTTTAGCCTACATAACCTGCCCTTCGGCCAATCCGCCATGGACATCGAAACCGTCTTCCGATGGTTGGTTCCAAACCAGTTCGAGAATGCTCTCCGAGGCCAAGGCCCCATCGGCGGCATTTCAATCGACGTGCGTTTTTTCTTTTTCTTTTCTTACTCCACCTATACTGAACGAGTCAATCATGTGTCCTCATGCAGGGGAGTTCATTGCCTCTACCTCAACGACTAATGTGAAGTGTACAGCATCATCCCGTCACCGGCGTACCGACCTTTTTCGTCCATCCCTGTCTGCTCGGAGACGCCATGACTGGCTTTGACTGCTCCAAAGAAGATTACCTCATGGTCTGGCTCGGTTTGGTCGGAGGATGTGTCGGGCTCTGGGTCCCGAAAGAGATGGCCATGACTATTGGAGCCTGAGACTGGTCCCTGCGGATTGCAGACCGGGTTCCATATGTGCCACGGCCACGGCCAGGGCCAGCGGCGCGTCCAATGAGGCATGTGGCCTAACAAGCCAGGTGGCCCGGTCCTCATTCGTCGTCACTGTCCTCCTCCATTGCTACATCCTCGTCACTCTCGTCCTCTTCCTCCTCGTCACGGGTTCGCTTCTGCCCGCGCGTATCAGGACTTGCCGCATCTGTCATGATACGATCGCCGCTCTGCGGTGGCTTCGCAGGCAGACCGTGGGGCACGGAAGTGGCGGCCGACGCTGCCGAACCTGGCGCCGGAGCATTGAAGATGCTCTGCTGCGTTTCCGTCATTTCGACATCGGCGGCGGCGGAACCCGGCAACTTATATGTGCCATCCAGCTTGGCAATCGTGTCCGACTTGGACTTGGCGTACTGGATTCTCTGCGTAGACGCGATTAGCTAGCCCCGGCATAGATAGATGGATATGGTAGTATACGCACAAGTTCCCTGCCCAAGAACTGAAAGCCTTCCAGAGATCGCAGCGCTTGTGTGGCTGCTTGTGTGTCGCGGAAGACGATGTGCGCTTGGCCGCGCATCTTCATGGTCTTCAGGGCCACAACATCGAGGACGGGACCGTAGGTTGAGAATAGCATGTACAGGGCGGTTTTTAGATCGGCTTTGTTGGTCTTGGCCGACGGGAGGTTGGTGACATAGAGCCTATGGTGATATGTGAGCGCCGTTCGCGTGTATCGAGAGTCGCGCGTTCATAGTCAACACTTACGTTTGGTTTGGCGGAATAGGAGGGAACTTGACCGCAGCCTTGGGCGGCGGAGCGCGTGTTGCGGTGGCAGTAGCCATGGTGGAAGGTCGTTGGAGAGTGGTCGTCTTGTTGTATGAATGGGTGCGCGGTTGATGCTGTTTCAATGTTTGGTGCGCAGAGAGTACAGTGAACTTTGGAAGACGGGGACTTTTCAACCCGATCGACGAATAATTCTCAGCTTGCCATCCGCCACGACATGCGCCACAAATTGGTGGGATGTGCATGTGTGGCTGCAACTCTAACACCCCCACTTCAACTCCAACAGTTCCCTTTCCAGTTCAACTCACGACGAAAGCCGATGTGGTAGTAGAGAGATATACTCCTATCACGAGACTGGATACCACCCTGCAAGATGGCCGCTCCCGAGGTTCACCACCTCTTCCACCATCCGATTGCCGACCACTCGTTCTCTGCTGACCGCAAGACGCTGGCCGTCGCCAAAGACTCGGCTCTCGAGCTGTATGGCAGAGTGGGCAGCGCCTTCAAGTTGAAGGACGAGTTGAAGGGCCACGACAAGACCATCACCAGTGTCGATATCGCCGCCAACAGTGGCCGCATTGTCACATGTTCTCAAGGTGCCATCTACCCAGCCATCTACCCACGCACTTGCGCCGTCTGGGAGTCACGAGTCTAATCTGGGAGACAGACCGAAACGCCCTGGTCTGGGAGCCGTCCCCTACGGGCTACAAGCCCACCCTAGTTCTCCTGCGCATTGCTCGAGCAGCGACCTTCGTCCGCTGGTCTCCTTCCGAGACCAAGTTCGCCGTCGGATCTGGTGACCGCGTCATCGCCGTCTGCTACTTTGAGGAGGAGAACGACTGGTGGGTATCTAAGCACTTGAAGAAGCCCATTCGGAGCACCATCACCACCGTCAACTGGCATCCCAACTCGGTCCTGCTGGCTGCTGGCTCCACCGACGCCCATGCCAGAGTCTTCTCCAGCTTCATCAAGGGTGTCGATGCCCGTCCAGAACCTAGCGTATGGGGGGAGCGCCTGCCTTTCAACACCGTCTGTGGCGAGTTCCTCAACAACTCGGCCGGCTGGGTACACTCGGTCGCCTTCTCGCCCAGCGGCAATGCTCTTGCTTTTGCCGCCCATGACAGCAGCATTACCGTTGTCTACCCAACGGGCCCAGAGCAACCCCCGCAGGCCGTCATTAGTGTCAACACTCAATTGTTACCTTTCATGAGCATGATATGGAACGGTGAAACCGAAATCATTGCGGCTGGCTACGACTGTGAGGCCTTCCGATTTCAAGGAGATTCCTCGGGCTGGCAGCTGAGTGGTACCCTGGAAGCCAAAGGAAGACCTGGCTTGGGCGATGCCCGAGAAGAGTCCGCGTTGAACATGTTCCGACAAATGGATTTGAAGGGCAAGGTCAAGGACGACACTCAGCTCAAGACGGTTCACCAGAATACCATATCGACAGTCCGTATCTACGAGGGGAACGGCGAGTCCGTAAGCAAGTTCAGCAGTAAGTTCTTCACTACCTTTCGAGGCCTTTTTCTCTTGTCCTCTAGGCTAATGCGGCACAAAGCAAGCGGTGTTGATGGTAGAGTGGTCATTTGGAACACCTAAGAGTTTAGATACTGAGTGTCATAGAGCCAAACGGAATGTTGCAGCACTGCTCGCTCTTGATCCTTTGCCTCTGGCGCTTTCTCTCCATTCTTCCTCTGACACATCCTCGCAGACTATCATGTCTGTGTCCCCTGAATCTCTGAATCTCTGAGGCGCTGGAAGTGTCCGGTTCCTCGGCCTATGTCCCATTGATCTCTTGGTGTGCCCCTATAAGTACTGAAGTCGTTCGATTCCCGTGAAATTACCAATACCCACCCCAGTGGTCATGCAGAATCGAATGTCATCACCCAGCGATTTCATCTGGCGAGGAAGTCGAGACTCATCGGCAAGAGAATCACCAGGTCGCGCCCTTCCAGCCATGGAGCCACAAGACGCTGTCAGAACAGCCAGTTGCACTCGAAGACATCACAGCTCCATAGCTAGCTACGAGCCCTGTAGTCATCATATCAAACCTCATGCAGCTCGACAGACGTTTCGACGTCTAACATGCCCTGCCGCACCGCTCGACCATGGATCACTATGCACAACCTTTCCGTGCGCGCTTCGTAATTACTCTGCTTCATCGGGGACTCACGCGTGTGACATGCAATGTCATCCCCATAGCCTCGCACTCCAGTACCCAAGTCTACCGCCGTTCCACGCGTTAGCCAAAAACAAACATGGCAAATCCGAATCAGCAACCGCTCCAGCAAGCCTCCACGTCCAATACAGCGTGAAGGACATGCCATCGGCCTCTTGTTTTCCACTGCCGCTGTACCCAGGGCCAGAACAAACATCATTGCCGCCCGCAGCTGCAACCTCACAGACCCCAGATCGGCGGACCTCAGAATCAGCATTGTCATCGCTAGTCTCCGACGACCAGACCATCAGCATCCACAGCGGCGACTCTGAGCACGTGCCGCGCATCCACGCCGCTGTCCACACCATCCATGGCATCTGCCTTGAGGCGACGAAGACGTATCTCTGCACGCACGAAGCCAACCGCCGGTTACGAGCGAGCAGTGGTAGCGGCAGCCAGCATCACGACGCGCCCCGCACACCTTCGGACAGCCAGCCCCCCTTCACCTACTCCTATTCCTACAACGCTTCTCAGTCGCAGACGCCGTCATCACAGCAGTCCCACCCGAGCGACCACAACAAGAGCCACCGCAGCGACAGGTCCAGAGACAAAGACACCACGATCCCACCCGCCACCAACTCGCTCCTGCACAACGTCAGCAGCATCTGCGGCATGATCTGGACGGGATCGCAGCGGGACCGGCTGGACGTCCTCAACGTCGAGCGGCTCGCCGTCGACAGCATGGCGCGCCTGCTGGCCTGGGCCGAGACGGTGGCGCTCGGCGACTACGACGAGTGGGCGTTCGCCGGGGAGGTGCTCGAGGCTGGCCACCATCTGTGCGCCTGGCTGGGCGTGCCTGACGCCGTCCAGGCGATGGAGACGCTGGAGGCGGATCTGGCGGGCTGGGGTCGGCAACACGATGCCATCTGACAATTGGCCGGGAAGCGATGGTACGTACGGCAGGTTTGGAGCAAGAAAACCCGGCGTTGGGGTGATCAGGCGAAAGGATTGGCCTCGGGCGCCGCGGCTAGCTCCGACTATTCAACGGCCTTGTAAGACAGATAGTGAAGAAATCGAAGTGCTGTTAGTCTTGCAACAGATGCCAAAACTTTGAGTCTATGTTTTCTTCAATATTCACTGTTTACAGGTTGACACTGGAAAAGACAAATTAGGGGAAATCGTAATTGGTACTAGGCAGCTTGGATACAATTAGGTTACACCATATTTCAGACAACGGGCCCCGAGGACAATCTCCCTCTCTTTGCCCTTTGAAAATCAAGCCGCAACATTTAGTACACGCAGCAAGAAATCAAATATTGAGAAAATCCCGTAATCATTCACAAGGCGCATAACCACGACAAGTGAGGTGGTTTACTAATAGCGGACCTGGCGGTCAATGTCAGAGCTCGCCGGTGCGGCTGGGAATCGAGGGTCGCATTCTTCATAAGAGGCGGGATCGTTCCTTGAGAATGTCTCGTAGCCTTGTTGCCCGACTGTACCAGCCAGTCTGCTGGCGTCGTCGTAGACCGGCTGCCGCATGGGAGGTTCAGATCTCAATGCCGAGTCACCGTACACCGGCTGGCGCCTGTAGTACGCTTCTTCCTCGTAAGGTATGAACTGGTCACGATGGATTGGCAGTTCGTCCTCATACGCAACATATGCGGGCTCTTGCGCACGCCGGATCGGCCGGCGAATGTAATACTCGCCCTGCGAATCTCGTACCGGGACAAGCTCGTACGCTTCGATGTATTGGGTAGAGGCTTGACGGCCGTGGTAGGGCCGTGGCTGATATTGCCGATGGGGAGGGTTTTCGTACACACCATCCACGGCGACGGGAGCTGCACCAGATCCGTGCGTGGACCCACGAATCCCGGCGCTGCGCTCTCGATACGCTTCAAGATGAGGTCCAGACTCGTAACGTATATAGATTGGAGATTGCGAGCGCGTTTGCTCATTTGTGTACTCCTGCCGCCTGGGACTACTCGGCTGTGTGTAGAAAGGGACCCTCTCGGAAACCGTGCCACCCACAGGTCCCGGTCGGTAGTCTGAGGCTTGTCGATCCAAGTGGGATTCCAGACCAGCCATCAAATCATCATTGTCACGTTCCTGTATGAAGAACGGCTGTTGCTGGTCATTGTCTCGGTGTACTTGCGCTTGAGACTGAGGCCTTTCGATTGCCTCTAGTTCAGGGCTCCTTTGGAGGTCGTGTTTCGCGGTGGCGGCGACATGGGGCATTGGTTCGGTTCCACGTTTCGGAACTTGATTCGTGGACACAAGTCGGGCAGTCTCTCTACGATCGGCAGCCCACATGGCACGAATTTCATCTTCCTGACGGCGAGCCTCTTCTTCAGCACCCGTGTCCTCTTCGCTAGGTTCCCGTATTTCGGGCCCAGTCGTCGCCATGTTCCCATTACCATTGCGATGTTTAGAGCCCTGAGCCGACGTGATTTTGCTATCCCTTGCTCCTCCTTTACGGTTGCGCGACTTTGCCCCGTGAGATGATTGCCGTGTATCTGGGGACGTCCGCCCTGAGCCGCCAGGATGTGAAGTTGTCGAAGGAGTCTTGTGGTTGGCGCTCGTTTGAAGAGCCTCGATATTTTCATGAGCCAAGCAGGCTTTCCGACTGAAGTCCAGCTGCATGCTCGGTGCTTTTGGATCATACCCGCTTGCGAGCTGCTGTGACGATATATGCTGGGGGCGGGAATGTGAGGGTGCTGCTTGATGCGATGGGGGCTCTGGGGGTTGATTGATGAGCGAATCCTGCACATTTGCAGAAAGATTATGATACGCGAGGTAATTACCTGAGGGAACTTGAGGCGCGGCAGAGACTGTCAGTGAGTAGCCGCCTGGATATTTTGCAGGCGGGAACGCATCGGAGACCAGGGCAAACCTCTGGCTGTCCATGTTTGTTAGGTTTCGGAGGTTGGACAGGGCGGAGAGATCCGGCAGGTAGATCATGTCGACTGTCCAATCAAGCGTTGGGGCGTACGACAGCAATTGCTGGACATGTCGTTGATTGAAATGATTGACCAACTGTGGGAGGGAGAATGTCTTTCGGTCCTGATCCGTGAGCATCGCGTTATCTAGACCAAGGCTGCAAGCCTTACACATCAGACCGTTGACGTTGCGGACTGGACGCATCTCCTTATTGTTTGAGAGTCCGTCAATGAACAGATTCAGGGGTGGGTTCTCCGAGAATCGTGACCGAAATTTGCCAACGACATGGTGGATGACCACGGACACCCTGATGTTTCCTGGAAGCTCTTTCAAGTTGGCAGTAGCTGTCCATAATTCCCTTGAATTTCGTGCTACGTCTTCAAGCTGTGTGCGGTACTTGTCTGCAAAAGGGACAGCGTGTGTGTTATAGCTATGGGCGTAGTGATTGCCTCTTGTAGGATTATACGAGGGTTGTCCCGTAGCAAATGTGCCAGCATAGGGTGCAGGTACTCCTGAGTAGCCGCTGCCTTGCTGTGGAGGGCACGGCTGACCATAGGCATGCTGCACAGGTGCGTAGGGGGCACTTGGTCCATACGCAGCTTGGCTCGGGGAGGGTGCGTACGGATCACCGTACCCAGGCGGTCCAAAACCTGGCGGAGGCGGGTTGTAATAACTTGGGTGGTATGATCCCGGTTCTGTGCTCGGCGGGAAGGCTGCATGGCTTGGTTGATGGAGGACTGCGCCGTTTTGAGGGGTCGAAGTCTTGTGAAAATGCTCGAATTGGGAGATATTTGAGTTCTTCAGGCTGCGCGGATCAGGATGGAAAGGGGGGATCTCGGGCCATTCCGCTCGCCAATGGACCACCACGCTACCAAGGCTGAGAGTGCTCGTATGTTTGGCCGCGTAGTGTTGTACGACCCCCTCGAACCCGTACATCTTCATGTTGCCTTCGCAGCCATTGCAATAGAAGAGCTCCTTACGGTATGGGTCCGTGATTGGTTTGACCTTGACGTCGAAAAGCCACTTCATATTCTCGAGCGTCAGTATGCGCGTGAAAGGTCCTTCAGGTGCATCGAAGACTGGTTCTTGGCCAGCAGCAAGAAGAGAAGCAACATCTTTGGCAATCTCTGCGTAGAATCTCTTTCGGACGTAGAGGAGAACCTCTGCGGCGAACTGCACGGCACTACTTTTGTTGACTTTGCGCCCGTCACGCCATCCGTCGCGAATAATCTCGTCGGCGTATGCAGAAATCTGCGCGCGAAGAGGGACTTGAATATCGTCCCAACCCTTGTCGATGAGTTGCTTAGTTTCTAGGCTGGTCCCCTTGGCATTGCGGCGTTCCTCGACTCGTTGTTGAGCAATGCGGGAAAGAGCAGCAACTTCTTCATCTTGTTGTTCCCGCTGCTCAGCATCTGCCCTCTGGGCTAACAAGCGAGGTTTTAGCAAGTCCCAAGCGTTGTCGTCAAGGGGAAAGGGGATCTGGAGTGCTGCATGGAATGAGGGAATACGAGCTAGGACATTCGCTTGCAACGGTGGTACAAGCCCCATGGCTCTGCGTTCTATCTCAACGCGGCGAGCTGCCTTGAGCTCTAGGACCTCTTCACGCGTCCTGTTGCGTGGTGGGTTGGGTTGTGGGACAGCCTGGAGGGAAGAATGCGGCAGAGACATGGGCTCCTCTCCTAGAAGATAACAGTGAGTTGAAGCCGTAGAAGACAAAGGCGACACTAGATGACTTACTAGGTGGATATGCTGAGGAGATTGTCATATTACGAGGGGCTGACAAAATAGCATTGGATTTGGCCAAACCAGGTACATGCTGACGGGGCTCCGTACCAACAACGGTTGTTTGTAGGCTCCCGATCGACACGGACGAGTCCGATGGCATTGACCCGAAGCCTGTTGAGGTGCTGGACGGCCCACCCGGGGATGACAGGTTCCGCATCTGCCTAGTACCGCCAGATGATTCCCACTTCTCCCACCGCACTGAGTCGCTTTGCTGCTCCTTCCCTCGGTCCTCAAGACCTTTGAGCCATTCCTCAGTGGTGGCTGTACCCATGGCCTTGACCGAAAGAAACTCCCGTCTCAGCTTCTCGATATGCTCGGAAAGGAAGATCTTGGTAAGCTGGAGCACATGCGTTGCTTGTCCATCCTGCAGCATGGCCGATGGTATGACGTGCGTGCTATCCGTGACAAGTACGAATGGCAGAGCGGGCATCAATAAGGAGGGCACAGAGGAAGAGAGCAGCAAGTCGATTTCCTTATTAGATGTTAGACTGTCTTTCGTCACCTTGATCAACATTGGCCTGTGCATACCTTCGTCGACTTATCTACGAGACAAGCCCCGCAGCTTGTAACAGCGAAGGGCCAAATAGCGCGAATGCTATCAGGACCCGGACCTGTGTGCCAGTTATTACTGGGGGAGGGGGACGCAGCCGGCTTCACCTCGTTGCAAAATTGGCAGCGTTTCTGGCAGGTGAGACGCCACATGTCAAGTTCGGTCCTGTTTTGAAGAGGAGCGGGCATCTTGGGCCAGAAACGTCTTCTTGAAACTTGCCATATATCGTCGGCCTTTAAGCTGGAGATGCGACTCTGCAAAGGAGAAGGGGGACAGCTGGAGTGGTATCTCGAAGAGGGATCGAGATAAAAGTTGAATAATTTGTTGGTGTACAACAGGCTGCCCAACGCTTTGGGAGGAAGAAAAGTGAAGATGCGATGCCATATTTCGGCAGGCAAGAGGGGCCTGTCCGAGTGGCGAGCTCCTGGAGACAAAGGCTGTGCAGGGCAATTCCCGTGTAACTTGACCTTCTTCACGGGCTCAGCTGTGAAAGATGCCGCACCCATAGGCAGTGGGGATTTCCGCTTTTTTAACCCAGGTTGAAAGCTCGCAGACGCAGTCACTCCGGGTGCCAGGGGAGCCGACGGCGAAGTCAGCCCGGTATCGCGGGTGAGGGTCGCAGATCGCACGTGGTCGTGGCTGTCGGCTGCATCCGAGTCGGAATCTGACATGGAAACGTCTGAGGAGTCGCCGCTACCTCCACTGCTCGTGTCAAAGGTAATTTCGTCCTGTTCGACATGAGGATGGACTGGTCCTTGTCGACTGGAGGAGCCGTCAATGGCCAAGCCTTCAGCACAAGAGCTGCCAACTCCTAAACGGCTATCCATGTCTGCCCATAGAGTCGTCCCCTGTGACTGGTTATAGGTATCTGAGGGCGCTTGACCCGGCAATGGCAACAGTCAACCAAGTGAGACTTGGGAGAGCAAGAGCACACGGAATGTTCAACACCAGAAGCCCATGAACACTTGTCAAAAGCAGGAAGGATGGTTGACTTGAGGCCAACGACGTAAAAGAACTATTCTCTTCCCAAGGACGTCACACTTTCAGGGAAAATGCGATTCCTTCGGGAAGCTGCAATGACAAGAAGTAGAGGACAGGTCAGACAGGTGAGCGAATATGCCAGGCCCAAACGCACTCGCACTCGCACTCGCACTCGCACTCGCACTCGGCAAGACTGTAAGACTTCCCAGAGTAAAGAGTACGTGAGGCCGGGTAGAGTTGGAGGAAACACGGGTTCAGAAAACGGCAAGAACAGTGGGTGAAGTGGTGAGGCAGGCTTGCTCCAGTCAGTGCGACGACTGGTGGTTTGTTCGTAGCTCAGTGAGCGACGAGCTGAGACAAGAGGAATCGCTGTGACGAGATTCAGAGGGTAGCGAAGGGGTTGCAACACATCACCAGGAAAACCCTCAAAGATGTTGAGTTTCTGTTGCGACAAACATGACGGTCCAAGGTGGCCCGGTGGTGCAAAATATGGGAGTATGGGAGGTGGTGAGAAAGTAGCTGGAGATTGGAGATGAAGATTACCAAATCCGAAATGCGATCAACCTCGGGCTCTGGGATTGACAAAGCCCAAGCCCCAAGCCACATGCGGCAGAACACATGCATTGATGTACCTAAGGTATCCAGCCACCTGAAAAGGGAAAATGTGGCTTGGTATGCATACCAGTACAAAACAAAAGTAACCAGCATAATAAATACTCCATGGTAAAATAATCGAACTGGAATAAGCATTAGCAATAGCCCGTATATCAAACTAAAGCTGCTTATTCCTGTATGATTATTCCAGTATTTCCAACTTTAGATCCCACTGGTGATCTGTAATCTTGCCAACATGCGCGTTCGGATACTTATGAGGGCTGAGTATACCTTGTGCAAATTATACTCAACCACTTGCCAGGAATGTTGAAGCTGGTACAAGTGCGGGCAGATGTAGATAGAGGTACGCAGATAGTTCATCAATTCCATTCAATGTTGATTCATGTTCAATGTTGCTCTGTGGCAACTGGAAATTGCACGCTGCTAGGCTGTTCGGGGGCTGAGCCAAACAATTTACCATGTTGATATCGTAAAATGGCAAAATGCCCCTCCCCCACCATTCGAGCGACCCTCCAGGCTTTCACCCACACCCATTTCCACCACCACAACCACACCTGATCTTCACTGAAAGTTCGACCCTACTCTCGCTCGCTGACCCTTGTTCATCTGCTGTCTTGCGACGACCTCCGTTTCTTGCCCAAGAAGAGATGGCGGCTCCCGACAAGGTCTTTTCCCTCGAAGGGAAGGTCCTGAAGCTCGATACGGCCCAGGACCTAGAGCCACACATCGCCCCCCTGCGTGCCATGGACCATGTCGAGGAAGTCCGCGTGCTGGGCAACACTTTCGGTGTCGAGGCTTGCAAGCTGCTGGGCGAGGTTCTGGCCACCAAGAAGACTCTCAAGGTACGTCGCCGTGTCTGACTGCAGCGACCCATTCCTGACAATACTCCCTTCTAGATCGCCAACCTGGCCGATATATTCACCGGCCGAAAGCTTCACGAGATCCCCGACGCCCTCTCTTCGCTCCTCACGTCCATCATGAACCTGCCGAACCTACGAACCATCAACCTGAACGACAATGCCTTTGGCCTAAATACCAAGGCACCCTTGATCGCTTTCCTGTCGAGCCATGTTCCTCTGCAGCACCTGTATCTGAACAACAACGGCCTGGGTCCCCATGCCGGAATCGAAATCGCCAATGCCCTCTCGGAACTCCACGCCAAGAAGGAGGACGCCCGGAAGGCCGGCCAGGATGTGCCCTATCTCGAGACCGTCATCTGTGGCCGAAACCGACTGGAAAACGGAAGCATGTTGGCCTGGGCCAGAGCCTTAAGCCTTCACAACAGAGTCAAGCACATCAAGATGGTCCAGAATGGCATTCGACAAGAGGGTATCTCCCAGCTTCTCGGCGAGGGTCTCAACCACACCACCGAGCTCAAGGTTTTGGATCTGCAGGACAATACCTTTACTATAATGGGTGCGCGTGCTCTAGCAAAGGTTGTCAACCTGTGGACTGATATAGTCGAGCTGGGTATTGGCGACTCGCTCCTCGGCGCTAAAGGAGGTGTCCTTGTCGGGGAAGCGCTCGCCAGGGGCAAGAACAAGCAGCTGGAGATTCTCCGGCTACAATACAACGATATCACTGCGGCGGGTGTAAAGAGTCTCGCCTCGGCAGTCAAGGACGCCCTACCGGCGCTGAAGAGGATCGAGTTGAACGGCAACAAGTTTTCCGAGGACGACGAATCCATTCTGGCTCTGCGGGCGCTCTTGGAAGAGCGCAAGGAGAGTTCCGGAGGTGACATTGTGGACGAGGACGCCTGGGGTGTCGATAGCCTCAGCGACCTCGAAGAGCTGGATTCAGACGAGGAGGAGGAGGAAGAGGAGGACGAGGAACCATCTGTGGAGGAGAGAGCAGAGAAATTGGTCAAGGAGGCCGAGGAAGCTCAAGAGGCGCCGACTGTTCAGCTGCAGGACGACGATGTCGATGCTCTGGCCAAGCGGCTAGAGAAAACGGGTATTTAAAGGCGGCATGAGCCAGGTTCGAGACGAACTACGGCCTCGGAACACTGGATGGAAGAGGAAGAATGCAAGATGGAGAAAATATACCCTGATAACCACTACAATAAAGAACAAGGCTTTGGTTATCCGAGCCAACCACAGCACGGAATTCGGGCCATGTATTTGAACCCGGTACCTGCGTATTCACCAAACCAGGAGTGCTGACGGTCTGTTCGACCTACCTAGGTATACTTCAGTATGCCTGGCCGAATTATTGACCCTTAACAGTGCCAACTGCTTGGATACGAACATGGATGGAGCTGGCTTCGTCCGTCTCCAGCTTGCACCTCGCCGAAACCCAAAACTAAGTAGCCGTTTCTTGGACAGATGTTGTATCCTGGATTTGGTTGGCCGGAGTGCAGGAGTGATGCATTTCATATACGGGATATGGAGTAGTAAGCTGCGCTCTATGTACACAATGGCGCCTAGGGTAGACCACCCGAGACCCTTCTCCCGGCAAGTGCGCCGACCACCTGTAGCAGTATGGCCTGCGTTTTGCCGTCGTCTCTTTGTACAAAAGCAGATCAAGTTCACATTTACCACTTTGGTGGATACAAGCCGCAGTCCCAATAAAACAACACGAACCCCAGTTCTGTTGAACACAAATCCTGGGAGTCTATCATTACAACACTTCCCCAATGATCTTGGCTGCTTCCCTGTAGGTCTGAAGCAGCTTTTCACATTTCTCGCGCTCCCTCTTGACGTTGTCGTCTTCGTATAGGAGTTCCTCGAACAGTGCCTCCTTGTAGAGTTCGCTGACAAGCCGGTTTTGAACCACGTCCTTGCAATGGTTGACAAGAAGATGCATGACTGCCTTGGGAATCTGATCCGCGATGGACTCGCGAACAATGTTGAAATACGAAGATATGAGGGCTCGGATCAGCTCTGTCTCCATGGCCTCGCGGTCTGTCAGAGCCGGTTCCACATTTTCGCCCTGCAACCCAGGTAAGTAGGGGGTACGACAGTCAAGCGCAAATGAGCCACCTACAAATGACGAGCCGAAACCGAAGGGGGCAGCCTGTGGGCTCTCCTCCTCACGTATCACGGAGGATGACCGTGCTGGTCTATGGGCTAGCTTGTCTTCGCCTCGCCGAACGCTCTGACTGAAGGTGGGCTCCGCGCCCTGGCTAACATGGCGTGGTAGCGAAGAAGGGGCGCCAGCTCCTCCTGGCGGCTGCGATTGGCCGTCTTTGCCGAAGAAATAGGTCAAAAACGACTCGCGGGCCGTTCCACTCGCTTGAGAATTGAACCGACCCGGCGAGTTCGATCGTCCGCCATTCATAGCTGCGACAATACTTCCCGTCCCATTCTCTCGGACGGCTGGTGACCCACTTCGAGAGCCCTTGACAGCTGGTTTCCGAGAGTACGAGACTTCCCCCCTCTCATGCGCCGCATCTTCTTCATCCTCGGGTGTCTCGGTCCCGTTCGCGCCGAGTTCTTTTAGTCGCTTCTTCTCACGCCTATCCCGCTCCTCCTGGACCAGTCTCTTACGTTCTCGTTCCTGCTTAGCGCCGACCACGTGGCTCATGGCGGCGGCTGCCCCCAGAAAGTTAGGATGGTTTGTGTTGATATAGGCGCGTTGGATCGAGATAAGCGACTCGACATATGACGACGCTGGACCAAGTCGCTCCCTGAGGAGATCGGAGACAACTTCGATGAGCTTGGCCTGCAGGCGAGGGAAGCGTGAGAGCTCAGTCGATCCACAGGTGTGGCATATCTTGATGAGCTCTTCATACACCAGTTCCACACAGCGTTGACTGGGGAGCTCCAGCAGCTTGATCTGCGGTTTAACGAGCAGATCGAAGGCCATTTCCGGCACGAAGAGACTGGGACGAGGGCCGGTGGAATTGCGTATGGCGGTTCTGATGTCAAGTGCAGAAAGGTTGGAAGTGGGGTCGATGGACTCCAAGGCACTGCCAAAGACCGAGTTGAAGATGTAGTAGATTCGCGCACCTCCCGACAATTCCTTGGTCGATATCTCGGTTGAGGTACCATCGATGGAAGAGATGAAGGATGTGGCAAACCGGGTCATTAACTGTAATATCATCGATCCACGATGCTCTTTCCCACTGAAGTGCATGTCGCCATAGCTAGCCAGTTCCTGTTGCGTCTGTCCCATCAACGTGTTCAGGCGGGCCTTGATATCCGGCAATCGCTCCCGGATATGCACCATGAGAGTTTGGTTGAGGGTTTTGGCCAGGAATTGTGTTCCACAACGCGTCGCAATATTCCGGTACGCGGGATGATGCCGGAAGAATTCAGCCTCGGCCTGGAGAGCTTCCTCCATGGGCCGGTTGCCCTGAATATCTTGCTGTGACCGGTTGACCACTCCGATAAAGCCTAGCTTCAGGGGGTAAACACGACCAGAGAGAATATCGAGCGCATTCGTGCCATGATCCATCAGGTCAACTTTGGTAAGGATACCAATAGTTCTCCGACCTAGAGGATCCACATGACGAGCAAGTTTCAGGGCTTCCGAGTTAACGATATCGACATTAGCAGGGGACACGGCTAGGATGATGCTGTTTGGCTTCGCAATATACTCGGAAATGAGGGTTCGTGTCTGCTTCTCGATGTCTGCTGGCTGGTCGCCAATAGGAACCTGCAAAAGGGGTAAGTCGGCTATGGCATCATAGGCGGCACGTAGATGTCGCCAAACGAAGCGTGAAGCTCGGGGTGCATACCTTGGTTAGCCCTGGCAAATCGACCAGCGTTAGGTTGAGGACATGTGGAGAGTAGATCTTGAGGTTGATGGGCTGCCTATTGATGCCCTTATTGCTACCAGCAACGCGAGAGGTCTCGCTCTCGATTTCGCGTTTGACGTCTCCGAAGTCAGTGAATTTTCGACTCGGGATATGGTGGAATTCGGCCCATTCTGATCGGCGTGCCTGAGTCGGGTTTCTGTAGGCGGCATGCGGGTCTGGTTCGGACGTGTCCTCCTCGACATTGATGAGCTGCAAGACCAACGGTCTCCTCGTTACTATGCCCGATCCTCGCGGGAGGCTGCAAACGTGACCAGTGTCAGTTGCGTCGGTAACCGGTAGGGGAAAGGAACGTACAAGTCACGGCCGACGATATTCTCCAAAACACTGCTCTTTCCAGCCGACTGTGAACCTACAACGACGAGCTGGGGCAGGTCAAGCGAATCGGAGCCTATTGTTGTCTTGAAAGGAGGTGTATGTCAGTAAGCTTGTGCACAACGCGTGTTCCAGGAGCCCCAACAAAGGCCGAGTTGGTAACTGTAGGGAATGGAAAGCTGTGGGAGCTGCTTACAAAGACAAGGTCCTCTTGGATTGGGGAGACGTCGCGTTAGCACTCGTCAGACCTCGAAGCTGGCCGGTGAAGCTTGAAATAGAAGCTTTACTCACTGCGAGAAGGTTAGCTATTGCATGGCAGAAGGAGCGGGGAGCCGATCAGCGGCCATTTCTCTGGAACATACCGGAGCTGGTTGACGATTCGAAGCAGTTCATCGCCAAGGGTCGCCATGGTGGAGATGGAGATGAAGATGTCTGCTTCGCTCGGTACTGTGTAGCTGATTCGGCTATGTGCTTTGGTTGGCAGCCGCAGGAGGCGGGATGGAGGGCGCCACCTCTAGAAACACAGGCTCCGGTCGGCGGTATATCGAGGAAACTGTCGCTCTTTGGTGGTACTGCAAAACGAGATATGGCCTCGAGGTTGTGCTGGCGGCTGGCTTCTTGTCGTGTTGATTGCACTCCCGTCATGCAGATAGAACCAAGTCTACCAAGAAAGCGCCGGGCAAGGTCAGGACTTCCGACTCAGATCTTGAGAGCTGAGGTGCATGCAGGTGTATGGTCATTGCGGGATCCACCGCCCCGCTTGGCATCTTCATGCACGGCATTTACATTCTCTTATGCACATGTCCCCTCTCGACCCATATCGAAGTACCCCTTACTCGAACGCATGCATACATATCGGTATATATATACAGGTGCATTTAACTAGTCTCGCTCAGACAGCAGAAGATTATTATTACCGAGCCACTAGGTCATATCTGGTACGTGCCCAATATATATATTGAGGCAGTCTCCCCATTGTTATGCCCAAGGTGTCCCGTAGGCAGTCCGTAAGTATTGGTGCAGGTATATTGGGGGAGGGGGGTTTGAACAGAACCAGTGAACACACGAAGGCATCCTATCCACTTTGTTATATCGTGAGCGTATGTTTCTTGGTGTGTTACATCTCCGTAGATCAACCCGGGCTAATGACACTGCGTTGAACATGGCGAACAACAGGCCGACGGGAAGATCCTGGTCTGCTCGCCACGTTTGTGCTGACTAGCCGGCTTCGGGACAACATGCCTCGTAGGGATGACCTCAGGAACCATGGACATGAGCCAGAATCTGTTGGAGCCTATGCAGCGCTTTGAGCTCGGTGGGTGAAGCTTCACCTGAAAGATCTTCTAGTTCCTCCTTTGCCCTCCCGACAAGAGGGTCTAAATTGCCCCAAACCTCATCAGTATAGGATGACAGCACATCTCGCCAGCCCTCAATCCACATAGTCCGAGCTTCTCGTGCGTCGGATGTTCCTAGATGTGCTGATAACTCGCTGTAGCCGCGATCACCCGAAGTGAAATTTGGAAAGAAGTTCAGCGTATCCTCCCATGGCACCCTCTTGATCTCGTGATTTGAGAATAAGGCACGCCGCAAGGCCGACCGATGCTCACTCGTCAGGGGTATCTCGACCTCTCCAGTGACCTCTCCAGTGGCCACTTCATCGTATCCCGAATCAAGGAGATGAACCACCGCCATGCCATCTGTTGCCGAATGTGTGGCGATTTGCCCAGAAGCGCCTGTTTGCCGCGGCCGTAGCTCATAGTTGAACGCTCGGGGTCCCATCTGCTCCAGTGCACTAGCACCACCTAGAAACGCAGTGAAGCTTGCCTCCTCCAGATTTACGTGCTCCAGTGAGTGCGTAGTCTGGAACGTGTTCCTTTGGGTGGGATCGACGGTTGTGCTTCTGCGGAGTGATGACTCTGTGGTACTAGGACCTTGAGCAGCACTGGAAGGGCCCGCCTTGCTAGGAGCCAGGATCTCGTTCATATAGTCAGCGTGGGGTTGGCCGGACACTACCAGGTCGTTGGTTAACTTGGCAGTTGACGCGGCGAGACGAGACAATGCAGATCTGGAATTGGAGTTTGGTTCTGCCGGAAGAGACTGCAGGTGGTCTCTACTGGCAGTGGACAAGACTGGCGGGTCATTGTTCAGCTCCTTTCCCTTGCCTTTGCTGCCCCCAGGTTCCTCTTGCTTGGTGTCGTCATGGGCCATTGGGATGTGGGATGTGGGGAGGGAGGGTTGATGTCGTCGGGTTAGCAGAATCGAAGATGAATGCGGTAAGGCAAGAAGAGTATGGCAGCTCAGCACATGCATACCCTTTCGAAGGTGCAGTTGGTGTCTAGCGGCTCCAACGGACTCGAAATGGATATAAGAGGCATTGTAACCCGAGGTATGTTACCTGTATGCATGTGATGCCCTGAAGTCAGAAGAGCTCATGTTCGTTTTAGCAGCAGACAAAGGAATCTGAATTTGACCCACTCCTGCATACCTCATGTACCTGGTAGGTAGGAGGTATACACACCTCCATTGTGTACTGCCCAACCTGTATCGGAGCGGAAGTTGCATAATTGCATATTGCTTAAGCTACGAGGATATATATGTAGACAGCAAGGAGCCACAGAGGAGGGGCAGCGAGCCGCCAGGTGTGGTGCCACCAGCTGGACCGGGAGTGCCACCGTTCTGGCAGCCATACAGCCCTGGAGTGAAGGAACACACCTGCGGGTTTGACATCATCCTTTCCAATCCAATCCTCACCACTCACCACACCCAGACACCCAGACACCCTGCTTCCAGCTTGCCAGCCAGCCCAGCCTGCCAACTGAAAGCGACCGCACCGCACCTCCTCCGCCGAGATCCCAAGGGCCGACACCAATAGACCAATATCCATTCACCTGACACTACTATCGACACTATTCACTGTCAGACCTCTCTCCCCGTCTCCCCACGCGCGTCCCTCGCTGTCTCTCTCCGACTGCTTTTGTGGTGCCCTCCATTCCCTCCCTGCCCCGTCAGCCCGTCGGGCCCTCTGCGGGATTCCATATCTCATTCACCGACCAGCACAGTCCCCCATCCCGGCCTGTCCTGTCAACCCCCAACCAAAAAGCCTTTGCTTAACCAGTCCGCCGCAACGTCAACGCCATCTCATTCCTGCTCCGTCAACAACATTCCGCCTCTTCTAGTCTCACCGCGCGCCCTTGACTGCTTTGTACCGCCGGGCCGCCAGACTTTCCGGACCCGATCGCCCCTCGTTCGTTGTCCTCTCTAGTCGCGTGCCGACCGCCAAACCTTTCGCGCAAGGGCAGAGCTTAGCTAGCTCTACCCTCGGTATCTGTCGATCAGCATGGCCGAAGAAGACAACGCAGCGTCCACGTGGAGATTCACCCAGGTTTGATGCCCTCTTCCCGCCTATCCGGCCTCTCTGCAGCCTTTCCCACTGACTGCCTTCTCTTCCAGTGCTTCGGTGACAAGGGTGATGTCGAGGATATCACAGAAGGTATGTCATCGATGTCCCGTGGACGTGGGGAGACACAGAACTCCCGTAAAGCCACAGCCTCTCTGGAATACCCATCTTGTGCATGGGCACCCAGTGCCCCTCGCTAACTTGATCGCTCAGCCGACATCATCTCGACCGTCGAATTCGACCACACTGGCAACTACCTAGCGACCGGAGACAAAGGCGGACGAGTTGTGTTGTTTGAGAGGAATGAGACGGTCAGTCCCGAATCTCGACGTGGCAGAGCAATCGGTCTGTGATGGGCGCCGGATCTAACATGGCTACAGAAAAAAACCTGCGAATACAAGTTCCATACCGAGTTTCAGTCCCACGAGCCCGAGTTCGATTACCTGAAGTCCCTAGAGATCGAGGAGAAGATCAACAAGATCAAGTGGTGCCGTCGTCAAAATGCATCTCATTACTTGCTATCTACCAACGACAAGACTATCAAGTTATGGAAGGTCTTTGAGAAGTCGTTGAAAGTGGTAGCTGAGAACAACCTGTCGCATGATGTGACTCCGGGCAACGCTGTTGGCGCCGGCGGAGGCGCCCCCAGACCTATTCCACAGTCTCATTTCAAGACGGCTGGAGAACTGAAGCTGCCGCGCCTGACGCACCACGATACTGTCGTGGCTGCGGTCCCCCGACGCACTTACGCCAATGCCCACGCCTACCACATCAACAGCATCTCAGTCAACAGTGACGGCGAGACCTTCATAAGTAGCGACGACCTGCGTATCAACCTCTGGAACCTGAACATCCAGGATCAGAGTTTCAACATTGTTGACATCAAACCTGCGAACATGGAGGAGCTGACCGAAGTCATCACTGCTGCCGAGTTCCACCCCGTCAGCTGCAACTGGTTCATGTATGCCAGCTCCAAGGGCACTATCAAGCTGGCCGACATGCGGGAGAGCGCGCTCTGTGATCAGCACGCGAAGCGTATGAAACCCGTGTCCCTCTTAAGCTGTGTGGGGTCATCAACTAACGACATGGGACATTAGTCTTTGAGCAAGAGGAGGATCCTTCCTCGAGATCATTCTTTTCGGAGATCATCTCCTCTATCTCGGATGTGCGCTTCTCCCATGACGGCAGATATATCTTGTCGCGGGATTACCTGACGGTCAAGATTTGGGATGTCAACATGGAGCGGCAGCCGGTGAAGACGATCCCGATACACGAACATCTTCGACCGCGGCTCTGCGATACATACGAAAACGACAGCATCTTTGACAAGTTCGAGGTGGTTTTCTCGGGGGATGCCAAGAACGTCATGACGGGCAGTTACAACAACAACTTCATGATATACCCCTCGGACCCCGAGAAGGAGGTCGAGGTTGTGCTGCAAGCGGACAAGTCGGCCTTCAAAGCAAAGAAGGTGGGAGTTCCGACGCCCATCAGCTCGTCGACGAGCCCCACAGCGACCAACGGCGGTAAGAAAGGTGGATCGCGTGCGGGCAGTCCGGCAGCTGGGGCCGGTCAGGGGCAGCGGATGCGGAAGGAGACCGACGCAGACCAGATCGATTTTAACAAGAAGATCCTGCATATGAGTTGGCATCCTTTCGAAGACAGCATTGCGATTGCTGCAACGAACAACGTGAGTGATGCCTCATTGCCCTTTTGCTCTACTGGAATCGTACTGACACAATGCAGCTGTTTGTCTTCTCGGCGCTATAGCTGTGCTGGATATGCTGGCGGCAACGATGTGGACCCCGCAGCGACGGCTACTATGCGCCAAACGGACGCACGGGACCCAGAAAGATAGGTTCCATGATGAATATGCGTGCCAGGGGCTTAGTGGTTTTTTCTCTCCCAGCGCTGCAGTCCATCTTCGTCTTGGATTTGCAACAGCCTCTGGCACCCCTTACTCTGTTGAGCCCAGGTCGGTAGGGTTCGGACGTCCTCGATGAAAGTTGGCATTGCAAACGAGGCGATGCTGGGTTTACGAGGCAAAGACGCATAGGCATAGGCGCTGTTCTTATACCAAGCTCTGATGGAAGTCAGGCAACGGGAAACCCGGCGCAGCGTGTGTAGACAGGAGGCTGTCAGCAATGCCCCATAGGAAGGGCAGATGCTACGGGGCCGGCAAGCAATGGCCAACAAGATGCATGGCATAGACTTTCACAGGCAAGACTACAGCCACTAAGATGAATGGCCAAAGGCAGATGTGCTCCAAAGCAAACATGCGGTTCGGGTTCGACCTGCTAGACGTTGCGTAGTAACTAAACCCTAAACCCCAGAGTGTTGGCTCCAAGGTGTATGTCTCAAGTGCGTAAGGTCAACTGGTATGTACTTCCACCTTGGGTACCTACCTTATGTACCTAGGTATATAGGTAAGGTACGGAACTCGAAAGGGAATGACGAAGGTCCACGGTCCACGGACTAGGTACGGGTCAAATGGTGCCCAGATCGGAAAGGCGGCCGGCCCCAAAAAAGCTTAGATGCCGATGGCGTCCGTACCTGACACCGCCGGGGTAGCACATGCCGTAACCGGGAAGGGCAATTTATAAATAAATCACGGATGCCCCACCTGGAGGCTAAGCCAGGTACTTCCAAGTTCCGAACAAGATCAAGCCACATTTGATGCAGGTGGTCCCCCCTTTCGCCTTCCGGCTCTCGTCCACTCTTCCAAGCGCCTTTCAAGTTCTCGGCTGGACGGAGCTTCAAGACTGCCAGCCACTGTTGACTCCCATCTCTCGAGTCTCTACCGCAGATTCCGCCTTGTGTTTCTCGTCACAGCCCTTTCCTCCCACATTCGCTTGCATTCAAGTGCAAGAGGATTACAGGACCTCCCCCGGCACATAATAGTACGCCAGGTACGCACCCACGTCGCACGCAGGTGGCCCGCCCATGCTTGAAACCGCATGTCCCGCGCCTGATCTCGAGCTACCCGTCCGGCCCATGAACACATCGATTCAACCGCCGCCGACCCAAGCCTTGTTTCGTGGAAGTCTCCCGTTCGAGAACAACACAGCCCACGTTCGCTCCGTCCCTCGCTCCCCGACTCGATGACGAGCCGATCGGCCCCCCGACGACGCCAGACCCTGCGAGAATCGCACGCTGCTCCGCGAAATGGCGCCACCATGACACCCAAGGTAATCAACGCGGGGCCTTCCCTCGAGAAGGCCGAGCTGTACGGCATACACGACCAGCGCCCGACCCATTCCAAGCTCATGGGCCTCGCCGGCCGCATCTTCATCGAGACCATCCCGCAGTGGCTGGCCGTGGGAGTCATGCTGGGTCTCATCTTCGGCGGCTGCTGCTCCAATGTGAGATGCGATCATACGCACCCCGCCTGACCCTGAGCGCCAATGCTAACGCAACATGCGGACAGGTCTTCGCTCTCGAGGCCATCATCAAGTAGGCTTCCCGCGGCGGCACAGTACTACGCTCATGGCTAACCATGCTGCAGGGTTGAACCCGCAAGCGGTATGACAGCCGGTTCTGAGATGTACGAGTCGGGGGCTTATGCAACTATCTTTCTCTAGGGACGCTTCTGACTTTTGTACAATTCCTGTTCGTGGCGGTGACGGGATACGTCTCCCAGTTCGACTCGTCGCGGCCGCCCTTCTTCCTGAAGCCGAACCGAGTGCCGATCCGTCGGTGGATTATCAACATTGTGCTCTTCTTCAGCATCAACGTGCTGAATAACCACGCCTTTAGCTACGACATTTCCGTCCCGGTGCACATCATCCTGCGGTCGGGCGGCAGCATCACCACCATGGTCGCCGGCGGCTTGTATGGCAAGAGGTACTCGCGCATCCAGGTGGTGGCGGTCCTTCTACTCACGGTTGGCGTCATCACGGCGGCCTGGTCGGATGCGCAGTCCAAGGCAAGAGCCCCCTTCCTTTTACCTCTGCCATGCCACTTCGGGACTAACAAGGCGCAGGATGCGTCGGCGGACGAGTCCCACGAGGGCACGCCCAGCTTCAGTACCGGTCTCGCAGTGCTGTTCGTAGCACAGATCATGTCGGCAGTGATGGGCCTGTACACGGAGGAGACATACAAGCAATACGGGCCGCACTGGAAGGAGAACCTGTTCTATTCCCACCTGCTCTCGTTGCCCCTCTTCCTCCCCTTCACACAGTCGCTGGTGGGGCAGTTCATGCGGCTCGCCAACAGCCCACCGCTTACACTGCCACTGCCCCGCGAGCAGGTGAACCTCTCGGCGATACCGGAGGCGCTGCGGCACAAGGTGGAAGGGTTCTACATTCCCAGCCAGGTGGCCTACTTGGCGCTCAACGTCCTGACACAGTATGCGTGCATTCGGGGGGTCAACCTCCTCGCGGCAGCTTCGTCGGCGCTGACGGTGACGATCGTGTTGAACATCCGCAAGCTCGTCAGCCTGCTGCTTAGTATCTGGCTGTTTGGGAACCGGTTGGCCACGGGCACCCTGATAGGGGCGGTGGTGGTGTTTTCGGCAGGGGGTCTGTACTCTCTGGATTCCAAGAAGCCGGCGACTGCGCACAAGGCGGTCAGCGGGAAGGCTGGGTAGGCGGGCGGGCGGCTACGCTATCTTAAGCATGTGCTGGTAGCATAGCGGCATAGCGCCATTGTCAAAATGTCAGTGTTCCCTTGGATGTATACGTGGTACAATAGCTGTCGTGTGTCAGTGGGCACCTACAAACGACTCTACATGTTGGATGACTGTGGCTCACGCTGGCCCTGCTGGCTGACCACAATTGGCCCGTCGTCGCGCTGGCTGGTAGAAAGATACCCGATTTATGAAGCAGATGTACACAAGCGTGTAGGTATCTGAAGCTCCGACTCGTTGAACGATGCGGGTCCACTGCCAAGTGCCAACCATTCAGTGCCGCTTGGTCCATGCACGTCTACCCGTGCCCCGCACCACTTTCCACCTCGCTAGGGCTCACCACATAAAGTGGTGCTCACCACAGTAGCACACCAACCACAATAACACACCAGTCTTCCATAATAACCACCCTCCAGCTAAAACCACACCAAAGTCATTGTCTCTTTGAACAGAAGACTTTTTCGCGATGGAATCCCGTACTCACAAAGCCGTAGAATATGCCGAGAAGCATCCGGATGCCTCTAAACGTAGTATCTGCCGCCAATTTGGGGTTTCAAGGGAGCGTTTCTGCAACCACCTGCAGGGCATCTCTTCCAAAAAAAAAAAAAAAAAAAAACCCCACGAGAACCACCCACGAAGCTGAATGTGATACAAGAAAAGGCCGTCTGTGCTTATATCGACCGTCTAGATACCATTAATCTCTCCGTGGGGCCAGAACTCATCACAGAGGCTGCTAACTTGCTGCTCAAGGAGTCGGCGAGTGCCGCGGTCATGGAACTACCCACAGTTAATAAGAATTAGGCCTCCCGCTTCATCAAGCGCCACGGATACTTCAAGCAGCCTCTTAAGGTCCTTTCACAAGATTGGCAAGCTGCCAAAGACTCAAAACGCACTGAAGAGGGTCATCAGGGAGGAGGGCATCCCCACTGACGACCTGTGAAATATGGACGAGACTGGCTTTCGATTAGGGGTTGGAAAGAACTAGATGGTCGTTACTAAGCAAAAAAAAGCCCATTATTTTGGAATACTGGAGAATAGAGAGTCTGCTACTGGCATAAAAGCTATCTCTGCTGCAGGCGAGGTTGTCCCAGACTTCCTTATCCTCTCTGTCACCTTCCATATGTCTCTATGGTACAAGGTACCCAAATTAGACCCAAGGATGGCAATTGCCACTGTGAAGAGTGGTTATTCAAACGACGAGATCAGCCTAGAGTGGATTAAGCACTTCAATAATCACTATAAGACCTCTCAAGTTGGTATAAAGAGGCTTCTAATTATTGACAGTCACGGTAGCCACCACATGATACAGTTCATTAAATATTGTGACGACAATGGCATTATCCCTTTTGGTCTCTCCACAAATATACACATTTACTATAGCCGCTCGATGTGGTGGTTTTCCAGCCTTTGAAGCACTACCATGTTAAAGCCCTAGATATTATGGTGTGGATGGTCTCACGCATATTGGGAAGATCGAGTTTCTGTCGTGTATTAAAAAGGTTTGCCAACAAGCTTTTAAGAAGACCACTATCCTCTCTGCCTTCAAGAAACGGGTATCTATCCCTTCAAACCGTTAGTTGTGATTAACCAGTTAAAAGAGCGCGAAGCTTACGCGAGGACCCCGTCACCCCCCCACCCCCCCTAACCAGCCTGGTTCCTCTCCAATTACCACCCAAGCTACAATGCGGCAGATTCACAAGGTCACTTATCAAGTAGACGAGGCCTTGAATAACCTGGGCAATGGCAGGGATCTTACTTCTAAAGATATTGAGAGGATCAGGCTCAATTCCAAGGGGGCGCGCTTCTACGCCTCCCAGCTAGTCTAGACCAAAAGGGACCTTAGAAGGACCAAATTAGCTTCTTAAGTTAACAAACAGCGCAAGTCTGTAATGAAAACTCTTTTCCAATCAGGAGGAGTACTTATAGTTGAAGTCAGGCATCAGATAGCAAGGAAAAAGGAGCAGAGGACCGCGGCAGGCCTCCAAAAAAAGGCGGATGCCCTGGTAAAAAAGGAGCTCTTACCACAAAAAAACCTCACTAAAAAGACAGCAAAGTTGGTCAGGTATTGAAGAACCACTAAGAGACTGCCTGTTACTGATATCTACAAATCTGGTAAGAAGATGCGGTTGCTACATAAATTTTAATCCTGAATAACCTCATATTGGTGTGTTATTATTGTGGTTGCTGTGCTACTGTGGTGAGCACCACTTTATGTGGTGAGCCCTAGCGAGGTGGAAAGTGGTGCGGGGCACGGGAAACCTTAAAGGTACCTACCTAGTACTGCAGGTGTGTACCACTGAACCATCAGCCCCTCCATCACAGATTCACATGGGAGGCTGAGCCCCGGCATTGAACCTTGGAGCTCCTGCCAGCCGGCCAGCCGGCCAGCGTGCACTGCAGCGACCCTTGAACCGTCCTCCAGAGTCCGTCCAGGTGTCGGGGCCTTTCTACCCACCTCCGTCAGCTCGACGACTTTTCCAACTCCCATGCCTCCCAGTGCTTCATAGCTATACAGCCACGGTGACCTCTTCGTGTGCCCCCTTACAACTCTCCCTACTGGAGCCCAAGCACAAGCAGCCTGCTCCTCAGCTCCAACATGTCTCGTGAGTCCGGTCCTCTCACCATGCAGCCGCACCAAAGTGCAGTAGCTAACGAGCACCCATGCGGCATGCAGAGAGCTACGCTGCCACAGAGCCCAATCCCTCGGGCTCGGGTCACACTCTCGACTACGACTCGGACGATGATGCCGCCGCCCATGAGATCGAGCAGGATTCCGACTCGGAGAACGCCTCCTCGCAGCAAGCCCCAAACCACCCCGTCTCGAATCTTACTGGCCACGCGCCCGACCCGCCCGACCTGCCCTCCCCCGCGCTGGAAGATGGCATGCTGCCCCGAGACCTTCCACGCAAAACCACCTTCTACGATGCAGTCGCCGAGCGCCAGATGACCCAGGCAGATGCCAAGCTCTTCTACCAGCGAAGCCAGCTCGACATTGTCAAGACCGACGGGAGCAGCTGGAGCCAGTCCCACGCCACCCCGCACGGAAGCCCTCTCCATGTCGGCTTGACCACCGCAAGGCCATCCAACGATGGGGCCAGTGCTGGACGCCCGCCTGTACCGCCGCCCCCAGGAACGAGCACAAGCTCCGTGTCTCTGGCATCGCCCGGACCCAGCTACAGCTTCCCGCATATCGCTGGGTCCGGCATAAGACCTCGTGCCTCTGACACCGTCCCCCGCACCGCCACCCGCCCGTCGTTGGGCGGTTTCGGCGGCCCGGCACCTACCAGCCATGCACACAGCTACCTGCTTTACGACCGGCCTGAGGTGGGCACGCAGCCTGACATTGGACTCCCGGACATGGCTCCCGGAGCAACCCCCGCCGACGGATATGCTGACAGCGACCCGCACATCACGGCTGAGCTGAGCAACATCTTCCAGAATATCCAGAAGATACTCGAGATTCGCCATAGATACATTCGCTTGTCTTTGCAGCGGGACGGCGACAACCCAAAGGACGACCCTAGCTGGGATATATACCCGTCACCCCCCGAGCCAGCTTGGGCCGGCCAGCCCACAGCCCACAATACTCCAGGTCACAACACTGCTACCAACAGCCTGAGCAATAGTCTTGTCCTGCCAGGCCCGGGCTCAGATGCCGAGCCCAAAAAGTCGCCCAAAAAGCGCAAACCTGGCCAGAATATCGGCGAGGATTTCGAAATGGACAATATGTTACCCCTTCCACAGGCGAGCGAGTTCGCTTTCCGCCTTGACGACAGTGGAGTCTATCAAGTATACGAGAACGCAGCTTCGGACAAGGCCAACACGCCTGTCGTTGGTGTTCCCACAATCAAGGATTTCTATCAGGACCTGGAGAAGATACTGTCCATCTCCTCGGACGGGCCGAGCAAGAGCTTTGCTTTTCGCCGGCTCCAGTATCTCGAGGGTAAATTTCACCTATATGCTCTTCTCAACGAATACCAAGAGACAGCCGACACTAAGAAGGTGCCTCACCGAGACTTCTACAACGTGCGAAAGGTGGATACACATGTCCATCACTCCGCGTGCATGAATCAGAAGCATCTCCTCCGTTTCATCAAGAGCAAGATGAAGAAGTGCCCCGACGAGTTTGTGCTCTCCAGGGACGGCAAGGATCTCACCCTGAGAGAGGTCTTCGAGAGTATCAATCTTACCGCGTATGACTTGAGCATCGATACGCTAGATATGCATGTAGGTCACCACCCCAAGGGTATCTGATGCCACGGAGACGAGTGCTGATCCAGCTTAGGCACACACGGACTCGTTCCATCGCTTTGACAAGTTCAATCTCAAGTACAACCCCATCGGAGAATCACGACTCCGGACCATCTTCTTAAAGACGGACAACCACATTCAAGGCCGGTACCTGGCAGAAATCACCAAGGAAGTGATTTCTGATCTTGAGTCTAGCAAGTATCAGATGGTGGAGTGGCGTATTTCCATTTACGGTAGGTCCCTTGACGAATGGGATAAACTTGCCGCCTGGGTAGTCGACAACAAACTGTTCTCACACAATGTCCGTTGGCTCATACAGGTCCCTCGTCTGTACGACGTCTTCAAGGCAAGCGGTTTGATGGCGACGTTCGAGCAGGTGGTCAAGAATGTCTTTCAGCCCCTTTTTGAGGTGACTAAGAATCCCGAGAGTCATCCGAAACTCCACATCTTCCTGCAGAGGGTCATTGGATTCGACAGTGTAGATGACGAGAGTAAGGTCGAGCGACGGCTGTTCAAGAAGTTCCCCGTGCCGAACGAGTGGACCTCGAAACAGAATCCTCCCTACAGCTATTGGATTTACTATCTATTCGCCAACATGAGTTCGCTCAACCACTGGCGCCGCCAGCGTGGTTTCAACACTTTCTTGCTGCGACCGCACTGCGGCGAAGCAGGCGATAGTGAGCATCTGGCTGTGGCACTGCTGTGCAGTCATAGCATCAGCCACGGGCTGCTTCTGCGCAAAGTGCCTCTGCTGCAATACATATTCTACCTTGAGCAGATTGGTATTGCCATGTCGCCACTGAGCAATAACGCGCTCTTCCTCGCGTACGAGAGGAACCCGTTCTACCAGTACTTTAGGCGCGGGCTGAACGTATCGCTTTCCACGGATGACCCTCTTCAGTTTGCCTATACCAAGGAGCCTCTGATGGAGGAATACGCGGTGGCGGCGCAAATCTATAAACTCAGCGCTGTGGATATGTGCGAGCTGGCCAAGAACTCGGTCAAGCAGAGCGGCTATGAACATGCGATTAAGCAGCAATGGTTAGGAGACAAGTTCAACCTGCCTGGTAAGCAAGGAAACAAGATGATCAAGACCAACATACCAGATCGTAGAGAGGAGTTCCGGCACCACACCTGGGTGGAGGAGCATCGCATGTGAGTAAACTCACCACCGGGCCTGTCTTTGAGACGCATACTCACGACTTGGCAGGATCTCCAGATATAGCTCGACGACCGAGCTGGACGAGGTGGTCGAACACCATCCCGCGGCTGTCGCCCACGCAGGCGCGCCGGCCTCGCCCCTGAGGACGAAAGTGGCCAGCGGAACCGGCGGGGCCAATGCTAGAACTCGTACTCCGACGAATATAGCCGACACGGAAAGCCCGTCGCACCTCGGTGCGCATCCTGACGACTCGAGCAGCGCCCTTGCGGTGCCTGTGCCCGGATCACCGCTCAACGCGACGCAGCGGGATCCTTCGTGGCCAACCGAAGGCCTGCGGGAGCTACATCTCTCGGGACACGAACCTCGATATCTGCCAGGAATGATGGAGAGAGCCTCGAGACGTGATAGTATGCGTCGCAGCTCCATGCCCGACTGGGATGATGCAATCTCTACTCGCAGCGCTCCTAGAAGGAGCGGTGGGAGAGAGGAACCTCCCGCATAGTCCATCGCAGCATCTCTGGACATTCTCTGTTGCTACCCCGGCCTGCTTACCTACCTAGGTAGGCAATGAGGGAAATCCAGTGTGCAGAGACGCGTAACGCTGGCTACCAGACGCCCGGACCTGCTTAGATATTGGCAAAATGTGTGAGCAGCATAGGCATGTGCGCATACGTAGACGCTGAGTTTTGGACTGCTAGATAGACCATGGGTCCAGTAGAGAAGATAGCGAAAGGGAATAGACGGTAATAGAGGCCTCGGGGTAGAAGACCCCCGGATTATCCATACCTCCTGACAGTTGCGTCCTAAGTGTGAGTAATGCCTCGTCCGCCCATCGCTTTGCGATTCACAGCCTTACATATACATGCTCATTCTGCCCTTTGCTCTTATGGCTGCAACGGTAGGCAGAATGAGGCAGAATGAGGCAGAGTGAAGCCTGTATTCTCGATTCAAGTACAGTTACATGTATGATGTAGGTAGGTAGATGCAAAATATGCATGTGTCTATAGTGCCCGCTTAGCTGAATAAAGGGGGGCACGCACCACACTCGAAGGGCTCGGGGGTTGTCCAATCAAAACGGGTAGCCGGCGGCTGGATGGGTCTGCTCATATCGGTGGGTACATTGATGATTGCATTACCTCAGCCTTCAGGGCCGCATGATCATCCATCGACGGATCTCTAGAACTAAACCTAGCATCTGGACTCAATCTTCGACCGAACGAGTTAGTTGACGCCACGCTCAACTTTTTGTTTCCAGTCTGGTTTCGACAGCCGGCTTCGAACGAATCCTCCAGCCTCCAGCGTTGCCGTCCGAGATCTGCTATCTGGATCGGCCACATCTGCTACCCTACCTGTGCCCTGCTAGCTACCTCCCGCCGCCCCAGGCCCAGCCCCAGGCCCAGCATTGCGATTCGAGCTGTTGTTCTCTTCGTACCATGATTGCGTATGGTATCCCAAAGACGGTGATAGGCATCTGGAAGCTGTGCGTCTCGCTGGGTTCGCCCTGTACTACCATCTAATCGCCACCTGAGGACTCGTCTGCACACTTCGCCGACCAGGCCGTCCGATAGCCCAACCACCCACAGCCCGCCCGACGGGCCCCCTATCTTTAACTCGCTGCCCGCGCCTGGATAAGCGACGACTCCGTGCCGTTCCGCAGGAATCATGGCGTTTTTGGGTATCTACAAAGCCGTATACGATTATGCGCCACAGGCAGAGGGCGAGCTTTCGATAACCGAAGGCGACCTTCTCTACGTGGTAGACAAAAGTAGCGAGGACGACTGGTGGAAGGCCAAAAAGAAGGCCAGCGCCGACGACGAGGACGAGCCAATCGGGCTCATTCCCAACAACTACGTCGAAAAGGTGCGCCCCTACAGCCCCTACAGCCCCTACACATACACTACCGGCTCTCGCGGCCCTCGAGTATCCCAGTATCATCTTGCTAAGCCAATTGCAGGCACACGCTGTAGGACAGGCGCGGTCACTCTACGAATACACTCGCCAGACAGATGAGGAGTTGTCCTTCCCCGAAGATGCCCAGCTGCAGGTCTACGACACGTCCGATCCCGACTGGATCCTTGTTGGTTACGAGTCCGACTTTGGCTTCGCTCCCGCCAACTACATCGAGCTGGGCGACGCCGCCCCCGAGCAGGAGCCCGTGGCCGAGGCCGAGGCCGAATCCGAGCCAGAGTCCACGCCGTTGCCTCCTTCGTTGCCTACACGCCCGCCTGCTGCAGCCGAACCAGACGAGTCCCGGAGCCCCCCATTGCCCAACCGACGGCCGTCTGTAACATACGAGAACAGTCCAGTGGCGCCCAGCGGCCCGGCTGATGCACTGGCTGCCGTGATGCAGGGCAGACCCTCAACCCGTGCAGCGACGCCGCCCCCGATCACAATTCCGCCCCGATCGCAGTACCTCTCGGAAGAATCCGACCAAGAGCCGAGTCCTGCTCTCCCGGTACGACCACAGTCGACGCGGTCCAACGATGGTTCGTTGGCATCCCCTCCCATCCCACAGCGATCCGCTACTTCCGCTACTCGCCGCGGTTACGACCAAGACCCTCGTGCTCCTCCGTCGTCGACACGTATCGTGCCTGGTGGCTTCCACATGTACAACATCAACGAGATGGTGTCTGTGATGGGCAAGAAGAAGAAGATGCCAACCACGCTAGGCGTGAATCTGAAGACGGGCATCATCCTGATCGCCCCCGAGAAGGCCCAAGACGGCCCGACCCAGGAGTGGACCGCTGACAAGATGACTCATTACTCTCGTGAAGGAAAACACGTCTTCTTGGAGCTTGTCCGACCTAGCAAGAGCCTCGACTTCCATGCGGGGGCCAAGGACACGGCCGAAGAGATTGTCAGTGCTCTCGGCGAATTAGCTGGGGCTATCCGGGCAGAAGGTCTCCGCGAGGTCATCGCGGCCGGTACTGGCCAAGGTGGCCAGAAGCGAGGACAGATCCTCTACGATTTCATGGCACAAGGGGACGACGAGGTCACCGTAGCCGCAGGAGACGAAGTGATCGTGCTTGACGATATCAAGAGCGAAGAATGGTGGCAAGTTCGGCGTCTCAAGACCGGCAAGGAGGGTGTCGTACCCAGCAGCTATATCGAAATCACGGCAAGCATCACGTCTCCGACGACGTCAGGAACCAGCGCGGGCAAGTCTCTTGTGGCACAGAACCGGTTGGAAGAGGAGCGCCTGACGAGAGAAGCCGTCAAGAGGGATCAGAGAGCAGCAGAGGTAGGACCTGGAATGCGTTTGCCTGAAAGGCATAGTAGCTTGTCAGCTGGGGACAGTAGTAACCTTTCTGGGAAACAGCGAAGCAGACGCGAAAACGGCGGCAGCAAATCCGGCTCCTCCAAGTCCAGTGAGCTCCCCCGCCGGAAGTTGCTTGTTGTGGGTGAGTTGTGCTGATAACTCTTTGCAGAACCTGATCAGTCCAAGGTACGTGTCTGGACGGATCGATCCAAGTCATTCAGCGTCGAGGCGCAATTCCTCGGCCTCAAAGACGGCAAGATCAACCTACACAAGATGAACGGTGTCAAGATTGCCGTCCCCCTGGCCAAGATGTCGTCGGGAGACATTGAGTACGTCGAACGAGTCACGGGTGTGTCCCTGGATGAGGACAAGCCTCTTGCGGACGTGAAACGAGCAAAGTCGACGAGGAGCGGCGCAGCCAGAGAGGGATCACGCAGTAATGCGGGCGCCTCGGTGGAGCCAGGAAAGTCTGACTACGACTGGTTCCAGTTCTTCCTTTCCTGTGACGTTGCCGTTGGGCTCTGCGAGCGATACGCTCAAGCTTTCGCGAAAGACTCGATGGACGAGAGCGTTCTGCCCGATGTGGACGCGACCATCCTCCGCAACCTTGGACTACGCGAGGGCGACATCATCAAAGTCACGCGCTTTCTCGACAAGAAGTATGGCCGGGACTTGAAGAAGAGGAATGTGAGCTTCGCCGAAGATGGGGACGGCGAGGATGGGACCTCTGGCGGTCTATTTTCGGGACCGGGAGGGACCCTCCGAAACAACACGCGGAAAGGCCGTCCAGCTCCGACAGTTCAGACAAACGACACTATTGACCCCAAAGCCTTCTCTCAGTCAAGGGACCTCGGTCGCGAGAACTCGGCGTCTCCTTCGCCCGTCGCCACGCGGCCCAAGGCCGCCGACAAGGGCAGTAGCGGATTCGACGACGACGCGTGGGATGTGAAGCCGGCAAAGCAACCAGAATCGCAGCCAAAATCGACTCCGACTCCAGAGGCCAAGCCGGCGCCTCCCCAACCGCAGAGCGCCCCGACACAGGCTATGCTGGACTTATCCTTGCTATCCAGTCCCCTTGAGCCAGCCAAGGTACAGTCAACCGTGACGGCTCCTGCTGTCACTCGGCCAGCGCCGCAACCACAGAACCTGCCCCAGCAAGCTCAGGCTCAACCCCAGCCTCAGGGGGCCACGCCATCCTTCTTCACGGGCATCCAGGCAACACCAACGGGACCTACGACGCCGGCCCAACCGCTTAATCTCGGTCTCAGCAGCAGGCAGCGACCAACTCCGCCTCAGTTGACGGGGGTACAGGGCGCTCTGATGCCACCGCCGCCAGCGCGGCCGTTGTCGGCACCGCAATCAGCACAGCCAAGTGGCTTCGCGCCGCCGCCGCTGCCGATGCAGCCTCAGATGACTGGTATCGCACCTCCGGGCCAGAGCCTGCTCGGGCTCAGCCAGCAGCAGATGCAGCAGCCCTACATGGGCGGCTTCCAACCGCAGCCCACCGGTCAGGGCATGATGCAGTTCAACCCGACCGGTGGCATGCCGCAGCAGCAGCAAACCGGGTTCGGTAGTCAGCAGTTCATGCAGCCCCAGATGACGGGCGCACCACAGCAATTCTCGCCGGTCCAAGCCCAGCCAACGGGGTTTCCCGGGAGGTTCGAGCCTGGGCAGCAATTCCCACAACAGACCGGGGTCAACACGTTCTTGCCGCCGGCGCTGGAGCCTCAGAGGACTGGGATACCCCCTATGCCCGCGCAGATGCAGCCCCAGCCGACGGGGTACGGCGGATACGGTCAGGGTTTCAATCCGGGCTTGAACAATGCACCTTCTCAACAACCTTCGCTGGCTCCCCTCCAACCCCAGCAGACGGGGCCAGCGCCGCCCGTCCGATTCGGAGTCGCCAACAAAATCGCTCCACAGGCAACTGGCCGCCGTGCGAACCTGGCCCAAGCAAGTAAGTGCCTCTCACCCTGGCGTTATGCGTACTAGGACATCGCGGAAGTCATCTAACCTGTCGTAGCTCCACAGAACCCCTTTGGCTTCTGAGGTTGGTCAAGGCGGTATGTCGAAAACACGCAGCTGTATGTACGTGTCTCACTTTGTCGCTGTCGACTTGAACATGCTGGAGGAGACTACAAGAACAACAAGGCAGAGGCAGCGCAACAACGGAGGCCTGCTCCGGCGTCGGCCGATCGCGGCGAGCGTCTAGTCTCAATTATCCGTTCAACCCAGCTGGGGTTGAATTCAGGTCATCGCCGAGAACGGGCGTGGATCCGATCCGGTCCCTTTGGTGCCATGGGTGCCGCTCCAGGAGGGAGACAAACCAAAGGGGAGAAGAGAGGTTGGGAAGAGGATGGTTGGAAATGATTAGTCACGAAGCATAGTATTGCACGCGGCCTCGATATATAGCCTGCGTGTTTTATGCTTAACAAGCATAGCACTCTTGTACCTAACACTTCTCGACATATATGCTTGATAATAATTACTCCTTCAAAGCACCCTTTGCAACATTTATATGTTTAAACTCGTAAATCATGACGCGCGTGTCGAGCCTACTCGGCAGGCCAGTCCGAGCCACATTGACACCGGCCGACGACATGAGCACCAGCACAGACATCGACTCCCGCCGTCACAAGAGACAGGTCGTTGATCGTAGTCCACAATAGTTGCTTCTCCCAATGGTTTGATCGGTCGAGCACAAAGCCCCTTGTGATATCGTGGCTAGAACCAGAACACATGCCGCTGTCGGCCCAAGCACCTATGTCGTCCAAGTGGTTCTTCACCTCGCGGAGCTTCACTACCTGGTCGTGCCTATTTCGAGTTTCCCTCACATGAGTTCGGCTTGCATATAGCACCTCCTTTCCCGAACCATGTCCTTTCCAAAACGTGTCCCAGAGGCGCGAGGATGAACACTCGGTTTACGACATGTTGATGTGACATAGCGGCCGCTGTTGCAGCCCGACCCACGGCCGCCCAACCTCCCAGGAGAGCATCTGGAAATAGGCTGTCACGATCAGCGAGGGCGATGCAAGCAAGTTAAAAGGTTGGAGTCGGCTGTGTCCAGAAGGAAAGAAAACAAAAGGTCTAGTACTCCTAGTGTTGTACACCATGATACTGCGGGTCTGGAACGGGAGCACGGATTGGAAGATATATCAATTATGATAGGCGTCATCTCTCACACTTGGATCCAACATACTCGCTGCACGTCCAAAGTTTGACGCAGATGCTAGACGTGCGGGGGCTCGTCGCCGTCCTCACCATCGAGAATGGTTCGTCGACGAGGGCGAGCCTTCTCATCCATCCCGGTGCTCGCGCCCGTGGTTTCGCCAGCACGCCCCTTCATAGGGGCCATTGGCTCCGCCTTCTCCTTCGGGGTGAACCGCTTGCGGACAGCGTCAACCATCTTGAAGAACCAGTAGAAGTTCAACGAGTTCAGGGTCAGGTTGCTGAGGATGTAAAGAACGGCCAGCCAGCCGGGGATGCTGGTCGAGTCCGACACATATGTCATGGTCTCTGCATACTGGGCTGGGAAGGTGGAGTTGAGCACCTTGTCGGGCGAAAGGGAGACCGGGATGGCGGGTTGGGCGTGCAGGGCGGACCACACGTCGCGAGCGACCATGACAGACTGGTAGGTACCCCACACCAGACGGCAGGAGAAGAAGGTGGCAATCAGCATGAGCCCGTTGTATAGTTGTGCGCGCGAGCCGGTCATGCCCAGCTTGTCGAAGAACCAGTGGATGTTGAGGAAGGGCGAGGACAGCTCCCAGAGGATGAAGTTGCAGCTGTAGTAGTTGACGAAGGGCCGCTGTCGCAGACGGTGTCAGACAAACGGCGTTGGGGATGGAGTGGACTATAGAATCAACGACTTACAAAGCCGAGGGAGTATACGAGCAGAGCGCTGACGGCGTGGGCCAGCATGCCCGGGCCGAAGATGCTGACGTTGGTGGCGGTGACGATCAGGTCCCAGAGGAAGTAGCCGGCGGCGAGGGCCTGTATCATGGCACAGGCACCGTCGTAGCCCCAGACGCGCTCCTGCCAGTCCATGTTCCGGCGCTCGTCATTGACGAGCATGACCCATAGGGCCAGAACATTGATGAGGGTGCTCTGGACGAAAGACACGACGTGGACGTTCCAGTTGAGCCTCCTGGACGGCGACAGGGCGGCATACTTGGCGGGGAAGAGGCGGCTCGACAGGCGCGGAGCGACGAGGCTGAAGACGAACTGGTAGAAAAGGGCACCGAGGACGATCTCGTGGATGTGCAGCGGGAGGGTCGGCAGATGGAAGTAGTCGGCCCACGGCCTGATGGCGTCGCTGAGGGCGGGGAACGGCGCGATGGGGAAGGGGTCCTTCATGGTGAGAGCGACGACGAGGTTCGGCGCGGCGAAGGCAGGCGCAGACAGACAGCTTCGAGACTCTGCGGAAGCGCGAGCCTGATATAAATACAGAGACGGCTTGACGACTTGACGACTTGTTGGAGTGTATCAGGCTGTCAGCTGGGCGTGCTCATGTGGTCGTGGTAAGTCGTGGTCGTCGTGGCGGAGGAGGGCCTCGGCAGGGCGGGCATCTATCTGCTGGACTGCGCGGATGATGCCCGGGGCGCGTGACGGTAAAGGCAGCGGTTCGACAGCAGCAGCAGCAGCAGGTTCAGACGAGGTGAAGATATCACAACATTCGATGTTGGGTACGGTAGGTAAATAATAATGTAGACATAGGTAGGTAGGTAGGTAGGGTGGTAGGCTGCCGATCTCGCGGGACTTGCAACTTGTACGGGAGGTGGTAATAATCCTGGATTTGTTGGGACGCTTGCAGGGGAGCAGGGAAACAGGGGAAAAGGCGACAGGGAAGTCAGATGGATTCCATGGGTGTAAGGTATGCATATATCCATCTAGCCAGACATGCACATACCGGGTTGAATTTATCCTTCAATGGAGGTGCCCGACTCCACCCAAGCCCAAGCCCAAGCCCAAGCTGTCCTCGCCTCACTTGTGACCGACGGACTGGTACACGTGCATGTCATATCAGTCACGCAGACGCATGAGCGCCGGCAGTCATCTCAACACAGGGCCAGCCCGAGTCATCAGTCGTCAGTCGTCAGTCGCCAGTGGTCGAGTGCAAGTGACAGAACACCATGGCCGACCTGCTCCACGACCTGCTGAACCCGCCCCTGTCGCCCGCCTCTCCGACTCACTCCGTGACGGACCCCGTCGCTCTCCAGTATCTCGAAGGCCTGGCCTCCCTGTCTCTGGCGCAGCTCGAGACCACCGAGCAGCAGGCCTTGTCGCAGTCCTCTCACACGCTGCTGTTGTCACTGCAGGCCCTCTCTCAACGCTCCCACAAGGCCGTCATCGCCTCGTCACAGAACCATGCCAACCTGCGCCTGGCGCTGCCGGCCCTGGCCGCATCCACCCAAGACCTGAGAGTCGCCATCCCCAGGCTGGACAACGAGGCCGTGCGCTTTTCAACCACCTATCAAAAGTCCCCCGACAACCACATCCTCACGGCCCGCAGGAAGGCCCTGCTGTTGTCGAGGAATGTCGAGCGCCTCGTCGACATCTTGGACCTGCCCACCCTGCTCTCCACCTCCATCGCCACCGGCTCTTCCTCCCCGGCCGCCAACTACTCGTCTGCCCTGGATCTGAACGGCCACATCCGCCGTCTGCACTCTCTCTACCCGGCCTCGCCTCTGGTCGAGTCTGTTTCCGCACAGGCAGACGATGCCATGCAAGCCATGGCCAAAAACCTCATCTCGAGCTTGCGCACCCCAGGCCTCAAACTGGCCTCCGCACTGAGGACAGTCAGCTGGCTTCGAAGGGTCATGCCTGATCTGGATCCTGCCGGCGCCGCGGGCAACGGGGGCGGACTGGGTGCCTTGTTCCTGGTCTGCCGGTTGTCTACGCTCATGAACATGCTGTCGGCCTTGGAGCCGCTTCGCGAGTTGGCCGACCAAGAAAAGGCCCGCCAGCAGCAGAGCCCGGCCGGCAGCGCCTGGTCGGGAGGTCAGCAGACTGAGCGCTACGTCAAGCGGTACATTGAGATATTCAGGGAGCAGAGTTTCGCCATTGTCTCCATGTTCAGGAGCATATTTCCCTCCTCAGCCCATAGAGACCCTGCCAGTGTCGGCCAGCAGGATCCTCTGCAGCCCATGCCTTCGGCGCTGTCAACATTTCCCTTCCATCTCATCGAGATGCTAATGGAGACTCTACGAATATACCTACCAAACGTCAAGGACCAGCCGTCACGGGACAGCCTCCTGACGCAGGTTCTCTACTGCGCCGGTAGTCTTGGCCGGCTAGGCGGCGACTTTGGCATCTTGTTGGCCAGCATCCATGCCGGAGACGATGCCGAGGAGGAATGGGTCGAGGTGGTAAAGAGACATCGGGTTATGGCGGGCCGGCTCGAGTCCATAGTCGGAGCCAAAGACAAGAGTGCCACCGAGATAGCAACCAAAGCCTAAACACTCACGTCAAGCCCCGAGACATGGTCTGTGTGTGCCATCTCAAGCCTAGAGGATGATGCAAACCCGTGGCAGGACGAAAGGACTGCCCAGGTGAGGGTTCAGCCATACGGCAGCGTGGGAGTGAGCCGGGTTATGAGCATAGACAACATTATGCTTGTAACCCATATGACTTCTTTTTCGTATGACGTGGGTCCAGGAGCGGAAGTCGGAATTGTAATTGGAAATGGAAAGTCAAGGCCCAGGGTAGGTGCGCTCACTTTTCCATCCAAACCCTACCGCTACCTCCCTACCGCTACCTACCTAAAGCCTAATAAACTTGAAGATCACTAGGTATTGAGCGCATCAGCTCCTCCTTCCTTGCCTGTGGACATCGACAACGGCCAACGGTCAACGGTCAACGGTCAACGGACAACAGTCAACGCTAGCCAACGGGCATATCTGGACACCAGCGAACAGCCTTTTGCAGCAGGTTATCATACAGCCCTTCGCAAATGGGTCGGCAGTAGGAAGGATCCCTTGCCTCGGCGGGATTGAACTCAACGCGGTGCGTCATGTCGCGGGACGCCCGGTCTAGCACCAGCAGCGGCAGCAGGTCTTCGTCCAGTAAGTGCGAGCGTGCATTCTCCGACGTGTTAGATGTGAGGTGCGAGGTGCGAGGTGCGACAAGATAGCCCGCTGACATGCCGCGTCAGCCTTCCATTTCGTGGCAGGCCTAGGTTCCGGTACTTTCGGCGCTGTGCTTCTGCAGCCGTTTGATCTGCTCAAGACCCGAGTCCAGCAATCCGGTTCGCGCTCGATCCGATCTGCCGTCAGAGACATCCTCAAATCCCCCAATGCCCTGGCTGCCTTCTGGAGGGGCACCGTTCCCTCGGCCTTGCGGACTGGCTTCGGCTCGGCCATCTACTTTACCACCCTGAACACCTTCCGACAGCAGGCAGCCGCCCTGACGCTGACGGCCCAACCTAATGTCCATCATCGCTCTTCCTCTGCCCTCCCGAAACTCTCCAACACTGCCAATCTCCTGTCGGGCGCCGTGGCCCGAGCTTTCGCCGGCTTCGTACTCATGCCCTTGACCGTCATTAAAGTGCGTTACGAATCGAATCTCTACTCGTACCGATCGATCGCAGGCGCTGCGAGGGACATCTACAAGACGGGCCGCCTACCGGGCTTCTTTGTTGGCTTTGGCGCAACTGCGATACGAGATGCTCCCTACGCTGGCCTGTACGTTGTGTCGTATGAACAGTTCAAGAGACGCCTTGGCTCTCTATATGGGCAAGATGCATTGGCCTCGTCCAGTGGTGGCAACAGCATGAAAGGGTCCCTGTCAGCTACCATCAACTTCGGCTCCGGTGCGCTCGCCGGTGCGACGTGTTCCTTCATCTCAAATCCATTCGATGCCGTCAAGACGCGGATTCAGCTACAACCGCGCGACTATCGGAACATGTTCCAGGCCTGCCGGAAGATGGTCGCAGAAGAGGGTGTGCGGTCTCTATACGACGGTCTGGCATTGCGCGTGACGCGCAAGGCAATAAGCTCAGCCCTGGCTTGGACCTTGTACGAGGAATTGGTTCGCAGAGCAGAGACTACCTGGGGCCGAAAGACGAGTGGACATGTATGATATAAACAAGAACTATCCATCCCACCTCTGGTCAACCCAAATATTCAAACCCAAAAACCAAGCCTGTAGGCACCTATCAGAAACTGGGTGAATTACGATATCCGTGTCTTTCGCCGACCGATTCCGAGACGCAATTTAAACCCACGACAGGTATTGATTCCACCCCCAATCCGTAGTCTGCGATCAACAGTATGGGGCTCGTAAAGCCCGTCAAGAAACGCTAGACAAGCTAAACAAATCGAGTGATTGACGAGCTACGACCAAGGAGGCGCGGGTGCCGGCTACGCCGGTCTTCCTCCGGCCAGGTAGGTCAGCAGGGACGGGGAGCGACTTCGTCTCCGCTCCTTCTTGCGAACCCACTCAAATTCGGGTTCGAGATGGTTGCCGTGGTGCTTTCTCCTATCCTTGTCCTCGATGGCCATGACGAGCTTGCCCGAGCGCTGCTCCCGGATGGTCTTGGTGTGCCGCCAGAGCGTGTCCTGCTCGGGCTCGGTCACCCATCGCTTGATCAGCACGTAGTCGGGATCCTAGAGCGCGCGGGTCAGCCCACGCCGCGGCAAAGTGTGTGTGTGTGTGTGTGTGTGTGAGAAAGGCGTGAGACAGGGTTGTTGCTACTTACGGGGTCGACGGCGTAGTCGATGTTGTAGACGCGCAGCGTCTCGAGCGAGAGATGCCGCCGGGCCATGCGCGTATACGTCGGGCGGGGCCTGTCCCCGATCGACCTCTCGCGTTCCCTCTCAGGTTCCCACCTCTCGCGTTCCCTCACCCTCTCCTTTTCCTTCTCCTTCTCGATCTTCTTACCGGCTAGGATGGCGTTGATCTCCTTCTCGCCTAGGCCCGACTTGAGCAGCTGCTCCTGCATCTTTTGCTTCAACTCGCGGTCGCGGGCCTCGGCGGCCTCCTTTTCTTTGAGGAGGCGCTCAGCTTCGTCCTTTTTATACTTATCAATAGCTTCTTTGGTCTCCTTCTCGCGGCGCTTCTTCTCGGCGAGGGCGGCCTCCTCGTCCTTGAGGCGCTGGAGCTCCAACTTCTGCTTGAGGCGGCGCTCGTACTCGTCCTGTTCGTTCTTCTCGCGGATGGCGTCGAGCTCCTGCTTGGCGTCGCGCAGCTCGCGCTCCTCGCGCATGGTGCGGTCGCGGCGCTTCTCTTCGCGCTCGATCTGGGTGACCAACTTGAGCTCCTCCAGCTCCTTCTGGGTGCGCTCGAGCTCGTATTTCTCTTGTTGGGCGGCCTTTTCGCGCTCGTACTCGCGCCGCCTGGCGTCGGCCACGCGCTCATAGTCGAAGCGCACGTGCTCGAGAGCGTGGCGGTCGCGATCGCGGTCGCGCGAGTTGTAGCCCGACGAAGTCCTCGAATGGGAGGTCCTCGAATGGGAGCGGCGGCGCGTGTCCTCCTCGGACGAGTCTGAGTCTGAGTTGTTGTAGATGCGGTTGTTAATGATGACAGGGGCTGGTGGTGGCGCCGGCGCCGGCGGGGCACTGGCGCCGGGCGAGCTACGACGGTCCCGCGACTTGGAGCGGCGGCTCGTCACGACGGTGCGCTCGGCGGCGGGGACCAGATAGCGGCCGCGGTCATGGTCGTCGATGTACCGTGGGCGCGGAGATCGCGGGGACCGGGCTTCGACGTAGTGGGCCACGGGCCGGCGGGCGGGAGAGACATGGCGGTGCTTGGTGACACGGATGTCCAGGTCGGACTCGTCGTCCGAGTAGGATGTATACCTGCTCATGGTGGACCGTCTTCGCTCTCACTCACGACATGCACACGAGTGTACCTAGTAGGTATGAATCTGATGCAGAGTCTGGCTGTCTGGGCCGGGCAAGGGAGAGAGAAGAGGGAAGGTAATAAGCAGCTGCCTGGCTGGCAGGCCACCAAGGATGTGGGGTGGTGGCCTCCATTTTATAAATTGTTGGTTTCCCCTCGCCGCCGGTTCAGAGCGTGCAGACCAACGACAGGTGATCCTGGTACCCTGGTCAGTGGTAGCCACTCAGCTGCGTCGTGGTGAAATGGAGGCGTAGTGTTTGATAGCACGAGGGGACCGGGCCTGGTCACTTCGTGGCCGGGCTGTTAGTATCACGACGGCAGCGCTTGTACCCGGGATACGGTCAGCAGCGGGCGTGCTACCTGGTCTGGGGCGAGCAAGACATCTGAAGAGGGAGGCCGCTACTTGGCATGGGCGCTGGGCGATAGCATCGGGTCGGTTGGGGGCTGAAAGACTGCTTATTAGGTAGAGTGAGGGCTGGGGATAAGAGTGGGGGGGGGGCTGAACTGGAGCTGCACCCATCTTACCCAAGGTTATTATTGACAATTTAATATGTGAGGGGTATACCTGTACAGGTAACAGTATATCAAGGCAGGCACGTGTGACATGAGATGGTGGGCGTGTCTGATAGGCTGTTGACCGAGAGCCAAGATGACGAATACACTTCCCACGGAATAGGGCCATAGGGCTGCGACACTGCCATGGGTGCAATCTGGAGTCACGGATGGTGGGGCAAGGTAGAAGTGTATGCATGTATCACGTGGCCAGCTGCTAGAGGAACAAGGTAGGTAGGTAGATATGGTGGCCGTTGATAGGGGGCAGAGTGAAGGGTCGTGGTTGACGATGGTGTCTCTGACTCAGTCTGCATGTGGGTGAAAGCTTCAATGTAGACTCAGGAGCCATTACCCCCCAGCAGGCGCGTGATGGTGTCCTTGTTGTTCTTCTGCGACACTTCGAGGTAGTGCAGCCTCTTGCCCAGCCCGTCGACCTCGCCCTCGACCTCCTTGATCTGCGCCCCCAGCTTGCCCTTCATGGCAGACACGGGCAGCGACACAAACATCTTGCCGACGCCCTCGTAGACGTTGGTGTCGGCTGGTAGCGACGACATCTCGGTGCGTGTCAACTCCGCCATGCGCATCTCGCGCTGCTTGGACGCCTGCTGCGTGCGCACCAGCGAGATCTGCTGCTGAGCCGCCATGGCCTGCGTCTCGACCTCGCGCAGCAGCTGTGTCTCTCGTCAGCCAACCATCATCCACGTCTTATTTGGGGAGTGTTCACTTGGTGCAATGCTTCGTTGGAGAGCGACATGATCTCTGATTTCAGGTGGGTGTGGGCGGCAGGCGGTAGGCCGAGTCCGGGACGATGAGAGTCGATTTTGTATTGTGAGATCGGAATTCTGGGTCAACATTGAAGTCGTGAAAGCCGGCCTGGCGTTGGGTACATGTACTGTGTGCCTTACTGTGTGCCTGCACTGCTTGGAGGGGCAGTCCAGCATACAGTGACGATACTGTCCCCACACACTGTGCTCACACGAAACTGCCGCTTCTCTGCCTACCTCGTTGGACACTACCTTGAGGAAAGGGGCCGTCTTCGGCTGATTGCATAGGTCAAATTTCACCGTATTCATCATCTAACGCCACGACACAGACAACGCTGGTGAGGAGTATTGTTTGAAACCCAACTGATTTAGTGGTCATGGTCATGCTCATGCTCATGTTGGCGAGGCTGCTGCCCTTCAACCTCTTTCCCGGGTGAGAATGCCATAACCTGTTGGTAGTTGGCTTCTCCTCACGTCTACATCTACGTCTATGAACTTTCCCCGTTTTGATATATAGTACAGCCCCGTTGCCGCAGCACTCCTCCAAGCGTCAATGTCTGTCTACCTTATCCAGAGTGCGGTAGCTACCTGTTCATGGAACATTGAGCATCCCTGGGTAGCTCTGTCGCCCGGGAACCTTTACCGGGTGTGCCATGATTGGAATCATTCTCGCTTTCACCGCGCCTTCTTCTCTGCCAGTCGCCCAGGTACATCGTCTACCGCGATCACTTCTGGCGTCTTGAATACCGAAGGCCAGTGAAGCCGGAACTTGTCCTCGTCACCGTCAAGGCAGCGCTGGATGTAAATGCGCCAAATTATGTAGTAGTATGCTGTAGTACCAACGCGGTGGTGTATTAGCTACCTTCACACGCACTGCATGCACGCGCACACAAGTTGGTTGGTACTTACCACCGATACCCGTCATCAGGTGCCACCACGCGTGGCCTTCCAACGCAATCGCCCACGGCAGCCCGATCTGGTGCCGCCATACGCGAATCCTGGCACAGAAGATGTTATCCAGGTTCCAGATGAGCCAGCCGCCCAGAAAGATGCTGAGACCTGTCGAGACACATCATCAGCTTTCACGATAATGTTACAGCGTGAATGGCGCATTCTAGCTGCTCACCCGTCGCAACCATTGTCCACATCTGCTTCAGAATGGCACTACTCGTCGGTACCGTCGAGTCTGGCGCTCTCTTGGACCCACGGGCCTTCAGAGCGGGGCGTAAAACCTTTTCCATGATATACATGTTGGAAAAAACCACGGTAGCGGTCAAAATGGCGTAGGCGTCCTGGTGAAACTGAGGATCTTTGGTCTCGTAATATCTTGCCTGGCACGCGTCTGGTCAGCTTTGCGCCTTGGGCGGGTCAAGCATGGCGCTCGGCTGCTACGGACAGTGATGAACCAGGCGAGACCGACGAGGCCAGCGCCAAGGCAGAATGAGAAGCGAGAGGACCTCCCGTAGGCAAAGGTGGCGTGGACCATGAAACATGTCGTGTAGATCATGGCCAGCTCGTCGACGAGCTGCATTGGATCTAGAGGGGACCGGTTAGCCGGACGTGGGCCTCGCGCTTCGGGGGCATGCCTGACGAACATTTCAGAGTCATGTGGAAGAGGGTAGAACCACAGCCAACGACCAAATAGCCCATGAAGGTGTAGAGGAAGATGCTGGGATTGGAGTACTTCAGGCACGACCGCAACCCTTTGATGCCGTAAATGATGAAAAGACCGTTCGTCAGGGTCTATCCAAGGCACCGCATCAGGATCAGTGACTCGGACGGTCTGGAGAGGGAACGGGAACGGGAGCGACTCACGTTGCACAGCTCAGCAACGTAGTAGCTCATGACATAGTCCTGGACAGTACGTTAGCCTCGCGTCTCGGCTAAAGGGGTGTTGGACCAAGACTCCGGACCTCTTCACACTATATAAATCAGGAGTCAGCAACTGCTCTTCGTAGAGGACCGAACAAGACCCCAGGGTTCACACACCCAGTTTAACGTTGAAGTTACATCACCCCAAAAGCCTTCACGGGGCTCGTGATAGGGAAAGCTGAGGCTCGGCATCGTTATGGTCGGTCCGCCAGTAGCGCAGACGAGAAGCAGTGGCAGCAGTGGCAGCAGCTCCGAGGTATACCTTGGTTGGAAGGGTCGATATGAGTACCGGTTCGATCGATAGCTGGGGCATGTGGTCACGGGCAACCTTGAAGCCTCGGGATTGTCACAGGCGGTAGGTATCTTGCAGGTGGTTACGGATTGGTCGGATCTTATTGCGGGAAGTCCGGTGGTTACGAAGCCCCGTGAGAGCGCTGAGTACCGTTTAATGCATATACCTCCATGATCGACCCCACATTACTAAATTTATCCTCAACTGGAGGTCCATCCATCATCCATCATCCGGCGTCGCGGCGCATTGGAGAACCAGACAGCCAGAGCTCTCCAGTCTCTCACGTCTTCATTGTAAAGGTCCATCATTAATAGATTCACTTCTCCAATACCTACGTGCTCGCACCGCACCACCACATGTCGGTCGGCGCCCCGGCGCACCACTCTCGTTCCCAAAACCAACTGGATTATTCTGGCAGGTCACACAATCCAATCTGTGTCGCTTGTACACCCTTGCAACTTGTCCTGAACGGCGTCGTCAGCTCCAACCAGGATTTCGTACAATGCGCCGACTCGTTCCGCGGCGCTGCGACGAACAGTGAACACCCTTTCCGAAGCCCCTTCTGCCGACATATTTAAGCCCTGCCGACTGGCCGCCGAGCCACCGGCATGTCCGCTCCACAGAAGTCCTCCAGATGGGGGTTCTTTCTGTCACAGGCCGTCGCCGGTGTCGAAGCCCGCCTCGACAACATCCTCGCCGAAGACGATCCCGCGAGACGGAACAATAACAGTGCCACCACCCGCGACGCGACTTCGCCGCCGCCACCGCCCCAGTCTCAGGCACCACACCCCTCACGGCCAAGCACGCCTTCCAAATCTACGAACGACAGGTTACAGGAGAGGTTGGCGAGAGCCGTTGCTGCAAAAAACGCTGCCCAGCGCGCCGAAGCCTCGTCCGCCAGACCAAGCACCGAAACCCCCACAGGAGCGCCCAGTCCACGCCCGAGCTCCGATGGTCCTCCCGCTGTGGACGCTGCGCCCAAGTCGCAAGCCGCTTCTACCAGGGTGAGCCTCTCGGCCGATCGAGAATCGGCCCCGTCGCCTGCTCCTCTCACGGCTGTTCAACCAGACCAGCCAGAGCCCTTGGCAACGCCTGTCAATGGCCAACTCTCCTCGGGAGAGAGCCCTCGGTCTTCGTTCCAGCGGGAACAGCCCCTCGAGGACGAAAAGGTCGCCGCGCCGTCCATCTCCGCTACTGAAGCACAAACTCCGGTCCCAACATCTGAGCCGGGAACAACGTCCTCTACGTCTGACCTATACGAGCAGCGCATCGCAGGTCTGGAGAAATCCCTGGAGGACACCCAGGCACAACACCAAGAAGAGCTACACGGACATGTCGAACGCGTAGATGCCCTTCAGGCGAAGCTACAGTATTTGGCTCGGGAAGCGTCTCAAGCGGCGAGAAATGCTGCCGCAAGCGCCCCTGCCGGCGGTATGGAGAAGAAGGTGGCCGAAAAGGACGAGCAGATCGCCCAGCTGATGGAGGAAGGCCAAAAGCTGGCCACGACAGAACAGAAACATCGCAGCATAATCAAGAAGCTAAGAAATCAGCTTGCACTGAGTGAAAAGGAATCAAACGAGCAAAAGATATGGCGTCAGAAGGCCGAGAACGAGATGGGCAGTCTACGAAAGCGAGTCAGCCAGCTCAACGAGCTCGACAAGTCGAACGAAGAGGCGCAAAAAGTGACGAGTCAGCTCAGAAGGGACCTAGACAGGTTGAGGTCTGAGGGAGCTTCAAAGGACAGCGTCATATCGGAGCTCAAGGTCCAGCTCCAGGAGGAATCAGATCAGGCCAGGTCCCTGGCGGCCAAGGTGAACGACCAGCTCCGGGAAGCAGGGCAACAGCGCGTCAAAGAACTGGAAGATTCTGTGGCAGCGCTGGAAGTAGAGAAAGGCCTGATGGCCGACCGTGCCAAGCTCCAGGCAACGGAGCTCCGAGAAAAGGCGGATAGGGCGTCGGAGCGCGCCCGTGCCGTCGAATTAGAACTGAAGGGAGAAGTACAGGTATTGGAGAGCAAGTTAGAGACCTTGCGGGCCAGAGCCGAAGAGGCTTCGTCCGGCGCCGCGGGAGACGCCCAGGCCAAACTTCTTCGGCAGATTGAGACGCTTCAGACACAGTATTCCATTGCAAGCGACAACTGGCAAGGTATCGAGGCATCCTTGGTTGCCAGGGCCACGAGTTTGGAAAGGGAAAGAGACGAGGCGTTGCGTCGAGAGTCCGAGATGAGGAGGAAGGCCAGGGAGACGGTATGTGTGCCTGACCACCCGAGCGGCAAGCGACCACTGACAGTTTCGATATAGGCTACTCGAGCCAAGCGGCAGGAGGAAGAGCTAGAAGAGGCCAAAACACAGCTACCGAGTGTTCGACGAGATCTGTCGTCCTACCAATCGCAGTTTGAGTCCCTCCGCCGGCGGGCTGAGGAAGCCGAGGCCGCCTTGGTAGAGGCCCGGGCCACCTTCGAAAAACAGCGGGCGGCCTGGAAGGAGGAAAAGGCCGAGAGAACAGATCACGACAGAAGGAACTGGTTGGACGACATTCCTAACGCGCCCTTCCGGAACAACAGCCGACCAGAGTCCCCTTTGCTATCGGCACCGCAGCGAACCTATAGTGGTGACAATTTCCTTGGATTGCAGAGCTACTCGACAAGACTTCGCAAGACTTCGGCACCCTCTAGTAATGGCGAGCCGAGTCCAGGCGAGAGACCCTCGTCGGCGAGGCGCCCCTCAGCACAGCCCCCGCTACGATCACCCATGTTCCCAACTCCCTTCACCCAGACGGGGACACCTCCATCCCTGGCCGGTGGTCTGGACACCCTGGCCTCGCCGTCGACACATCCCATGGACAGAGACGACGTCTTTGAAGGGATGGAAAGGTCGGCGTCACCGCAAAACATCTTGCAGGACATGGTCTCAGTTTCGACCATGACTGCCGGCCCGTCGGTGCAGCTCGTGGAGAGAATGAGCGCCGCCATTCGCCGATTGGAAAGTGAAAAGCTGGCGGCCAAAGAGGAGCTCGCCAGGATATCGAGTCAGCGCGATGAGGCCCGTGGGGAGATTGTGACACTGATCAAGGAGGTCGAGACGGGCAAGTCGGCGGCGAACCGGGTCGAGAATCTCGAGAAAGAGGTGACAGCAATCAACGAGAGATACCAGACGACACTGGAGATGTTGGGGGAGAAGAGCGAGCTGGTGGAAGAGCTACGCGCCGACGTCGACGACGTGAAGGCCATGTACAGGGACCTGGTGGAACGGACGATCAAATGATGGGAGTCGACGGTGCATCTTGAGCCTAGGATCTAGGTAGATTTACGTTACAATGTATTATTGGTGGCGCTTATATGCCTCGCGGCTGCCCATCCGCTGCATCATCAACTCAAAGCTCGATTCCTTCGTTCTCGGCTTCCCGTGCAATGTACTTGCGGACCTAGATGGCCAGTATTGGTCAGCTCACGAGTTCCAAGATGGGCCGCCGGGGGCCAACTACAGTGTGGCCACGAACCTCCTTGTCGGGGGCAAGGTCGAGTGCCAGGCAGCCGTCGTTGTCACGCCTGTCCATCTCGGCGCCCGCCTTGATCAGCGCAACGGCGGTATCCCCTAAAAGCACATCAGCCGGCATGCCTCGATCGATGGGGGCCGGCGAAGCGTACCGTGACCCTCGGCGACAGCATGATGGAGTGCGGTGTAGCCGGCGACATCGGTAGCGTTGAGAGGGCTGCGGTGCTCGAGCAGGAGCTTCACCAGAGGCACAGAGCCGACAGCGGCAGCTCGATGCAGAGGATACTGTCCACGCTTGTCTCTGACGCGGGCCGAGGCGGGTGGCTTGTTGTCCAAGAGCTTGCGGGCCACCTCCAAATGGCTCTTGGAAGCCACAAAGTGCAGTGCGGTCTGACCAGACGTGAGTACATCGGGCTAGCCTGCGTCACGCTGTTCAGGGGCGGCACACGTACCTGTCCGTTGTTGTCTGTGGGGGTGGTTAGAAGCTCTGGTTATCCCTAGTCTAGCACATGACAAATCTTGGCCTCACTCTTCTGGTTCACATCGGCACCTCTCTGGAGAAGCATGTCTACTAGTGCATCGCCGTCTTTGACGCTTGCTGCTATCATCAGGGGGGTCCAGCTGATGTCGTCCTTGGCGAGGGTTAGCCAGGGAGGGCGCCGTCATGGTCATGGTCATGACCCAGGAGATCAGCATGAGAGGGGGCACGGCTCACCTCGACATCCGGGTCGAAATCCTTCTGCTGGGCCAACAGCAGCGCAATGGCATACTGGTTCGAAGAGGCGGCCCAGTGGATGGGAAGACGGCCGTCATCGTCCTTGAGACGTGACAGCTTGGGGTCGGCCTGGTTCTCGTGTAAGTCGTCGACGCAGACAGGGGACCAACGGCCGTCTTACGTTCAACAGTGACTCGACGACGGTGACTAGCGCACGGTCAGCAGTGTGCATGTTGGCATTGGCACCAGAGCGCGGTACGCACCTCTGCCTTCTCTCGCAGCGGCGTGTATGGCGTATCTGGACTGGTCGGAAGCCATGTCGCTGCCGAGGTCGAGCTGTGTAAGTCGAGGCTGATGGCTGATGGGTATCACCGTTTCCCAACACCAAGTGGCAGCTAGTTAGGCGTCTGCTGCTCTTATTTGGAAGGCCAACGCAGGCTAGATAGATGTAGGTACTTGAGCAGTATTGGTTTTGTTTGCAAGCGGCACGGATGTTCCTTAAGATATGGAATATGAAGTGTTACGAACCCTTGGGTGCCTTGTAGAGTACATGTAGGAGGTAGGTACGGATAGAGAAGTCCCCGCCCACGGTAATTGAATATCTGCTTACACCTCACGGCCAGGTGGAGACGCCAGAGGTATGCACATAAGCGGGATCGGCTCCATCACCATTTTCCAAGGTAGGTTACCTGCATGTACATTCTGCGACAGCTACCTTTACATACACGTAACATACATCTGCACATACGTCTGCACCTCAAAACCTGCCTCGACCTGACCTGACCTTACGACAGCGCCGCCGATCCACCAAGCAATCCAACATTCGCGCATCTCACGAGCCGCATATCCGAACAGGCCTCCGCGCAATGGAGGTCGTTCAGCCCGACCTCAAGGTTCTGGCCCTGCAGAACGCGAAGCGATCCAAGTTTCTTTTTGCCGACCCGCCTCACGACCGGGAGTCTGCGAGGAAGAAGCTGCGACTGAGCGCAGACCCGACCGAGGGCCAACGCCAGAAGGAAGCCCTATCCCTCCGTCTCCATGCAGAATATCAAGACCTGGCCGACCTGCCGCCCGCCCTCGCCCAGAAGCAGGCCAACGTTGCCGGCGCGCGGAAGAGGGCGAGGAAACCAGCCAACAACGAGCCCCCCGCCGCCCCGGAGGACCAGAAGGTCCAGAAACTGATCGAGGGCATCGCCGAGACCTCGGCGACAGGTAGCGCGGCTTCGACCGCCCTCGTTCAGAGACGCAAGCCGCCGCCCACATCACAGAGACCCGACGGCCCAACGTCGCAAGCCTTGAGTACCGCCCGAGCCCAAGCCACACACCAAGTCAAACCCGACTGGCACCCGCCATGGAAGCTGATGCGCGTCATCTCGGGACATCTGGGCTGGGTGAGGAGTCTCGCAGTAGAGCCGCACAATCAGTGGTTCGCCAGTGGAGCGGGAGACAGGACCATCAAGTTATGGGACCTCGCAACTGGGAACCTCCGGTTGACCCTGACCGGCCACATCAGCACGGTACGCGGTCTTGCCGTGTCGCCCCGCCATCCCTACCTGTTCTCGTGTGGAGAAGACAAGATGGTCAAGTGCTGGGACCTGGAGACAAACAAGGTTATCCGGCACTATCACGGACACCTGAGCGGCGTCTACACGCTATCACTACATCCCACGCTCGACGTGCTCGTCACCGGCGGCCGAGACGGCGTGGCCCGCGTGTGGGACATGCGCACGCGCAGCAACGTCCACGTCCTATCCGGCCACAAGGGGACCGTAGCCGACGTCAAATGTCAGGAGGCCGACCCGCAGGTCATCAGCGCATCTCTGGACTCGACGGTGAGGATGTGGGACCTCGCCGCCGGCAAGAGCATGGGTGTTCTCACCCACCACAAGAAGGGCGTCCGCGCCCTCGCCCTACATCCGAGCGAGTTCACCTTTGCCACGGGCAGCACCGGCAGCATCAAGCAGTGGAAATGCCCCGAGGGCGCCTTCATGGGCAACTTCGACGGCCACAACGCCATCATCAACTCTCTCGCCGTGAACGAGGACGTCATGTTCTCGGGTGGCGACAACGGATCCATGAGCTTCTGGGACTGGAAGTCGGGACACCGGTTCCAGGCTCTCGATTCCATCGCCCAGCCGGGCTCGCTGGACGCCGAGGCCGGCATCATGAGCTCGACCTTCGACCGCACGGGGATGCGCCTGATCGTCGGCGAGGCGGACAAGACCATCAAGATCTGGAAACCCGACGACAAGGCCACCGAGGAAACGCACCCGCTCGAATGGAAGCCAAGCCTGGGGCGCCAGAAGTTTTAGACGGCAGCGAGGGCAGTAGGGCCGTATGTAGGGGGCTGTGGCAATCGAGACGACCTGGGACATTCCCCACGTACCGACGGCCGTGCATGTGTCGGGATAGGCACACAAGTAGGCGTAGTTGACACAAGTAGGCGTAGTTGGAGCGATATCAGGGGCATTGGTTGTTACGTTCAGTCGTCAAAAGTTGGCATGTATCTTACTACTGTACTCTAAAATGCAATACCCAAAGCCTTGATCTCGGGGTCGTCCCGAAATGCCAGCTTTACCTCCTCGTCTCCCACAGCAAGCCTGATCTTACTCGGTCGCTCCGCTCGATGGCCCTCGAGAATGATGATACCGGCGCCCGTCAGATCGACCGCTGCCATGTCGATGCCCGCGACCCGGGCAGACTTGCTATCATATCCCCGTGTAGATGTATGGACTCGGGTGTCCCGGGCCCCGGCACCCCTCAGCAGGCCTACCCGCCGACTGCTGCTGTCCAGGACCAGAGCGCGGTTCATTTCCTCGACAACATCGCCATATGTACTGTCCGGCAAGCCGCTCCTCTCGATCCGGACGAGCAAAGACGTCAACACCAACTTGGAAGCAAACGGCAAGGCTCGCAGGTACTGCTGCAACGGGCTCGTCGTAGCCTCGTTGATGGCTCGCTTCACCGTCGCAATCGTGACCTTGCCTCTGGAGCTCTTGCCGCGGTCGGCCTCTCCGGTCTTGGCCTTGGCCCGCTTGCTCGGCGTGGCGGGATCGGGGCCTGGGCCCTTCATATCCGACTCGGCCAGCTCGACGGCGCGGCGGCAGATGTCGAGAGCCCGCCTTGCATCGCCGCTCACGGCGGCGACTTTGCGACTTGCGAACTGGACAGCGTCGGGCTCGACAATATTGCCCGGAACCCCCTCGAGTCGCGATTGTATGATCTTCATGAGCTGTTCGTGGTTGTAGCCGGGAAAGGTGATGCGAGTCAGGCCCAGACGGCTACTGATCTTGTTGCTGAGGGTTCTCTCGGGCAGGTCCATGGTATTGGCCACGGCCAGCACGATAAGCCGCGAGTGGCGCAATCCAGGCCAGTTGAAGAAGTTGTACATGACGCTCTGGTTCTTGGTGACGAGCTGATCGAGCTCGTCCATCAACACCACGCAAGGGACCCGCCGAGGGCTTGGGTGGTTGAACTCTCGCTCGAGGAGGTCGAGGGCCTGGCTTGGACTGACTCGCTGTCCGCGCAAGGCTTCCCACAGCAGAGAGTAGGACTGGTGGGGATCGGTGATCTTCATGCCGTTGATCTCGACAAAGATGAAGTCGTCCAGCTCGTCGGATCGGACGGCCTCGTCCAGCCTCGAGACGACTTCTCTCACGGTGGCAGTCTTGCCCGTCCCCGGCGTCCCGGAGATGTAGATACATGCTCCCGAACCGTCGGTGATGGCTGCCTCGAGATGCGAATACACCATGGAAAACTCCGACTCTCTGCATGGCAAGCTGGTCGGCACCGACGCAACATGCAACTGGGCCCTTGCGATCTGGAAGGGAGACGACTGGTGGTAGCTTGGCGAAAGAGTACGAGTGGCCAGCGGCGTGAACTCCAGCGCCTTCTTCACCGCAACCCTGTAGTCCCAAGTCAGCAATCCCAGGCACGTGAGGGTCTCATCAGGGTGCGTGCACGTACTTGCGACTGGAGGGTGTGACAAGGCGCGACGTCTTCTGCCTCTTGCGCGGCGTGGTGACTTTGCGCGTTGCGGCCCCATCGGAGAGATAGTCATCATCATCGGCGGGCTCTTGGTGAGATAGGACATAGGCGGCCTCGAGATGCGGATCCTGAGCTCTCGGGCGGCTCCTCGTTGACTTGGTCCCCCTCTGTACCATTTCGACTAGGTCCCCGATGTCGTCAACATTTCCCGAGTAGACGTCTTTCCAGACGAATTCGTCAGTGTAGGTGGTGGTCCTCGTATTGCAACCTCTGCGGCAGACGAAGGTCTTGTTGTAGGCTGAAGACGTGCGGGGTATCTTGCCGCTGGGGAAGCGTTGCAGGAAGGCGTCATGGGACATGACACGGGCTTTACCATTTATAGAAGCAAGAGGGTTGACATCGGAGGATGGCGTGATGTACAGCTCGTTCTACGCGGATGTAGTCGGTCGGTCAGCACGGGATCCCGGGTAAGAGGTAGGCAAGCATGGGACCAACCCAGAGATAGTCTTTTCGCTTCCGGTCGTTGTTGCGAATCTCGGTCTCGGTAGAGAACCACAGAAAGTGGGCAGCCATGTCCCCGTCCTCATCGGCATCGAGGAAGTCAGTGATGATGGCGACCCAGGCCTCGTTGGAGCCGTCGGCCTTGAGGAGAACGCAGTCGCCCTTGTAGCACTCGAAGGTACCCATGCGCGCACCGACTATGTGGTGGCCCTGGTGGGTGGCATCCCGCTTCCGCTTCCCCTTGGCGGCGTCCCCATGGTCGGGCTCAGCATGGATCCATTCCCACGGATGGTCGTCAACTCCGAGCTCGTCGTCAGAGTCGTCTCTGGCCACACCTGGAGGGCACCTGGCTGATGAAGCTCGGCGGCCCATGAGTGAGTGAGTGAGTTGCCGAGTATATCTCAGGGGAATGTGACGTGACTGTGGCTGAGGCTGGGGCCGTGGCTGTGACTGGAATTGTCAACGGTTATGGTGACAGCTTGCAACTGTGCAATGTCTGATGGTGGTGGTGGTGCTCAATGAGATATCACTGAACTGGCATCTTCTGACGAAAAGAAAACCCTCTGCAGGGGGCCTGATGCGCAGAGTGACCTAAGGACTGAGGAGTGGACTGGAGGTGAGACGTTGACGCGGATGCCAGCAGCCAGCCAGGACGATGTGGGGCGAGGCAAACGCGGGCTCACGTGACCCCCCTCTCCTAATACTCTCCTGTCAGGCCGTTCGTTGTAACGACCTAAGGTTATTTACCTTACTCTTATTACATAGGTACGTAGGTAGTACCCAGTGTGCATGGCTTTATTTAGGTACCTACTTAAGTACCTTGTGCATATTTATTATGTATCTACCTACACAATACAGATACGGCATTCTCTCAACCTGCACCTGCCTGCTTTCCATACAAGGTACCTAAGGATTTGAGGTACCTTAAAACATGCATATCCACCTTACCTACCAACGTACCTCTATACGGACCCTCCACTTAAATGCCGTCTTAAAGTTGTAGATGCCTCAGGTGATCTCGGTCATGTACATACTTCTTACACACTAAGGTTCTTATTTTATTCACCCAGCAGCTCAGTTGCCCACGACCACCACACATAGCAACCACACCCACAATTGAAACTCGAACGGCTGCTTCTCATCACTCCTGCCACCACCCGCATCCACAGACCAACTTAGCCTTCGTCCGGCGCGCCGTCTTCCTTCTTTCCACCCCTTCTTTCCACCACCTGTTTGATACCTAAGGTATCATCACTACTACCAATTCCGCCACTTCTACCAGTCCTAGCAGACAGACAGCATGGACTCACTGATCGAGGTCGACGTGTGAGTTACCCCGATAAAACACCATGGCTCCTGTCCCGTGGCACTAAACGCTTTCGTCCGTATGCAGGAGCGACCAATCTGCTGGTCCAGCTTTGTCCGTGGGCACCCAGCGTGACAGAATTGCACCTGGCGTAGATCTCCTCTTTGACGGTGCCATTCACGATGAATCCGCCCTGACCAACTGCCCGCTCCTCGTGCCGGGTGCTTACGATCAGCCTGCCAGTTCCGCCTCAGGCGCCCTGTCTGAGCCCCAGCAGCTGGGCACCGATGAGCAGCAGCTGGGTACGGGTGAGCAGTCGACCGCCTTGGTCCCTGCTGATGATGATGATGATGCCATGACAAGGGTCAACGACCATCAAGAGAATGGGGTACAGCCTCTGGGCCAGCACTCTGCCCATCATGAGGACCGGCTCGTACCTGCGGCCAAGGATACCACTGACGAACCAGCTGCCGTATACTTTACTACATCATCGGCCAAGCTGGTGGGAGTCGCCGTTCGAACGTGGCGCCACAACTCCCGAGCTATCCAGGGTGAACACGGCCGTCGCCCGGTTATTGTATGCAGCATGCTCCGTCTTCTCCATTCACATTCACATTCACCACCGCCCTATAGTACATAACGAATCATCTAACCAGATCATCGCAGGCCAACTTCATTGTCTCCCACAACCCAGATTCCGCCCTGGGCGTCATCGAGGCTGCCTACCGAGACATGAGGAGTGCAAGCAGCAGGTGCACCATTGAACTGCGAAGCACCCCCAACGGCGGCTCCTACCTACGGATCGCCGCGCCTACAAAGGCGGATGCTGATGAACTGATTGAGACGACCCGATTGCAGGTCGAAGACCTGATTGCAGACCGGCCCAATCTGACCAAGGGCCTTTTCGTCGAGCCCCCCTCTGCCACAGGCCCTGATTTCGTCATCGTACTCGACGCTACATCCGGCGGTGCCCGACACCGCCTAGAGCTGCGCGACGGCACTCGACCTAACGTGAGACTCGAAGAACTGGCCGCTGAACATGAGAAGGCCCTCTCGAGCACTCTCTTCGACGCGCTGAACAAAGCCGGTCGCCTGCGAGCTGCTCTCAACCTGAAGATACACCTTGGTCATTACATGCTCCAAAGATATCAGAAAACCATCCCTGCTTTCCAGTTCGAACAGTTCGAGGCCATGGTGAAGAACTCTCGAGCTTCCGGACGACTGAGAACTCAGTAAGTGCGGCGCGGGAAGGCGTACAGGTCGATAGGCTGACGCCCACCATTAGTATTGGTGACGAGGCCCTTGCTGGCGCCATGCTGCGGGTGATCCGGGCTCCCCATAGTCCCTTCCTTCCCACCGACAACCAGACTCCATCGGCAGCCGACGTCGCCCCGCAGTACGCCTTTGAAGCGTGCTCGGAAGAGGTGAGGTTCGAGACAGAGCTCGAGCCAACACATGCCTCCCACGCTTCTGGGGGTGATGGCGTCCGGTACCGCATGGTGCGGACACGAGCGTTCCCGCTCAACGCCACCATCTCCGAGCTCGACATCACCAACATTAGTATGGGAAGGTAAGGAATAGATTCGAATTCGATGATTGTGCTATCTCATTTGTCTGACCCCGACCTAGCAAGCTCGATTGGAAGGTGGAAGCCGTGGCTGAGGACCGCGACGAGAAGAAGTTCCATGGCGTCAACGCCTACTTCCAGTCGGGAAAAATCCACATGCAGGGCCCGCACGGAGGCTGCAACGCCTACCCCAGGATTTGGCTGGCTTGCGATAGCGCCATGGCGGGTTATTTCAAGTCAGCCACAGTCAAGAGCGTCTACCGCTTCAACTGGAAGGAAACGGCATATATTGTTGAGCTGGCCATTAACCGCCAATGGGATGGCATCCGATCCATGGTCGCCAACAAACCACCGACGGTCGATTTTGGTCTTAGTGTCTACGGAGAAGCGTGGGATGAAGAGATGCAGTTGCTCGGCGGCAGATCAGCCAGCCACGTCTGGGGCAAAGACCTTAAAGGTTTGTTTGCCGCCGAGGGCAACAGTCAAACCGGCGAGGGGGTGGGCAGGGTGCGGGGATTCCTGCAGACGGTACGCAATATCCGAGACGCCTTCGAAGGTGTTGAGGGATAGGTGGCCTTCGTCGGTCAGTATCACTGTCACCATGTGTGTCGCCCAGGTTTTTGGTGATTGGTCCCTCGAATTGGTGCAGCCCTCTACAGGGTCAGATCTTGAAGGCGGGTGTCCACCACTGCAACGAAATGGTCCTTGGCGGCGGCTAGGGAGGTGGATAGGGAACTCTTGGCCAACTTCAAGGGATGGCCCAACCAACGAATTGTGGCTGCTCTACTGGAGAACGGCGAGATTGACTATGGCATGGGATGATGGGGTGGCGGGTGCGACGAAGATGCAAAAGGGGCATGCATGCTAGGGAGTCTTGTTCCCTTCTTTCTTCCCACCAGAGCAGGGCCTGCATAGGGAGAGCTCCTGGTAGCCAGCTGGTAACGCCTGCTCCTCTTCTTCTCCTAGGACGAGGGCGTTGGCTGGGCCGGGCCGGCCATCTTGTGTCTTAGAACTAGGTAGCAGACAGCTCGTCAGCCGCATACTCTTTCTTCTCTTCTTCGGGTGTATGGATGATTGGTACCTTCCTCGATGACGCGGACGTTGTTCGTCTTGGACTGCACAATGGCTTCCAGCTCTTTGATGCTCCCTCCCACTTCGCCGACCTTGTTCTCGTAGAACTGGGTTGCCGACTTGATCTCCTGCGAGGCGGGGGTCAGACAAGGTGGGCGGGCGTGCATGTTGGACTGTATATACCTTCTCGACGTAAAAGCCAGTGCCGATGTCGACAACAACGTGTTCGGCGCTCGCGAGGGTGCCGCGGACGTAGAGAGAGTTGGTGAGTGGCACGAGGATGGACTTGTCTTCTATGGTCGGGTGGTGGTCAGTTAGGCGCTGGCTTGGTCGGGTCGGGGACGATGGGTCTGGCACGCACGTTGGAGAGCAGGTGACTTGCCGCCTTGGACACAGCGAAGGCATTCTCTGAACTTGGACTGGGCGGCGTGTAGCTGGGTGAAGGACGAGGTCAAGTGCTCCAGCTCTTCGTCGAGTTGCTTCTTGACCTGGCCAAGCTGCTGGACGCTCAGGGAGTCGAGGTTCACTAGATGGGGCCTTCGTCAGTAGGGGGAGCATGGGATGTGAGCGAGTGCCAAACTTACCGGTCTCGCCGTTTCCGCTGGCCATGATGTCTGTCGTCTGTCTCTCGTCTGTCTCGAAGATTGTGGGACGTGGGACGTGTTCCAATCGTGGGAGCTCGATACTAAATACACCTTCCATTAATCGGGTGCGCCTTGGTTTTCATGTCACACCTGCAGTGTGGGGCCATGATGCGGCTGCATTGGATACATGCATATATGTGTTTGAAGTGATATTGTGCCTTGTGGTAGCGGTATCCAGAATAAGGACCAGGGTCACGAATGGTGGCTATTGGTCTGTATTCTGGAAGTTGCTTGATTGAAAGGAAGGATGGGTGGTGCTCCAATCCCAGAAGTAGCTATCATCCCAGTTGGGTACAAATCAGGTACAAACGGGTACTAGTTGGGCTCCAAGGTGCCTTGTATCCTGGTCCGTGACCCATCCGTCATTGTGGCTGGAAAATGGGTTGAGGAGCCACAATATTACGAGTACTCAGTACTCGTATATGTATGCACTTGCTATTTGCATAGCTACTCAGTCATGTTCCCCAAGGTGAGCTACACGTACCTACATGCCTCGGGTGAGTCTGAGATACGTCTGCGACATTACACACGTGCCTGGTACATGATAAATAACACACTCGCCCCCTACAACTATCAGCTGTAGAGAATCAGGGCTCCTCGTAGCGGGCATGTCACCATAGCTCCGTGAGCCGCCATATTGGGAGGTAGGGACTCGGGAAGCTGTTTTAAATACAGGCAAAAAGACTGCTTGGTCCAGAGCCACACGTGCTCCCGTATTCTGCTGGTCATTGAAGCAGGTTACTGTGCAGACATCCATACCTTGTACTGAGATCAAGTGCCAGCTCCCCTTTTCCGAACCATGACTTCCGTCGCTGGATCCGCGCTCGCCACTACCCCTGGATGAGAGGGAAACGGGTCAGCCAACAGCGTATGCCCAATTACCAGACTTGCACGACTCACTGGTGAGTCTTCGGGGGCGTGTAAGCCATCTGAAAGCTCACATACTGTATATAATATGGAACTGTCGGTCTTGAGGTAGCCGAAAGGGGCATGGAATAACTCACTAAGAACATTCAAGGTGTACCGTCAACGTCATATCAAACGGACCCGAGCCGTTATCACCCCCATGTGCGACTCCGGGACACTGCGTGCTTCCCGTAACGTCCGTCCGGGTCACGAGGTCATATAACCTGCATTTCTTGATCAGCATGCTGCGGGGGAAGTAATGGGGTTGGTAGTTGGGGGTTACGGGCAACAGCCTGGTCGTAAGCGTCGTTGGCAATGATCAAGATAGCTGCATGTTTGTCAGGACTGCAGTGTCATGTAATATCGGCCTCTTCGTTTCTCTCGGGAGCCACGACAACGTGTCGTCAGGCAACGCTTTGCCTGCGCGCATAATTACACCGTCTCAAGCGTACATATACGGAGAGAATAAATCATGTATATCTTGACAACGCCGTCAACGAGGTCCTTCTTCCTCTTCTCGGGGAAGGCCTTGGTATAATCATTGGCGAATGTCTACAGGCGTCAACTGCCATACTCGCCATACCCGGTGGCAGAGGCTGTCTCAGTACCGTGCGGAATGCCTCCAGTGCATTAACCTTGTCATCCGGTCGATGTCGAACCCTTACACGTAGCTCTTCGGCAGCACAGTGTGGACGCCTGTCACTGGTAAGCAACGAGGCCTCCCGAGATAGCACGGGTGACAGCACATACCATCCAGGGTTGTCACACGGTGGAACAGGTTCCGCAATCCTTCGGTACCTATAGTCGTAAACTTCTAGGGCTGTAGTCGAGAACCAGCCGTCGTGACCAGTAGCAGAGAGGCCGACATACAACGCGGTCAATCACCAGGGAGGACTGATGAGCGATATTGATGAAAGGGGGGAGCGGTTCGCTGGCTTAAGACCAATAAGAATGCACGCCAATCCCCACATTGACGTCTGCGCCTGCAGTGGCTCGATGTAATAGTTAAGGACATTTCGCTGGGTTCCGGTTCCGCATGGTGGTGTCCGCATGGTGATGTTGTGCCTGGTTGGGCTTGGGTGGATTTGGTCCACCCGCCGCTCATCAACCTGCACGCCGGCACTTGAACAGCCTTAGGTCGTTCCTCTCCACAGGGATCAATGAACGGCTTCCTCTCATTTTGGTGTATGCGCCAAACTTTCCCAGCATATATACGGGATCAACATCATCACGTTTGGCGGCTCCCCGGCTGGAACTGGTGAAGTCAAGCTGACAATGCTTCAGATACTAACTATCCAGCCACCATCTGCAAGAACACCGTCGGCCTGTCCAGCTTCAGAGCTCGTCTCTAGACGCTTTCAGCGGCACCGGGTATTCCATCTTGGGTTGGCCTCTCCACTATCGAAAAGTTTGGTTACCGAACTCAGATGTTGTCTGGGGCTGCGGGGGAGGCCAGTACCTGGAGCCTACGTCTTTCTTTACGGGCTGAAGTCTTTGGGTCAGAGGCAAATCGGCGTTGACTGGGGATATTGCCCGTTAGTGTCGGTTGCTGGCCCTTATTCTGTTAAAAGGCTAAGCATGTAAGGGTAAAGAGACTTGTTATATTGTAAGAGGCTGTAATATTAATCAGACGTGAAAACTTTGTATATATCGTTAAAGGGTTAAATTTTAGTTTATTTTCGTTTTAAATGTAAAAAGCCCGAATAAAGTAAAACAAAAGTTTATTATATCGTAACTTTTTCCCCAATAAAGTTTATTACTTAAATAAAAAGTAACTACCGATACGCATAATAATAATTTATATATTTAATTCGTAATGAAAAGATGTTCTATATAAGCGTTACGACTAAGTTCTTTAATTAGTTACTTTAATAATATAATCGTTTAAGCAATTATGGGAAATTTAACTACTTGTTATTTTCCATAATTTTTATTTTAACTAAATAATAAATGTTTATTTCGTGTTTAACATTGAAAGTTTTTTAAGTTTATATAATTATAAACTTTCATTTTATTCTACGTTATTTAACATGAATAATACGTATTAATTACGGGTTCAATTAAACTTATTTTTAACGGTAAAATATATATTGAAGTGCAAAGTTTTATCTTTAAAAGGCCTTGCTTGAAGGTTATTAATAACATATTATATAAGTTCTAATGATTATATAGTTTTTTATTATATTTGAATAACTTACAAAGTAAGTTATAAAATTTAAAAATAAAAATTAATAGCTAATATATTAAACTGTGTATAATAAAACTTCATATTTGTGATGGTGCCTAGCCACCTAGCCACCACCATTGGCCCTGGTCCCGGTCACGTGCAAGTCACATGACCTGGTCAACATTGCTCCGTAGCCGAATTGCGGGGCGGTCGCTTAGATCTATTCCACCAGCCAATTTGGCTGCGGGTCAAGATCTTCTTTTCCTTTCCCACCAGATGATTTTCACACGTATACAGTAATTGGATCCATTGCGCTCCTACTTTGTAATACGGATCGTGACAATATTATAGAATTGAAATTAAACTTTACTATTAAATCTTAAATTTTTTTGGGTAAAAAATATTCTTAACTTTTAATTTTAATTATATTTATCATTACTCTTTTTATTATTACCATATTATGACTTGTAAGTTAAACCTAATGATACCGGTGTTGTAATTTAAAGTTCTATTGAATTTATCAATATTTAATTGTATTTTATACTTACATTTTATAAGGTTTGAATTAAGCTTAGTATTTAATTATTAATTTACCTACTTAATATTCTCATATTACAATATAGACATATAGCTATTTTTACTGGAGTGTTTTCATTTTGAATACGTATTAATATATATATATATAATATGAAACTACTAACTGTCATGGTCTGGTACAGGTAGCCCATGTGGTGAGTCCTGGAGCCCCGATATGAGTACATGTACCACCATTGAATGTCAAGCTGCCACGCTTGATATTCGACATCCTTTTGAGAGGAACAGCCGTGGCATGGTGGTTGTGGTGAGCGTTCCGTCACACTAACTTGTTAATTCTTACTATTTATTTAAATATACATAACGTTATCGGTTAATAATATAAAAAGCCCTCGATTTGAAAACAAAACTATTTAATTACTTTATGAGTAATTACTTATATAATAAATACGTAAGGAAATGATTAATTTATTAATAAAAAAATCTATAAGTAATTAAGTAACTAACATTATATACGTAATAAGCGCTTTAATAATACTTAAATATACTAAACGTTTATTTATTATTTACGCGTTTTACTTTATTATTTCGACCGTATCATAACTTTAATACTAATAAAGCTGGCTTATAATACAGAAAGCTAATTACGTAGTGAATACCGTTATATTATTTCAGTAGTTAAATAGTTCGGTCCCGTTACTTTAACACGAAATTTGTCGACTATGAATTAAATATACGCGCTAGTATACGCACCGACATTTACTTTTAAATTTGAAATAGTAAAGGTTTTTAAGAAATATAAAAACCATCTAATAACTTTTCGATTTGTCTCAAATTTCTTTAACTTCTAAAACATAGACAGTTTCAACATTTTATCGTTTGATATATTTTTAGAACATAAATGTTTTATAACCAAATTTTCGTTTAAACAAATTCAAAAGGAGTGTATAATAATATGAAACTATTAAAAAGTTTAATAAAAGAACTATTTACATTTATAATATTTAAATATAATAGGTGATTTATTTTAATAACAAGTAAAATCTATAAATTATTTATTACGGTTAAGCTTAAATAATGGAACTATAAAATATAAAATGTTGATTATAAAATGAGATTTCTTATGACCTTTATTTGAATGTATAGCGTACATTTTAAATACGCCCAGTTTCTCTTAAATATTTAACATGTATGTAAGTTAATTTCTTCTTATATTTAATATATCTTATTGTTTTATCAGCTATTAAACTATTATATCTTCTAAACTATAACTTATATATGATATATCAGCTTTTAACGTTATATATATGTTAATTTTTTGCCGTTAATACTTTTATAATTCTTAAAGAATAATACGC